AGAATAGGAAAAATACATGAAGCTAATATTTTAAATTTAAATCCAAAATTTATTATTAAGTAGAGCCAATCACTAATACTTATTGACATAAAAATATATAAGTAAAATTCTTGAGAATAAATGTCATATAGGAATATGCATGAAATCAATATTCCTTATAAAATATTCTTGATTATAATTGTTATTTATATTTCAGTTTCAGATTAATGTTTAGAGTATTTTTAAAGTAAAAGGGATTAATCCTTATTATATAATAATTATTTTGAATCATTAAGAAATTAATAATGTTAAATAACAAATAAAAAGAGTTAATAGATATAAAAATAGAATATGATTTCTACTAAATAATTTTATTAATCTAAAGTATTCCATGTATAAATAATTGATGTAAAAGTAAAATAAGAAATAAATGTTATTGTTTTATAAATAGTTTATTATTATAATGATCTAAACAATATTTTTAATAAAGGACTTTAAAAGAATAGTAATCTATCTAATTCTTTGAAACCTTATATAATTACATCTGTATTAGAATTAATTTAAAATTCATTAAAATAACATTTCTCATAAATTAATCTTTATCTCAAAGATAAACTCAATTTTTTAAAGAAATTCTTCCTATTTACTTCTCCAAATTTCTAATTTCTAAATAAACTAAATTCTTGTAATTATAATATTTAAAGTTAACATCCATTGATACATCTTAATAAACTTTGATTTTCATAAATTAAATTAATTGTTTTTCCAGATATACACCATAATTCTTAAACAATATTTAATTGATCTTAAGTTGCTTAATATAGAAATAATACTTTAGTAAAATTTAGTAATAATTTTAAATGATTTTTAAAATAAGTATTGTCCATTATTTATTAACATGTTGAATTATTTAATATGACAACAACTTTTTTTGTTCTTGATTTTTGTTCTATATGATCTGTTTCATTAGATTTTTAAACACTTTAATTAGATATTTTGATAAATTAAGAACTATTTATACTAGCATGTGAAAATTAATTAGAAAATTCTTCCAAACATTATTTAAAATATGCTCTTAAATCTTCTTCATTTTATTAATTAAAATGAAATATTAAATCATTTGATTATAATAATTCAGATTAATATAAAATAGATGTAGCTGATATTTCTTAATTTTAAGTATAAATAAATAATTAATAATCTGATTTTCTAATATTTTTCATAAAATCTTGACAATCCTATTTTAATTCATAACTTAAACCAAAAATAATATTCAATTTAAGTAATTATTCCATTAAAGTATACAATTAATTTTCTGATATATTACTTTCTGCAGAAGATAAATATAAATTAGCTTCATTTTGACTCAAAAAACAATAATAATAATATATGTAATGTAAAGAATCTGATTAATGTTTAAGTACCTTATCCTCAATACTTTCATTTTTCCTTACATTAGCTTCTCTTAAAAATAAAATGAATTGATAATCAGCTTCTTAAGATTAATCATCCATTTCAAATAACATATACAATCTTTAATTTTAGATATGTAATTTAGTATTAACCAATTTAAATGAATAAAGTTCTTTATTAATTTATATAATATAATGTTATTATTACCTATAAGATATGATTAAAATATTACTAAACATTATTTACGCAAATAAATTCATAACCCATTTTTTTAGCTAAATTTACCTATTTTTAATCAAGTAAACCAAGATATTTATTTTTTACTTTCTATTCTTTTTTTTCAGTTATTAATAATTTTGAAAATGCAAGATGATTCATAGCTAATTATAAAAATAAAGGATTTAGATCATTATTAGAATTATTTTGTATCATGGATTTATATAAAGTATTTTCATCAATTAAATATTTATCTTATTTTAATTAATCTTTAGATGATTAATATATTTTTGAACTTTTTTATTGATTTGATTGACGTTAAGCTGTCAAATGATCTCCTATTTCTTAATTTTCAAATATATTTTTGTCATGTTAAATTTACTCTTATAAAATTAATTATTCTTAATTTAAATTTAAATCAGATTTATAATCTTATTAATAATAATGTACACACCTACCTTCAAATGATTTTGGAATTTAATTAATAATACATTCTCTTTAACTAAATAAGATTTCTGAACTTGAACTCTACATATCATAATTTAAGACTTAAGAATTTAATTAATTATTTATTTTATCTAAATTAATATATTATTATTTTACCTTAATCTTATTTATTTATACCCTTTTCTGCAGTTTCTAAAAATTGTAAGAATTTCAATTCTTCAAAATCACAATATTAACTATTATAAATTATACGTTTAAGTTTAAAAGATTATTCTATAAATGCTTCAACACTAATAGTTAGATATTGTTTTTCTAAATATTTATCAATATGACAAGACATAATTTATTTTTAATCTATTGTGCCAATTATCTATAATTAAAATAAACTACAAATATTATAATAAATCTTAAAGAAATGAGGTATCATTAGAATTAAATAGATGCAATTATCCAATATAATTTATGTTATTGATCTCAATTCATACAAATATTCATTTTGATTGAATACTATTATTTATATCTAATATATATATATGTACAAATATTTACAATCATAATTATACAAATTAATAAGTAAAATCCAAAGAATTAATTATTATCAAATCTTAATTATCCTTATAATTTTGTATAACAGAAACAACTATTGCCAACTTTTACAACTATCCCCAAAATCCAAGGTGTAGCCAATAATTTCTCTTAACAGAATATAAAATTTTCATATCCAAGTGTTTTTGATTAAGGATCTTTTTTTAATTAAAAGAATCCTTTTATTTAAGAATTCTATTCATGAAATACTATATTACCAGTCAAAGACTTTTTAAATTAAGCTAATGTTTATGAATCAGCTAAAATAATAAATTCAATTTTTACATCTATTCTACACTACTGGTTTTCTTACAGTATATTATGAATAATCACATAATTATTATTAAACACAAAAATTTTCATCATTACAATGTAATACAATTATATCACAAGGTGCTATTTCATTTCTTTATAATAATATAACATCTCCTATTTTAATTTCTTCAGCATTTTAATATTTAATTAAATTCATTTTATCCTTTTCCATTCTCTTTAATTTCTCATTTAATGGTATTTTAGTTGTTGTTTATACCAAATCTTTTGGAAATATACTTGGAACTTTCATTTTAAATTAAATAATCAATAAATCAGTTTCCATAATTTAAATTTATTGTAATTTTAAAGCCATATCTTTATAAATTAATGGACTCATTTAATTATATTTTTTTATATTTTCAGATGCTTTAATATTTTTATTACTTTATTGTTATTTATATTAGATTGATTAAAATGGTATTGAATCATTTGCTAAAATGAATTAATAATTTATATTACATAATATTGATCTTGAAATTCCTTTCTTTTGACTCTAAACATATTCAATTTTCTTATTTTATGAATTCTTATCAACTTAAGATTTACTCTTTAATCTTTGATTACTTTCACTTTAATCTTATTAATTTAATCTTTCTTTTATTTTAGAAATGATTTCCTTATTAATAATACATTCATCCCACTACTTAATAATTTTGGCTTCTTATTATTTTATCATTTTATCCATTTTTCGTATTTTTAAACAATTATGTAAATCAACAAACCATTATTGTAAAATTAAAGGAATCATTACAAAATACAAAGGTAAATGAGAAAATGCCTATAATATAAGAAGTAAAAAGTAAAAGATGTTTTCTTTAATTACTCTCCAAGGAAAAAGAATAGTATAATTTGCCCTCTAAATTTTATTTTCATTTTCTAAGAATCCATCATATGAAACTGTCTCCCCATTTCTAAATTGAATCTTATTAACTATTTATATAATACTTGATATGTGTATTTTCTCATTTCATTATTATGCCTGTAATTCAGGAATAATTATTTCATTTTAATTTATAACAGAATGTCAATCAATTAAGAACTTAGTTTTGATTTCAAATCTCAAGTCAATTTTGATAATGATTATTAATAATCAAACTATTCTAATTTTGCTGAACAATGGCAAGAGAAAATATCTAGTCTATAATAAAACATATAGGAAATGTAATAATAAAAAGAAGATGTTAAGAATGCATTATTATAAGCATAATCAAGAATTAAAAATAAGAAATCTTACATAGATGAACCTAAAATGCAATAAATTGAAACTAGAACATTAGAAACAAATCAACCAATTCAAAACACTTCAATTAATCATTTATTAAATGAATCTATTAATACATAAGAATTTCAAATTCCTATCAATTAAATCAATAACATTAAATAATAACCTATAGCAACATTTCTAATGGATATTAGATTAAATGATATTTACCTATAAAATTTTATAGACTTAGGCATTTATGATAATGTAAGTCTTTTGAAATCTTTACCTACTCAAAATAAATGTAAATTTCTATTAAATAAATATGGAATTGATAAATTAGGATATTAAAGAAGAATCTTAGCTAAATTAGATGAAGGTATTTATAATATATTCAATTAATTTTAGAAATGGGTTTATTTTCAAAAAAAGGATTATTATTAAATATTGAATACTGTTAGGAATAAATTCCAAATATTGAAGAATGGTTAAAATCTATTAATTAATCTAAATATTATCCAAATTTTCAATTGGCAGGATATGATAACTTTGCTTATTTAATTTATCAAGAGTAAAGTCAATACAAATTAACAGTTCAAGATTTTAAAGATTCTTTTTATATAGAAAATGAATCAGATAGATAATTACTTATTGCACATATAATTATTAGTATTAATATTTAATATATTAATTAGTTTGTGATAAGATGATGAATTGTGATTTATGGACTGTTTAAGGAATAAAAAAGAAATAATAATAATCAGATTTTAATTTAGTATAATGCACTCTACCATCAAATTAATGTTCGATATTTTGATATTATATATATATAATTAATTAATATTCATTTACAATAATGATTCCTATCTAAAAAATCAATTATTTCTTAATTTTCATAAATTTAACTTAATTCTTTAATAGTTTTTCCTTTTCTTGTTTTCACATCTACTTTTGCTCCATATTTTAATAAGAGCTTCAATAATTATATATTTTATTTCTTTATAGCTATATGAATAGGATAGAATCCTTTCTAAAAATGATAATTATAATTATAATAGTACTTCATCAGATGAATTTATTAGAGATGGATCGAAAGATTTATCTTAAAATAATATTAATAAACTTTTGATATCACAATTCTAAACAAAATTAAAGAATTATTTTTGTTCTGGTAACAATTCTATTATTTTGTATCTTTCAACTAATTATTCTATATTTGCTTTTGATTCTATTAATCTTGAGGACATATAATCAGTAACATCTTCTATTTCCATACTTTAAATAGATGATTATTTGCAATATTATGGATTTAATATACTAGATTGTCTTTTGAAAGATTAGGTTTTTTTAGCAATTCTCTTTTATGGTTCCATCTTTTAAAGCATATGAAGATATGGTTTAGAAGTTTGACTTTTCTATTTTAAATCATTGATTGAAGGATCAACTAAATAAGTACCATTAAATAATTTTGAAGCATTCATTTTAGTTTTTAAACATTATTTCCTATTAATTTTTATATATCATAATACAATTATTCTTCAATCTAATTAAAGTTTAATTCATTTTGATTTAATTTATTTTCTGATTTTTCATTAAAATATGAATTCTTAGGAATTTAATGTGTTTTAATCTTTTGATTACAAAATTTATTATACTTTTGATAATATTTATTATGCTTATTCAATCCTACTTGTAGATGGTTATGAATAGAAATCATTTAATATTGAAAGATCCTTATTCTTTAATTTACTCATTTTCACTAAATTCAATTATACTATTCTTTAATCTATGATTCCTGATTTTAAATAATCTTAGAGTGCTTATTTGCTCATTTTATACATGATATTTTCACTAAAATGAAACTTTTTCTTATTTTCATTTTGTATTGTTGTATTATTTTCTGTTTTAATGCTTTTACTAGTTAATCTTGGTAAAGAATACATTTCTAAGAATATAAATAATTATTTATTATTTGAATATTTTACAATAGAGAATACTTAGAACATTTATCTTATTTTCAACAATTAATTTAAATTAATAAGTATACAATTCCTTATCATTTGTTTGTTAATAAAATGAAATCACAATTATAGATAATAATAATAATATAATAATAAATCTAGGTATAATAATAAAAATATGGGTGTAACATGTTCTAATATGAAAAATCAAAATGTATTTAACATTATGGAACTACCTTATAAGTATAACTATGAAAAAAGATTTAGTATTCATGTGATGGCATATATTTGGTCTGATAATGGACATAATTTATTTGATTATGAAAGTGATTCCCTTGTAAGAAAATCAATTGATTTTGATTTTTAAGGTATTTCTCATAAATATATAAGGAAGAGTCGTTTAATTAGATAGAGATATCTTGGCTTTAACAAAAAATGTAAGATTGCTTACATAATCATTATAAAGGAAGTAGTAAGAAATTAAAGAGAAATCTTTGAGTTTCGTAGTAATCAGAAATATATTGAATTATATAATTCTAAACTTGAAAATGCATTCTGGAAAGTCATTCGACCATAATAGTCATCAGATTTACCAACTCTAGACCGTCAAAAATTAGTGATAAATACAACAATAAAATTAGGAAGAGTTAAATTAACAGTTCTTGATTATAGTTTTGCTTATGAATATGATGATGGTGGAGTTCCTGATGAATTAGATGAAAAAAATAAATTAAATGATAGTGGATGTGTAGAAGGATAAGTTTAATGTAGATTTTGTTTAAGTAAATTGGCAACACTTGAAAATCCTTTTATTAGTCCATGTAAATGTATTGGTTCCATTAAATATATACATTTAAAATGTTTATAAAGTTGGATAAATAGTCAATTAAAAACTAAAGCATAAAATGGAGTAACTCTATATTATTGGAAGAGTATGAAATGTGAATTATGTAAAACAATGTATAAAAGTAATGGATTATTAATTTACTTATTTATAGCTTAATTTAAATTTAAGTCAATACAATATAACATATGTGATATAAATAAACCTAAGGAACCTTATTTATTATTACAAATAAATCATAGTGATAAGAACAAAGAATAAGGATTATATGTAATTGATATCAAAACAAGAGATACCATTAAAATAGGAAGAACATAAGATTGTGATATAAAATTACATGATATCTCAGTATCAAGACATCATGCTAGTATACTTGTTAATCATTAAGAATAATCATTTTATATAGAAGATAATTGTTCAAAATTTGGAACTTTAGTTTTAGCTTAAGAAGAAGATTTGTAGATATAATTGAATTCTCCAAAAAGAGTAGCTTTATAAGTGGGAAGGATAGTAATAGTTGTAACAATAGAAAAAAAAATAAATAAAAAAAAGTAATTATGATATGTAAAATATAGAATAAATAAATATAGAGTACCTGCATAATTTGAAGTTTTTAGATAAATTAAATAACATGAAGATGAAGAAGAATTATAATCTGCTGATTAATAATAATAATCTGATGATGAAGATATTTTAATTAATGATCCTACATTTGATAGAGATTAAGATATGAGTAAATTTAAAAATATGAACTTTTTAACTGGAAGTATTATTTAAAGAGAGTAATAGTGATTTGTTAACTTATATTAATAATTTTTCAAATTTTCTTTTATTATTTTTTCATAGCTATTTTTTTTTTAGCTTTTTTTGATAAATACAATAATTTAACCACAATTTTTAGTGCCATCTATATATTCAAACTAGTTAATGCGAATTTTATATCCATTTCAGTTACATCTACATATTAAATGTATTCATTCTCTAATGGTTATTTACCAAAATCAGTTAACCAATCATCTAATATAATTTAATCAATTTTATATCTCTTTTCAGGATTCTTCTCTAACATTCCTTAAAGTAATTTAATAATTGATGGATGAAATCCAGTTGCTTAAGGGTAAGGAGGACTTTGAATTTATAATAATTATTATTTACTTATCTTCTAATATTTATTATCTTAATTCCATAGATTTTTAACTTGGAAATGGTAATTTACCATAAACCATCTAATATAAAGTCACTCCTCCTGCCCATATATCAACTGGTTTTCCATCAAAATTCTATCCTTTAATTAAGATTTTACTTTAAATTACCTTTAAATACTTCAGGTGCCAAATAAGCTTAAGTACCAGTTTAATTAGATATTCTTCCATCTTATCCATCTTCCATAATATGTGAAACTCCAAAATCAGCAATTTTTAATTAATCTTAAATATTGACTAATAAATTTTCAGGTTTGATATCTCTATGTATAACATTAACACATTCATGTACTTAATTTAATATAATTTTAAATACAATAATCTAATCCTTTAATGAAATCACTAAAGTAATGTCTACATTATTCTTCAGTCAATCTTTAATTAATATTTTTATCTTCAATTTCATCTAAAATATTAGATGTTTATTTATTTTTCTTAAAAAATCCTTTACTTAGAATACTACCTTTTCCCATATATTCCATAACTAGATATAATTTATCTTATTTAGGGTCATCTATGACTTCATACAATTGGACAACATTGGTATGGGAGATCTATTTAAAATATTTAATTAAATTGTACTTTTTTCATTATTGCAATTTCTCTTTCTAACATTGTATAAGCATTTGATTTAGATAAAAGTTTCTTTTTTAGTTTTTTTTTGTTTGCTATTTTAATTGCCTAGAAATAAAAGAGATATCAATACAAATTATTCTCCTTTAAAATTTTGAGCTTTTTTAACTTTACCAAATGCTCCTTAGCCTAATGATTCAATTACTGTGTATTAATTAATTTATGCCATTCCTTCAACATTAATACTTTTTTCCAGTCGAGATGTCTAAACAACTTCTAATGTGTTCTAAACAGCCAAAGATTTACGTGGCTTAAGTCTTTAGGAATTCAACATTTAAGATTCTTTAATATTGAGATATTTTTCCATTGAAAGTTCAGCTTTCTAGATATAATGAATATAGAGACTTCAATCTTTTAAGATGATCTAATAAAATGTATGAGATTTGTTTGAGCATATTCAATAAATGGTTTCTTTATACCAGGGGATTTAGAAATAACTCCACTAACACGCATTGGAGTTGTATTAACTTTTTTTGGTTTATTACGAATCATTTCAATGAGATTAGTTTAAAACTTGAGTTTATTCTTATGTGACACCATTGTTGTATCGTCTAATCTATTGTTAAATTCACTTTAGTCAGCTTTTACTTTATCATTTTCTAAAGACTTCTCTTAAAATAGAGAAAGCATTCTAGACTTTAGAAATTAAACTATACCTAAAGTTATTGATTTGATTGTTAGACTATGCACTTCCCATTTTATTTAACAATTAATTAATCACATTTTACATCCACTTTCTTTAGTTGAAAACCAAATATTACACTTAGTATTTCAAACTACCATACAATTAATCTAAAAAATTACTATCATATTAGAACTACTTAGAACATTCAATCTAAATGTACATAGAATGATAAGAATATTATAAATAAAAGAGATGATACATTAATAATTTATTTATATGAATTAATGTCTGATAGTCAATATATAAGAATTAAAAGAATAATATTTAATTTGACAACCTTATATGAAGAATAATCATATAGTGATGTGTTAACAAACGGAAAATATTAGACATTAATTTTCATTTTATGAATAAGGTTCATTATTAACCAACATTAGATCTTGGAGCCTATTATTATTATTAGGGTTTAGGCTATTATGGAATTTGTTATGGTTAGAATTACTAAGCATATTATGGAGCATAAGTTGGTGCAAAGGCTTAAGGAACAACTCTGGAAGCCACCAATGGTTATGCATAAGAAACAGGCTATTAAACATATTAGACTGGTTATTGATAAACTTATTATTAATAAACTGGTTATTAATAAACAGGTTATTAGACAACTTAGACTGGTTGTTATACAACTTAAACTTATTATTAAACCACCTATTAAACAGGTTAAACTTATTAATGGACCACTTATCTTTCAACTGGATAATATTCCACTCTTTCTTAATATCTATCAACAGGCACATATTCTATATTATTAAATATTTAAGAATACCTGTATATTTCTCTTGAAACACTTAAGGAACATATTCAGTTTAGTACTCAACAGCATAATAATCTGTCACCTTTCTCTCTCTTGGGACATATTGAACAACCTCTTATTCTTCATATTCTACAACAGCCTTTTAATAAGGAACATACTCAATTCTTGATTCTCCTTTGATTGATTGATGCTAATTTGAATATCATAAAATTATTGTACTTAAACTGATTACACTACTGGTTGGACGGGTTATTGAACATATTAAACAGGTTGTTAAACATATTGAACTTATTAAGGAACAGGAGCATATTAAACAGGTTAGATATATGATTATCGGATTGGTGATTATTACAATGGGACAGCATACTAGAAATTAAAACATATTTTTTACTTAGGGAACTGGTTGTTATAAGGTTGGTTGACCAAATTTGGGAGCTTAAGTTGCGGCCAAAGGTTAGGTAGGGGGGGCATTGCTATATGGACGATTAGACATCTGATTATTTAAATAATAAAGATATATATATTTATATATTTATTATCAAGTGAAATAAAATGAAATAAAAAATAATCAAATTTATTAATAACATATAATATCGGCAGGAGTATAATTAATATGATTTCAGATATAAGATGAAATTTATATAAACGATAGGTATTATTTTCATTTATTGTATTATATTAATATGAGTTTTCGAAAAATCTGAATTAATTTCCTACTTAATTAATTATATTCTTATATTATAAAGAAAAATGATATTTCTTTACAAATGAAATCCTTAATGTATAAATTACATAAACTATACAATTTAGTCTTGGAAATATAAATTTAATTTTATAAATATCTTTATGCTTTCTATTTAAACAATTTTTAAGAAACACAAAAAGACATTCATAATAAATATAATTAATAATCTTTTAGGTTGTAATTCCTATTTTCCATAATTATTCATATAAATCCATTTATATAAATTATTAATGTTTAAAGAATTAAGATCCTTAATTAATGAAACAAGTGCACAAATTCCTAAAAAGAATATTGCTTAAGTTTAGAAACACAATTAATTAAGACAAATGAATTTGTTATAGAAGAAAATATGTGCTCCCTCAATTCAATATTCTATGTTTCAATCAGATTTTGGTACATTTGAATACTAGATTGTCCCTTAAGAGAGTTCAGATTCAGAATCCATCATATCCTCATCTTCCTAATACCCTTCCTTACATTTTGTTGCTTCTTTAATCTTTCTAAATGCTTAATATTCTTAGATACCTTGTTCAACTGTTCTAAAGGATAGTTTGATATCAAAATTGATTGTTAAAAACATAGATAAAAATATTGATTTAGTTAAAGTTTAAGAGTTTATTGATACATTGCCAATTAATGGATTTGTCTTGGAATTTAAACTTATATATTATTAATCAAATCCTTGTATAATATTTTATTTGAAAACCGACTAACCATTAATAGTCTTTAATTAATTTGTGAATAAATCAAACTCTAAGATTGCTAAATCAATATTCGGTTACAAGTTTACATGTGCTTAATTGACAAAAATTCCTTAAGAATTTGCTGCTGTAATAATAAGAGGTTTAGATGATAATTTAAATGGAAGTCAAATTGAAAAAATTATCTGTTATACTTTGAATATGAAATAAAAAGAATGTATAATAGAAAGCTCAAAAATAATTATAAAAATTGAAAATGTTGGATGTATGGTATTTGTATTGAAAGATTTGGAATATTGTGAAAGAGTGGTTGTGTCTTTAAATGGAACTAATTTGAATGGATTATAAAAAAATAAAATATTAGTTAATGTTCATCCTGAGTCTGTGAAAATAAGAAAAGTTGATCATGAGTGTTCTATCTAGAAAGGATTACTGTAGGTAATTTATTAATTTAATATAGAAATATATAAAAATTAATGAAAAGAATATGAAATGAAAATTAATTAAATTATTTATTATATTTTAGACTTTCTCATCAACAGTAAGTCAAAATAATAAAAAATACAACTAGAAGTAATTTTTCTATATCTTTTGAATCCAATTTATTATTTATTTATTTATAATATTATATAATATAAATATGACAGCTAAAGATGTTATTATGAAAATGAATAAAGAAGCTGAATATAATGCACTTACAGCTGAATTTTAAGGAAATGATACTAAATTTGTTGGAGAATATGAAAATGTTAGAATTCCATTTGAAAAGAAAGAAGCTATTAAAGATGCATTTAGAAAAGCATCAAAAGCATGTTAACCTACATTAAAGAAGTAAAATAGTATTATTAATATAGTCTTTCATTGAGATAAAATTGGTTAGATTTATAGGATAGAATATATAATAGAGCATAATACTACACAAGTATTAAATTGTGATCTATGATTCCTAGCTGATGCAAATTCTTGTATTAGTGATGCAAGAAATGTTGCTGAAGTTAATGTTTGTTGTGATAATTATATCCAAAGATTAAATAATGACTTTTACAACGATATTTTACAAATATTAAAGGATTATTGAGATATTAACAATTATTAAAAATATGTAAATAGTAATATGTTTTATTTTCTGTTAATTAATTAATATGTTTTTCGATAAAGATAGAATCATAAAATTGATGCAAACCAATTAAATAGCATCTCCATTATCCTTTAAATTAGATTCTCCTAGAATATATTCAAATACACCTAATTCATAATCAAAATTAACTTGTGACCTTACTTCAAGAAGCAAACTTAAATTGAACTTTTTAGCAGAATTATCAGATAATCGATCTTTGACAAATCGTTATATGTTGAATACCAAAAATAAATCCAAATAATCAAAAATATTATATAGTAAGGAGAATAAGTTTGTAGAGTCATCACTTAAAAAAAGCTAATTATATCCATCAACTGATTCATTACTTCAAAATATCAATATATAATCTCCTACTTCTACTTTTAATGAAGAGTTCATGAAAATCAATTCAAAATTCAATTCTGTTAAAAAAGAAGATAATCATGATCAATGTATATAGAGAAAGTAGAGTAATTCAGTAATTTCATTAATGAATAGAAATGTATCTTAAAATGAAGGATGTCATAATAAGTATTCACTAATATTGAAAGATATTATAGTTCTATAATGAGATCTACAGAAAGAATAAGATAACAATATGATGAAATTACACTTTTGGATTTGAAAAGTTAGAATATTTATTTATAAGTAAGAAGTTTCTATAAACATTTTAAAAGTAAGAAAATGTCAATCTGAAATCTCAATTGTAATCAGTTCAAGATAATATTAAACATTAAAATAAAGAAATTGCAAAGTTAAAATCTAATATTTAATAACTTGAATAGTAATATATATTTTAATACTAAAGATAGATTGAATATCCAATTAAAAGAGAAGAATTAGAAATCTATATCCACTATTGAAAATCTTAATACTTAGTTAGAAATTGAAAGGCCAATCTAAGATGATCTTAGAAAAAGAATCAATGAGATTTAACAAGAACTAAAGAAATATACTCTAGTAATTTCATTAATTCTATATAATTTGTAGATTGAATAGGAAATTAAGAAAATTGAGGATTCTCATTTAGAAAGCGTAATTAAAATAAATAAAGAACTCAAAGAATAACAGGTTTCGCTTAAAATTCTTAATCATCATATTACTTGTCTATCTTAAATTTCAATTCTATTATCTTAAAAAGAAGAAATTCCTATTGAAATTTTATTTAAATATAAGCAAATCCCATAAATTCCTCTAATTCTATTAGATTAAGATTTAATTGAAAATATTCTTAAATCTAATTCAAAAATGATAAAGGAATTATATGATTTAATAGGAAAATCCTTTGAAAAAATATCATACAACTTTGTATAAGAACTTTCATAAAATTTGCAAAACTGATAAACATATGAATATTAAACTGTTTTAATATATAAAATAGACGAAAAAATCTCTGTATAGAAAAATAAAAATGAATTTTTATTTAATGTTCAACATCATCCTCCTTGTTTTTTATCATTTTGCTCTAAATTTTTTGGTTAGTTCAATTACTAAATTTCATCTTATTGTAAAGAATGATATACTAATATACAAATTATTATTATTATTATTGTTAATTATGAGTTTGTAAAACAAGATCGCCTAACAAATCATTTTAAAGTTTCTTAAAAAATTCAAGTACATTTGTTGCATTCTTAGCAGAGACTTCATAAAACTAAGCACCTAGTTCCTAGAAATTTAAGATAAATTCAAAATACATTATCTTTAGCTTATGCTTGTTTTTTTGAATCTTATTCCAAATCAATTTTATTACCCAATATGTAAATAAAGACATCATTTCCTCTTTATCTTAAACATCTTAGACCCATCTGGATAGGTTTTGGAAGGATTTCTCATCTTTTTTCTCTAAAAATGAAGATTACTTGTAATATTGTAACAAATGATGGCAGCTTATGCATCTCTAATGTAACTAGGAATTAGTGATCTAAATTTTTCTTATCCAGCTGTATCCTAAAAATAATATCTTACAGATGTGTTATCCAAAAATAAATCTTTTAATAATTGAAGATTTTCCAGTAAGGAGTTCTACGAGAAAAACTATTTTAAATTTCTCTATATGTTCACTTGTTGTATTTTGTGCCTTTTTATACAAATAATTTTCTAATAATGTTATTATAGGTTTTAAAAGTTGATATTTTTAATTTAAAGTTTAAAGTGTTTGTTTGGAGAGTCTGAATCAAAAGAGTGGATAAAAAAATATTAAAATATTAACAAAATTAGTAAAAAATTATATAGAAGGTTTAACAATAAATTAAATAAATCTGTTAAATATGTTTCATAGTTATTAAACACCAAAGTAAACTTATAAGCAACAACCACAAAAAATATACTAGCAGATTCACTAAAAGACTCTTCCTTGTAAATCTTTGTCACCTCCTTAATTTGGTCATCAAAAAAACGGAATAATTGAATCAGACGAATAAAATCCATCCACTCCTCAAAAGATGAATTTATCTAAAGGACTTAAATTACTTAATGTACCTTCATTAGGAAATGAGAATAGTTTTAGAGGAAGCAATTAAAAGAATCTATTAGTCTCTGATAGTCCATTGGTGTCAAATAATAAAGAGAATGGGGCATCAAGTAGAAGATTATAAACTGACTCTATATCTATGGATTTGAACTCTCAAGTGGTCATATAAGAGAATAGGAAATTAAATGAAATGATTCAAAGATTATTCAAGGAGAAATAAGAATTAGTTACAATAATAGATAAATAAAAGAATATCTAATGTATAATGAATAATTAAGGAGGAGACAATTTGAATTTGAATAATTTAAAGGAGAGAATAGAGAGATTAGAAGGAGTAATTGATTTATAGAGTGAAGAAATACTATAATGGAAACAGAAATATAAATAAGCATGTGAATAAGATGAGAGAGCATATGCAATAGAATAAATGGTATTTATATTATTTTATTAATTAGGAATCATAGATTATGAAAGTTGTAGAGGAGAATGAGAGATTAAATAATTTAGGGAATGAAAAAGATAAGTAAATATAAGATTTAAACAATGAAATAATAATATTGCAGAAAAGATTGTTTGAATAAGAATAAAAAATGAAGGATTAATCAAATTTAATTATCGCTTATGAAGAAGATACAAAAGAACTGAAGAGACAATATAAATAGAAATTAAATTTGATTGAGAAACTAGAGTAATAGTAATAATTACAATAAATACATTAATTACAGTAAATATAGAATTATAGTGAAATATCTTCACATTCTTCATTTCATGAAAATAGGGATCACTCTTAAATTATTTTGGAATAGATTCAGTTTTTAGAACAAACGTTATCTGAATTATCTACACAATACACTTCATAAACATTAGAAAATTAGCGGTTGTTGAGACAAAATAATAATTTAAAAGAGGAACTAATATTGCAGTAAAAAGCTTTGGATGAAATACGTAATTGTAATAAAGGAACAGTTAATCCTAAATTTCAAGATGCTAATAAGAGTTTAAAGTTAATAAGAGACAAGATTGCTAAGTCATAATAGAAATGAATATATATATTTATAAAATGAGATATCCAAGATTGAAATGGGTCCTCTTTTGTTTGCCTTTTTTATTTTTTTAAATAAAATGATTTAAAAGAAAGTTTTAAGCAGCAGCGATGAGAGCAGTGAAGATGAACATGTTGAAGAATTATAAGACAAATAAAAGTTGATATAGGCTAAAGCTAATAAACCAACAAGAACTTCTGTGAGTGCTGAAGTTTATGGATAATTTAATAAGAAAGTATTTAATCATCTTGATTAAAGGGTCAATACTAAGCTAAGAAAGTTAATAAAAGTGAAGATGCCATTAAAAGAATTAAGCAAAGAATGAGCTAAGCATTTATGTTTAGTGCCTTAGATGAACATGAATTAGCTATTGTTATTGATGCAATGGAAGAGAAGAAATTTAAGTATCCATTTCTTAATATTTTTGTTAGAGCTGGCGATTTTGTGATCAAACAAGGTGATGATGGTGATGTACTTTACGTTGTTGATTAAGGATAACTTGACTGTTTCAAAGTATTCAAAAAGGGAGAACCTGAAAAACATTTGGTATAGATTTATTTCAATCCTTTTTATAGAAAGTATATCAACCTGGAGAATCTTTTGGTGAATTGGCTTTATTATACAATGTACCAAGAGCAGCAACAATTAAAGCCAAAACTGATGCAATTTGCTTCTCTTTGGACAGAGAAACATTCAATCATATAGTCAAGGATGCTGCTGCTAAAAAGAGAGAAAAATATGAAGAATTTCTTAGCAAAGTTGAATTATTGAAAGGTATCTATTTTCATTAACAACTACCTTAGATATGGATCCATATGAAAGATTGCAAATTGCTGATGCTTTGAAGGTCGAAAAATTCAACAAGAAAGACTACATTATTAGATAAGGAGAATAAGGAAATACATTTTATTTCATTCAAAAGGGTGATTGTATAGCTACTAAAACTGAAAATGGTAAATCTCTAATGATATTCCATCCTAGGCACTGAGAAAGAAGTCTACAGTTATAAAGTAGGAGATTATTTTGGAGAATTGGCTTTAATTAAACATGAGCCAAGAGCTGCAAATATTGTAGCATAAGTAAATATCATATAAATCTCAAGAGTGAAGTTATAGTAGTATATTTGGATAGTGACAGTTTCAGAAGATTGATTGGACCTGTTGATGAAATTTTAAAGAGAAATATGAGTAGATATGAAAAATATGTAAAAAAATGAGAAGATATTACATATATATTTATTTGCAAAATAATTTATCTTAATATTTATTTATATTATACTAAAAATTATAATATTATAAATTTTTTAATTAATAAATTTATGTAAAACCTTTCAATATATACATTTTCTAATATAATCAAGTTCCTTTAAGTTGAGGAAATATACTCCAAATTAACAATCTCTAAACTACTTATGTAAATATATATTTAATTAATATATAGTTAATAATTATACCATCCTCACGTCTAAAAGGTTATACTTTCTAATTATTTCCCTTCTAAAATAGTTTAATAAATTGATCCCTAAAAATATATTTAATGCATAAAATCATTAAAAGGTTGTAAAATAAAGGAGATACCATTTTGGGGAATAGAGACAAACGGAGGATTATCAAATAATAGTTTAAGATTTTGGATTGGAAAAACTTTCATGAAAACTAATGAGCCTTAGGTAGGTATAAGTAAATTGGAAAATTCTTTCTTATCAGGAACTTTAGCTTTTAATCAAATTGGTTTTAAGAAAGCCTTACTGGAATATGCTAAAAACTTCATAGACTCCATGGGGTAAGAAATTACATATCATTTTTTTCCTGATTGGGATGACATTGAGGATAACCAGGTTGATATGTCAAAAATAAGAATATTTGATATCTTCAGAAGTTTCTAAATATTTTCATATTATTACGATGAGTAAGATTGGAATTGTTTAAAATATTTAAGAGATTATGCTTATTTAAAACACGAGTAGATAGATTAAATGTTGGAGATTGATCCATATAAATTAAAGGATGAGGATCATTAAATGTAAATTTTTAAATATAATTTTTTTAGTATCCCTTAAGGAATATCTTTAGTATAAGAAATATCAATAAATAGAAGAACTCAAATGACCTAAATAATAAAATCAATCCTTATATTTACAAGTATATCATAATACATTCCAAATTATCCTGATGAAATTTATAATTGTTAAACTCCAGAAAAATTATATTACTATATTTTACAACATCCTTAATTTATCCCTTCATAAACAAATATTAGTTTATTAAAAAATATGAATCCTAATATTGTCTACGAAGAGGAACATTAATTAGATTATTTGTATTGTACATTTTAACCAATTGATGATAAACAACCATTAATTTGGGCATAATTTGTAAATCCAAATTTTGATGAAATTAATTTAAAATTTGATAAATAAACACGACGATTAGCAAAATCAATTCAAGTGAGAATATTAGATGCCTGTTATTAAGAAAATGCATACTTTAATGGAATTGGTATAGCATATGTTAGTTGCAAAGGGTTAACATTGAATGAAGTAAATTGGACTATAATTAAAGAACTTCCAGATTGAATTATTATTTTAATTTATAATGAAAATTTTATTCGTTTTGCTACTCTTAATAACAATAAAATCTGAAATGCTATTAGTATCTTAGGATAATGAATTTATTGATGATGATAATGATTTTGTTGGTGGTGTATTTCCAACAACAGATTCAAATTCTGATGTACAAATTAATATAAATAAGACCTATAATAAAGCACTTTAATATGCATAAGAACATTATGCTGAAAGTTGTAAATTGAGTGATCTTTAGTGGGAAAGCTTAGATGGTTCAAAAAATTAAATGGTATAAGGAATGTTATATTATGTATATTTTTAATAAAATAATAGTTCAATGTAACTCTGAAAGGGAAGGAGAGATAAGAGAAATATGAGATTTAAGTATGGATATAGGCTAATAAAGAATAAACTGCAGAAATCACTTAATGTAAACAATTATGAATAGTAATATTTTGATTGAAAATATATTTATATTCAACAGATATTTTATGATCTTTTCTTTCTTTAAAAGATATCCATACTGATTTGAATGATGCTGTTTTGACTATTTTATTTATGAATTGAGTTGTTATTGAATTTTAATGCTGATGATTAACGAATTGGTTTTATTTTTTATGAATGTGAGAATGTATTTTCTAAGAACTTGCCTTGCTAAGAGAATTAAGATTGTGATTATTTAAGAGGTGATTGTTATGAAGGAATGTTTATATAAGGATTTTATGAACTTATTGGTCTGACTATTTCTTGTAATGGATATCTAACAGATGATTTTTTGACAAGTTTTTCAATTTAACCACAATTATTTCCACAATGGGGAGACTCATAAAGTCTATCAACGACACTCTAATTAATTCTTTTTTGGGAATTGATATTTTGTATGAAAGGACGATCTTGCATCATTTCTTTGTAGATGGATTCTTTTAGTTTCATCCTTTTCTCTTCATACTTTTTAGCATACTTTAGAAGTCTATTCTCTACCTTTGGTTTGGAAGGTTCAAGGATTTCTTCAGGTTCCTAGTAGGAATAATTACTTAATTTACTCTTTGGTATAACATGAATGTTATTAATAAAAAATGATTATATATGTCTTAGTTTATGATGATTTAAAATTTCAATTGGTATGTGAATTTGAATTATTGTTATTATTCTTTTCATCAAGCATCATTTCAATTTATCTGTCGATACTCAATGAAATTGGTGGAATTTCTTTACAATCTTTAGGATCTACATTCAGAAGGAAAGAATCTTCTTTTTGTTTGCATTCAAGCAATAGAGTCTTTAATGACTAATTTTATTCATTATTTTCTATAGATGGTAGAATTAAATAGCCAATCTTTTTTAAACTCCCCATGAAACCTTATTGTGAATTACTCTAATAAAAATGAATAAATACTTTTTAAATTATTTGATATTTGCATTCAAATAGTCTAGAATTTAAGTTTGAGTGATGATTCTGTGGACATCTTCTATAATGAGATAGTTAAAAATGGAATATACTGTATAATGTAATTGATTGTTCAAATGAAATAAGGATGTTAAATGCTATAAAATGAATAAATATCAATAGATACCAATAGATAATCAAAGATTTTATGATGAAACAATAGATTTATCAATTCTTAATTATGGAATCTAATAATAACATCAATAGATTTAACCAAAATAAGGTTATTACTACCAAAAAGATATTAATATTTTTCGTATTAATTATTTTGAAATAGTTCTAGATTAACAAGATTTGATTAGATTGCTAATTAAAAGGATGGAATTTATGTATTTAATTATGTGATTTATTTTAAAATATTCTCTGTTTATTGATATTATTGTAAATTTTATTATGTAAGTAATGAGGTATTAAGAATTCCTAAGAAACAGATTGAATTGTAATATAATTTATAAACTGCAGGTTCTTTTGATTTATACTATGAATAAACTATTGTATAATTACAGCAATTTCGTAATAAAATGCAGGTTTTATAATAAGATCCAACATTTCATTAATATGTTCATACAAATGATTACCAAATTGAAATATACAATTCAGAAATTCAGAGACACTTTCTAGGAACTGATATTAAAATAATATTAATTATTACAATTAAACTGTCTTCCCATTCTAAACAACATTCAAAAAGACCTTGAACTAATTCTTTTCTTTGTTTATAATGATGACTAAAGTTCTTTCTAGATGGATGGTCCATTATTATAACTTTTGCAAAAAATTCTTAAATCTATTTAAATTTCAAATGACTTATTATATCACTAATTATCGATCCACAAATCTTTGAGAAATTCCAAAACTGTATTAATATCATAATAATAATTACTTCAATGCAATAATTCTTAGATATAATATTCAATGCTTTTCCAAAATATCCAACTTAAGTTTCATTTACATTAGAACATTTTAGAAAAGAGAATAACTTTTAAATTAAGTAAAAGGCATCCTAATCACCAAGTATATCAGTAGTATCAGGTAGAAATTTAACTACAATATAATTATAATGTTACTTGAACTTTAACTTTCTTCTACCTCTTCTTAATTATCCATTGTATCTTAATTAGCTGACAAATATTATTCAAGAGTTGTCTACTTATATTATATAATTTACCTTTTTCTCTATTCTTGCTAATTTTGGTTATCTACCAGCAAATAAATGTTCTATTAGTGTTGAATGCTCAAAAATTTCGCTGATTATAAAAGGATAATTGGTTTGGTTATTGGTTGATGTCAGAAGTGTTATCATCTCTTCTATCAAGTCCTTATTTTTAAGAATACTGATATTGATATTAGTGATCACAATTACTAATCTATAAATGCATGCATTGCTCCTGCTTTTAAGTCGTTTAAAAAATCATCTCTCTTTAATAATTCTTCTAAGGTTGGTGTACTGTGTTTTAGAATTCTTATCAAATCTTAAGATTGCCCGAATGTCTAGAATTAGCTATCTATTTTAGAATTGGTACCCAAAATTCATTAATACTTAATCAATTAAATATAAGTAATTGTTAAAATCAAAACTTATATTGAATAATACATTATTAATAAATTGTATCTTATTATAATTACTTGATAAGGTAGATAATATTATTGATATCTTAATTAATAAAAATAATGAGCAAATTAACATTATATAAAGATGACAACTATAATCTTCGAGATGATTTTGATATCGATCAATTGACTTTTTCTTAATCTCATCTATTCTCTTAACATGAAAACATTAATTAGAAAATTTAGAAATTCCAAATATTCAATCCTTAACATTAAGCCACTCTTGGTTTCATCAAATTAGATGGTAAAATTAAATATGACATTTCTCTTTAAATAAACCACAAAACCATATCAAAAAACAAGTAAAAACATGAAAATCCACATTAATGTCCTTTTTGTGAAAAAAAATTTTAATCATCTTAAGCAGTTGGAGGACATTTATCAAGAACTCATCCAGATTAATCATAAAATTACAAATTTAAAGTTGCAAAAAGAGAGGAACGAAAATATGAACTAGAAAGAACTAGATAACTTCAATATATTGTTCAAAATGACTTAGATCTTTTATGATATTCATATATATGCTGTTATAAATATGAATAATTATTAAATATCTGTTAATTTTAAATAAAAGATGTTAAAAATTTCATATATTAATCTTTATTGATAAATTATTGCTGTTCATATAAAACAGCAAATTTCTTAGGCTGTTGAATTTCCATTTAATTAATTAAAATCACATCAAACATACTATTTTTACTTCCATTAACTCAAATCTTCACTCTGATTCTTATTATTCAACTCTTCTTATTAATTCTTACATCTATATATTTTGTTATTCAAATTATTAATATAAATTAAAATGAACTTTATTCACTCAAAATTAGCTGTTAATAATTAATTTTTAATTATAAATCTTTTTATAATGTTAATATGTATGATAAAAATACCAAATATTTTTTATGAAAATCATCAATTAAAACGTAACTCATCTATTTCTATGAATTTAGGAATCAATTGATTCAGATTCAAATGCCACTATTCCAAATAACAATGATTAGCATTAACCATAAATAAATACTAATCCAACTACTCAAACACAATTAATTACTTAAAATTAATTGTTCAAATATAATTCTCAGGAATCTACTGAAGTATTGCACTTAAATAGAAAAATTAATCTTAATAACAGATTTCTCAAAACTAAAAAAGTAAAATCATATTAATTAAATTAGACAAAAATAACAAAGAAATCATAAAGTAGAAATGAACTACTTAAACATATTGTTGAATAAGACCTAAATGATTTATTTGATCTATGAGTTGATACTGATATCTGAGATTTATTTCATTTATAAAAATAAGTAGATTTATTTATTTCCCGCTAAAACTCAGTATCTATAAAGTTCAAAAATCCTTAATTTAATAATATGTAGAATAGTAAAACTAAGGAATATATATATAAAATAAAATTCATTATAAAAATTATAACATAAATGTCTAATTGTGATAGTCCACTATGCTTAACTCCAACAGATAAAAGAAAATTGAATGTAAAATTAAAAGTTCCAGATGAATTATTAAATTATACTCCTTTGGAATAACTTTCAATTCCTAAAAATCCAAAAATTCGATCTTCATTCTTTAATTTCCTTAGTGGAAATATAAATGAAAAAGAATTCGTTAAATTTAAATGTTTTCCCTCTCATTAAGAGTAAGGGGTCTAAGTTGTGACTAAAATAAGAAATAGACATCAAGATCTTACTTTATAATTGAAAAAATAAGCAGCAATTGATAAAGCTAGATAAAGATGGCATAAATTAGCAGAAGTATTGTTAACTTAATTATAGAGGTGATTCGTTAAAATATACAATTACGAAAATAGATAGATACAAATTATTAATCTAAAATTATCAGTAGGATTGAATTAGGACTCAAAATATAGAATTAATAAGCTCATTAATCAATTATCATTGATGATCTAAAAAATCATTAATTAAGAACTATGACAATAATCAAAGAAAAACATTAAAAATAAAATTAATCTTGTTTCATTTCTCCTAAACATTATTATTATACTCTTTAAGGATATTTATAAAATTAATCAGATGAATACTTATATATTTACCATCAAAATCTTCCAAATACTTCTAAATTAACAGATAAATAATATAATCAATTATTATAAACTTACCTAAATAAAAAATAATTATTTGAAAAATATTAAGAAGAAATAAAATAAAGAAAAATCATAAAATGGAAACCCTTAAAAAGTTAGAGTACCTTTTACAATTCAAGTATGAGTTCTAAATCATTTGGATTGAATATTAATAAACCTATGCAAAGAATGTCAAACCCCCTTTAATCTTAATAGTAATAACGATAAAAAGAATACAATTTGATCAATAGAATTAATGAATTAGCTAATCCAAAAGTAGCTAACAATGTTAAAACAAAAAAGTTCTTTAGACAATAACAAATTAATTCTAAACTTAATGGAGTTGTTAAACATAATAGAATATTCTCATTTAATTAAATAGATAAGGAAGAAGATGATGTATTAGATTTATCAAATGCATCCATAACTGAAGCTTTACTTGATTAATTGTATTTGGGTTCATAAAAATTATAAACTAAATTAAGGTAATAACCTACTGTCCAAAAGAAAGTAAGAGATATCCTTAGATTATAAGAAATGAAAGCCAATACAATTAATGCAAATTATTAAAAATTGAATAAGTACTAATAATAGCATTAATGATAATTATTTTTATTATTTACTCAATTCATCTTATTCATTAAATATTATTAATTAAATTAATATTATTTATTAAATAATCAAATGGATAGCAAAATTAAAATTACTACTTTCGCTAATGAAAATTTATATGTATTAAATATTATATATTCAGGTAGATAAAAATATAATTTGTGAATCTCCTATATTGAAAGAGGCTTTGGATAAATCAGAGAATGGAGAAATAATTATTGATTTACCATTTGATATTTTAGAAATAGTATTTACTTTCTATGAGAACCATAAACATGAAAAAGAAATAGAAATAAAGGCTCCACTTAACAAATAATCCTAATTCTAAAATTTTATAGATAAAAAAGATTATCAAATGCTTGAAAAACTAAGTTTAAATAAATAATAGTAGTTAATTTAAATTTGCAATAATTTGCACTATAATCAATTAATGAAAATTACATGTGCATCCTTAGCCAATAAGTTATAGTGTAAGAAATGATTCGTATAAAAATAGATATGGATACAGGAGCAATCAGATAAATGTTTAATATTTAATAGGATTAAAGTAGGGAACAATTAGAAAGAATTTCTTTGGAAAATAAATGGTTAAAAGAATGAATTTGAGTTTATTTATAATACATAAATAAGTATATATATAAATTATTCAAATTCGAATTTAAAATGCATTATTTTAAAGATCATCCTACAGACTAAGAATTAATTGTTAATAATCTTAGATTATTGAATTATGATATCAAAGAAGCAAATACAACATTTAGATTAAATATTGAATAATTATCAATTGAAAATATGAAAGCACATCCTAAATTAACTATTAGTATTATTCACTTCATTGTATCTAAGTTATTTGATGATGACTCATTTATCAATTCATTCAAAACTTTGTAATTTATCAAATGAATTATTAAAAAGGTACCCTCCTAGAACTTAAATTGAGTAATCAGTTTATAAATAAGAAATAGCTAAATTTTTAAAGAATTCTAATAAAATACCAAAGAACTTTATGATAACGAAAATAATGATGGATTAAAGAATATTTATATTTCTTAGATATATCAGTGAATTTGCTTTAAGATCATAATTTTTAAGTTAATTTCCAACTAAACAATTAAAAACCTTTTATTTAGACCCTAAAAGATTGTTGATAGAAGATAGACCTTGTATTAACGATTGTAATGATATGTTTATAATATCAAATTATCAATTTGAAAACTTATAGAATCTAAACATACCAACATAAATAATTAAAATAATGACTGGTCTAATTGGACATTAAATTTTAATTTAAGTAAAGAAATTAAAGAAATTGTTAAAAGAAAATTGTCTATTTATTGATTCTATCTTACCTACAATAGATTAAGTATCATAATAATTGAAAATTGAAAGAGACTTTTCTTTAAAATTAATTTAATAACTTTGTATATAATAAAATAATTATTATAGAAAACTGTAAGAATCAGATATCTCCATAATATTTAAGCAAAGAAAGAAAATTAGATCGTAAACCATAATTGGATTAATCATATAAAGTTTTTAATGGAATTCAAAATATAATTAAACAATTTTAAGAATAAAAAATGGACATAAATATGAATTAGATTTAATCTACAATAAGATTAGATAAATTTTGTGAAGAAGATAATTTAAATAAACTTCATGAAATTCACAATAATAAAATATAAAATTTAACAATATAAGTTGAAAAAATAGAAAAATAGACTTGGGTTAAAGATAGAGGAACTAAATGTATATAATAATCAGAAGAAACACTAAATAAAATAAAAGAACTTAAAAAATTAATCCAATCTAAAAAAATGAATAATAATAATTGATCAGTATTTTTGGAATAATAATTAAATGAATTATAGCTCATTTTAAATTTAAACATGATTTCATTTCATCTAAATCATCATTTATAATAGCTTATATAAATCTTTAGATATCAAATAATTATCCTGAACATAATTTTTAATATTCATAAACTGCATATAACCATAATAAACATTTCTATATTTAATGTTTAATATCATTATTTTATGTCTTGAGAGAATCCTATTTTAAAAATTACATTCTCATGAATAATTAATCTTAATATAATTGAATATCTATAAGTTTGCTTAAATTTAAATTTGCAATTGTTTCTATTTTATGATAATTATCTGGGAAATTACAATATGTAAAATTATTGAATTAGTTTATATAATCAATATATTTCTTTTTCATTTTATTTTTTTCAGTTTCAATATCATCGATTAATTAAAATACACTATTATTGATATATTTATTACGTTTTATCTTCATAAAAATGCATCCATATTTCACTATCAAATTCTATTTTAATATGATCATGTTTTCCTAATATAGCGTTTTATTGAAGTCTATCTTTTAATTATTAAATTAGAATAGTGGCTTATTTCAAAATATAAAGAATTTCAAATCGGCATAATTATTAAATAGTATTATATAAATAATCTGCTAATTATACCATTAAAGTAATTCCTTAAATTTTATCAAGAATTCCTTCTTTAATTGAGTTTATTCCATTTTAAATAAATCTATTCTTTTCTTATATTATTTTCTCTTTCTCTCTTTTCTATTACTCTTCTTCTTCTTTCTACTTTTTTTCTTCTTATTATTTATCTTCATATTATAATAAACTTATCTATTCAACTTATTCATTATTATTAATTTGATATAAATTTTATTATTCTAATTCCATAATATCTAGATATCTTTGATCATTTCTACAGAAATCAAAAAGAGGATCCATTAAGGCTTCTTATGCAGATATTCTCTAATAATTTATAATTCATAAATACTGCATTTTAATCTTTATTAACCATTTTGCATAATAAATTTTTTAGTTAATCCGATATCTTATACTTTTAATCATATAAAATATATGGCTTTGTTAATATTTTTTATTAGACTTCGTATTGACTTCTACCAATATAATATAATTCTCCAAATAACATCTCATGAGTAAGAAGTCCCAACGCCCATACATCAACTTTAGTATTATATGAATCACTATTAAAAAACTCAGGTGCCATATATGGATATGTGCCAAGATGAGTTTAATATAAAGATTTTTAACTTGCAAAACCAAAATCACCTAATTTATATACTCCATCCTTAATAAACACATTTTCTGGTTTGATATCCCGATGAGCTATATTATTATTAGCAAGTAAGGCAAGTGCCTAAAGTAATTGAAATAATATGAAAATAGCTTCTTTTTCTTCAATCTTTTTAACTTTCCTTATCATATCATATAAAGTTCCTTAATTACAGAATTCTAAAACAATGTAAAAGTTATTTGCTGTTTCAAGGAATTCGTATATTCTATTTATAAAAGGACACTTAGTTTATTTTGAGAGATTTGCTAATTCTTTGAGTATTTTAACTTCAAGTTGAATTAAATTCATGATTTCATCACTAAAATATAAATGATAACTAAATACTGATATTTTGCTAAATTAGATCGTTTGATTACTTTGATTGCTACAATTTCATCTGTTTATTTATTTTTTCCTTTAACAACTTCTGCAAAACTTCCTGATCCTAGTTTATCTTTCAAATAATATTCATATTTCTTGCCTACACACTTTTTATCAGCCATATAGAATTATAATGTATAATTTAAATATTTAATAATCACATATTAGCTCTCATTAATTTAATAATATCTTATTCCATTCTCAAATCATACCTCTATTCCCTTTCTATATCATATAATGAAAGTTTAGCTGAATTGTTAATTATTGTTTCTGTTTTTTCTTCTTTCTATCTTTATATTTAAGGATCTTATATTATAATAGAATTTGATTACTTAAATATTTAGTATCTATTTATTTAATTTGTTCATCATTTTTCATTCTACTAATTTTTAATTTTTATTTTTGACTAGTGTATTCTAAAAAGAATCTCTCTGATTATAAACATTTTGAACATGTTTAATGATCCTTTTATTTACATTCAACATGAATAAAATGACCACACAAATATTTATATCCTTTATTCTCTATTTACTCATTGCAAATATCACAATAATTTAATGTAAAGTATCCTTAAAGATGAGATCTCAAAAAATTCTGTGATTCCATATTAAAAAATCTTTGTATTATAAATTTAGCATTTTAAATGAAATAATGTTAATAAGAGAAAGTATTAACCATTTTAATAAAATTCCCCTTATAATCCTTAATATTAATGTTGCTATATTTAGTACCTAATTGTTATGCAAACAAATCTAAAGGAGTATGAGTAGATATATCCTAAATGTTAATAATTTATTACTTCAAATAATTGTCCTATTTTTTTGACTAGAATTCTATTCAACTTTATTTCTGTAATCTCATAATTTAACTCAATTAAATTATCTAAAAAATAATACCAACTCTTCTCTGGATTTTCTGAATGATATTGACATATTTCTGAAATCTAATTCATTTTTTCTTCTAATTCATCATACTCTCTTTATTCTATTATTTCAACATTTTTTTATTTAGTAACAACTTTAGATATCAGATTTCTTAATAATACAATCTATAATTGCACTGCATCTCCAATAAATCCTAATCTACAATATACATAAGCAGTGGATTCAATATTTTTAAATTTCTTGCAAATTTCCAATACTTCTTCTAAAGGATAATGAATTTTCTATAATTATGATAATACTTTTTCTGGTTATAATTCACATAAAAGCTATTATAGTTACAAATAATGAAAATACTTCAATATGCTTTATCAACAAAATGTTACTTAATCCAAATTCAGAATTAATATCCTTCTTAATTACTGTTTCAATATATTTCAATTATAAATTCTTATTCTGACCTAATTTCTCTATTACTTAAAGTTCATTATCTTTTTAAAACTAACAAATCAATTCTCTAGTTTTTTAGATATCTAAATTTAATAGATCTTACAATTTTGATACAATTATACCATTAAGTTATGCATATGTTTCTTTGCCATGCTATAATAGATAATAATTTATACCATCAATATTAAAGTGTCATATAAATATTTGAATACTTATTTTTATACTAAAATATTATTTGATCTTAAATAAATAGATACAGGTGTTTGATACTCACCTACATAATAGTAAAGATAAGCTTAAATCAAGGGTATTTATTTTAGATCTGTAAATCCATTTAACATTTCTATTTACTCTTTGTGTTTTGGTGTTTAGATTTTATTAACCAAAATATGTACAAATTTTAGTATCAATCGTTATTGAAAATATTCAATAATCTCTGAATGACTTTAATGTTATTCTAATTAAGCTAACTCACTTTTGTCTATAACTTCTGCATATGATCTATAATCTATGTAGAACAAGAACGATTTATTAAATGTACAAAATAGAAGAATATCCATCATTATATCAAATTCTACTTCCAAATTCAAAATGAATATAACTTTAATTATAAAGAATGAATAAGCAGTTTAAACATCATAGTTTTCATATCCACTTATATCATTAAACTATTATTAGACTTCAAATTCTTATTATTAAAATTTCCAACGATAACTGGGATTCATAAACATTTTCATTACTTTTTAAATCACATTTCTTAAATTAATCAATAATATATACAAATTTTTTGAATGGTCTAATTCAATTTAATTTTATTTTGTTGTTGTCATTATTTAATATAAGATATAAAAAGTCCCATATGGATCTACCCATATCATTCTCCTTAAATTGTTCTCTTCAAAAATCCACACAATCATCATTTCAATAGTATTCTAAATAATTCTTCAACTAACTTACTTTCAATGTAGCAATAGGTATTTATTGACCATCTTATAATCTGCCTTACAATATATACTCGATAAATGAAATCACTTTTCTAACACTTGTAATTTCTTCCTCAAAGTTTTCTAATTATGATTGCTTCATGCTGTAATTCCATATCTAAAATAATGGAGTCAAAAATTCATTTTTGGCTGAATGAGTACATAAATAAATCATAGGGAAAAATAATTAGCTCTCCAAACAAGCTTATAAATAAATTGAGTAATTCACTCTATTAAGATCTAATTAATTGAGGAGCAAGAAAATCTTGGCTTTCTGACCTTTCAACAAAGATATAAGCTTTAACAATACTTCATCAGGAATAAATTTGAACTATTTATTAATAATAAAGGGTTCAACAATACTCAAAAAGAATTTTGACTCATCAGTTAATGTTTTTGATAGCAAATCACAAATAGAACTTAAATATTATTCAGTTCCAATATCAATTAAAAATTTAACCAAAGAAATTCCTCTTTTCTAAGCTTCTTCTGTTTTACCACTTATTTACAATCTTGCTATCTATTTGCTATACAAATCAATTATCTATTATACAAAAATCAATAACTTTTATCTATCAAATTCCATAAAAACTTTTTTGTGTATGCATAATATCAATTAAAAACACAATAAAAATTATTAATTTTCCATAAAGTGTCGTATCTTATCTTCAAATTTATAGTATTTTAATACTGTAACATTTTAGCTTGTTAAAATGTATATTTCTTAGAGAATTTCATTGTTTGAAATACATACATTAAATTAACTCTCATATTTGTTATCTTTCCAATACATAAGAGGTAAAGGTTCGAATTTTTCCATCTAAATAATTTTTTAAGTCTTATAATTAGTAAAGTTGCTTGTATATACTGCTCCTTTTTCAGTTAATAATAAAACTAAATCATTATAAATTGAATTCATATATATAAACTAATAATGTATTTAAATTTTACATTAGCAGACATCTTTATTTCTTTAAGTAACTTAAAATTTGCTCTAATTTTCCCTTCCACATATTCAGCTCCCTAAAATATAAATGATTTCGTTTAATTAGTCCAAGATATTCCTAATACTAATCTATCTTTATCTTCAACCTTAAGAATATCCCATTCTAAAACACATTAATTATTTTCAGGGGCATCATTTTAAAAATCTGCTAAAATTGTAAATTGAGTGACATTAGTATCTTGAATCCTTAAAACCCAACATTTGTATCCATTACCCAAAGCAACAATTGTATATTCAGGAAAATTGAATAATGGTTTGCATTTCAAAGGAATAAACCTAATTATGGACATTGGTTGTGATTTTATGATGAATTGGGAATCCAAATCATAAAATATTCTTCCTTTAGCACATCTAGTAATAAAGCAATTGCCTTATTCATCGCCAGAAACAAATGTATTTTCATTAACATATCCTAATGAAACTATTCTTATCTAATGTACCTTAACCCATTTCAAATGCTTCATATTTATCATATCATATATTCCTATGACTCCATTATCAAAACCAACAGCAAGTTGTGATTGTGATAAATTAAAACTTAATTAATTTACACTACCATATTCTGTTTAACATATTTCTGCCGCATAAAGTAATTGACTTTTCATTTCTACATATGATTTATTTGGAGGATCAGCTCCAATATAAAAATTAAGTACTGCTCCTAAATTACTCCCTACTGCTAAATACTAACCCCTTGATATCAATGATCTTATTCTGCCAAATTTTCTTAAGATTGTGGCATTCTAAAACAATGCTTCATTAAGAGCTTCAGGATTAAAGCATTTAAAGATTTCTGCTTATTCTATCTTGAGATTTGTATCAATTGTGTATTCATTTTCTATTTGCACTTTTTCAAATTTTTCATCTATCTAGTCTTACAAGTCTGCTTTTATTAGAGGCAGTTGATAAGTATTTCTTTTAAAACATGCAATCAAATTTGGATATTCTTGTTTGTATTAATTCTCTAAACTTTTCATTCAAAATATATCTCTAATATTATTAAATAATATAATCATTGTATTGTTTCATGATAATTTATTCTGCGATTCTTGAAAATCCTTAATGGGTTTTTGATATTAATTAACAACTTATTTTTTCTTATTTTATTTTAATTTTGAGCATTGAAAACAATTCCCATCATAATCCCAAATATTATTTTGTTAAAGAATTAGGTAAAATTAATTCCAAAAAAATAATCGTTGATTATATAAATTAGTATTATTTATTAAATTTAAATATATTTGATAGACCTAATGCACAGATTATATTTTAATTTTTATCTGATTTTTGTTCTACTACATAACTTAAGTAATAAATCAAATTAATACAACTGATTAATTGATAACTATAGTTTCTGATTGGGATGAAAATTAGAGAGGCAGGTTTTTTGAAGTGGGATTCCCTGACTCAGGTCCTTATTTCCTCCCAGCTGCTTTCTTGGTCAATTTCCTAGTTTTGAAATGGGCCTCCATATGCAAAAGAACCTTTGGAATCCAATTATCTATCTGTTGCTTAAGCTCCAAAGGTTACTATAGGACTGTCTTAATCTACATACTAGACTCTGAGCCAATCTCGCCTGCCGTTGGTGGTATTTAATTTTTTGAACTCATATGCCCATAGCCCCGCAACTTCCTTAGGCTACTTATGATCCCTACCTTCAAATTCCCTTAAAATCCCTTTGAATCCCCTCCCCTTAGGCTGGCCAAGCACTCCCAAACAAATTAAGCTTATTGTTTATATTTAAATTATATGTATGAAAAATGCTATTTTATCAATAAGGTTTTTATGGGTTTATATAAAATATTGAAGTAACACAATTGCACCTACAGAAAACTCTTAATAATAAAATCAACACAAAAAATTATTATAATTTCAAGTAATTAATTCAAGAGTCTCTAAGAATCATTTCATAGTATCAAAAAATAAAATAAATTAATAATATTTTCAGAAGAGAAAAAAATAAAATAGTGATATATTATAATTTTATAATTTTTTATATGATCTCTATTTTATGTTGCAAAACCATTTAATATTTAAATTTACTAACATTTAATTAAAAATAGATTAAGCTTTTCTTAAATATTTATAGTAGTTTTAGGTCAAAATATCTACTTTTACTCTTATAAGATTACTAAATACAGATTAGTTTATTAAATGATTTTTTTGATATTATTAAACACATGAATTTATAAATGTTTTTGATTAAATAATAAATATTATTGAATATGGGTAATTAATGTAATGAGATGTTTTATTTGAGAAAATTATAAATCTTTTATAAAAAAATTTTGACATCCATATAATTCTTATAAAGTTAAAGAAAACTTAGATATTTAACTATAAGATAGTTTCTCAGGTTTAATTATAATACAAGAATAAATATCAAATGTAGTTATTTGGTTAGAATAATTCATAATGGATAGAAATTTTATAATAGAATAAATTGGATAAATAAGAATCTTGCCTACATATTTTGTTATGATAATTTTTTAATACTTAATATTCTCTCCACAAATCAATTTTCCAAATTTTGAATTAGATGATACCTTAAATGAACCACTTAAACTAATCAGAAAAAAAGAAGCAGTTTAAATCTTTAAAAATAAAAATTAATCTGGATAATATCATCAACTTATTTATTTTGATTTTTATTTAATACTCAACTATTTAATTACTAAAAATTCAAAGAATTATCTCATTACTATTGCTAGAATTATTAAAAATATTGCTAATCACGTAAAATATCTAAAGAGGTATTTGGTTGAAAAATATAAATTGTTACACAAAATATATAAATGCAACTTAGATGAGCGAATAAAAATAATCAAATATAGATGCAATAGCCTAAATAGAAATAATGGATTAGGAATCTTAAAAAAAAAATTATAAATTTAATATTCATAAAGCTAAAACCATTTTTGCTCTTCAAACAAAAATTCGATAATTTTATAATGCTTTTTTTATGGTACAATTTTTGAGTATTGAATATTTTCGAAAATTGAATTAAATTAATCCATCTCCATACAATAATGAGGATAAAAATCTTTCAATTTCAAACAGAGGATCTTATCTTGAAATATATAATTCTTTGTTTAACATCAGATTAAATTTTAGATAACTTTAGAAATCTTGCAGGAATTATGATTTGATTGAGCTTAATAAAAAATAAAGAAAATAAAGGCATGGTATATAAACTTGATACAATCAATAAAATTATCAAAACATACTATTTTTAATTAAGAAGAGCAATTTACTTTCTAACTAGAAATTTGGTAAAGGGCCAACTATTAAATTATTTCTGTCCAACTAAATATAATATTTAAGGAGATCTTATGAAAACTGATTAATACAAATACTCTTTTAGCCTTATAATGAGAAAGCCATTTTAAATCCTTTAATCTAAGCAGCAATTAACCAAAGAAAAAAATACTAGTTAGTTGGGAAGAAAGGTTGATATATAACAGCCTCCTATAATTTAATTTTTCTATTAATCTCATTATTATTAGTTTTCTATCGAACCTTAGAAACAATATTCAATCTCCTATTCAAATTTTCTTTAAATAAAATCTACGCAAAATTCGATTTGTAAAATAAATTATTATTGATTTCACTACATAAAAATTATTTTATTGTATAATTCTGTACAAGATTACGATCTTATTTAATAATAACTAGTATTAACAAAATAAATTCATACTATGGTGACATAATATTTAATTTCGATTTGAATCCAAATCTTAAAATAAATTATCTTAAAATAATATTTATATATTCTAATATATCACTCAAAAAAAAATGTCACAAACAGATAGCACTAAAACTTCAGGATAAAAAGTCAAAAAATAACTGATTAGTCCTTTGAAAGAAGCACTTTCATAATTAACGAAATCATATAAATTTTTTATCCCTAATGAGGAAGAAGTAATTCTTGTTCATGTAGATCTACCGTGTCATATTGAATTACAAGAAGCTACTTCTAGAGCTCTAAAACTTATACCAAAACACAATCCAGTAGATCAAAATCCTAATAATTATGACATTTATGTTGCCAAGAAAAATGGTTTACCTAAAATGGATATCCCCTCTTACCAATCAAACTTAAGACTTGAAGAAACAGGAAATTTCGTATATTCCTTAGTTCATGTAACATATTAAGAAAAAAATGTAAGAAAATCAATCAGAAAATCCACTTATGATCTATCACACTATCAAAGTCCAACACAACCTTCAAGATCAAAAGAAATCAATTTAAACCTACCCAAATCAGAAAAAAACTGGTTACTTCGACTATTAGGATGTGCTTGATTCTATATATGTTTATTGCTATTTTCTAAGAAATATATTAATTGTATTCAATCATTCTTAAAATATTCTTAATTTATTGTTATATTTTATTATTGAGATAATCTCAAAATAGAGTTAAAATAATTTAAAGTTCTGAAACTAATTAGGAATTAATTCTCAAATATCCAACTATCAAAATACCATATGAAGCTGAGAGAAATATATTTACAATTAATTACTTTATAATTAATTCAAGGTTTAGCAAAATAAAAAAATAGAAGTGAAAAGATTAAAATAGCTCTAAATAAAATAAATAACTGTTCAAATTTAAAAACAAATTATTTAAATGAAAATTCTATATGTATTTAAGAATTTCAAACATAAAATGATAGTTATTTTATGTTTTTATAGTAAAATTTTTATAAAAGTCAACTTATAATTTTAAACATAATATATATTTTAGTCATCTCAAAAATTAAATACATATCTCTTTCATTTTCTCCAAATTCAAAATTTACTTTTCCTAGAGTTGTTTGTTATTTTCAATTAATTTAATTAAGATAAAATAAATTTCAGTCGATTTAACCTAGAAGAATTTAAGGCTACATTACAATTTTTGATTTATTTAACCTTTATTACAAATCTTCTTTTAAGTATTCTAAAATCATCAAGTATGAACACAAACGCAGAATAACAGTAAATTTTTGGAGATATTTTATTTCTGAACTATTATTTATAAATATAGATAGTATTTAAATAACATAGTTTTATAATTATATATATTACACGTTAGCTCTATATATATATTTAATTTTTTGAATAAGTATTTAGTTATAATTTAAATTGATTATTTGATTAATAATATATATTTAGGATAATTACATAAATGATTATTTTTAATTATTTTAACAAATATTTTATAATTATAAATAACCGTAATGATTATATTAATAATATATATTTAATATAAAAATTAAAATGACTACAATTAAATTAGTAGCAAAGTATATGAATTTAAATTTAGTTAAATGTTAGATAAATAACAACATTTATTAGTATAAATACTATAAATTTAATTAATTTTTAGATTAATAAAATATATTTTGTGAAAAATATAAACAACTATTTTATATTGGTTTAACAAATATTTTCAAATAAATATATTTAATTTCTAACAAAATTTACAAATTCATATTTTTAATATGAAATATCTATAAAAATATATAAGGATTATCTTCATCTATTTTTAAAATTAAGCCAACTAATTATTTAAACTGATTAAATAAATAGATTTATAATATATATGAAATTATCTCTAGCTAAACACAACCTTAACTTTTTCATACTTGTCTGTTAAACTAAATTAAATAAATATATTGATAATTCATATTGAAAATATCTTTAATCAAATTATAAATTAATTTTTTAATCACCTAAAATCAAACAAAAAAATATCTGTTATTATCAACCAAATTTTTGTAATAAATAGTTGATTGATTAAATCGATATTTCTTATTATGATTAAAATCATTGATTATATTTTTGAAATTTTATATAATATCATATAATCTACTTCATTCTATATTCCTATTTGTAAAATGCATTTATTTAATTATTGTTGGATTAAAAACTACCAATAATTATCGAATTACAATATTTATGTAAATGATTATATATATTTTCCTATTCATGAGACATCGGCTTGTCTATCTATATTTTATTTTAAACTATTCCAAAGTTCCTATAAGATTTATTATGGATATATTTACCTAGAAACCTATCTAAAACACATAACATAATTTACTTAATTATATCACTTTTGTTGATCTAACTATAATACAACATTATTATAACATTTTCTTTCCATATTCTTTAAATATATTCTAATCAACTATTTGAAATGATCGCAATACACATGAGAATAAAGGGTTACTGATAATTTAAGAATGAAAAGATTAAAATAATAATCAATATATATATTGAATAAAATTATAAATTTCAAATATAGAAAAGAAAATGTTATGAAAAACAAGATTTGACAAACTAAAGCCTTTATTTCTAGAGTATCTTTAATAATTAATTCTTAGAAAATAAATATAATTTTGATATTGTATTATTATTTAAATCTATTTCAGGTATGGATTATCTGAAAAGGAATATTGATGTTCATATACTCTTCAAGAAAATTGAATAAAATTTTAGGAAATTATATAATTTATTGATAAATTTTACAAATAAAATAAGAATAATAATATTGCCAATGAATTTGAAGGCTGTTGAACATGAAGGCGAATTTAATGAGTAAGATGAGGAGGAAGAGAATCAATCTTTGGAAAGCAATTTAGCAAAGTAAACTACAATAGACATTGGGTAAATTAAGAATTTCGAGGATTTCAAGTTAGTCTTAGTGTAATTAGATGAGCAAAGAATTTTATCTTTAAAATAATAGAGTGAAGAATCTATGTATTGTATTTAACTAAAAAAGATTAAAGTAGGCTTAAATCTTGGATGATATTGAATTCATTAAAAAAGAAAAATAGAAGGAACAAATTCAATACATATAAAAAATATTCTCTTTGGTACCTCAATATAATACCAAATTGTAATAAATTTCTAATCTAAAAACATCAATAAGAGGACTATTGGAAAAGATAAAACGAAAGAAAAAAATTGATTGATAAATTAAATTTTATGTTAATTAGAACAAGAAACATGTATAGAATAGTAATTACGCATTAAATTGAAGAATAAAGAGAAATAATATTAACTATTAAGTTATTTCAATAAATTAATTGTATTTAGCTTTTGTATTTAGACATAGTATATTATGTAATTATTTTATTATGATGTTCTAAAAATCTTGTCTTTTCTAACATCTAAAAATTTAATAACCAAGAGTGAAAAGGAGGAAATAAAAAGTAATTTCATATTAAATATATAAGATTTGGTTTTAAAAAATGAGTCTAAGTTTTTAGAGAAGCTTCACTCTATTTATAATTCTGAAAGTGCTAACAAAGAGTTACTTATAAAAAATGAAATGATAAGGTATACGATGTCATCAAAACAGAAATAAAGAGGCAATTCAAGAAATAAGAAAATGAAAATCATAACTGAAGAAACAGAGGAACTAGAAGAGGATTTAATCAAGGTGTAACAATAAAAGCATCGATTAGAGAAGAAACTTTTTTGAATATATAGTTTTTAAAATTTACTAATCATTTTTATAATAATTATTTTTAGTTAAAGTGGTAACTATTGATATAAATAATATAAGTTAAGTGCTTTATAGAGAAACAAATCTTCATTTATTAACGAAAAGCTTTTCTATAAATGAAGCATATTGACCGATACAAAAGAATGCAGATGAAGTTTTAACTTAAATTTGATAAATTATTGTTTATTATTACTCGTTTATAATTTAATTTATGAAAGAATGTTTTAACAGATAAACACAAATCATAATGAGAAGATGTGATAGTTTAAAGAATGAATCAAAAAATCTCATGCAAGAAATACGATGTAGATCTTTCAGTTTAGCATAAAATAAATGTGGAAACTCATCAATAAAGGAAAATATATAGCTTCATAATTACTTAGAAACATAAATACTCTCAACTGCTAAACTTAACTTTCGATCTGCAAAATATGTAAAAAAGAATGCAGTATCATCTTATTTGTAAAATCCGGCTTATTATAATAAACTATTAAGTAGCGTCACCAAAAAAAGAATGTCATTGTAATCCATTGCTTCTAGACAATTTACAATTAAGTAAGAAAAATCAATCTGGAAAATAGTTAATCAATCAGATTTTCATGGGTTTAAGTGAAATTCCTGATTTAGATTGTGTATAAATTATGATTTAAATTATAAACTAGTGATTGTCAATTTAAAAAAATAAATCATTGTTCTTTAGATGCTAATCCAAAGTATTTATTTTATAGAACAAAGGGAAGCTAAGACTTAAAAGAAATTGGAGTAATTTTATCAATCTATTTAAATCTTGATGTTACAGGACTTGTTTATTGTCTTGATGTAGTAGAGTGAATTCTTTTGCTTAAAGTACTTTCACTTCCAGTCTTTTTTTAGATTTATCTTGGGCTATCTGATAGGATTTCAAGATTCTTCTTTATTTCTTTATAGCTTGACTTAGGTAATTTACCATTTAATAAGTCTTCTTCAGTTTTTTCTGTTTTTAATTATTAATTTTTAAATAATTTAGTAATAACTGTGCATATAAACACATTTAATTTTGGTATATCCTAGGATTGTGTAGTATTTACATATTTAATTCTAGTTTCAAATGATCTTTTTTTCATTAAAGGAGTTTTTTTTGAGATAGAAACAATTTGCTATTCTGTTTTTTATCTTCTATGTCTTTCAGAAAGATAGAGTTGAGAAAGTAGAGTAGTAGAATCTGATTCGTTTTTAGGAGGTTCAAGAGTTAAAGTTAACTCTCTTATCTTTTTGTCAATAGACTTCTTTTTGCTACTAATTTTACATAGTTAACTTTAATTTTTCACTAAAACATTCTTTTCAATATCATCTTCAGTAAGGAGTTTAGGATTAAGTTATTCTTTTATTTAAGTTCTTTAAAGGATATTTTACTTTTCAGTTTAATCAATAAAATTTTTCTCATAAGCTTTAATTTATGCTAGTGCTTACTTTAATTTATCGTCATTCAATACATTTAAACTTTCATAAAGAGGCTAATCATTTTGTATAACTCTTAAGAAATCTCTTTTTGAAACTGAATATACAGTATTACTTTCAAAAGTTGAAACATAACTAAATTGACGACAAAGATCATTTGATTTTAAGATTTCAAGTTCCCCAAACATTTCTCCAGCCCCAACAAATTTTAAAGTCATGATTGATTTTTTATCTCCTGCTATCAAATTACCATATTTCTTTTTCTAATATAACATATCTATTTTGTCCTAATTGGATAGAACTGGTTTTGTATAAGCAAAATAATCTTTAAGAAGTTCTAAATCATCCTCAACTTAATTATCTTCAACTTGCTTTTTAATCCGAAGAGTTTTAATCACCTAGAGAGTTGAGTGAGAAAAGAATTACTTTAAATTATCCAGTTTATATAAAATATACATCGTTTGAAAGATCCCCTTCTTTATAAATTATATGATTAAGTCCATATTTATTTTATTTTATTACATCAAATAAGGATTTTATGCTCATAAATTTCCAACTTTTGAAAATTGCTAATTTTGCAAATTCTTCAAAATACATTTGTCTTTATTAGTTAATCTTAAATTCAATATAAATTAAAATACCACTGTTTTCTTAATTACCATATAATCTTCAGCTTCTAATACTGCTAAATGAGTTGGAAGTATAGCTTTAACAGAGGCAGATCTTGGCTCATTATTCTCTAAAGCTAATTCTCCAAAAGCTTACCCATCTTATAACTGTATCAATTCCTTATCCTAAAATTCATCTTATACTAAAATTCTTTTGTGTATACTAACTCTTCCTTATAAGATAATATAAAATGTTGTTCCTACATCCCCTTTTTATATAATTAAAATACAGTACCTTCATGAAATAATGTCTAACCATATGATAAATATGTATAACTCATCTTTCTAAGACATCTTTCCCATAGTAAAACTCCTTAATCTTTTTCTAATAATTTCTGAAAATAGACTATGTGTTTGGTTGCTTTTTTGAGGATTTCTATTTCTGATTAAGTTCTATGATAAGATGATTTCGTAAGAATAATGCACAAAATCCCAAAAATTTATTCCTCTGTCAATGTGTCATATAAGGATGGCTATTATTCAATTTATAGAATGAATTGTTTCAACCTTTTTGTTTCTTATTCTTTCAACGATTATTAATTTAAAGAGTTTTTCCTTATAAATTTATTCATTATTAATTATATATATATTTAGAGAACAATTAAATCTTCATGCATTAAAGTTCAAAAATTTCCTAAGTTGTTTTACTTTATAAAAAAGTTTGAATAATGTCTAAATCGTATGTGAATATATTATAATGTTATTTAAAAAAAATTATTCATTGAGTTTATACCTTTAGAATAACATTTAAATATATGGGTAAATATTTTTTTATATTACAATTTAACAATAAACTTTAAAATGTAATTATTTGTTTGTTTTATCTATAAATTTTATAGTTATTATAAGCTCGAATTGAACTAGAGTAATGAAGATATTATTTTCATATTTTTTTTCAGTCTTTCATGCTTTTAAATGATTTAAATTTAATTTATATTATTTATTAGTTTAATTAGAATCGAATAGGTATACTATTAAGAACAATCTATCTTTTTTCTAATAAATTTGTATCAAATAGCAATTATGATTATTTATTAAGTTAAAACAATTTTTAAGGCATTTTTGTATTCAATGTTGAAAATAAGTGTTTTTCATTCCATATAAATAAGGGCATGAGAGAAAGAATCAATTGATTAATTTATGGAATATTTAATAATTGGAAAAAGAGAAGAAACTTGTAATAATAGTTATAATAATTGATTTTAAATACAACATCAAATATTGTCTTCTTATAAATTAAATCTTTAAATTATGAGTAAAAAGGACAAAGACTATACAGGGTAACTAGATTTATTGTATAAGCTAGATTTCCAGGTGATTGCAATCAGACTTAATTAAAAGCTTTGAGTGATTTTAGAAATATTGTAAATTAGATGGGATTGAGTGAGAAAATATATGATGATCCATATTTATTAAGATTTCTAAGAGCCAGAAAATTTGATTTAGGGAAAACTCAATAAATGTTTAATGATTTCATAAAGTGGCGAAAAGAGAATGATGTTGATAATATTATGGTATTAATATGATTAAACATAGACATACATGTTTGATGAATTACCATAAGTAAGAACACATTATCCTCATGGGTATCATAAGACTGATAAAATGGTATAATCTAAAATTAATAATAAAGGGAAGACCTATTTATATAGAAAGAATTGGAATGCTTCAATTAAATAAGTTGTTTGAAGTGACTACAGAACAACGTTTAATTAAATATTACATCCAATCCTATGAATTATTGCTAAAAAGAATCTTTCCTGCATGTTCATAAGCAAAAGGAACAAAAATTGAATAATCTTTCACAATCTTAGATCTTAAAGGAGGATCTATGAAGATGGTTTCAAAATAAGTTTACAACTTTATTTAATTAGCCTCAAATATTGGTTAAAACAATTATCCAGAAATTCTTGGAAAGTAATTAATTATGATAATTCATTTAGAATGTATATTGTTAATGCACCTATGATGTTTACTGGAATTTGGGCAATGATTAAGATTTGGTTGGATGAAAAAACAAAAAATAAAATAACTATCTTAGGTTCCTCTTATAAAGAAGAACTGTTAAAACATATTGATATAGATAATTTGCCTGATTTTCTTGGTGGTAATTCAAAATGCGAAAATACTGATGCTTTATCATTAAATATTGGACCATGGAATCCAGATGGAACTAAACCCTTATTTCCAGTAGAAAATCCACCTTAAATTGGGTATTCTATAATTAACTAACGCATTTAGTGATGAATTATAATAATAAATTGAACAGACTTAAGAAGATGAGGATCAATAATAATAACTAGACTAATTAAAAAATGCACTGGCTGATATGAAATTATCTGCTCCTGTTGAAAAAGCCCCTCATAATCCCAATAAATATGAGGTCACTACATAAAACAATCATATTGTTAGTGATACTCCTTTAAATACGGAAGTGGTATGAACTTAAAATAATTTTAGGGTGAAGAAGATAATTAATTTTCATAATAATAACAATAATAATTATATTAATAGTTGCAACAAGAGTGATAAACACAGATTTATTAATATATAAATAAAGTTTTAATATAAGTAAACTCATTTTCATTATTAATAATAAATTATCAACTATATAACTTAGTAATACAAGTAATAATAATAAGAGTATCATTTCATTTTTTTACAAATTTATTCATCATCTACATTGGTTTTGACATCTTATCTAGTATCTCCATTTTCTTCCATATCTGACATTCATTTTATTCAATAGAAGAAGAACTTAAATTATTTTCAGTCTATTATTAATCTTCCATGAAATTTTTTAAGTTTTAAAACTACTAAAAGATTGGAAATTCCTCACTTTGCTTTTAAGCTGACTGGGCTAACTCAAATTCTTTGTCAACTTCCAATATAGGACTTAAAGTCTCAATCATTCGTTAATTAGGAGTTTTCGTTATAGAGGTACCTCTGCTTCTGCTTTTTATAGACACAATAGATTTAGAACTTTAACTCATTATTTCATTCTTATATTCAATTTAATCATTAAGTTTCCATCCATTTTCATAAATTTTAGAAATTAGAATATTTTTTAAATAATTATAATTTAGATGTTAGCTTGATTTTAAAGTGCTTAAATATTTAAACCATTCTCTAAAAATTGATGTTTGTTAATCCAAAAATTACTAATCAAATATAATTTTTAATTTATGATTTTACAATTCTTAAAATTATTTCTCATTAATTATTTAATTAAATTATTGCCAAGGTAATATTGCTATTAATGATAATTATTTTCGATTACCATTATTTAGATATATTAACAAATATGCCAAACTATATAGATCGTCAATCTAACTAGGTCCTTTATCAATATTAAGTACTGGACTTAGAAAAGTATATTCTTTAATTGGAAACTTTACAACTTTTTTATTGTCATTCTTGCTTTATAAAGTTGTTAGGTCTTTTAAATATATTATTTTATCTTCTATATCTGATCCCATACAGAAATTGCATGGCACTATATTACTCAATATAAAATTCTTTTCATGAATTTTCTATATAAGTGTTATTAATTAAAGACCAATCAATAACACATTTTTTAAAGGCATTTAACCATTTGTTTACATAATCTAACTGAAGGAAGGACCTAAAGTTTAAGTAGCCAAAAAATATCTATGCTTAAATACAAAAATACCTTTAATCATTATTATTACCATAATCTACTACTTCGGGTATGCCTTCTATATCCTATACTTATATCAATTTTGCAGTTTCTTCTTACAAAACATTAGAATTGATAGAATTTTGTATTTTTAATATTACTTCTCTCTTATTTGATTTTTAAATAGCTGAATATTCAAAAAATGCTGGAGTAATTTATAGTAGTCGTACATTTTAGTACCTAATTTAAGTAGTTGGATGATTCAAATTCATTCCTCGATTTGTTTAATAAAAAAATAAATTATCGAAGTATAAGAAATTACTGGCTTTTTAATTAATCAAAATACTCTTCTTAAAAATAATTATTTTGACTAATATTTAAAATTGACAGAATTAAAAACTTAAACTATATTTTATAAGGTTATTTCCTATGATATCTATTTTTAATTGAATTTTATTAATTATCATTTATAAATATTACAATTAATATTTGATATTTGGAATTGTTAGAAAATTTATAAAAAATAATTTACATATAATTCTTAATTAGCTTAATTCCAATATTATTAACTTAATTTAACCATTTCGGGTTTATAGATATATCTTTAAATATAAGTTGTATTTTTAAATTTATTTAATAAATATTAATATGAAGATCTATATTATTATTAAATTCATATAATTCAGTATTAAATATTTTTGTCATATATGTTAATATTTCGTATCAGATATCATAAGATATAATAAAATGTGATTAGTAGGTATGCCAGAGTTCAAAATGCTAAGAATATGAAACTATTGACAAATCAGTTATTATAACAAAATATATAAAATTGAGTTTAATTTAGAATCATTTTATGGTTAAATCAAATCAATAGGTTTAAATTATAATTATTTTGTCAATAAAATGGGAAGTATTTGTAAATTTGCTTAAAACGATTAAGAGAATATGAGTTAAACATTCGACAAAGTTTAAGGCAAAAATATACCAAATAAATAATAATTCCTCGAAAAATATTCTTATAATCTTTAAGAAAATGGGGATAAATTTGAAGAAGACTTCTTCTAAAGGAGTTTTCATTTTGAATTACGTGATTAAAATTAATAAATTGGTGAAGTGATCTCTGAAAATTTAAGTATTTAAGGTTTTAGTGAGAATAACTCTATAGAGATAACCTATACTTCAAATACTGAATCAGCAAAAGAGACCTAATCTCTAGTTTTCTGTAAGCATTATTGTATTTATAAACAAAACCAGTAATAAAAATTGTAGTTAAGGAATAAAAAATCAAATTTTTCTAATTCTCCATTGAAAACTATATTAAAAATGCCTTTGTCGTATTAAAGGATTAATATGCATTGTAATGAAATATAGAATTTGAAATAAAAGAAGGTGAGATTCAAATCGTCTGATAAAATGTCAAACTCCTCTGGTAAAGGAAGACCTCGAAGATAAATGTAAATTATGATTAAGAGTTTAAAGAATCAATATACTTGAGTTCTTAATTATAATATTATTTTTTATTTATTTTGAATAACTTAAATCTAAAAAGCATATAGTATTTATAACTCTATTTAAGTCATTTTTACATTTACATTTTATTTTATTTGTGTTTTAATCTGGATGGTTATGGAATAGTGTATTATAGACATTTCATTTTATCAGCTAATGTCTCATAAATAAATTCTTGGTCCAAAATATTAATGTCTGAAGATTTGGATCTTGAAATTTAACTTTTCTTAATAACACCTCTAGGAGTAATAGCAATTGACATATTTGAATTGTCTATCATATCAGATTTTTCTAAGATTGTCGATAAATTAAGTCCAGACCCCATTTTCATTTGATTCATCATAACGCTTGGTTTTCCTAATAAATCTCTTATTTTTAAATTTATAAACCAATGATGATTTAAAGCTTAAAAAGAAGTGCATCTTTTTTATGGATCTTTTTATAGCATTAGTTTCATCAACTAAAGACCGCTGACTGATATTCTACAGAAATCTGGATAATCTATATCTCCTTATTCATTTTTTTAAAGCACCTCTCTACTTAAATTATAAAATATACTTCATTAAGATCTGTACCAAAAGGCATTTTACCAAAGACAATATAATAAAATATCACTCCTAAAGAGAAAACATCAATTTATTAGTCATATTATTTAGTTTTAAATATTTCTGGAGCCATAAATCCTGGAGTTCCAATTCTTCTATGCATTTTATTTTCATGAAAATCTGCACTTGAAAAATTAACAAGACAGCAATCAGTGATACAATCAGGAAATCTGTTAAATATATTATCAAATTTAATATCTCTATGAAATACTCCTTTACTATGTATGTGATGTAATCCCAATAATAATTTATATAGTAATTCTGCAACTACTTTTTCACTAGTCTATAATAATTGTGGAAGTAAAAATTTTTATTCTCTTCCAGCATATTGATCATATACAATATATATATAAACTTAATCTTCATATACTTCTTACAATCTTTAAACATAAACATGATCAACTCTTCTTGAAATAGCAATATCATTCAAGGCCAAACTTGGATCATCTAATTAACTTTTTTCTATGATTCTTATTTAAAAAAATAATCCATCAGAATTTCTTTATGCTTTATAAGTACAAGATGGATAAGGTTCATTTAATTTATGTTTACAGATAAGTTTGTATTTTTTATTAAATTTTGTTAGAATACAGTACCTTTTTAAAGCAGATTACCATCTTTCATAATGATCTTGACTTTCTGTAAAGAATTCTACTCTTTATTTACCATAATGTAATCTGAACCCATGTTTATATGGTTAAAATGAGGATTCAGAATATTTAATCTTTTTTAAGTAGCAAGCATTAATATTACAATATTCTGCTTGATTATTTGCAATTTTAACTAATCTAAATGAATAATGAAACGTATTACTTGTCAACATATAATTCTAAATGTACGGCTTCCCATTTTCTAGTTTTTACTTATTTTTAAAATGCTTTGCCTTAAAAGATAAGATTTTATTGGTTTTCTTGTTGTTTTGTTGACAACCAGAAATCTCCTCCATTATTAAATATGCTATCATGTTCATCTTTTTATGATATCCAATTCATTTTAAGTATTAATAATAAATCTATAAATAATTCAATTAATGCAACATTCTTAACTAATCTAAAAACATTCTAGATTATTGTATTGATTGAGAATGATAAATAAAATTAATTACAAATATTTTTTTCACAATAATTTTTATTTATATGCTTTCTCCAAAAAAGACTCTACAAGTTTTAATTCCTACGACTCCTAAGATAGGATCTTAAATAAAAAGCTAATCTATAGAGAATGAAATTATTGATCATAAGATTAAATTGGTTTTATTAGGCCTTGAAATAGAGAGACTCCATAAAGTAGCAATATTAATTACAGACAAATATGAAGATAAAATATAATAATTAGAAACAACATGTAGCCTTACTATTTAATGATTAGAATAATTACTGAAAGATAAAATTGACAATTAAGAAATCAAATTTGCCACATTGAATCAATAATTGTTAATAAAAGATGATTTTATTAATGAGATTTTTGATGAAAAGTACATTAATATATAAATAATTAGATGTCCAGATGAAGTTAATAAAAAATTAAATAATTAATTAAAGCAAGTCACTTAATAATTAAATAGAGCAAAAAAATAAATTGAAACACTTAATGAAATGAATATAATATTTAAGAAAAATCCTCCAGAAAATCCTGAACTTATAGATATGATAAAAGAATTAGAAAATAATTATGAAGAAATGTTATAAAAAAAAGATTAAGAAATAACTAATCTCAAAATTAGAAATTCATCTTATGATTAAAGTCATAGTTAAGAAATATCTGATTAAAAGTCAGAACTTTTAAGAATATAAATAGAAAATCAATTTCTTAATGAAAAAATAGATACTATTTTAGAAGAAAATGAAAAATTGAAATAATAATTAAAACCATCTCATTCTTAAAAATCTAGTATTAATGGTTAATCATAATATAGATTAGTAACAAAAATTGTTCAATAGGAACCATTTAGTGCTTTCTCAGATTTCTAATTCTTAGGAAAAAATAATATAGTCAATTCTTAATATCATTCAGATTCACCACAACGAACATCAAATTAAAATTAATAAGAATTTATGTAAACACTTAAAAAAATAGAAAAAATTTAATTAGATGGTTAATTTACACCTGAAAAATTATTATCATAAATTAGATTGAGTGCTACCTTATTACATTTGAAAAGAATGGAATTACCAAACGATTTAAATGATACATATGTTAAATATTTGAATTAAATTGAAGAATCTGATATTAAATCTGATGATAAATCTGATTTAGCATCTACAGTTAAACCAAAAAAATTATTCACTAAAAATGAAGATAATGATACCTAATAAAAGTAAATAAGATCTCAATCAACTAAATCAAATAACTAAAAACCTTTTTGTTCAAATAAAAGAAATCAATTTGTATAAGTTGATTTCTTAGATAAAAAACATTTAGAAAAAACTTAAAATGAACTTGAAAACTTATAAAATGAATTTTCCTAATTATAAAAAATAATTAATGCAAAACCTATAAATGAATTAAATCATAAAAATATAACTCAATCAGATTTTAAAAATTCATAAGAATCAGATGAATTATTTAAGTAATTCTAAAAAGATAATGTTTCTAAACTCAAAGATAGTTTGAATAGATAATCAGATTATAGTTTTAAGGAATTATAAGCATAATCTAATTAAGATAAAAAGACTATATAATAATTAAATAGATAAGTTGATTATCTAGAAGAATAATTATAATATTTAAAATTATAAAATTAAAGACAGACATACTTAATTAAATAACTTTAAGATAAAAATTACTAAGAAAAAGAAAAATCAGGTGATTAATAATAAACTATTAAAGAAGAAAATAATAATTTAAATGAAACCATTCATAAATTATAATAAGAATTAGCAAATCTTAAACAAAAATAACATAAAATCTGTTTAAACAAATCCATTTAAACAGATTATTAATTTATAAAAATTGCAAAAGAGACTTAAACAATATAATAATAGTTTTAATAAGATAATGATGAATTAATGAATTTACGTTCTTAATAAGAAAAATTAAAAAATAATTAATATTATGAAAATAATTCACAAAAATTATTAATTTAAGAATTAGATTAATAAATATAAAAATTGAAATAAGAAAATTTAGATATATTAGAACATTCTTATTAAAAGGAATAATTATAATAAGAAATATTTTAGTTAAAATAAGATAATGTAGGAAGATCTTAAACTATATAAGATCTAAAAGAATAGATTGTTAAATTGTAGAAAGAATTGGACATTTATAAATGTGAACTTTTAAATCATTAAGATAAAAAAGAGGATGATTAATTATTTATTAAAATTGAATAGGTGGATTAAGAAATTTAAATGAATTAAAATGAAATTAAAATAAATGAAGAAAATTAATAAATGGTAAAAGAATTATAAGAATAAATATATTTATTACAAAATTTACTAGAATAATCAAAATTAGAATTATAATAAAAATAGATTGATTTGGATTAATTATAATGTTATTCTGAGAATCTTATGAAACAATATAATTAATTGTAATAGAATAATGAAGATTTATAATAAATTATTAAAGAGTAAGAAAGTGAATATTAAACATAATTATCGTAAATTAAATTAAGATTAAGTGTATTAGAAGAATAATAAGTAAAAGAACATTCAAGATCAATCAGTATATCAGAAAACTGTGATCAATTAAAAGAAACTATAAAATAACAAGAGTTTAATCAATAAGATAATAATAATAATGATTTAGAGATTTAAATTAGAAGATTATTAGATGAGAAAGCTGTACTTTATGATTAAATGTAAAAATAAAAATAAGATTTTAAATAATAAATTAAGATTTTAAGTGAAGATTTTGAATTTTAAAAACTTTAATTAAATGAAAAAATAAAAGAATTAGAAAGTAAAATTGTACTCTATGTGGATGGTGATTAAAAATTAATGTAAGAAAATTAAAATTTAGCAAATCAAGTATAAAATTTAAGCAATTAATTAATATTAGCAAGATAATAAAATAAAGTTTAATCTTAAAAGAAATTATAATCTACAACTTCTTCTCCAAGAGTTTAAATTGAAAATTAATAATTAATTAAAGATTAAGAAAATGAAATTATTTAATTAAGAAATAATTATGAATAAATAAAATTATAATCAAATAAAATTAATGAATTATTTAATTAATAAGAAAATGATAATTAAGAATTAAAACATGAAATATTAACTTTAAAAACTGAAAATTCTTTTGAAAAATAAGAAAATCAGAGATTAAAATAACAAATTATAACTACTAGAGATTAATTATTAATGTTAAATAAATAATTAGATTTGAATAAAAAAAATAATAAAAAAGAAATAGATTATTTGAATTCATAATTAGATTAATATAAGATCTAATTATTTTCTACATAACCTTAAATGTCAACTATAATAACAAAGGATTAATCTACTTAATTAGATGGACATAGATATATTATTGATTAAAATCTTTTGAATGAAAAAGATAACATTATTTATAATCTTAAAAAATCACTCTAATCTAAAGAAAATGAATTAGATTAAACAATATAGAATTTATTAATAATTAAATAAGAATTATTTAAAGCCAATGATTCATTATTTAAATTAAGAACTACTTTAAAAAATTAAGAGACATTATAATCTTAATCTAATTAATCAAGAACATATAATGATTGTACTCTTTATCCTCCAAGATAAAATAGAATTATATAGATTTAAGGCAATTCAAGAATATCAACAAGTGAATAACGTCATAAAATTCATTCTTTAGATAAATTGGAAAGTGTTTCCTTTTGGAAAAAGAAATATGAAGAAGTACTATAATAAAGTTATATTAATTCATAATTTAATTCATAAAATTAATAATACAAAATTAAATTTGAAGAATAGTAATTAAATTGTTAGAATCATCTAAAAGATCTTGAAAATTATAAAGATTAAAATAGATAATTATCATAAATGAATTAACAGTTATAAATGATTGATGCAAAATTACTTAATAATAATTAATCATTTAAATATGAATAAGAAATTTAAAATCTAAAGAAATAATTAGAAAAAATTTATAAAGAATTAGATGAATAAAGAAATTTGAGTAACAGATATTAGAAGGAATTTCAAGAGTTATAATAAATGCAGATATAAACTAAAACTGTATAAATTGTAGAAACTAATAAGGAAGATATTGAAAATTACGTAAATTAAATATTTAATGTAAAATAAGAAAATTTAGAGTTGTCTGAAAAAAATAAAGATTATTAAAATGAAATACGAGAATTAAAATCAACATTAAAAGAGAATGATGATCAATTGAAATTGTTAAAATAATAATAATACTAATCAATATAATATTTGGATGAATTAAAATTTGAGAATAGCAAATTAATTTAAGGGAAATAATAATTATTAATGACTATATCTGAATAAGAAAAATAAGTATAATTATTAGGTAAATCTTAATAAAATCAATAATATAAATTAAGTTATTCTATTAATCATAAGAATTTTGAGAGATCCAAAGAATTGAATTTTAATAAAACAGAAATTATGCATAATTTAGATATTATTAGATAAGAATTAACAGTATATTAATCAAAATGTTAAATATAAGAATTTGAAATAAATTAATTAAAATTATAATTGTAATAACCAACCCCATAATAAAAATTAATTAGTCCTAATAAATTTAAAGAATAATATGAATATTTAAATGAAATATTAAAAGAATTGGAAATCACTAAATTATAAAATGAAAATTTAAGAAAATAAAATTCAGAACTCTTTGATTATTAATCAAAATTAATTTATGAAAATGATAATCTTAAAAGACTTAATATTAACATTCCATTAAGTAGTCCAAGAATTTAATATTAAAGTAAAATTTCTTAATAAAGATAAGATAAAAATACTTAGAATGGAAATTTAAATTAATAAATAGATTAATTATATTAAAGAATAAATACAGCAAAAATTTCAGAAATAGAAGAATTAAAATATGAATTAGACATTTTAAAAAGATAAGTTTTAACATCAAGCACTTAAGTAAAAGAAGCAGAAACTTTGAGTTTATAAGCAAGAGTATTAACACTTGAAAATTAATTATAATCTTCTTAAAATTAAATTGAAAATTTAAAAGTAAAAATGTTAATTGATATTATTAGGAAATAATTTAAGAGAATTAGGAACTAAAACAATAGATTAAATAATTGAAAGAATCAAATTCAAAAATCTAACACATTTTTAATAATAATGTAATAGTTATTAATTATTTATAATAGTAAAAGATATAATAACCAGATTTATCTCAAACTGAAAGATTAAATAGAGAATTAACAGAAAAAATCAGTGAATTAACATAATTAAAAATTAAATATAAATAAGCTCTAACTATAATGCAGAAAATGGAAAATAGATAAATTTAATGATGATAAATATATTGAAAATTCTTATATAAACTTATTAGTTTAATAAACACGAATTTAACAAGTATTAATTTTTTAGATTTTATTTTTTTTAAACTTAATAACTTTATTAAATCTATAAGACTTATATCTAAAATGATAATAATTTATACTATTCAAAAATATTATTAATAATTCATTAATTTTATATTTAAATTTCTAATATTTTTTCTATTGTTTTGACTTGATTATAGAGTACTTATGTTATAGTAATTCCATCTGAGTTTATATTTATAGATAATTCTTTAGAGAAAGATTAAGCGCTCTAGTACCTTAGAAAATAAGTGACAATATCAATCTATTAATTACAATAATTTGAAAATTTATGATATTTATTCTTTGCACAATCTTAACATCTTAAGAATTAACTAACAATTTTTTTTGTATTTTAACATTTTACATAAACATTTAAATTTAATGAATTCATTTATTTATCTATTAATTGCTAATATGATGATACCAACTAAATCTTGAGTTCCTATATATCAATTTAAATAGAAGGTTTTGTTGAAACCTAATTATCATTCGATTAAGATAACCTTACACTTTAACATTCAAAAGCTTTGTAAATAGTTGTAAATTGATAGGCTATCCAAGATATTAGATGATTACATTTAACGAATGGCACATCAACTAAATCTATTATTAAAGAATTTACAAGTTTCCAGTGTATATGATAATGGTAAAGATACTCTAATGACTTTTTCTTTTAGAAAACTGTTCATACTAAACCCTGTAAAACTTAAAAATAACCATCGATTCATTTATTATATTAATGTTCCACTATTAAATGGATTAGTAAATGAATTAGTTTTAGTTTCGAAAAATGCTTCTTATGTTCCTAAAATTATTTAATATCCAAGTTGCTTTAAGTTTTCAAATTTACCAGTTACTTTTGTAATACTTACTTAGACATTAGTTGGAGTGATGGAAGAAATCTTGATTTTAGATAAGATCATACTGAAAGTGAAAAATCTATATCTCCTTAAATTCCTAGACTCGTTATAGATATTATTCCTTAATTAGCATTTGGATTTATGTTATTAAATGTTTGAATATCAGGATTATCCATATTGAAATTATTAATTACTTGAATTCTCTAGTCATCTATTGCATACCACGAAAACTAAACTGCGAATACTTGAATTGAAGTAATACAATTTATTGATACATCAAAATCTAAATAATTACTATTATTGAATCTACTTGATGTTGTAATTGCAGTAATAGATAGTCTATAATCTATTCCTCTATCAAAATCCAATAATTCTAGACCTAAAAATACTTAAGGAGTATTTGAAAATTATCCATTAAATGATAAGGTGGCGGTTGTTTAAAATCCGTCTTTGCAAATAAAATCTGAAGAGGATGTAAAGCCTGCATAAAAGCCTGAATCAGACGTGATTTAAGCATAAGCAGAGATAAAATAAAATGTGAATAATATCATCATATATTAATAAATAATAATTTTAAAGATTAGAATGATTATATTCTTTCATAATTGATCTATTTGATTTAACCATATAGATATTATTTTGAATAGTAATTATATTATTTATCTTAAGTAAATTAATAGGTAAATAAATTCTTTGTTGTAAATTTGGGGTGATTTTATAAATACAAATATATATATATATTAAGAATTGAATGGATAAGTATACAAGAATAAAAATGATTGGAAAGGGTAATTTTGGTGATGTTTGGCTGGTTGAAGATAATAAAGGATAGGTATAGGATTGAGAAAACAAAAGAAATTTGCCCTTAAGTTAATCGATTTGTAATTTGAAAGTGTTGACCCAACAAATGAAGTTACATTGTTAAAGGTTTTGAAACATCGAAATATCATAAAATACTATAATTCATTTGTGTAAAATGATTAATTATGCATTTTAATGGAGTTTGCAGAAAATTGTATTTCAAAATATATATAAAATGTAGATGATCTTTAAATATATACTAAAAACAATCCATCAAATATATTAAATTGGTTTACATAATTGTGTTAAGCTGTATAATATTTACATTAAATGAATATTGTACATAAGGATATAAAAATGAAAAATGTGTTTTTGACAAAAGATGGCATAGTATTAATATATATATAGATATTTAGATCAAATTAGGAGATTTCAGTATTTCTAAAAAGCTAGATGCCTCATTAAATCTAACATAATTAGGTATATATAATTTATAATTTATTCTTTAAGGTACTCCTTATTATTTGTCACCAGAAATTTGTGAATCTAAACCTTATAATACAAAGAGTGATATTTGGGGATTAGGATGTTTACTATATGAATTATGCACAAAATAAAAACCATTTCAAGGAGAGTCTTTACCTGAAGTGTTCAAAAATATTATATTAAGTGAAACTCCAAAATTACCTGAAGGATTTCCAGAATTTTATTAGGATATAATAAATTAATGTTTATAAAAGAATCCTTAAGATAGACCAGATATTTTATAATTATTAGATATTCCAGAGATAAAGAAGGAAAGAATAAAGTTCTCATAGTTATATAAATAAAGATTAATAGGAATGCTTAAATAAATTGATAATGGTTAATAAGAATCTATATAAAATAATATAAAGTAAATGCATAAGCCTATCTTTACTCCATAAAATAAATCCTAATCATTATTATTTAAAAATCTATTCTCTGAATAAATATAATCTAATATTAAGAAACCAATGACAAAGAAAATGATTAAAATAGATACTGATTTAATAGAAAAAGAAGATTAATTATAATAATAAAATGAAGAAACTCCAACATTATTTGCTAAATAATTATTTAATCCAAAAACTCCTACATCTCCAAATAGAAATTTATTATTAGCAGATTTTTTAAAGAAAAAACTTGGAGAATAAAAATTCTTAGATGTTCGATAAATTCTTGAAGAATCATAAAATCCAATATAATTATTAGATCAAAAAGAAATCATGTCAAATTTAATAGGTGAAGAGAATTTAGAATGTGTTAAAGTAAATATTAATTATATTTAATAGATATTTAAAATATTAATAAGTAATTGTACTACATTACCAGGTAATCATTTTCGATAAATGAATAATTACTAGTTTTTAAGAGATAAAATTATTTCATAACCTGATTTAGATAAAAATTAAAAGACTAATAATTTTTGATTGTATAAATATTTATAAATATTATATCAACAATGATTTTCATTGTATTCTTTGATTATATCATTTTTACTATTTGGAAAAAGATGATTCACAATTAATTCTAAACAACTTAAAGAAATTGTAAAATTTCTTAATCTTAATAATTCTAGAAAATCTTCATCACTTAAATTTCTTCCTTTAAGAATAATATATCTAAGATCATTTAAAATGGATAAATCATCATCTTCTAATTCAATTTATCCATCTCTCAAAATTGTTATTAATTTTTAAAATTTCTTAGTTAAATTTTCATTATAATTTATTCTTTAATTCAAATTTGCAATTAATTCTTATTGTACATAAAATAAATCCTTTTAACTACTAGCATATTATTATTCTTAATGATAAACCATATGTTTATGAAATAATGTTTATCTTCTATTATGATCACTCTTTTACAATGATTTTATCATGTCAGAATTGAACTTTTCTTTAATATTAAAAAAATTACATTTTGATTTATGAAATTAAAGAATCTTATCTGTTATAGAGTACAATTATAATTATAATGGATTAATACTACTAAACATTTCCCCATTAGTCTTAATATTATCAGTCAATAACTTTTCTTTTAACATAGTCATAGGAACTTCTTCTGTAGATTTAATAATTTTCTCTGTATTTCTAAATAATACTATTAAATTATACAATTTACGAGTATCAACTTTAGCATCAAATTTATAAGGAATATACTTATGTACTTATTTTTCAATCAATTCATTCAAACTCAGATTTCTAGGATCTTATGTCTTTTCATGTAATTTAAACTTTTTATTTTCAAGATCTTATATTTATTATTCAAGTTGCTAAAAATTCATATTATAAAATTACTTCTTTTTTTGTTATAGTCTATCTTATTAATTTTCTAGCTTTTCTATCTTTTAAATATTCATCTAAATTTGGTATAGCTTAATTATGAAGAAATCTTGCAGGACTTTCAGATACATAACGATTATTAGAATAGTTTCTTCTTATTGGAGATGTACCAACCAAAAAATTTGATAATTAATTCTCCTCTTGTTCATTCTAAGGATATAGAGTTCCAAATGATAATTAATTAGTATTATTTTTGATTCTCTTAACTTCTTGATCCTACAATTATAAATAACCTTTGAGATGTTTATAAGCATCAATCTTAGGGAATGCTTTCATCTTTTGTACATAATTTCTTCTTATTTAATCTAATGAATGATCTTCTTATCTTTGTTTTTCTCCTTTTTCCTAATTATTTTATACATCCTTTCCTATATGAAACGATGCTGCATGAAATCTTCGCTTTGATCGATTTCTCTTTCTTTCTAATTAAGATTCTTTAATAGTATCAAGAGTAGATGCTATTTTGTATGCTTATCAATAATTTAAAAAGACTTACAACTAATATCAATATTAACTGTGTTAGATCGATTTAATTAATTATCCATTTAATTATTACAATTATTAATTCATAATAAATACTCTATTCTATTATAATGAAAAGAATTTAAAGAAGATTATCCAAATGTGTTGATAAAGAAATGTAATCAGATTCATCTAAATAATAATAATCTGATTCTGAATTTATTATTACAGAAACATCTGAATCTGAAAAACTAAAAAGTAAATCATTTTGGAGTCTTAAAGGACTAAGTTATTAAATTAAAACACTTGTTAAGGAATTAAAAAGCACTACCTACAAAATATTAGCTAATATTCTTATTGAAAAATTACAAAATGAACTTCAAAAAATACATACTACTGAAAGAAGAAAAGAGATACAAAATTTAAAAAGGAGAGTATATGATGCTATTAATGTTATGGTAGCCATGGGAGTTCTTGAAAAAAACAAGAAATAAATCTCATTCCATGAATAAAAAGACAAAGAAGTAATTAATTTTTAAAAAGAATAAGTTCGAACTTAATTAAAAATATTAAAAGAAAAAAGAAAAAAACTAACAAAAGCTACACTTACTTATATGATGTATAAATAACTAAATCAAAGAAATTAATAAATTAAAATGGAATCTGAATAAATACTATATACTCCAGTTTTTGCCTTTTCAGTATAAGTATTTGATAATGACTTATGTATGCAACAAAAAAATGGAAAAAAATTAATTATCAAATCTAAATAGCCTCTCTATATCTACTCTGAATTAGAAGTATTATAAAAGATCTTAAATTGATATTATATCACTATTGTAAATATAATCTAATTATGATATAATTAAAATTATCTTCTTTATGCTTAGAATTTGATTAATTAAATAAAAGATATTTTATTATATTACATATTATATTATTCAATTTCTTGATTAAGAATATACATTTTTATAGTAATACAATAATATATTATAAATAAGTAATTATTTTTAATAAATAAATAAATGAGTGAATCGTCCAACTTTTTTGTAGGAAAGTACAACTTCTCTAGAAGAGTCATAAATCACAGAGTACCTATAGATTTCAATCATGGAATCACTCAAAATCCATTTGATTTCATTTGGAGATAGTCTTTTAGAAATCTACTTGTTTCTAAGTATTAATTCAATACATTTTTTTAATAGTTTGATTCGAAATATGTCAATGTGGTATTGTGGTGCAGCATTTGTTATTGGAATTGCAATAAATGAATTTTAAAATTATAGAAGATAAGGACATGCATTCACTACTCCTAAGTATGATCATTACTAATTAGAACACAACCCTATTTAAATTATGTCACTAACAGCAGAAATAAAGATGCTAATTTAGGAAGATGGAATGGCAATTTTGCGTGTTGGGAAAATGAACCTTTATGTGGTAGAGATTTTGAATGAGAAATCAAAATATATAAATACATTTATAAGATATATGAAAATCATTCTAACAATTACAATTCTAGATTTTTAATAGTATCTTGATTCTTTAATTAACATCTTTTCTATACTTCATTTATTAAATGTTATTCTTTAATTTCATCAATTATTATCATTAATAATTATGATGATTCATTAATATTATTTGTTGTTTTACTAATTATTTCTTATAATTCATTATACTATTCAAAAAAATGTTTATGTTTAGTAATGATTAGATTACATTTTTTTATACATTCATCAATTTATTTATTCATTAATTGAATATCAATTACAACATCTCCAAGTAATACTTATTATGCTTATTAACTAATGAATTCGTTTAAATAAATTAAATATTCTACTAAAATTTTAATATTTGAATATAATAATCTTATTTCTGATGATTCTAATTTCAATATATCTTCTAAACAATTAATTACATTTAATGTCAATATTTCTTACATTCTCATATAATTTTAATCTTTCAAATTCAAAATTTATTTTACTCTATTCAATATATGATTCTATTTAAATTATCTAATTAATATAATACATGAATATTTAATTTCTATTCTTGATCATTTTGTTTTATTAAACAATTCAAAAATTAAACTTGATGATAAAGACATCGATAATTTTCAAAAATTTATAATTCATTCATTTTGAATTTTATATTTATAATATATGAATTAAATAAAAATATATTTAAATATAGATTAAATATAATAAATTATGTTTTCATTAATTTTATTAATAAATAACTTCATAAAGTTCATCCAAATATCCTGTAAATGTTGGGTTTTAAATGAATTCTTTAATAAATCTTTTAGAATCTTTTGGACATTTTGATAACATAACTTCAGAAATTAATTATAAATTCAAGGCAGCAATAGAGCCACTCTTAATGAATTTCCTATCTACTGGAATATGTATTGCAATTGTGGTATGCCAAAATGTAAAAAATGATTTTGCAATATCCTTAAGCAATTATTGATATTATTTTTCATTATCTCTCAAAGTAGAATTGGAACTTCCTGATTTTTCAAGTTTTTATGGTCTTAATTTACCAATTTATTTAAATACATTTTCTTTTGAATTATTAATCAAATTGTATAATTATTTTAAATGTGAGTTTCTTTTAATTGGAGCTATACACTTTTTCAAATCTCGACTTTATACTTTAGAAAAATACACTCTCTTTGTATTAAGATCTTAGATAAAGTTAACAATTACCAAATAATGTAATATCTTCTTATTAAGCTTCTTCAATTCTTTAGTAATAATTTTCATATTCTCCTATAACCCCAAAAAAAAATGGACAAGGAGCTGCTACTCTATCTATAAGTTCATCTGGAATGAATATACAGAATGGTAATTTATAAGTAAAAGGATGCATAAGAGAAATAACAGTTAACATGATATGAGAAAGCACAGATTTCTTTTTTGAAAATAGTATAACTCTTTGAGAAAGTAAAACATGAGAGATTAAGTATATTAATTCTTTGAATGATAAGATTTAGAAAGTTTAATCACAACCCCATAAAAATTATAAGAATTATGCACTATCTTTTTTTGGTGTTTGAATTTATATATCATTTAATTGATATTTCTAATCATAAGTTACTTGAATGCTTCTTAAACCAAATAATCTTTTTATAATAGTATTTAATTTATTCTTCATAAATATGAAATCTCTTTTTATAACTTCATGACTAGATGCCTCACTTAGACAAGGTTCAATTCTTTCTAATTTTAATTAATTCCAAATATTTGCATTTTCTTTTAAAAAGAATTTAATAAATGGGTAATAGCTAACAAAACAATGTACTATTGGACATAGCCAACAACTATATGATTTAGGATCTAAACATATAAATTCATTGATTTCAAAACAAATAATATTTCTAAAAACATTAGGATTAGATTCTTATACAAATTCACTTACAGTCATTCTACTATTTTCTTAGATATCTTCTCTTGGAATTGTTATTGAATATTGATTGTCACCTTTAGTTAATTAAAGTGTCTACATAATAATTTGCTTTAATTATGGTAAAACTTTATCATTGAAATTATTAGCAGACGCCTCTAATTTTTTTGATAAGATACCATTAGGGAATGTATAGATTGGAACAACATCACTAAAATATTTGAAATTAATTACTAAAGATGTTCATTAACATTAGGGAATTAATATAGAATTTTAGGTTTGACAACAATTTCATTAGTTTGTTTATTAACTGATTATAATTCTTCAAGATCAGGACCAATAATTAGAAAGTGTTCAAAAAATCTTTATCCAAGATAAGTGTGTTATTCATCAATGTTAGGTTATCTTAAAAATTCAGTTAAATTGCTAGTTTATGTCCTTTAAAAATGAGCTTTGATTTAACTAGTTCTAAGACTATGCATTTCTAGTATACTTTTGTTTAGGATCTTAACCAATTAGATTTCCAATGGCCTTTTGTATGTTTTCTTTCAAAAGTTTTTGTGAATTTTCATCAAGTTCTTTTACTTATGAAAATTCAGGTCCAAAGGTTTCTATTTATTCTTCTAACTCTGTAATTTTCTATTTTAATTCTTTAATTTTTTGATCTTTCTTTTGGCATTCTACACAATCTTAATTCATTATATTAATATAGTAATTAAAAATATAAAATAACAAAATTCATTATAATATTTATATTATCATTATTCTTCTTATATATTTTATGTTGATGTTTATTAAGATTAATTATTAGGTAATTATAATTCATAAACTTCTACTTCAATTTAATCATTATGATTTGTTAGCTATTTATAATTAATAAAAATTCAATACAAATAATTACTATTCATTTTATTTTGAATTATACCAAAAGATTTTTATAGTCAAAAAATATGGTAAAAAGAAATCAAATAATTTTATTGTTGTTCCTATTAATGCATTTATTCCATTAGTCCAAATTGTATTATTTAACTTTTTAATATATAATATATATTACATTGACATACCAACATGTAAAATAACCTACATTATTTTTATATTTAGTAATCATTGATACAAAATAGACATTCTACATAAAATTTGCAAATGAACCAAAAAAACAAAAGATCACTAATATCCATAAAGAAGATTAATTCTTTTAAATCTACTCTTTTAATTTCATCATTGGATTATCTAATTTCTATGCACTTAAATTTTTAGAAACTTATCTAGACAATTATTAAACTTACAAAATAAAAAGACCTTACATAAAGAATCCTACAGTAGTAACAATATTAAAAAAACTAGCTAAAAATATATTTAATTTATCTACCAAAACATAAATCATATTCACCAAAAGTACTAACAACAAAAAAGTATTAAATGTAATTCATTATAAAGATTATACTAAAAAATGAACATAATCCTATACAAAATAATTTAGATAATTTTAATTAAATAATTGGATCAATATCTTAATATGAAACATCCATTCTCATATTAAGCATTCCCAATATTATTGATTTTCTTCCAAAATAATAAATAGTATAACAAAAAAAGATGTATTAGAAATAATATTCTGGAAAATATAGTAAGGCACTTTCATATGACCATTAATATGCTAAATATGCTGAATATTACACACTTAAATTTATACCACATATATTTAAAACCATAATTGTAACAATAATCTATTTACGATTGAATCTAGTTATATCCTTATGTTTTTAATATCTTCTAAATAATACAATTAATCCTGAAATCAAAATAATCCAAGCCCAAATTATTTCCAAAATATTTCTATTTTAAATGATAATCATATACGTATAACAATACAAGTTTTTAGCTCCACCTTCCTCTTCATTTTAAAAACAAGTTACCAAATAATATATTCCAGGTTATTAATTATTATGTGACATTTTATATAGAAATTAATAATAAATCAATATCAATCATTTATTTTATGTCTTCTAATGAAAATTAATAATATAACAATTAAAATATCTTTATTAAATGATAACATAAATATTTGAATTGATTATATTATTTATATATATCAAAATTTAATATTTTTATATTTGTCAAATTCTTAAACAATTCTAAAATTATATTATCTATTTTCTAATATTATTTTTATGAATCATAACATATACTTTATTCATTTTTAATAACTATAGACAAACTTATTTCAATCTTTTGATTTTACTTTTAACTGGTTGATTCAAGTAAGTAATTGATCATTAATAATTTAAAATTATTTAATAATGAATGAAGTAGAGATCTCTAGCAAAAATGATACAGAAATTCTTAGAATTATAAATGATTACATTAAATAAGGATATCAAGTGTTTCTTTAGAAAAGATGCACTGATAAATTTCTTATGTAAACAGAATATATAGTATAATTTTACTTATAATTAAAGACTCCTGGAGTATTAGATTTGGACAACTCTTAAGTTATTATTCAAAATACTCTTGAAGTAGAAGATGATTAATAAAAAGTGAGTGAAATTAGTAAGATTGAGAAAAAATAATTTGAATAATCCAGAGATTGCAGTATTAATGATTAATGTGAAAAATTGGCTGAGACTATACAAAAATAGCATTGTCTATTTTCTAGAGATTCTTTAGTTTTTATACCTAGATAAACAATTACTGATTTCAATAAAATCTTAAGTCCCTAAGTTAAGGAATAGAATGATGAAACACTTATGAAATTATATTAAATGTTATAAAAAGGTATAGGAAATGAATAAGAAGGATAAGTTGAATTAGCTATTGTATTAATATATTCAAAATAATTATATAGAAATAATTTACAGAACTCATATAGGAGATAGAATTAATGAATGAGGATCTCCAAACTAGTAATCTAATAAATGTAATTTACGTAGAAGCACTGTTAATATTAGGGTTGCTTTAATCAAGAATTAGTCAATATCAATAAGGAAAAAAGTTAACATTTAATCATATAATTTCAGGAATTTTGAAAAATGTTTAAGATTATTCATCATAAAGGATCAAATCTTATTAGCCAAAATCTATTTGAGAGTGGGTTAGAATTGCCAACAATTATTTAGTTATCAAAAAGCAATTGATTATTATGTTTAAGCACTCGTAATCTATGAAATTTATCAATTAAAAATTGAAATCTCCTTGACAATATCATATATTGGAATAGTTTATGCTCATCTGGGTAATCATGATTTAGCTATTAAATTGGGAATGTAAGCAATTGAAGAAATCAAAAAAATAGTCAAATAAGATTCTTTTATTATGGGTCAATTATATCATGCCGTTGGAGAAATACACTATTTTAATCATGATTTTGAAGATGCTATAGAGTATTTCGATGCTGCTTATGATATTAAGATTCAATATCCTAAAGAAAGACTATCATAAATTTTGACTATCAATTATTTAGGAAGCAGTTGCTATCATTTAGGAGAGTATAAAAAAGCATAAGAATTATATGAAATATCATTAAGTTAGATTACTGAGAAATCAACATTGATTGAAGCATAAATTTTGAATAATCTTGCAATGACCAAAATTGCTTAAAATACAAATGCAAAAAATGATTTAGATAGAGCTATCTCTATTTACTTGATTTATTTCTCAGAAACTCATCCATCTGTAAGAAGAGCATTGAGAAATCTTAAGTTTTAAAAATGATTACAAATTATATATATACTTTAATCATAAGTCTCAAATCTTATATCATAAATATTTATATTTATAATTATAATTATAATAGAATAGAAAAATATATAAAAATAAATAATTATAAAAAAATAATGTATTCCATGTAATTTGGATTAAAACTAAATGAATCTCATTAAAAAATTACTTAGTTTTATAAATAAGACTATAAAGTTAGATAATTACAAATTTAATTCTAACAGTTTTTATTAATTCTTTACTTCTATATTTAAAATCATTATATGTAATTTATAGAAAATTAAAGCATTCATTTGAATCATATAAAATATCAATAGAATTAAATTTTTGAATCATCTATTTATATGATGAATTTTAAATAATATACCTTAAAAATCTCAAACTTAACATCTATTTATTAATTTTAAAAATTTATTTTAAAAAAAATCAAAATACTTAAAAGCTTGATATAAATAGGCACTATTCAAAAATCAATTCGAGTTAAAAGTATATTAGGTTTATTTCATTAATTTATAACCAATCTACTCAAAGTTTTTCTAATTGATTTATATTCAAATATTGATTTTCAAACATCCAATATTAAATTATAGAAATTTTCAATTAAGAATTTAAAAAATATATCACAATTTTAATTTATTTATTTAACATAGTTGATAATAAATACTTTAATCATTCTATTCTCAATAATCAAATATAAGATCTCTCATATTATCTCTGTGATATTACTCTTTATGTAGTTTTCGTTAAATTTTTTATTTCATAAATTCTATCAAAAATCCTTGATGTAGGAACTTCTCCAAAAACATCAATTGGTTCTGAATATGATGGTTCTTCTTTGTAAATTGGAAAATTTTAGTAAATAGGAACATCTCTAAAGACAGGAACATTTTTATAATAATTAAATAGGTTAAGGTTAAAGAGCTTAGAGTACTGTAATTATTTCAGAATTATCTTTAGGTTTTTCTATTTTACTAACACTTATATTATATTCTAAGACTTATGAAGGTTGCCCTTAAACTGTAATTTGTCTTATTAATGATTTCAAATGTGTCATTTCTTTTTCAATAGTAATTTTAGGTGATTCTACTCTATTTAGATTCCTATTTACAATTTATTACACTTGAATTTATTCTTAGAATGCAATGATACATTTTTTCTTCTTTTTTTTTTATTTACTATCTGTTATTAGTTGATTTTAAATGATTATGTAAGGTTAATAAGTAATAGAAAAGAATTATGGCTATTTAATGAATATTGGATGATAATGATTCTGATGAATGTGTGTTGTGTCAATTACTCTATCAACTTCAATTTCTCTAGATTGATTTGGTTATTTAATTTGAGGTTGAACCTATTTAAATACTTATCTTAATTCATCAATGCCTCTAAGACATAAATTGTTCTAAATATAAGACATATTATTAATTAAATAAGAACAATGAATTTTATTAATTTTTAAAATGGTTTAAAATCTGAGTTATTCATGAAACTTAGATCAGTAATCATAATATGATTCTAAATAATTAAGAATTTTTTAAATTATTTATTTTTTCATTTTCAAATAAAATTATCTATAAAAAACTTATAAGAAAATTAATTATCATTTTTTTACTCTAATGACTCTGTGTTTTATCTTCATAATATCTATCAATTTCAAAATATCTTTATTGTTACTTTAATAAAAATTAGTTGCTTGTGTTCTATTAAATTCATAAAAAGGTTTGATTTGGGATTAATAATTAAAATGAGTTAAAGATGATTAAGAATTACATTTTATGTGTTTATATTTGTTACCTTTACTGAGAGCATTATTTACAATATTTAAAGGTTTTAATACTATTTCTTTTTTTGGTAATACATCTTTTAACATCTTTTCCATATAAATAGAAATTTTGCTTTATCTTGGTCCCTTTTAGATTGGTTAGAAAGGATGAATAGACACTGTTTCTTCTATTTCTTCATCATGACTATTAATTTATAATTGATTGTAATCACCTTTAAGGTAATTTAATTGATTATTAAACTGGTAATAATTGTATTGATTATGGAAGTGCAGGTCTTCGTACAGTTAAATTTCTAACTGCTCTAAGAAGATGCATTTTCTTTTTTAGTCTTTTAATTGCTTCCATTTTATATATCAAAATAAAAATGATTGCATTTCCCACAGCCTTAAATTTTCTCAAGATTCTTTTTTTCTTTTGATTTCTGAATACATATATCATTCAATACCTTGTTTCTTTTAGAGGTAATTGTCTATATATTTTCAAAGAGAATCCAATTAATTATCCACATTCTGAACAATCACAACTTAGATTGCATATGTTTAAATCATTCTCTAGTTCATCAGTATTTTAATATAGTATGGTTCTTCCTTTCTTGAAGTTTGAAGTATGTTAATAAGTTATAGTTTTGACATGCTTTAATTCATAATAATCAGAGGGTGACAATGATCTTTCTGACATATAAATAATCAAATAAAAAATTCATGAAAATACATATTTTTAATCTACACATGATCTCATAAACTAATTCGTTAAGTTAAATCTCACTTTAAAACACTAATATATTAATGTATCAAAAACTAAAATGAATTATTTTTATATCAGATATATAATAACATTAATATCTGATATTAGAATAAATCAGATAGAAACTTTATTATTATTTAGTATTGTTTTTTTGTTAATTAAGTAATATAATTTACAATGATATTAAATCATCTAAAAATGAAATTGAATTCTAATAAAAAATTAAATGAAATTTTCAAATATATTAGAAAATCTTTTCACCTATTTCTATTATCTTCCCATATAAATAGAAAGAGAAACACAATTAGAAAACAGATGTATCACATCATAATCTAACTCGACTGCAGGTTCTTTAGTTATGAACCCATAAATTTTGCAATACCTAATAAATGATATCTTATCATAAGTATAATTAATAGGTTATACTACTTCTTCTTTAGCTAATTCGACCGCCTCATATACTCTACTATTGACAGTAAAATAACTCTCAAAATAAGCAGCAGGTTTATTGTTAATTACAAAAAATTCTTCTAAACTTATGATCTACTAAAAACTGAACATAAATTGGCTACCTCGCATTAAAGTCACCATTCCATTCTTTAAGCTTATTAGCAAAATATATGATTTAATATATAGTGGCTTCCTAAAGATATTCATTAAATGGAGCAATAGTACACCATTTAATATATACACAATTCAAAAACTCTTCTTCAATCATAGAGTTCTCAACATATACCCACCAAGGGCATCCTTTATGAGATTCGGAAGTGAACTATTATCTTTAAACCTACTAAGTAAAACTTGGACTCATGTCTGATAAACTGTCTCATCTTTCCAGAATTCAAGCAATTATATTTTAATTGCCTACAAGGCCCACACTTTCATTCTTTAACGATCATGATAGTCCAATTCTTACATGATAGCACTAATCACCTAAGTAATGGATAAAATCCTAATGTTAAAATAATTTCCATATAAGACCCTCTCTTTTTTTACCTACCATGGCCTAATATAATCTTAATTCTTTATATAAGACTCAATGTAATTATGGTCATTATTAAAAAATTATTAAAGATATCATTCCTTCACAATCTAATACTCCTAAGCTCTATTAGCAACAAAATCATTTTATTTCACTTAACTATCCATAACCACCTCTTCTAAAAATTAACTAAGGGCTAAACATTAAGGCACGCTTATTTACGAATTATCTCAGTATCAATAGATTTAGCCTGAGATTTTTAGATTGACTGTAAGCCTTATTATTGTTTCAGAACAATAGCCTCAGTCTTTTAAGAGACTTAAACTCCTTAGCCTAGCACTTCCTATTGGCATTAATCATACCATCAACTTTTGATTCCTCCCAACAAATAATATCTTTAGTGATACTTTAATTCTCATCATTCCCAAACTATGACACCAACTTTTTTCTCCAGTTTACTTGAACAATCAAGTCTTAAGGGACCTGAGCCTCATAAACTTCCATTAAAGAAACTAACTAATGACTCTAAAGGCTAAAAAGAAGAATATAATTATTCCATCTAAATGAACTGAGCCAATAGTTTTAACATTTAAGGGAACCTTTATTAATAAAAAGATTAAACACTAGGAAAGACCCCATAGGTGTGCAAATACACTTACTTGCCGGCATTACAAATCTCATTAATAATTTCTCTTATAATATCATCTTTGTCAAAATTCTACGGAAGTTGATTAAATTCTAATATATAGATGATTAATACTGATTTAGTAATATATAATTTTTTATGACGAATTATTACCATTCTGAAGGGATTATGACTTTAAAATCTTTTTGTTATATAAATTAATGTAATAGACATCTATTCTTCCTCAATAATAAATTGTACACTTCTCAAATACTACAAATAGATCTTAAAGATCACTCTCTCCAAATGAGAGAATCTTATAAAATCGGAGGGATTCATGTTACGATTACGGAAGTTAGGTATCAAAAGAATAATTTAATATGCTTGAATAAAAAGTTAAAAAATAGTAAAAGGAAAATAAAGCAAATTTGAAGCTCAAGTTATTAGAGAATATAGAAAATGAATAAACAACTTAAGTAACATTCAAGACAACTAAGGAGGAATTGCATAAAGTTGTTGATTAATTGATGGTGGCATTTAAAGAATAATAAAATAATTAGAAGATTTAATAAGAAAAATAAAATTAGGAAGTAACTTATATAGTGAATAGTGAATAGAGAACTTAAGTAGCAGTGTAAGCACCAGTTTAAAGTCAAGTCTAATAATGCCCTCCCCCTAACCCTATCCCTATCCCTATCCCTACCCCTTGCTATAATAATTATAAAAAGAAAAGAAGATGCTGGGTGATGCGTTTCTTGAGGCATTTTTGATACTAATTTTGTTTATATTAGTATCAAATAAACAAATTATTTAAATCATTTAATTAAAAAATTAGATAAGCTCATATTATGGATTCAACAAAGGAAAGAGTAGAAGGTACAAGAGCCACAGTCATCGAAATAATTGGAAGAACAGGTAGAATTTATAAATATTTAATGCAGGTTCTAGAGGTGGTATTACATAAGTTAAGGTTCAATTGGTTGGCTAATAAAGAACATTGATTAGAAATGTAATGGGACCAGTCAGAAAAGGTGACACATTGGAACTTATGGAATGTGAAAGAGAAGCCAGAAGATTAAGATGATCTAAAGTACATTAAATATACAATTTGCCACATATTTAATTATTTTCTTTATGAAATTTACATTGATTATATTATGCCTTATAATTGGATCATTCTCACAAGATCTCTATTTTGTGAGTGATCCTGAAGCATTATGTTTGGATGGTTCAAGAGGAGTACTTCAATATAATATTTAAGTCTTATTATTTTGCTGAAGGATACGGATCAGGATCATAGAATTTCATATTTCACTTTACTGGAGGATCGTAAGAATCTTAATATATCTAATTAGTTGGATTCAAGGATTGAACGAATAATAATTGTTAAATTCAGCATACAAAAGGTATGATCTATATAGATTATGATCTGAGACATAATTGGGAAGTTCAAAATACAATGAACCAAAAATTACATATAATGGATTCTTTTCTAGATCACAATCTTTGAATCCTGATTTCTATAATTGGAATATCATTAATATCAATTATTGTGATGGAACAGGTATATGTTATAGAATTAATATTTAGGACATTAAGGTTATAAGAAAGATGCTGCATTATATAATGGAAAAAAATTATATTTCAGAGGAGATAAAATAGTGAAATCAATTATTATTGAATTCTATGAAAGAATGAGTAAAGGTGGTACAGTAATAGTTTCTGGTTGTTCAGCAGGAGGATTAGCAGCTTATTATTGGGTTGAATATTTTAGAGATATATTACCTTTGAATGTTTAAGTATTGGGAGTACCTGATTCTGGAATCTTTATTGATATGAAATCTATTGATGGTACTGAATTACCAAAATTATCATTGATTGAAATGCAAAAATTAGTTAATTAAGAAGCTAGTAATCCTAATGCTGAATGTGTTTAAAGTAATCCTAATGAATTATGGAAATGTTTCTATGCTCAATATTTATTAAGGTATAATAATTCATATTTTTTATATTAGATATGTCAATGTGCCCATTTTTATTGTCAATTCTTTATATGATACTGCTAGTATTAAAGATCTATTACAAATATCATGTGTAGCTAGAAATTCTTTGTCAGGTTGTTCTTAAAAAGAAAGAAAATATATTGAAGAATTACATTCTAGCATTTAGACTGTCATTTCAGGTAGACGATCAATCTTTAGAGATACAGGTTCTTTTGCACCTGCATGTTTAGAACATTGGTAAATATAATTTTTTAAATTTACTTTAGTTTTTTATAAACTACATATTATTAATCAACTTCATGGTAAGTTCCAGGAAAATCTGGATTTACTATTCAAAAGAGTTTGAGATAATGGTTAAGTCAATTCAATGTTGGAAATTTGGATAATCATATTGATTCAGTAGATTGGCCTAGTAATGAAGCTTGTTCGAATGCTTGATTAAGAATTTATTTATATTGAATAATATAAATGCAAGATATTTTTAATTGGATTTTCAAATACTTTTTGTTTTAATTAATTAATGTCTCTTTCAGCTTTAAGAGCAACAGTTTCATTCTTAACATTAAACTCATTACTACAAATATATGAGAATCAACCTGTAGAATTTTGGGATTCCAATTAAATGATGTCACATCCAAAATTAACTCCCATATTCTAATCAAATCAAGTAATTATTTTATTTAAACTCAGTATTTGAATTTGCTAGCTGCCTTTTTCACACTTACATTTATTGATACATCTAACAAACTTCAAATTACTAATTCTATTGCAGTTTCTACTTCCGTTATCATCTAAAATTTGAAGTATATTCTCTTATTTATTACTTAGTCTGTTATTACCAAAGACATTCAATATGATATCTATATATTTGTAATTGATTGTTCTCATTTACTAACTCTTTAGATTGTTTTCCTCATATTATGAAAAATTGCAATTTGATAAAATACCTTAATCTAATTCAACATTTCAATGTTAAGAAAGAATTAAAGAATAAAAAACAATCAAAAAGTAGACTTAGAAAAAACAAATCTCTCATAAAAAGAAAGAAAAAGTATAATTAAAACAATTACAGTCAACATAAACACCATAAATTGAAAAAATTGAATAAACAGATAACACAGAAGTAGAATCAATTGAAAATGATTTTACAGAATTTATGAAGCAACCATCTAATGATTAAACTATTACAGAAATAGAAACAGAAAATTTATATGAAATTAATCATGCTGATTTATCTCAAATATCATAAGTTAAAGAAGATTCAAGTATTAATTATTGTAACTTTCTTAGAATTAACATTTCAACTTAAAATTAATGGTGAATTTACTAATTTAAATTGTACATTTGAAACTTTTGATACAACAATGAACATTTTAAATTCTTCATACACATTAGATCAAATTAAACAAATTAAAATACATTTGTTATTAAACCTATATGATGAAAATGAAGACTGTTCTTGTAGACTATGGTGTCTAAAGAAACTCCTATCATATAACTGATGTTATAACTACCTTAAATTTGCTTTGTGTGTGATCTATAATGTTATTTCATTAAATTATTTATTTTTTTAATCTATGTAAGCCATGGGATTATTTGATTTTCTGGATGGAATTCCAGATGATTATGTACCAAAACAAAGAATGACACCAGAAGAAACTGAAGAAGCCTTCACTTATCTCAAAAATCATCCTCTCTTTATAGATCATATCCCAGAAGACATTGAAAATTACCCTGAATTGCTAGCATTGTAAAATCTCTAATATGATGATACTCCTGTTAATATAGCAACAGCTTTACTCAAAAATGCAAATGAAATCATGAAAAAAGATGGAGATAAGAAATATTTCCAAAAAAAAGCATATGAAATTTATACTGATGCAATTGAATAAGATTGTGGAGAAAAAGAATTAATGGCTAAACTTTTTAGCAATAGAGCTTTAATTTCCTATAAATAAAGTATTCTATCAATATTATTTCACTAGAAAACTATAAATGTGCAATTTAAGATTGTAAATGGGCAATAGAAAATGATCCCAAATTTATCAAACCTTATTTTAGATGTGCTTAATCACTTTATCAAATATTACATTTTACTGAAGCTCTAAAGTTTTGCAATCTTGCACTTGAAATATCTAAAGAAAAAGAAATTGAGGAACTCAAAAAATTAATTCTTTAATAAATTGAAAAGCAAGAAAAGAAAAATGAAGAAGAAAAAAAACTATAATAATTATATGCTATATGCAATCAAAAAGGAATAAGAATGGGTCCATCTAAAATTTCATTACCTCCTGAATATCAAGTATATCAATTAAATAATCTTAGCCATAAAAAATATCATTAGAATAAGCAAACCCTCCCATATTAACTGTTCCAATGCTAGTCACTTACCCTGAATTTAGATAAAGAGATTTCATCTAATATTGCTCAGAACAAACAAAGCTATATTAAATCTTAGCTCCATTATTTCAAACTCCTTTGCCTTGGGATTAAGATCAATAATATAATCTTAACAAAATTGAATGCTATATTGAATTAGATGATGGAAATTACGCAAAACTAAACATTAAAGCAAAAATGCTCTCTATCATGCAGGGTTACAAAGTAACCGTGAAAGAATTCATTGAAATACTTTTGGTTTGTCCAGATACAAATTATTATAAGAAATAATTCAGATCAGAATATCATGTATTAAATGATTAATGATAAAATTTGTTTATAAAAAAAAGTATTTAACTATCAAATCCTTCCATCTCTTCTCTAAATATCATATATTCCAACTCTAGTTTCAACTTAACCCTTAGGACTTTGCACTAAATTATGAATTTAATATAAGTACATTTTTAGAATCCTTAATCTTGAGATTGCTTCCTCTAAAATTCTGTTGAACCATTTCCTAATGATTTAGGCATAAGTTTGGATCTAATATAACCTTAATATTCCTCCTTATCTTAAACAGCAGTACGTTAATAACCCATTTTACTATTTGTAAAACTAGCCACTCTTTCTCCCATCCCTAATCTATTGAAACTTCTATCTCTATCATATTGTCTATTCATTGGTTGTCCTCCTCTCACCATATTTTCTGCAGCTTGATTACCAATAATATTTCTATTAGTTCCTCTCTCTAATCCCAATCTATCAATTACTGAAGTGTCTTCATGATAACTAAATCTCTATCCTTAATCATTATATTCCCTTCTATAATACTTTTCTCCTGGCTATTATTAACCTATACCACCAGGCCTTCCAAAACTAGTTTCTGGTCTCACTCTACCATCAAATTCTTTTCTCTTTCCAAATTCTGACATTTTATCCTCCATATCTGATCTACCATAAGTAATTCTTCTATCAAATTCCTCCCTCATTTTACCATTATCAGGCCTACCTAAATCTTTTCTTCCAATGGTCTCTTATTATTATGAATACTTTTATTCAAAATACTTATCACCAAATTTATCATCATATCCTCTTTAATACTAATTTCTACTCTCTATAGGAATCCTTTATTCAATGTTTCCTCTTTCCTCAATAGGTCGACCCTATATTGGAGGTCTTGTACAAAATTATTCTCTACGACCTTCTAATCCAGGTCTTCCTTCAAAAATTGTTGTTCCTTAATATCGATCCTCTCCATATGTTCTGTTAAATCCTGCTCTACCATCAATTTGATATTATTTTCCTTCCATTAATCCAGGTCTTCTTTCTAAAACATCTCTATTTTCTCCTCGTCCATCTAAAATAGATCTACCATCTGAATATTTTCTATAATTCATTCCCTATCTTCCATCTTATAAACCATCTGGACCATAAGCAGGTCTTTCTTCAAATTGCATTCTTTAAGCCTATATTCCTTCTACTCCTTACCTGATTCCTTATTATTGAAATCTTTCATTATTATATCCTTATTAACGATATCTAAAATCTGGAGGTGGTAATCTTTAATCAACATCAAATCTTCCCTCTGCCCCAAATCTTGCTTAATAAGGAGATCTGCCTTCAAATTCAGGGCGATCAGGTCTTCTTTCAAAATCAGGGTGGTCAGGTCTTCTTTCAAAATCAGGGCGATCGGGTCTTCTTTAGAATTCAGGTCCTTCTGGTCTTCTTTCAAATTCAGGGCGATCAGGTCGTCTTTAGAATTCAGGGCCGTCAGGTCGTCTTTCAAATTCAGGGCGATCAGGTCGTCTTATGAATTCAGGGCCTTCTGGTCTTCTTTCAAATTCAGGGTAATCAGGTCTTCTTTCAAATTCAGGGCGATCTGGTCTTCTTTCAAATGGTGGCCTCTAATCCTAGATTTAGGGTCTAGTTTCATATGGATTTACATTTCTCCTTTCATCATAAGGATTTACCATTCTTCTTTGTTCATCTAAGGGAGGTTTTACATCATAAAATTATTATTATTTTCCACCTTCAACATAAGGATTTTAAGGATATTATTATTAATAAAATCTTCCTTCTAATTACATTTAATCATCGAACCCTCTTCTTTCGATCATTCTTCCTTCAATTGGAGTTTTGGACACTTCTTAATATTTTCTAAGTTAATTTTATGATCTTTAAGAATATTCTTAGGATTTTGAAGTATTATTTCTTTAATCATGCAAACCCATTTCTACTCCACCTCTTTAAATAATTTCTCTTCTTTCTAAAGGTCTTTTATCTTATTCCTATAAATCTTAATTATCAGATTTTCTCACATAATCAGATGCTCTTAACATTCTGTCCATTCTTTCAGGTTATTCTTATTATCCTCCTAATGTTCTTATCCTTTCTTAATCATATCTAACCCTATCTCCTTGATGATCGACTGGCTTCTATTGCATATCAAAAGAATTAATCTGTCTAGGTGGAATTCTAGAATCTTAACCTGGACACATTCTTTTATATTCAGGTAATTGAAATTCTCGTTTATAATCTGATTATTAAACATCTCGTCGATATAAATCTTATCTTGATTGTGGAGTGTAAGCATTCATATTTGTTCTTGGATCAAGAGGAGTTCTAGTTCCAATAGGATCCCTTTTTTGATTTTCAAGATTGACATAGGGACTAATAATCTCTCGTTCATTAGCTTATCGTAAATCTTATTTATAATTGACTTAATCTAAAGGCTTTCTTTGGTCTGCTTCTTAATATGAACGAATAAATGGTTTTCCTTGTTCAGGGTTATTATATAATGATTGTTTTAGATATGGGTTATTGTTGGATGGCATTTTTTATTGCTCTCCTATTTGACGATTCTATTCAAACTAATTTGATGAATATGGAGCTTATTTCTCATAACCCTTGAGTGAATAAGTGCTATTATTTTAATCTAAAGGATTTGAATTTTCTTTCTTCAAATTTATATCAGTTTGAGGTGATATCATTTTCCTGGTTTAATAATCTAGTTATTTAGTTACTTTCTCATTTGATCTTAATCCTCTTTCCTCCATTATCCTTTTTGAATATAACTTTTATTAATCTGTTAAATTAAAAATTGCTGTTAATAAGTATATACATTGAATGTTATTTTTGTGTTTTTAATATAATTATTTAAAAATGTTATGAAGATAAAAAGATCGTATATTGTGTATTTATTTAATTTAACAAAATCAAAGTTAATGAATATTTGGAATCCACCTCAAATAAGTATCATATTATATATACTATTATTTATAATTTTATATATTTCTAAAATCTTTAAGACCATAATTATAGAAATACAATTTCTTTTAAAAAATCATCATCAAATTCTATTATTCTTCTCTAATTATTAATCATTAACAAAAGAGAGATACCAAGTAGACTTGATTAATTGAAACTGAAACTTAGATATTTTTGGATCTGTTAACAAGAAGAATTAGTTTCTAAATTAAAATTTTAGAAATGATAATAGTAAGTTTAAATCATATATAATCCAACTTATTTAATCATATTTCCAATAATTTTGATTGTAATTTAACAAAATTTATAATTCAATTAAGTACAAAATAATTTTTGGATTTCTATTTTCAGGTCTACATCAATATATATATATATGGTTTAAGTAATGAATAATCAAATTAATGATCAATTTACTAAATAATAATATGTAGATAATTAAGTCTATATGAAATATTAATTGAACTTCCATCATCATTGTCAAATATATTTATATAACCTTAGCCAAATAAGATTATCCAGACATATTTATAATAACTAAAAGAAATAATAAAGTAAAAATTAGTCTTTATCTAAAAGAGCAAGTAGAATAAATGGATAAATGAAAATAGAAATTAAAATAAATACGAAGTTCCTAAAGGATATTATGTTAAATGATATTCCAAAAGGAAATTAGAAATCAAGGATATGATTTTTTTGATATCATTAGCAAGACCTTGAGAATTAACTTGATTATTGAGTAAAATAATCAAAATATACAAGAAAAGGAACCAATTTAAAAGAGAATGATTTGAAAACTTTAAAAACTAAACTTGATTTTAGAGATTAATATATTCTAATTGATATTGAATATGTTAAACAAGACCTATTTATATATTTATACAATTATAAAAGTAAATGTATATTAATTTCGAGTTTAGAGAATTAAAGAAGCATTTAATTAAAAAAGAAGAATATGAAGAAGATGATACAAATTAAATAAGAGTTGATTGTTCAATATTTTGAATTTTTATATTATAAAATATGAATCAAAATTAAAGGAAATTCGTTAGATGTTTCAATTGTAAAATTAAGCCTGCAACTATAAAATGCTTTGATTGCAATGAAAATGAGCCTACTAAATTATGTTATCATTGTGATTCTACTTTACATCCAGATCAAGACCATCAAAAATAGATTATACCTTATGATTAAATGGTATCTAATGAGGAGAGAACACATTCTATAACTCCAGAGAAATAATAAGATATAACTCCTCATCTAAGTTCAATCTTAAGATCTAGAATAAGAAAAAATGAGGAGAATACTAGTTTTACAAATAATGAAGAAATTTTAAATAAGAACTAACTTAAATCAGTAGAGTTAAAATTTAGAATAAAGTTTTAAGAGTAGGAAAACACAATTAATTTATTAAAATAGCATATTGAAAATATAGAGAATAGACACAAAGAGAATTTATCTAAAATGAGAGATCAATTAATAAAAGCATAAGATGAAGCATTAAAAAAATAAGAGGAAACATCAAATGAATTGATTAAGGTTAAGAAATAATATGAGGATAAAATTGCATAATATGTATCATAAATAGAAAGTGAGACTTAATTTAATAATTCTCTTTAATCAAAATTAGATGAGTTAAGGTAATTATACTATATAAAATAGAAATACTCATTAAATAAAATAATAAGAATCTTAATAGATAATTGCTTAATTAAGAGCTGAAATAGAAAGAAGAAAGTTTTAAGAAGAACAAATAAGAATTGAAGCAGAGAATTAAGTAATATAAATTAAGAAAGAATCTCAATAAGAATTAGAAAAAAATATATCTGTATTAAAAAATGATTGTTCTAATTAAGTTGAAGAATATAAACTTAAAATAGCAGGTAAACAAGAATAAATTATATCTTTATAATCTTAAATCTAATAATTATAAGGTACATTAAAAGATATTGAAGGAGTTTGGTAGAAGAAACTATAATTTGAACAATAATCATATGATGAATTAAAGTAATAATTTTATTTAATGATAGATAAAAATATCATTAATAAGGAGAAGAGTGTGAAATATTATTAAAAGATATTAGAAATCTTCAATCAGAAATAATGATTTATCAAAAAGAAAATGAATTATTTTAAAAGGAGAAATTAGGTTTAACTAAATAATTGAATTAACAATTAGAAAAGAATGAGAAGATGGATAGATTTATCTATGGTTCAAAAAAATCATAGATAAAAATAAAAATATGAATAATAATATATATATATATATATATTTAACTTTTAAGTAAAATTATTATATTGTGATTTATATTAAATATTTGAGTTGATAAATTAATGAATAAAAACAATATTATAATATAATTAGATATTAAATATAGAATCTGTATTATAAAATTAATTTATCTATTATGTATTTCTATTCAATATAATTACAATTAAATTACTTTTTTTCATAAATATATATAATAATCATATATTATACTACCTTTTTAAATATAATTTTTATTTCTTTAACAATTTTTTTTCAGTTAAGATTAACAGTTTATTTTAGCTGTTTAACTAGAAAACAAAATGTATGTCATAAAATTAAAAGTATTCATCATTTATCATTATTCATTAATAGTTAATTACTGGGTTCATAATGTATTAATTTATGATTGATTGTGAATAATTATAATATGTAAGAACATATAGCTCTCACTATTGAATAACTTACTAATCTTCTTTCAAATAGTGAACAAACTTCGAATAGAAATAGTTTAAATTCACTCTCACAAAAAAGTTAAACTCATTTTAGATAACATATACAAAAAATTGTCTCTTTTGTTGACATTGATGAATTTCAAGAAACCTCTATTTCAAGTGGATTTTAAAATTCTGAAAATTAATCTATAATTGATAAACTTTAAGAGTTAGAAGATGAAAATAAGAAACTTAAAGAAACTTTAAAATTTTATGAAAAAAAAGAATGTAAATGGAAAGATTAAATGAATGACTACTAGTTAGAGCAAATACAATTAAAGCGACAAAATTAAGTACTTAAAGATAGATTGAAATCTATAATATAAACAAAAGAACAGCTATCAAAATCTAAAAAATAAATCGGATCTTAAAGATGTAATTTTACATCGCCATTCTTTAATTAGAAACCAGACTAAATTAAAGTATCCATCAATCCTAATTTACAAGTGAGAAAACACACAGCTCCAAGTGGTCTTAAGAATTCTTCACCTCATAGAATGTTTCAAGAAAAGAAGATAGATAAATTAACATGAAGTCTTATCTGATTCAAATTTATCATGACCATTTTATTATTATCACTTTTTAATTTAAAATTAAATATGGTGCAATTATTCTATAATACATTTAATAACTTTTTATTAACAAATATAGTAATTTTCTATGTTCATTCCAATTTAATCATAGAGAACTAATTAATGAAATCATATTTCATAATAAAAATGAACTTTTATTAATTATTATTAAATAAAAAATTATTATTTTTTTAATATTATATCAATACATCCTTCATTTTATACTTAATGGGTTCTACACTCTTATGTCCTTAACATCAAAAACCAATAACTTAGCTAAATATTACAAAAGGATAAGAAAAACGAATCTTTTGTACTGATTGTAATACTGAAAACTAAACTCTTATAAGTTTTGAAGAAGCCATGAAATTATGGTAAAATCTCGAAGGCAAATCTGTATAAAAATTTTAAACATTTAAAAATTCTAAAATTCCTTAATTAGATCATTTACTAAATAAGTTTCAACAATATAAAGAACAAGCATTAAAATATATTAACTCTCTAATTGAAACAACAGATGATTATAGATATTAATTTATAAAGGCAGTAGATAGAGAGATTAATTAAATAAAGTCATTAAAAGAAGATATGAATATTTAAAAATTAAAAGAAATCTCTGAAATATTAAGTGAGAAATTAATTGAAGAAGAAAATGATAGTAATCATGTTGGTAATTTAAATTTAGAACGTATCTTAATTAAAGAAAAAGAATTATTATAAGAGTTAAAAAAAAATAGTTTAATGATACATTAAGAAATTAAGAAGATTATATAATAAAATCAATAAGAAGTTAAAATAAGACCAATCAATTTTTAATAAATTAATAGTATTAAATAATAATAAGATTGTTATGCATTAGCTTTTAATAAAGCAGGAAATATAGTAGTTTCAGGAAGTGGGAAAGATATTATAGTATGGAAATTTGAATAAGAACAATTAACACAACTTTAAACACTAAATGGACATAATTATAATGTAAATTGTTTGACTTTTAGTTATAATTAACTATTTTTTGTTTCAGGTGCTTGTGATTCATAGATAATGATATGGAGAGAATAATCAAAGAATAATTGGAAATGTGTTTAGACTTTAAATGAACATGCTAATAGTATTTGCAATATAATCATTAGTTAAAATGATGAATTTATTTACTCTTGTAGTTTGGATAATTTAATTAAAGTTTGGGTTAAAAATATAGATAATCAATTTGAATTGTATCAATCTTTGCTTGGACATTCTGGTTCAGTTTATAGTATCTCACTTAATTTGAAAGAGACCTAGTTGATATCTTCAAGTAGAGATAAATCAATTATAGTTTGGGAATTTGGAGAAGATAAATTATGGAAGAAATTATAAACAATTTAAAATGATGATTATGGTTATAGAATAGTGTTTATATCTAATGTAACATTCTTTTGGTAAAGATATGGTAATGGAGTGGCTCAAGTATATTTATTTGATAAATAATCATTAAATTATAAGTTGCTAAAAAAAATTAATATGAAAGAATAAATAACAGATGGTTATTACTTATCTCCATCAATATTTCACAAGAAATAACATTTAATAATAAGTAAACATGCTAAGAATTTTTATATTGTAAGAAAACTATAAAACAATAAATTTAGTCTACTTTAAACTATTGAATTTCCAAGTAGTTCTTTATTTGGAGCAATTTCAAATAATGTTGATTATTTAATTATTTGGAATGATAAAACTAAAGATATTTAAATTTGGAAAAATTAATGAGATATATTTTATAATTGTAATATCCTAATCATTTTGGATATATTTATTCTCCAAATTAAAATTCACAATCTTTAACTTAACCATCTCTTTATATTAATTTACCTTTTCCATGTCTTTAATTATTTTTAAAATACCCTTCAAATTGAGATCTATCAGGGAATTTTAAAATACCTTTTCCTTCTTTTTAACCATTTACAAAATCACCTATAGAAAATGAAAATATTTCAATATACCTTCATACATATTTCCATCAGTTTCTATGAGAATTCCTTTGCCATGCATAATTCCATTTAGTAATTATCCTGCATAATAAGTACCATTTTAATATCTGAATTTACCTATTCCTGTAATTAATCCATTATTATGTTCTCCTTCATATGTAGATCCATCTGGATAATGTAATGATCCTCTACCATGAGGTATTCCAAGTTAAACTTCACCAATATATATAATACCATTTTTATATACTTTTTCTCCATTAGTTTCTGTACCGATCTAACATTAGAAATAATTTTGATTACTTACAAAATAATCCCCATTTGAAAATAGAATTCCACCATGTTAAAATTTACCTTAAGTCCAAAAGCCCTCAAAGTATGTGCCATCTGGTTTTATCATTTGTCCATAACCATTTTACTTACCTCTACTCCATTATCCAAAATAAACACTACCATCTGGTGCTTACATTGAATTAAGTAGTCTATCTTGTTTAGTTAAAGATTTCTAAACATTTTCCTTAAATTATTTTGGTAATTCAGGAATTATAAATTTTGAATTATATTAAATCCAATCTTTTGGCAAATCTAATACTAATTCATTTTTTTTGTCTTCAGCCTCTTATTTGGCTTATTTGATTCTAAAACTATTTTATATTTTTAAAGCAGCTTAATTTTCATCTAATGTTTTCTGTTTTTGAGTTTAAAGTACTTTACCATTTGAATCTAATTGTAAATCCACAGCTTATTGTTATAATTCTTAGTTCTCAGCAGATTTATGATCAAAAGCACAAATTCCCATAAGTATAAAAAAAACTGTAGATTATTTATTAAAATATATCTAATAATATATATATTTATTAATAATGTCTGAAAGAACATTAGATTTTGTGGATTAAAGAAATCAAGTTAGAAAACTTGTCACTTGGCCATGGAATTTTGTATTTGGATTACAAAGCTTCTAAACAGTGTAACATATTTACAACTTTACTGCCAGGACAATATTTGCAGCATCAAGTCTTATTCCATTTTTAAGTAAATTCAATTGCATAATATTATAGCAACATACAACACACATTAATTTGCTTATGCTGAAAACTCAGTCAGATTAACTAGATATAGAAATTATCATGATGATATTATCTGATAAATATATATACATTAAAAAAGAATCATTATTTACAATATATTAAACATAATCATTTCAAATAAAATCTGTATTTTAATTCATCAATCAATAAGAGTGTTTACAAAGAACTTGATTATAGTACTTTCTTAGTTTCTTATGCTCTTCTCATTAAATAAGGGATCATAATCTCAGTTTTTCCAAAAGGTACATATTTATATATTCTATATCCCTATATAATTTAGATATATTTTAATACTTCACTAGCCAATTAATAGGTAACATGATCAGATAATCCATACAATTAAGCAAATAATACATCTAAATTAAATATTTAATAATATTACCTCCTTAATTTGGAATAGAATGTCTATGCATTAATTCTTTAACAAAATCTACTGTTTTTTCATTGTGACTAGCAACAAAGACTTTAGTAGGTGATTTACGAATGTTTAAAATTAATTGTTCTAAGTTTCTTTCTATCATAGAAGTAGTTGCTTCATATCCATCATTAATAGGATTTTCTTTACCTTATTCTTTTGCTAATTTGGATTCTTCAACCATATAAGCTCCTCTTACCATTTTTATACCAATATTTAATTTAAATTTATTTGCTTTTGCTAATTCAAAGTCTACTCTCTCTTTTGTTTATTTGAGATAATTCTAAAATGTGTTATATACTAATGTTTAGTTTTAATTATAATATGCTTCCATTTATTCAGAAAAACTATCTATTGCCCATTATAAATAAGTTTATTCTGCATCAACCATTACACAAACCTTATTTTATAAAGCAGGATCCATAAAATATTTTACTCTCTCTATAAATTATTCAAATAAAAAGAGATCCTTTTCATTTAAATTATTAAAGTATTTAATAGCAGGATTACTATTTAATTCTGTTTCAAACATGAATATAGGTTATACTCTATATCTCCATGTTATTTCATCAATTTCTATTTCATTCTTATTGAATTTTAAAACATTTTTAATAAATTATTTTTATTCGTTTTCATTCAAATTAATTCCTTACTCTTTAAGATAAGAGAATACCTAAAAATTATATATATATAAAGAAACCTATTCAACTGTTATAATTGATTTGCCTTCACTAATTTTATAGAACATTTCAAAAATATTTAATCTCGCTTTGTTGATTTACTTCAGTAAATTCATGTCAATTAAACTAGAAACCTTTATTGCAATCATATTTTTCTTCTCAGGTTTCTTGGCACACTCTAAAACTGTTTGTCTAAATATAGAACTGTTCTCATCATAAAATTTTTCACAATCATCTATACCCTCAACTGCTTCTGAACAGTAATCAATTATATATGAAATTTCTTTATAGAGTTCAAAATATTATTACTATTATTGGATGAAGATAGATATCTTTCAACACTTTCAAGGTTTTCCCCTGCAGTGAACACTTTTCCAATAGTATGATTGACTAGAAAATTGGCCAATCTCGTTCCACAAATAGCATAAAGTAAATCAAATAGTTTTGGACCTTAATCTACAACCCAATCATATTTCAACATGTGATTAATCAATAAATTATTTAAAATTGAAGGTACAGATTTATCTTTGTGAATTCTTAAACTCTAATAATATTGGAGTTAAGAAGAACTCTAATTATAATGTCAACTAATTACATATCTTGTTTAATTAGCCACAGCAAAATTATAAATTACTTTGCTTGAGCACATGAACTTTTAGCATGAAGGTATCATTTTTATTTACATCAATAAATTTAATATATGAAAAACACGATGTCTTCAATAATATTTATATACAACTTATTACGCACTAATCAAATGATATTTTATCAAAATTATCTAAATTATTTTAATCTATTTTCTCACTTATATTCACATGAAACATCTAACTACTAACTCTCTATTTATTATTAATTTATTTTCAAATTAATTCTTCAACATGGACGTCTTATAAAAAATACTCAAAACCTAGGGAACCAATGTAACTGCCATTGATTTGGAATTCAAGTATTTTCAACTTTAATGTATAAAGATAAATCTAGAATTTGGAGGAACTTATGCCTTAATTAGCAAATTTTAGCAATTTAAAAGAAGTAATCAATTCAATAAAGAATAAAGCTAAATCTTAATGGAAATCGTCTAACTAATTTACCAGATGATTTGGAATTATTAGATACTGTAGAAGTCTTGTGTTTGACAAATAACATCTTTACCGATGTAACTTTATATAATCTTAAATCATATTCAGTTAGGATAAGTAGTGGAAGCTTTGTAAACAATGCCTAATTTAATTTAACTTGAAATAAGTCTATCTTCAAAAGAAGAGGAGTAATTTATAATTGAATCACTTCCAAATCTATAAATTTTGAATTCCTAAAAAATAAATTAAGACTAAGAACCTGTTGATGAAACTTCCGAATAATAAAGTCAATAATAATCAGAGAGATCTATGAGTGCTCAGTAAGAAATTACACTTTAATAATATGATCTTGAATAAATGGCAGTATTTCTATATTAGTATACTAGATTTTATATGATAATATCAGAGAATATAAAAAAGATGAATAAGATGATAAACTTTTTGATTAATAGATTAGAACAATCATGTTAGATTTATAATCTAAAGTAAAGTAAAATAACCCAGATCATTTAACAAATTTATATATCTTAACAGTATCTATTTAATTTAATATAGGCTAAATATAATTTATATGAAATTTGTTTTAAATCTATTCTTAAATATTTCAAATCAAATGAAAAGAAATTAGATTTAATATTTAGTAAAATTCATGATATGCATTTATCTATTTTTAATGATATGAGCAATGTTATATAAAATGTAAAACCATCTTCTAAAAATACTTCATAATTATAGATTAACTAAAAATAATTAGATTAATCCTAATAATAGTAAGTAGATAAAAGTGTTGAAAATAGACTTAGATAAGAATTAAAAGAATTATAGTAAATAAATAATGAATTAGAGAGTGAAAATAAAAGATATTTAGATTTATTAATAAAGCATTCAAAAGGTGAAAAAGTTTCATTGTCAAATAATGAAAATAATTAAAAATAATAAGATACTTATTAAACTTAAGTTTATACAAAGAATTCTCAATAACATAATAATTAAATATTTTAATCAAAATAATCATAATAAGTTAATTCTATACCATAATAAGTTAATGTTAGAAATTTAACTCTTAAATAATTAAAGGATGTCATAAATGAAATTTATGAAAGTAAACAAAAATTTGATTAAAAATGTACTGATTCTAAATTGCCTAGAGAAACTATGGAATAGCATATGTATACATTTTTAAATCAAAAATATGGACTAAAAAATCTTATTATTGAATGGGCAACTTCGATAATAAATTCTCTTAAGAAATATGCTGCTGAAGATAATGATATAGCTGTATTTGGTAAGATTTTAAGGAATGAATGTGATGAAGAATTTCGATTTGTATAAACTCAAGTAAAGAATACAATGTAGGAATTATTGAAAGTATTTTAGTAACTTGATGATAATTTTAGATGTATTTAAGAGGAAAACATCCATTGAAACATCAAGCTGAAATTAAAGAGATGCTTAATTAAAGAATTAATGGATAATTATATGAAGAAGAGGCAGTTGACATTATTAAATATATGTACAATTAAGAGGACTCAGAATTATTATTAGATAAATTGAAATAATATTATATTGTTCCACAAAAACCAAATGATAGAAGACTTACTAGAGAAGAATAATTAATTTAATTATAAGAGAAAGATAAATACAAATTAGAATATTAGGTATTTCAAAAAATAATTTTGGACTTTTAACTTAAATCTCATGAAAAGTATTTAAAAAAATTTATTGTAATTTTCAAAGAAATGGATACAGATCTAAATGGAATAATTGATGAAGTATTAATTAAATTAAATTATTTATAGAATGAATTTAGAAATTTAATAGATGTTTTGAATTTTGATGCTAGTGATTTAGATATTTAAAGATATTTGAATATTATAGATCCTTATAGTCATTAATAGATAACATTTTCATAATGTGTTACACTATTTTCATCTGAATCTGTTCCAGGATCAAATGGATAAATGTAAATACTTTAAAGAATTTCAGAATTATGAAATTTTAATAATAAATATAATTATATGAATTGATTTAGTAAATTTATAAAATTAATGGTGTGTTTGAGTTTAATAATTAATTAAATGAATCCTTAAGTAGATTTTGGAAAGTCAGCTCTTATGTTATCATTATAAGTTGCAGCTTAAGCTAGTTTGTACACAAAATTGTAGATGGAGAGATAACATCTATTTACAAGCACAGTAATAGATGCAACAAATGATTTTAAATAATTGTGTTTGATTCATTTAAATTTTCTTCGTAATTAGCTCTATAATCCTGGATTATAACCTGTTTTAGAAAGTTAAGAAGAATATAATAATAGAAAGTCATCCTTGTATTCACCATTATTAAAGAATAGACAATTTAAAAGTTTAGAACATTCTTTAGATATATATGTATAACCGGTTACTGCTATATAAAAAAATAAATATCAATAACCATAATATTTTAGTGTTCATTAGAGTACGAAAAGTGTAGAAACATTATCATAGTAATTATCATAAATAAAGATTGATAAATAATAAGATATATTGATGAGTGAAAAGATAGATAGAGAACTTGATAATGTAGATCCTTCAATAGAATTATCATAAATTAAAGATGAACACTATATAAGAGAGTTTTCTGATGTTTAATAAGATTAAAAAAAGAGATAATAATAAAAGTATAAGAAGTTTGAAAAAAATAATTAATTTTCTCAAGCTAAATCTAATTGGTATGAAGATGCAGATATCTCTTATTAAATAACATCTCATAGTGATGATTTTTCAGTTGAAAATTCTCATAATTTTTATTGGGATGATGAATAAGAAGATGATGATGATAGTGAAGAGTTTTCTATAATGGATTTTTAAAAATAAATAATTGATATATAACCTGAAATTATTGAAAATTAAAATGAAAATAGTTTACCATTTCTAATAAAAACATCAGAAAGTTAAATAAAAATTGATCATAATACTCCAAAGAAAAAAAGATTATATTGTAATAACAAAAAAATACCTGTTTGGGCATAAGATTTATCAGTATAATTATAATAATAATAATTTATAGATAGTATAATAAAAATGTGGATAATAAAAATAAGATCCTGCTCATTTATTTGGTATATTAAGTCAAAAAGCTGTAGATTAAGCATTTTTATTATCTAATAGTAAATAAGCTGAAAATTCTATGAAATGGAAGAAATAAAAAGAGATTTTAAATAATTAGATACAAAATTTGAATTCAAAAAGTAAAGAAAGTTATAGAAAATTAAAAAAATATCAATAAAATGTAAGTATATATATTTATATTATATAAAGTCAAGTTAAAAGTTTAATGATTATAGATAAAATTTTCTATTTGGTTAATAAGTAAGGAAAAACTTCTTAAATTTATTCCCTAAAGATACGTAATCAATTACTAAATGATATTAATAAATTAATTATGAAGACAAATTTAATATGAATCAAAAATTAAAACTTGATCTTACTCTATTAATAGTTGTATCTTAATTCTCTTTTAAATGTAAATGTTTTCTTTCACCTTTATGAAATAATTAACTTACTGGACTTTATTTTTTTTGATTAGATTCTGGTTAATTTTCATCATTAATTTTATTCTTTAAAAATGCTTATAATAATTCAATTTAATTAGATATTGAATTTATCTTTGATTATTATGTCTATTATTAAATTATTAATTCATTGAAAGCAACAATAAGTAATGTGATATTATCACTACTTTTACGAAGTACAACTTCTTTAAGAACAGAATCAACTGCTGCTGAAATTTAAACATGTAAATTATTTGTATTTTTTTATGATTCAAGTTCTGTCCAAATCTTTTTTATTACTTCTTCTGATTTCATCTTATCAAATATTCCATCACCTAAAAAATTATATTATATTTTCTTACATCCCATAACAATAAAATCATTTTCTTATGTAATACGAAATATTTGTATTTCTGGCTCTGCTATAACTACATTTCTATTACCACCAAATTATTCTAATTTTGCCTCTATATCTCCAAATGTTCTAGAAACTGATAATCTTCCAGGGAACACTCTATATGGTCCAACTATTTACATACCATTTTCATTTATTAGATGTGTTTAGTATATTTTACCTCCATTTTTTTAAATTCTTTCATATTCTATTTCCGGTTTATGATCAACTGATAACTCCATCAATTTTTTACCTTTTTCTAAACTTAATATTGCTCTACAATCTCCAACATTTGCCACATAACAATAATCTCCAACTACTAAACTAATTAAAGCACAGGATCCACTTCTTTCTTGTTTACCTTTTCCATATTATTCTAAAGCTTAATTAAGAAAATCTTTTTCAGCCATTTAAAATCCTTTTTTAATTGCTGCTATAGGATTCCATGGAAATTCACTTTATTTAGTTACATATTAATGTAAATTATCTCTTAGAAAATCAGCACAAGTTGAACCACCATGTCCATCATAAACACCAAAAAATGCACATTTAGGCCAAGTTTCTTAAGATCTATGTTATGGTTTGATTATATTCAATATTATGGATACTCTATCTTCATTATAATTTCTTATGATTCCTTAATTTGTATTTGCAGCATAAGCTTTAATTAGACCATTATTATTTTAAGAACATCTAGTTGGTTCATAATTAGGTAGAACTACATTTTTACTTTTATTAAGTTATTTTAGATCAACTAAGCTATGATAATTGATCTCTTATTTTTTGAGTCTAGTAATTTTCTTTTATGTAGGAGAAACATCAATTTGATATTCTTTTTGTAATGATGTATTTTCTTATGACTTTTTGATTGAATTGATATCAAAAATAAGGTTATTTAGAGATGAAAAGTGATCTTTAGATCTGTAGTTCATAATAATTTTAATTTGAATTTATAATTCGTGTGCAACGTACATTATAAAATAGCATGAAATGAAGATTATAAAAACAATTAAAAAATTTATATATGTCAATCAATATATTCAGATGCAATAAATGTCACCATTGGTTTTTCATATCTTAAACCTAAATCTTCTTAAATTATTCCTGCCAAAAAAGGCATATGAATTTTAATTGTTCTATTCCCTAAGTCTTTAATAATAGATTAAATTATTGTATGATTATAGGTCAATGAGAATTTAATAAAAGACCAATTGGGTACAGGTTCATTTATAGTAAGACATGTTTAGAATTAAGGTATATAGAGATCAGATGAGGTTTAAGGTTATTTATTATGAAATTCCTATATTAAATTAATATATTTACTTAATAAATTCTTTCAGTGAATATAACATAATCATCTCTAATAGATTCAATTTGATTATGAGCTATTTCCATTGCAAAAAAATAATATCCTGGATTGAATAATTTAACATAATAAATCTTAAGATTCATTTTTGGGAAAGTAGAATAATATATAAAATTCTATTCATTAGGTATTTCTATGTATTTTGATCCTTCTATAATAATTTCTCTTGATCTTAACCATTTTAACTATAGATTTGTATATTAAGTCATAATTTAAGTATGTTTTAGATCAATAGAAGGATGAGATGTTAATTTATCAAGATATTTGATAACATCTTTTTCATTTTTAAATTCAGTGAATTTTGTCATTGGCAATTAAGCTAAATTATTTTTTATCTTATCAATAATAAATAGATTTTATTCATATGGTTTATGCAAATTATAATGAAAACAATCTTCAGCAAACTAAAATATAGTTTTAGTTTTTAAATAACTTAATGTATTGGTTTCTTCATTTCTTGCTTCAGATTATTAGAGTGAGTAATATGAATTAAATTTAATAGAAATATTATGTTCTACTCTAGGTTAGCTAATTTTGTGATTTAAATAATAGTATACTAAGAATTAGATCGTTTAATTGTAAATATTGTCCTCCTTAATTAAGTTTTATAATCATTTTCAACTATTCTCCATCTGAATCCAACTTTCTTTATTGCTTCTGAGATATATTTATTAGCCATAATTTATCCATTATTTTATACATAATGATTCTATAATAATTAAATATTTTACTTATGCAATTAATATTTCTGAAGCAGATTCATCTTATCTAAAAACTAAATCTACTATTTGAATTAAAAAGATATCAAAAAAACATTCAGATTTACATGATATCATTTCTATAATCCAAACTCTTTCATTAATCTTATTTTAATCTACATATAATATACAATATCCTTGAACTAAATTTTCTATAAAAAACTATAACACACAAGATTCTTACTAATAATACATTATATCAATTAATTTTTATGAATCTTATTCAAATGAATCATGAGTCATTTAACATGAGAATCTGACTATTTCTTTAATTCTTAATTCAATATCTTTAGGATTAATTTACATTACTAAAACTTCAAAATCTTATTCTATTTTCTTTGCTACTTAAATTGCTTAACATTTTTTTATTATATCTTCTTATTATACTAACATTGAAAATATTGGTTTATTAATGTAATCTAAATCTGATTAAATAATTCCTATTATAAATGGAAAATTAATTAATTTTTCTCCTTCAAAACTATAATTAACACTATTCATTCCAATTCTAGGAAAATTAATTTCAAAAAAGGTTTCACTAGTAAAATAAGATTATAATTTGCAATTTGTTAAATTTTATCTATTACCAATACAACTAAAAAAAGGTAGCCATATATTATATTATGATAAACTCTTTTTATCATATTTTTCAAAAATCTCATTCACTATAGATTGAATATTTATAGTAATCTCATCATTTTTTAATTCAAAAATATATCTAATATTTATAAATTCATTTTTTACATTTTAATAAATGGATCTGTTGTAGATATTAGATATAATTTACGTAGACTATTTTAATCATTACTTGACAATTACAACAATGATGCTTCTTCTAAACTACCTTTCGATCTCTTATTAAGTAATTAAACTATACTTATGGAAAACGTATATAAGGTTAATATGTTTATTTATGAATTTCTGATGAAAATACTTGAAATTATAATTTCATATTGAAATATTATAAATAAACAGGAGTTTTTATTGGAGATTTAAATCTTTGACAAACTTTCATAACATCCTTAACATTTTACATATGTTAAAACTAAGATCCATATATTTTCTATTTCTAAAATTATAATATTGTTTAGTATTTACAACTAAATATTTTGCACTTTCTTAAGTCTTATCATCAAACACTATTAAATTAGACTTACCTAAATTAGCACAAAATTAACACTCCATTATTTCTTCATCACTATTTAACACTAATTTTTTTATTCTTGATAATATTCTTGCATATATAAAACATATAGGATCATTAATAATTTACATACTTTATTATTCTTATTCTGTTCTTTTAATATCCAAAACATATTAAGTATAATTAACTTTCAAATTCTCAATTGTTATTATCTTAGAAAAATAAAAATTAAGTATTTTAAGATTATATTCAAAACATTCCAATAAAGTAAAATTTATACCTAATTACTCAAATGAATCTCCATTATTTATCAACATTCTAATAAAATGATGTACAATTTTGTCAAATATTTATTCTTTACACACTATTAAATGAATCACCCATTTTCTAATATTACAATCTTATTCAACACTTGCTAATATTATTCCTAAATCAGATATTTATAACATTATAGCTTCTAAACCATAACTCAAAGTTTCTTATATATAAGTAGAAGGTTATAAGAAACTCTTATGAAAATCTTCAAAATTTGTAGATAACCAAAAACTTAAAATTTAAGGAATATCCTTTATTGGCCAATCTTTAATAATAAATGATATATCTTCTGATTTATAGATTACTTAACTTCTATATTCAGGAAGTGGTGGTAATTCAATCTAAAGTTTATTTATACTCCCTTTTCTAGATGTAGCTTAACCACTTTATAATTCTTTTGTCTTAAAGAAATTGGTTTTTGTTTTTGTTTTTATTATTGTTTAATTCTTATTTTCTAATTATTTAGATGCAAATGAAACTGTTATATAAGTTTATAATTCTTTGATTCTTTTTAAATATTTTTGATCAAGTTTATGTTTAGTTAAATAATCAAAATATTCTAAATCTCTTTCATAGGCTTAATTAATAATTTCCAAATAAAAAATATCATCAGCATTTTCATTTATATGAAAGAATTTCATTAAGACAGGATGTTTTTGAAACAGTAATTTATGATCTTTCTTAATTTTCAAAATGTAATTCTCTCCTTAATAAATCCATTAGTAATTATAAGCATATTAAATATATAATTTATTCACCCATTTTCTCTAATATTCTACAAGATTTAAAGTAATTTTTCTAAGATCATAAATGTAATTTGAAATAAGGCATACAAATTCTATAATATTCTCAGTTTATTATATTGCTAATGCCTCATGTAAACAAATTTCTCTACTTATAGTTAATTGATGCAAAGTCTTGATTATGCTTCCATGTAGTTTATAACTTTCAATTTCTAATCTCATTAGATATTCTTGACATGCAAGATTTGAAGTTAATATAAAATAATAATACTTCTAATGTATTTCAGGAATCTTATTTTCATTCCATAGTCTTTATATCTCAAAAAATAACTCTCTTTATGGGAAATTATTTTATACTAATATTTTACAATAATATACTTTCTATAAGTTCAATGGCTTATTTAGATCTGAAACTTTGAGAAGATTTAGGACTAGGACTAGGACTAAAGATTTTAGTATTAAAATTAGATCTATTTGTTGTTGATGCTAGTTATAAACGAAATTATGCTGCACTTTGTGATTTATTAAATTACATAAAAATAATAATTTATATCAATTGCTATAAGAAGTACATGTAAAAGGTTATTGCTCTAATGCAACAAATCCATATCTATTACTATTTTCAACTCCCCAAGCAATATTTCCAAATATATTCAATATTACAATTCCAAAATCAATATAAAATATTATATGTCCAAATTTATACTTCTTTAAATAATAATATCCTAAATTAGTAAATGTAAGTACTCCAATTATCTAATAATATAATTAAATAAATAAATACTCCTAATCCATAAAAGAAGAATTAATCTCCAATAGAAATTATTGAATCTTAAATATTTCCAACTATAAGATCAGTAAATACTTATAAACAAATTAAAAAATAACAATAATTAGCTGTAGCACCAGCAACAGCAGCTATCAATTTAAATTGTACCATTGTGATAACCATCATTAAACCTGCAGCCATACCAACAAATCCTGCTACAAATCCCGTTGCCCATCCTGCAGTATAAATTAAAAAGAATTTCTCAAATTAATTATAATACCTTTCATGATTATAAAAGTTTATTGTGTCTTTTAATAATTCTTTTTTCCTTTAAAAAAAATAAACCAGACTTGTAATTATCATATTAACAGCAATCAAAAGTAGAACTACATAAAAGTTCCAAGGTTAACATGGTTACTTATCTCTATTTTCAGTATCATTAGTATTGCCACTTGGAAAGAAATATGGTGACAATTGTTATGGAGAAGATCTCATCAATAAGATTAACTAATTCATCTTTTATTATTACTTCATTAATTGAAAAATTAAATAAAGTTATAAGAATTGGTGTTAATGGAAATCTTTAACATTGCTCATCATAAAATATCTTATATAATTTAGCCTAATTTTCACTGTATTAGTTTTGATCTTTCATCTCTGTTAAACTTAATAGTGCTGATTAATTTCTTAAATCACTATTTGTCTCTTTACTCTTTTCTATTATATCCTATTTCTTAGCATAATATAATAAAACTGGAGAAATAACAACAAAAAATAACACCTAAAATGACAATAATGGTAATAAAGGTAGAAAATTTGCTAATTCACTACCCATACACATACTAATTGGAATTCCTAATGTATATATTAAGCCAATCTCATAATTGATTATTGGTCTTTCTTCTACATCAGGATGACTAAATTCTATACAGAATATACTTCTAGAAAAGGATGAATATCATATTCACCAATTAAGCACTAAACATTAAGCATGATGTTATATCACCTGCAATTGTTGCATCATAATTTAATATTGCTTATAGAAAAGGTCTTTTCACTGTACCTCCTAAAAGTGATCTAACTTATTATTTACCTCCTAATGCACCCAAACTTCCTATCCCTATAACTGGTATTATTAGGATATAAATAATAATATTTAATGCATTTGGGTCAAGTATTGATTTTCTACAACAACCCTTTATATCAATTCCTAAACCAGAATCTCTTTAAGTGTTCAAAGGTAAACATTTGCTCAATTATCCACATGAAGTTGGACTACAAGCAAGACCACCATTATAAAGAGAATAGAGTGAGTCTGTACATGTGGGCTATTTCATTCAATTAATTAAAAATGTCTCTAATAACCATAGATTAAGATTTAAAACACAAAAATTGATCTTATATTTAAAATAAGTAAATGAAATCAAACTAAAAAAATCTGATAATAAAATATTATTATAAAAATTTGGATATCATTATAAATATCATATTTTCATCTAACAAAAATGATGTGATTTTTGTAATAATTTATACAACAATATTATTTCAAATTTAATTTAAGTTTTTTTATTTGCAATTAAATATTTATTTAAATAGAATTAAATGTTTAACAAAAGCCATCCAATATATATTACTGTTTTGTTTGTAAAAGTATATTCAAATGCAATTATTTAATTATGTATAAATCAGATTATATTAAAGCATATTAATGATTCAAAAGTAGATTTATTTAATCTACTTTCTTTGATATCTTTGAAAATCATTCTAAAATTATATTGTATAGAAATTATTTTTATTTTTTTTCGATAAATACCTCTTGTTTTAATTCATTAATCTGAATAAAATAGGAATTTCTATATATTAGCAAAACTATAAAATTAATGCACTTATTTATCATAAGAGTTCAAATATTATATTTACAGAGATTAAGAAAAATTAATTAATATTAATGATTGCTTATGATATGTTTTAAGATATGTTTAGTTAATACTTTTAATAAAAATACATACTAATAGATATATATTAACAAATAGAAAATATATATTTATATTTATGTGATCATTAATAAATTATTATCAAAAACTTATTTGCAATTCAAACGTTATAATGATTTTCAAATATTCATAATAACTTTAGCATTAACAATGTATTGTATATTTGAATAATAGAGAAATTTGAAATTAAAGAGTGTATTATTGAATAGATTTACAATTAATATTTTTAGATATGATAAAGGATTGTTTAAGAATCTATTGTAAAATTCTAGATATCTATGCATGATAAGATTGAAGATAATTCAACCAATTATTTTAAACGTATATTTTATTTTTAGAGAAATAATCAAGAACAAAAAATATTAATTCATATCAAATCATTTAGGTTTTAGAAAAAGTTAATCTAATTATTACACTTGATTTTTAATTTGAAGATAGTTTTTTGTTAGTTAGAATTTCTAGGTCTTGAAAGAAAAAGAAACTGAGAAACAATTGATTTATAAAAAGAGAGAAGAATATATATATTCCTTTAGTATCTGTAAATATTCATAAAATTAAGGTTAGATTATAAAATTCATCATTTAGATAGCACAAGAAGAATAGATTATCTATCATTAATCCTTAAACTATAATAGAATTGAAACAACATACTTATTACACTTTTGATTTGTTATTGTAAATATACTTAATCATATTTAGATAGATTAGATCTAATGATTAATTAATACTAATATCAAGTTAAATTAGTAGAAAGTTTATGGAGTCTTAAATATTTAATGCTTTTGAAAAGAATTATCATCCTGTGCCACCCTTAGGACAATATTCTAACTATATCAAACTTGATGAAGCATTACTTTTAATACTTTGATCAAGTTCTGATCTTGTAATTAAACGCAGTTCAGGAATTATGATTGTTTATATTCTAATCAATATATAAAAAACGGATTATAAATTTATTTATGTTAAAACAATTGCTAGTGGCATGGCTGCTAGTCAGCCTGTCTTTACAGTTTAAGACGTCTGCTAGGACGTAGATAACACCTTTGGAGTCAATTTTATCAATTGATCCCTCTGGATGGACTTGTGAAAGTCCAAGCTATAAAGAGTAGTTGGGAGCATAACATGATATTGATTAATGGATAGATATTGTCAAACATAAAGATGGATTTGATGGAGATTTGTAGGTTTTGGCTATGGTCAAAGCTTTAGTTGATAGAGTTTTGTTGACTGTCTAACATATTCAAGGAGGGTCGTTTATTCAAGTCAAATAGTTGCATCATCAGATCTCAAAGCATTTCAAATCACTATCTCAAATAGAATCTACTTCATCCTGGTATGATATTAACGATATTTTGGGATATTTAGAAGTACTCAATAAAGCTAAAAGTAAAAATCATATATCTATTTTTTAGGTGAGGAAGATAAATTATAATTGGCTTAAACCATAGCTACCAAGATATCAGAATTGATCTAATAAATAACTGAAATCTAATTGTAATTAAATACCATCCCTATTGAAATTGATTAACTCTATGATCTTGCCACAAGAGTCAATGAAAAAACATCATAATGCAAAGATTATTGGGCACCATAATTAGAAGCTGATGCTAGAGCTGAGGAAGAAGAAAAAAGAAAAGAGTAAGAGCAAGAAGAAGCTAGATTAAGAGCAGAAGAAGAAGCAAAAGCAGCAGCTGAAGCAGCAGCAGAAGAAGAAAGAAGAAAAGAGGAAGAAGCAAGAGAATTAGAAGAATTGAAGAATAGAGTTGATATCACACCTGAAGAAGCTGAATTATTAGAATAAGAAGCAGAAAAGGAATTAGAATTAGCAGAAGAATTAGAAGCCGAAGCTGAATAAGAGTTAGATGCTGCTAAATAGGCTGAATAAGATGCTGAAACATAGGCTGAAAGAGATGCAAGAGAGGCATAAGAAGCAGCAGAGAAAGCAGCAGCATCATAATAGGCTTTGGAGGATGCATAAAATAAAGAAGAAGAAGCTTGTTTAGATGCTGAAGAAGCATAAAGAAGATTAAAGGAAGCTTAAGAGGCAGCTGAAGAAGCAAGAAAAAGAGCAGAAGAAGCTGAGAGATTAGCTGAAGAAGCTAAAAAGGCAAAAGAATGTGAACCAGTACCTGAACCAGAATCAGAAGCAGAAGAAGAAGAGGAGGAAGAAGAATTTGAATGGGAATCAGAGGAAGAAGATGGATGTGGTGATGATGTTTTGGAAGATTTGATTGATACATTGATTGATGCAGCAACAGGACCAAGTGCATATTAACCAAGTTGTGGATATCCAGGATGTTAAGAATAACCAATCATTATTATCGTTGAAGATGATGAGGATGAACCTAAACCTGTACCATAACCAGAACCATAACCATAACCTGAACCTTAGCCAGAACCTGAACCTGAGGAGGAAGAAGTTGTTGTTGAAGAATAACCAGAAGAGGAAATTATTGAAGAACCAACACCAGATGATGAAAAGGTAGAAGAATAAGAAGAAATTGTAGAAGAGATAGTAGAGGAAATAGTTGAAGAAATAGTTGAAGAGATTTATGAGGAATTTGTTGAAGAGGAAGACGATGATTTTGGTAGATTAGAATTCCCAGATGAACCAGAATTAGAATAACTTGTTTATACTTTAGATGAGAAAACTGATAGTGTTGTTACATAAGAAACATCTCCTTGGGAAAAGGAAGTTGAAGATGGACCTGAGAGCAGAATTAAGAAATCAGTTGAATATAGTTATGGGTTATGGACATATTTCAGATACAATGGTAAGGTTAAGATTTCAGAGAAGAAGGAAGTGTTGGCTGTTGGAGGTTTAAGTGGAGATGACACTAATAGATTAGTGACAACAATAGGAGAAGGATTCTATAATTTCTAAGTATTTGAAGGAGAAGTTGTTACTGAATTATAATTAGATTATGGAAAGTATTTAGATGCAGAATGGATTTATGTTTATTTCGGATATAAGGAAGGTAAGGCTAATGGTTATATTTATTGGGGTAGAACTTAAGTAATTAAGACTGTTACATTCACAGTTACATAACCAGCTATTGTTAGAACTATTAAATTCTAATCTGGAATTTGGAAAGGATTCAAAGGATTCAATGGAGTTATCACCAATGTTAGAGTTGTTTTGAACAAGAATTCATTTGTTGAAACAGAAGAAGAGATGAAAACATTGATTGAAACTAAATACACAGTTCCAACAGACCCTGATCTAGAATATAAGGAAGTATAATAATATGACAAAGTTGAATATGATGGAATTATCACTGATACTAAATATCATTGGGATTTAGATGGATATAGAGAATATTCAGTATCCACTTGGTTTAGATATGTTAGAAGAACAGAAAGAGCCCATTAAATTATATTTAGATTTACATCAAACGAACCAGATTCAGGAGTTGTTGCTCATGGACTCAAAGTACTTTCTTTATGGTAAACTGAAAACAATGAATATTAATTTTCTACATATACAGTTGAGGAGAAGGATTAGTTCAGTGATATAGATGAAACAGTTACTATTGCTTAAGAATCACAATAATTATGGACTTATGCATATTTTGGATATAATCATGGAGATTTCTAATATTATATGGAATGGCCAGATAGCAAGGTTGAAAAATAATTCAAAGGTTGGCATGTTGTAGCCAAATATTGGGCTTTATATTTGGGATAAGGATTGAAGTATTTCTTCCATGGAAAGACAGCTTATACAACAATCAGATTTGGAAAAGGTGCATGGGGAGTTGCTACAGATTTCGATGATTATAAGATTGGTAAGGTTAAATTGTGGCCAGGAGTATAACTCAAAACATATGATCATAAATGGATGAATCATAAAACAGAATCTGAATATGATACTTTACTTCATGAAGAACCAGATTGGGTAACAGATGGTGTTTATGAATATGGATTTGGTATGTGGACTAAATTCTTTATGACAAATCCTTCAAGAATTTATGAGAAACCTGATCGTATTTTAGTGGGTAGATTAGGATTTACAGATTAGGATGAAGCTGAATTTGCAGTATATATTGGAAGAGGAAACTATGAATTCTGGGCTAATTCAGGAAGACCAGTTAATTATGGAAAGAATTTAGATGGATATTGGAATTATATTTATTTCAGTTATTCAAAATTGAAATAAATAGCTGTTGGTTATGTTAATTTCAATAAATTAAAATAAGTATAAAGAACAGTTTTTGATCCATTTGATGCTGATCCTGCTAATAATTATGTTAGATTTTATGTTGGATTATGGAAAACTAGTGTTTATGGATTTAATGGAAGAATAGCTCATGCAGTTGTTAGATTTGGTAGAGGATCATTTATCAATGAAATAGATGAATATGAAACATGGATTGAATAATATAAAGTACCAGTTGATGAAGAATTAGGAACTAAAGATTATGAAATTTAAGGTGCTGATAACAAAGATACTGAAACATATGATACTTTTGTTTATGAAGATGGAGCAATTGAAACAGAATAATATTCAGTATATGGATGGTTCAAATATTATGGAAGTTTAGATGATACTGAAGCATAAACAGTTATCAGATTAACAAATAATGAACCAGGATTCTTGAAAGATGCCGATTTATTAGGAGATAGAACATTATCAGTAATTCAAAAAGGTGGAGATATGGAAATTGGAACATATGATATTGGATTTATTGATACTGATTTCAATCTTAATAGAAATACTAATATAGCTTTAGGAGAATATAGAGGAATCTGGATGTATATTTGGGTTGGATATTCAAGATAAGATGAATATGCTGGATGGTTCTTTGGTTTCCCAGATATCAGTAAAGGAGGTTTATTAAAGAAGGTATTGCATTTCTCTCCAAAATATCTTGCTGTATATTTCGGTAAGGATGGAGTTAATAAGAATTTTGTTGGTAAATCTAGACATGTTCATGCTTGTTATGGTAGTACATAATGCTGGCACTATGTTGATAAGGTTGAAGTAGAAGTTGATCTTCCAGCTTGGATCCCATATAAACTTAATAATTACTTTGAATTTTATGTTTAAAATGATGCTGATGCTTTGATTGTTGCTTAAGGTGATGATCCAGCATTAGATGTTGAATTCACAGAAACTAATTTCCCAGGTTCTGATATTGAAGCTATTTATGAATATGGTATTGGTTTATGGACAAGATGGTTAATGAATTATCCATTCATATTATTAGAGAAAGCTGAATCTCATTCAATATTTAGATTCACTACCAATGCTCAATATGAAGATGCATAAAAAAATGGAGATAGAACAGTATCAGCATTTGTTGGAAGAGGGGAGTATAGATTTAGTACTTATGATGCAGTTCTTGATAAGAATGAGATCACAACAGGAACAAAATTTGATAAAGAATTAGAAGGATATTGGAATTTTGTTTATTTCTGTTACAAGAGAATTCCAACAGGACCAAAAGGTATTGGATATGTTTATCTTACACATCAAAATGTTGTTAAGAGAGTTGAAATTGATAGTGCCAAACATTGGTTATTGAGAGATTATGCTAGACTTGTAATTGGAAAGAAAGAATTTGGACATTCAGCATTCTAAGGTAAATTGTTTGATCCAAGAGCATTTTTGGGCAAGAACAGTTATATTGATTCAAGTGAAGATTTACTTAACATTGTTGTTCCTAAATTCAGACCTTATCCACCATACAAAGATAAATAAGATAATGAACCAGTTTAAGTAGAGAAGGCTAAGATGACTTAAAGAGTTTTCAAATCTTATGAAGAGAAGTATAGTGGTGTCTTTGAATACAGTGTTTATGGATTTGCTAAAGGTAATAAATTAAAGAATGTTACTGATTGGACTTCACTTGTCAGAGTCACATAAAATACTCCAGATATTTAAGCTGATAATGATAATGCAGGAGATAGAACTCTTTCAATCTTTATTGATAAAGGTGTCTGGTATTTCAGCACTTATGATTATGGAGATATTGAAACTATAGATGATGATGTTGGTTCAAGTATTTATTTATATTTAAATCTTTAGTTGACAAGAAATTTGATATTGGCAAATATTGGGGTAAATGGACATACTTCTACTTTGGATATTCCTTCCATCTTAAATAAGCTTATGCATATATTCGTTAAATTGATTAAACATCCAACTCTTATTTGTTTGAAGAGATCTATCATTTTGTACCAAACTATTTGAGTGTGTTCTTTTCTGAGGATGGATATGGCAAATAATTTGATGTATTGATAATTGTCATTTCTTTAGGGTGAAGCCTTTGATTGGTATTTGGGTATCGGCGATGGTGCATTTACTACAAATCCAGAACCAAGAGAGTGGCCAGTTGATCCTGCACCTCCTCCTGATAGAATCTTATCAGCTCTACTCGCCAACCAAGGATTTAACTCAGGCAGAATCATCAAGGGTGGTGGAACATTCTTACAAGTCGAAGGATCTGTCAATTTAATTTAAGAAGATGAAGAATGATATAAACAATCATAAATTATTATTATTATTTTTAATACATAATAAATAATAAGTAATCTTCATTTTCTAATCATTATTGTATTGTTTGAATCATAAAAGCATATAGAACTCAAGAGAAATAAATTAACAATGCATACAGATATCTCATCAGTAAACAATTAATATAATATAATTTAAATAATTATCCTTTATTTGATAGTATATATATTATAAAAATTTAATATCATTATAGATCTTCTATTAATATGTAAGTATGTGATATTTGATTGATATATATTGATTTGAAAATATAAAATTCATTAATAATAAATTATAAAGTATATCACATAATTGAACATTATTTGCATTCATGATTTTCATTCTTCTAAATCTTCTTTGAACAACTTAAACAATACAAACTCTCCTTACAAATATTACTTTTGCAATAACATTAACTTAAATATATGAAAGTTTTGAATACTTTAAAGTTTCAATAATTTAGCATTGCAATGGATTTAAAGTTAAGCATCCTGGACATTTCTATTTATTCGGTTTTATTTTGCCTATTCTACAAGCATTGTATGGATTATTATCAATGAAGTGTGAGTAATGATCTTCCTTTTTCAAAATAAGAAAGCAGATTCCACAGAAATAGATTTAACCTTTACAATATTAAGATTGACATTTTAAGAAATTGCAACCTTCCTCTTTAAATACCTATATCTTGCATCTAGGACATTTGCCATTAATTGCTTATTGACAACACTTTGATTCATAAGGTTTTCGACAATTTAAACAATAAATTTATTTACATACAGGACATCTGGAATATTCTAATTGAATATATTGATTACTTGCATTTTTACTAACAATAAACTTATTATTACAATCTTCATGACCACAATCAACAATCATTTCATCTTCATTTAAATTTTCAATACAATTATGTTATAAAGAATATTCTATTAAATCATTATAGATCTCTGTATTTTTGAAAACTTCAACAGAAAATTTTTATTGACATTATGGACATTTGTAATCATCAATTTTTAATTATAATGTTTTTAGTTTATCTTAAATCATCTTAACTAAACATTTCAAACAATAAAAATGTTAACAATTCAAACTAAAATCTGTATCTTCGTAACATATTAAACATTTGTTCATTGAAGTTTTATAAATTATAGCAAATATTATTAATAATAAATATTTTAATAAATAAATAAAATCATCCACCACAGGAATTATATATATTTACAATAGAAGAAAAACCTTATCTGTCTTCTTACTCTATTCCCCATGCAATGTTACCTGCGATATTTAAGACAACAATGGCAAAATCAATATAAAATAATATATGACCAATTTTATATTTACTAATATAGTAATATCCTAAGTTTGTGAAAACCAAAACACCTAAAATCTAAGGAATTAAAAATTACACTTACTCCTATTCCATAAAAGAAAAACTAATCACCAATTGGCATTCCAGAATCGCTGACCATGAATGATACAAATACTTATAAACATACAATAAAATAACCATAATTTGCTGTTGCTCCTGCAGATGCAGCAACTAAACCAAATTATACCATTGTTACAAACATTGTTAAACCAGCTGCCATACCTAAAAATCCTGCTATAAAACCAGTTGCACATCCAGCTCCATATATTTTAAAGAATCTTCTTGTTGGAGTAAAATATCTTTCCTTCAATTTATACCTTACACTATCCTTTAATTATTCTTTGCTTCTATAATATAATAAAGTTAATCCTGTAATAAGAATGTTGACTGCAAATAATAAAATCATCATATAGAAATTCCAAGAATTACATGGATTTAATTTAGGATTTGGATTATTAACATTTTGTTAATAGTAAGGTGAGATTTAATAAAGTGTTGTTCTTGAAAGTATGACTGCTTCGTTAACTGCAAAACTTCCAAAAGTAATAAGTATAGGTATTAGAGGTAACATTTAATGAGATTCGTTTAAAAATTATTTATAAATTAAAGCAGCCTATGCTTCATCTTAAATTGAACCTTTAAAAGCTGTTGTCATAGAAATATGAGAATCAGTAAAATCTTCATCTAACTCTTATTCAACTACTTCTTGTCTTTTTGCATATAATAAGCAAATTGGAAGAATGACAATAAAAAACATCATCTATAGAGTTAAAACTGGTAATAATGGCATGTAACTTGCTAATTCTTCTCCAAATTACATTGAAAGTGGAATAGCCAAGGCATAAATCATTCCAACCTCATAATTTACAACTGGACGTTAAGGATGGTATGGATGTCTTTCATTCTATAATTTTATTACTTCTAGAATGTGATAATTATCTAATTAACTAATTAAGCTCCAAACATAAGACATGCTGTTATATTTCCTGAAGGACCTGAATTGAAATTTAGAACAGCCTCTAAAAATGGTCTTTTAACCACACCACCTAATGTACAAATTTTATAATCTAACCTCCTAAAGCTCCTAAACTTCCAATCCCAATTATTGGAATAATTAGAATATAAACTATGATATTGGATGCGCTGGGATAAAGATAATCTTCCCTACAGCATCCATAATCATATGGATCAGGCTTATCAGTTACTTTAAGACATTATGAAAATGTTCCACAAAAATTTGTCTAGCTTCTACAACCTAGTGTAGATGTGCCTTGAAATAGAGAGTATTAACTTGATCCACATGAATACGAACTCATAAAATCTGAAAATAATAATTATAATGATTCATTATAAAACTTAATATATGTTGTAAATTTAGTTGTAAGTATATTATGATTTTGTTTTATTTTATAAATTTAAATCTAAATTAAAATATCTAAGAAGCAGTTTATGTTTGATAAAATTTTGATTCACTGTTGATTATATAGAACATAAATAATTATCATTTATCATCCTTCATTTTCCCACATAAAATGATAAACTCTTTTAACAAATTATTCACAAATTGGACATACATGAGGTAACAATTATTCAAATTTTTCATGACAAATCTTACATAATGCTGCATCTCCACAAGGAATATAAACAACATTTATTTTTCTTATTTTACATGCTTTACATTTTATTTTATCAGAAATATCAAAAACAAATTCATTTCCAGTATAATATTCTGATTATGTCATTTATTATGGAACACTACTTTCTTATTTTTATAAATCTTCTAATTATCTTTCTAATTATAATTTAAAAGGTTGTAATCTATTTATTGTACTTTTTAATTTCTATTTTTCTTCTTTTAAACTTTAGATCTCATCTTTAATTTCTTATTGACTACTTTCATATTAATTAACCTATTGATTTAATGCATCAATAAATTCATTTAATTCTTTTTCTTTTTAATCATATAAGATTTTTATTTTTTCTTAATTCTTTAATTCCAATTCTTATTTATATGATTTTATTTTTGAATGATATGAATTTATTTAAGCATTAACTTTCTTTATTTATAATTCAACATCTGATTCTTTCTAAATTAAACTTTTTTTTTTCTCAATCAATTCTTATAATTCCCTTTAATTTCTTTCCAATTAACTTTTATCTTCTTAATTCTTTTATTTCTATATTTCAAGTTTAGCTTTTAATTCTCCTATTAATCTTTACTATTAAATATCTATTTCTTCTTCAAAAATATTTTAATTTTATTTTTAATTTTTATTACTTTCATTCTAATCTAATGTTTAACTTAAATATGGTTCAATCTACTTATTAATATTTTCATCCCTTTTAAATTTAAATGTTATGAAATCTGAAAATAAAGCTTTAAAATCCAATAGATTTATATTCTTTCCAAAAATATCTTTAAAATCTTTTCCAATCTAAAGAGTAAAAATTGCTTTTTTATCTGTAGTCATCAAATATGTAGATGTAAATAAATTTTCTTCTTCTATCTTCTTTTAATTTACAAATTCCTATATTAAAATAAAATATTACTTCCATTTATTTGTCTAAATAATCTTCATATGTATTAAAATTTAATAAATTGAGTAGGATATCATTTGGTATTTAATTAATCAAATTATATTTAATATCTGGTTTACTATTTTGTCTTCTCTTCTCTCTCTTTTTCTCCTTCATCAGAAACTTTTATACAATCTAATTCTTCTCATCTTCTTTATAATACTTTATTGTATAATTATACAAATACTTTATATTTTCTAAAATATAGATTATATGGAATTCTCTTTATTAAAAAATCAATCAATTATTTATTTTGAGGTTAAACCATATAAAAATAGTTTTGGAATGTAAATTGTATATTATTCTAATTTTAATCTATTATAAAAATTATAAAATTAAAAACCTGATATATTTTTCTAGATTTATAATTTCATTAATTCATCTACTTTTTTAAAATCTTTATTAAATTCAAAACCATCATCTGGAATATATTCATCATTTCCTTTCTTCTTGATTAATCCCTTCTTTATAGCATATTCATAATTTCTTTATTATTAATCAGTATAAGCAACTGGTTTTTACTATTATTAAGTATTATTAATAGGTTTTCCAAGTGGTTAAATTATTGAATACTTATTGGCTGTAGGATCATGTTATTTTTTTAATCCTAATCTCCATTAACATATTTTTTCATGTTTTTCTCTATCTTCTGTTGTCAAAAAACAATGACCTTAATAATACTTGATTAAATTAATATTATACTTAACAATAATATACAAATCGAGGCTTATCTGCCAATTTGACTTCTTTACATGTATGAAGATGAGACAATAATTTATCAAGACTTTATAATTTATGATTTCTATTGGCAGGACATAAATATTATTCTGTCTTTAATAAAGTTTCTTCTTAAATCATTGGCTCATCTGATTCTTTATCTATTTCAATTTGTTTCATTTTTTTAAGTAAAAATCACTTCAATAATTATTTTAATTAAATTAGTAAATGAATTATATATGAAACTTAAATAAATTCTTAATCTCTATATAATATTATTATAATAAATTATTGTATATAATTAGATGTTTTATGTACAAATAAGAACTATAAATGTTCCTTATATTGATAATTAATTTTTAAATATTAAATATATAGAAAAAAATCATAAATGATCAAAGAATACGATTATTTGTTCAAATTAGTCATCATTGGTAATTCTGGAGTTGGAAAGAGTTCTTTATTATTGAGATTTGCTGATGATTAATTTAGCGAGTCTTATTTAACAACAATTGGAGTAGATTTCAGATTTAGAACTTTACCAATAGATAATAAGAATGTGAAATTGTAAATTTGGGATACTGCAGGATAAGAGAGATTTAGAACGATTACAAGTGCATATTATAAGGTTATATTGACATTTCATTATTATTAGGGAGCAGATGGAATTGTTATGGTATATGATGTTACATAAGGACAATCATTTGATGATATAGATAAGTTTTGGTTACATGAAGTTGAATCATATGGAGAAAAGAATGTTTAATTGTTAGTAATAGGAAATAAGAATGATTTGGATGAATAGAAATAGTAAGTTTGTTTAATATCATTATAAAAGAGTTGATAGTGCTAAAGCATAAGAATATTGTAAATCACATAATATGCTATTTATGGAATGTAGTGCTAAGACAGCTGATCATGTAAACAATGCATTTCTTGAACTCTCAAGAAAGTTGATGGCTAAGAAGGATGCTTCTCAACCACCTAAATCTACCAATGCTACACCAAGTGGTTCTCAATCATCTTAAGCTAAATCAGGAGGGTATTCCTAATATCTTAAATTTTATTATAGATCATATAATCCCAACACATCACAAACAAAATTAAGTGCCAATACATCAAACCAGAAAAAATAGAAAGATGGAGGATGCTGTTGATTATTCTAATCAAAATATCAAATTTATTCATTATATATGTTTCTTTTATTTTCTGATTTACTAATTTTTAAATTCATAAATGTAATATATATCAATAAGTAAATTAATATTTATGATATCAAAATTGTGATAGTAATATAATATTCATATATAAATTCTATAGTTGATAATAACATTATAAACAAATTTAATTTCAATATATAATTCAAGTTAGTTTAAATTATGTTCAAGCTTTTATTTCTTCTTCATTAACTTCTTCAATAGGTTGATTTGACATTTGTCTTTGAAAAACTATTTATTTGCTTGGTTTAGCTCTTGGAGTTTGAGCTTTAGCTGAACTTTGAGTTTAATTTTTAAGTACAATAGTTGGTCTCATTCTACCAGAATCAGGAGATGATGCATCAGATGATAAATCATAATCTTGAGTTGAATATTTCTTAATTTATTTTGTTCTAGGAGTTGAAGGTTAACTATCAATTAGATTAATATTTTTCTATTTAATTTATTATTGAAATCTTGGACTTTTCATGACAGGAACATTTATGCATACCTTTTCATCTTCAATTACTTCATCCTCTCTTACTTATTACCTAAGCTTAACAGGAATCTCTGGAAGCTAAATTTTATCTGATTTGCTGTTTTTGAAAAGTTAAGTCTACCATAATTTGTTCTAAGGATCTAGTCGCTTCTTTGTCTAAAAGCTAGTTCTAATATCAGCTTATGGACTTTGAACAAAAAATAAGTGCTCTAAGGCTTTTTAAGCAGAGATTCTTAAACTAGGATTAGGATTAAGCATTTAAGAAATTAGATCAACAGCAGAAGAGGGTGCTTTGTACATTTATAGATTATCAAGATTAACATAACATTTTTTGTTAAGTTTAAGAATTTCCTGATAATCTATTCCTGGGAATAAATCTTTCTAAGTAATTCTAAATTATCAAATACTATAGCTTACAATTTATAGAAGATGCAACCAACACTAAACATATCACAGATCTTATCATATTTTAATGTGAGATCTTTAAGATTAGCAATTTCTGGAGCAACATAACCAGGAGTACCACATTTTGGGAATGGGTATTTATCTACATTTGTATTAGTTGCCAAACCAAAATCGACTATTCTAAGATTTTAAACAGAGCCATATTCTTTAAACATGATATTCTCTGGTTTGAGATCACGATGCATGATATTTAAATTATGCATATGAGCAACTCCTTTGAGTAATTACTATAAAATTTAAACATATTAAAGTACCCACATAATTTGCTTAATCTGTTCCCAAGTCAAAGGTTATGTTGTACTTCTACTATTACATAAGTCATGTAAACTTGGTCCCTTTAAATACTCAAGTATGAGATAAAATGTATTGTCTCCTTCATAGACTTCCTCTAGTTTGACGATTTACTCATTGTCTAGGTCAGCCATGATACTAATTTCATTGAATAAAGCAGTCTTAATGTTATATGAGTAATTCTTACATAGCCACCATCTTCTCTGAGATATCTTTTCTCAATACATTTGGATGCAAATTCTGCTGAATTGTCCTTTTCTTATACTAAATAGACCTAACATTTTAGTTTAAAAATATACCTTAGATGATCCACCTTTACCCAAAAGTTTTAATGGTTGATAGAATTCACTAACTTCTCGATACATTATTTTGTTTTTGACTATTCTCTTAAATATTTTTAGCTCTTATTCTGGTGCTGTGAAATATTTGATTGTTCCTTTGTATTCAATTCCGAATTAAGTTAAAACTCTCTAGTTATTTTTAACCCAATGTATATTATTCTCTAAATTTATAGACACAATATATTTTGGAGTAGGTGATTCGATTTCCTATAATTAGATTATAAATCAATAGAATTACAGTTGATAATGTTATAGCATTCGTAAAGATGTAAAGTTGATAATATATGTTTCTAACAAGATGTTCTCTTTAGCAAATTATATGGTAAACTACCTCACCATAGTTAATTTGTATGTTTTGCATGTTCTTTTTTTAAATTATTTAATTATATGATTTCAAGATTTAAAGTAAACGTATATGAATACGTTCATAATAGCATTAATCACTAAATGAATGACGGACTATTTTTATAAATTATTTAGAATTCAGTTTTAATTAATGAATTTAGAAATAATTCATTAATTAGAATTCAGTTCTTATAAAAATAATGTAAAAATAATCAAAATTTTATAAGTTATATTCTTCATTAATCAAATAATTGAGAGATTTAACATATTTGACAATTGAATAAAATAAGTAAATAAAATTTATAAAGTCATCATTCCATATTATTAATAAATATAAAATAAATATTTAAATACTATAAAACAACTATCTGACAGATATTATGAATTCTTCACTTTTATGATAATTGTAATATTACAATATATAATAAAAATTAACATCAATAAAATTATAATTCATAATCCCTGAGTAGCAGGAGCATCATTTGGTTCTAAATCATATCCCTTTTAGTTATCAAAACCTTATACTTGACTTGTTAAACCTTCTTCTTTAACTTTGTATTTTCTATACAAATATGCTAATAAGAATGCTAATAAAATCAGAAGAATTATTAGTCCAATTATCACTCCAATCAATTCTTAAGTGTTATATATCTTTGCCTAAGCTAATACAACCTTAACTTAAAAAGTATTCTTATATGAACATTGAAGAGTTTGATATGGCACAGTTGGATTATCTTCTAAATATTTATCTTTTTCAGGACATGAAGTGGCATTCATCAGAATATCATATTTATAAATATTTCCAATATCTTACTCAGATTTAGGATTACAATAAATCATAGGATTTCTTATAATATATGGTAATTCCACAATAGTATGTTAAGTTAAACCAAGTAAATATGGATAACTTTTTTAAAATGACCATTAATTAGGAGTTCCATCAGTTTAAAAATCTGATTCATAAAATTAAACATTTTATAGTTTTGGAATGAAAACATATTCTTCATAAAAGGAATTAGCTTTTTCAGTATAATAATCATCTTAAGTATAGAATTTAAATTCAGGTTCAAATTCTTCATAAACTCCAGTTCTTACAATTCTATGTTCATCTTTACCTCTTAAAAGTACAAATTATTTAGAAAGTATAATATCAAAATATTATCCAGTCAAAAAATGTGTCTTAACTTCAAACCAACCTTAATCTTTGAAACCTATTTCAACTAATTATTGATTGATTCCACTAAATAGATTATAAATTATAATTACACTTCTTTAAGTATCAATAGAAAATCATCAGATTAAACAGCAATAGCTAAACCAGATTTGATATCTACAAGACCAAAATTATCATCTCTATTTAATACTATCATCTTTTCACTAGTTTTAACAAGGAATTTTGTAACACCATGAATACTATCTAAAATAAAAGCATATGTATCATTAGATGTGCTAGATTGACTAAATACAATATCAACTAAACTAATAATTAAATCCTTGTTATATAAATCAAAGGAATTCATAGACAATTTAAGACTTATATCACCATCTTTATTAATCTAATAGATATCTAATCCATCCCTACCCAATGGAACAAACATATAATTATTCAGTATCTTTATTTATCCAATAAAATTATTATCATTTTCCAATCCACTACCAATTGAACAATTTTATAAAGTCATATTGGGTTATACTTTACCTTTCAATATTTAATCTCTATATATCAAATATACATATTCAAACATAGGGGCATATACAATTTATGGAACTTCAGCTTCAGTTGCTTCACTTCTTAAGGAATCATAATCATATTCTTATAAAAGTTATGATTTAAATCCAATTATACTTTATGGATCCTATGTAACATTATAATTCAATAAAGTATGATCACTTGTTACAATCAATAAACCTTAATTTGTATTCACCATATTAACTAAAATAGGTGTACTTAAATAATATGATGGATCATTTGCATGTTCTTCATCAGGATTATGAGTAGCATTATAAATTATACTATGATGATTTTCATATTCAGCAAATTCAATTGAACCTTATTTTGAAAAACATATATCCCAAGGATAACTATTATTTCCTTGCAATTCTATATTGATAGCAAACTCAGCATTTTCGAAGTCTGTAATAAATTATCGTGATCCCTGAATAACCTCCTTCACTCCACTCACTTCACTTTCAATTAAGAATGTTTTAGTAGTCAAATTTAATAATTCTTCTCCTATTACTTAGAACACAATGACTAAAATAAATAAAAACATAATAAATATATTGTAATTAAATTTAAAATTTTAATTATAAAAGTTCAAAATTTAATATAATCATCTTTTCTTCTACTTTAAATATTAAATCTTCTAGAATTCTAATTAATATATAATTCAATTTTATAGAGTTAATTGTTCTGAAACTTCAAATGAACTTAATTGTCTATAAATCTAATTAATTAATTCTTCATTTTTAGAGATAATATTTATGAATTTGATCATTTAATCAAATATATAATTCTTTTATTACTTTAAAATAAGTTTAGAATAATTTATATATATTATGAATATCTCATTTAAATTATTTATTTAATTATATATCTTTATATACAATTAAAAATAGATCTTAATTTCAATATATTTGAAGATTATATTTGAATAATTGATAATCAATATAATAATAATAATGAATATAAATTTCTCATTATTCATCATTTGTTAATTGGTACCAAATTAACGACTTCTCATTTTAGGTTAATAAATTTGTAAAATCATTTGTTACAAAGATATTGTTTTCATCTATTTCTTATTCAAAAATTAGTTCTAATTTACCATCTTCTTAAACTTACCAAACCTTTAATTTGTTATTTTGACATTAAGATAATAATGAACCATCATCATTTGCTTATAAAGGATTAACTTCATAATTTGTCTTTTTGTTTTCTGGATCCCATTCTGTAGATATTAATTAAAATAATCCTTTTTTATTTCTTTACCAAATTTAGATTTAATCCTTTTAATTTAATGTTATAATCATTTAATATACTTGATTCCATAATGTTGTAGTGAAACTTTGATGAATTTATTAATAAATTATCCAATTCTAATTTTCTTTAATCAAAATTGTTAATTTAGATAATGATTTGCATATTAGTTTTTTGCCATCTTCTATAAATGTTAGATCATGAACTCTTTCTGGTAACATATTGAAAGAACAATTAAATTCCCAATTTTTATCATTTAAACTCCAAAAATTAATCTTCTAATCTTATGTACTTATTACAAAATCATTAACAATATTAAATACAATTGAATCTAAAATTGAATGACAATTTATTTGTTTGTATATTTTTGTTGATAATTAATAAATTTAAATCTTTGAATTACTACCCCATGCATAAAATTCACCATTTGGACTTATACTAAATAATTCTGCTGGAATTGCATTTTTTAAAGATTCAAATTATCCAAATAAACTATATTAACTTGGTTTAATTATAGTAATTTAATTGTTAATTTCTTATCCAGGTGATACTGCAATAATTTATTAATTCTTAATATCTTAATAAATCCTCTTTATACTTTATTTTGAAGATCTGATACTTATTTCATGTTACCTTAAAAATTGCATATTTTTCATTTTTACAAAATCCACTTAATTTTTTAATACATGATATTCATTTTTTCCATTTTTATGATCATCTTATGTAAGGGAATGAATACAATTTAAAGTAGTTTCACATTTAGTTAATTATCTATAAAATTCTTAAGTTAATGAAGCTGTAACTCCTATTTTTGAACTTATACAATCTAATTATTATGTTTATAATATCTCATATGCTAATTGATTGATATTTTCATTTTCAAGATTTTCTAAAATAAACTTGATTTTTTAATTTATTTGATTTTATTATTCACAATTCTTTTCCAAATTTTGAATTACTCTATCACAATAAATTTCAATTGTTTTATTTACATCTTCTCTAAAACTATTTAATTTCTGCTTTTATTACTATTTAAATTCATCTGATATTGTTTATGATAAAATTTAATTTAAAAGAGTGATTATTTCAGCCTAACTTAATGGTTCATTATCTTAATTACATTCCTTTTATTCACAACATAGATAACAATTTCCATTTCTATACTCAAATTGTTCATATTTCAAACAATGACTTTTGCAATAAGAATTTCTTCCTTTATCATCTAATTGTATATAGGAAAGGGGTTTTGAAGATAAACTTAATTTTTTTTTCATTATTATTTTTACTTCTAAACCTTTTATAGTATTTTCTAAATACTAAATATGTGGTTATATTATTTGGAAAAAAGCCTTTTTAAAAATTGTACATTTTTATTTATTAATATATACAATAAAATATATTAAATTATAACTATTTATATTTTTAATTAAGGATGATTTTATATAGTATTCTATAAATATATATATATAGATTTATTCAATTGATAAATGTAACAACACTTTTTAAATATAATACTATCATTTATTTTTCAACTAAATTGTAGTAGGCTTGAGAGTTTCACTTTATTCTTATTAATCTAATTTAAATTCTTAGTCAATTATATAAATATACTCTGATTTACTTGTTTATATTTAGAATTTGATGTTATAATATGAAAATATATGAATAATAAAAAATAATAATTATCCTTATATTTTAATTATTATTCATTAGTTTAATCTATTCTACAACAATTATTAAATTACAGACTCAAAACTTGGAGATGTAATTTATGTTCCCAATTAATATAATGGGTTCATTAAGATCTTTATTAATTATTCATGAGCTAATTAACAAAATATTTTCACACGTTCTTCATCTTGATCAGTCAATACTAAAAATCTTATATTCGATGGTGTAACATAGCCATATACTCTATAGTCTTATTTTTAATCAATCTCTTTAAGAAATCTTTTTAATTATTATTGTATACAATTCTTTAGACGATTTATATTTTTCATCAAATACATCTAAGGCAGCATGTAGAATAAATTATGCATTTAGTACTTACTAACTACCTAAAGTAGTTTTTTTTAAGGGAAATCTTCTTTCATAAAGGGGATGATCCTCCTAAGATAAAATTAAGAACATATTCTTTTGATTTTTAAAATATATATATAAAATTTATAACAAATTAAAACTAGGAATACAAAGACTATTATTTTATTAGTTATTTTTGTAAGATGAATTTATAAACTATTCTGTAATATGAATCAATTGTATAAAATTAAAATATATATTAAGATTGATTTAGATAGTAAAATGGAAAAATATAAATAATTTTAGTTATTTTATTTAAATTAAAAAATTAGAATCAATGAATTTTAAAACATTTTGGAGAATAAACAATTTTAAGTAAATGATGTCTTTTATATTGATTAATCAAATAAAAATTTCATTCTTTTTATAATCTAAGAAGATTTTAGTCAATTAAAGAAGCTAAAATAATCTATTTAAGTATATATTTTGATCGAACTAAAATCAACGGAAAAGAATTATAAAGAGAAATAATATAAGTATAAATAAAATAAATGAAATTCATATTTAATAAATATCATTTACTTTTTATATTACTTTTATTTCATTGTATATTTAATTGAAAATTGAATAAAATCAGAATAATTATTATTTAAATTATTAAAAGTTATCATTATGAGATATATTTTTCAAAATTTTCATATTCTTACTTTATTGTAATAATTTATACTTCTACTTTTGTAAAACTAAATTTAAAATAAAATTATTGATTATTTAAGAGTGTAGGATATATGTTAATAAAGAAATTATGAAATAAAGATATTGATAATTAATGGTAAAAGTTATTAATAAATCATAAAAAATCATCATCTATTATAATTTTGTTTTCATTTTGATTATCCTCATTATTAAACAATTCTCTTTTTATACTTTAACATAAACTCATAAACATATTTTTTGTTGCCATAAATATTTATTCATCATCAGTATCAACATCATGATCTTATTTAATATCTTTTAATTTGCATTATTTCATAGTATCTTTAATACATCTAAAAGCATAGATCTAATCGCCTTTTTTATATTTTATTAATTATCCACTAACAATCTTTTTGCCATCTTTAAAATTAGCATTTCTCATTTTCATTGAAATCGACTTTTTGTGCCAAACATCCTTAGAAATGGTCTTTTAAGTAATTTAAACTTATTGCTTAGGTTAAGGTTTAGTGATTTTAGAGGCTTCATTCAATTTATTTATCAAATTCACTTTAGGTAGATCCCTTTAAACAGGCATATTTTCCTTTTACTATGAATAGAACTTAGGTTTAAGTCTAATAGGTTACTGAGAGCTTTGTGATAGGGTCATTAATCTTTTTTGGAACAGGAACATTATTTAATCGTTAAATATTATTGTTTAACTTCATTAATTAATAAAAAAAATCAAGTTTAAATTTTACTTTTGAATTTCTATATCATTGTTGAGCTCTAGAAGCATGAATTTATTATTGTTATTCAAGTTTTTATTTTTATTCTTGTTCTTACTGTTTTTTCAATATGTGTTATCCAACAATAATTATAAATTAACCAGGCAATAGAAATACATAACCAAAACAAGCAATAGCAGATGGATAATATTGAACAGTAGCAATATCACATAAGATAGCTGTAATAACAGGTTCAAATAAGGCAGCAGTAGCAGGTACAATTGGTTCAAATAACTTACTAATTAATATAGAAGAGATGAAAACTCCAATACTTAACATAGTAGACATGTAACTAATAGAATAAGAATTAATAATTATACAAGAATCCCATAAATTTTCCATTTTGAAATAAACCAAACCAACCCCATCTGGAATCAAAATTTATAGATGTACCATCCATAAAAAATGAGACCATACACATATTTAGACAAACAAAAAAGGCCACACAAAAATTAGCTAGGAATGGAGGAAATACACTTCTGAGATCTTAATTAGCCTTTGATAATTCAGCTAAGATTATTGAAGCTAAAAACTATGATTAAGATTTAAATATTACTGGTATAGTATTTCCAATAATAATTCTCATCCAAATTGGTCTATTATATAATAAAGGATTAATGTAATTTTTAGCTGATTCAGGAATAGTATCAGTATTTAACATATATGAATCTAAACAAATAAGTAAATATCTATTAATAAATGATCATTTTACCCAGCAACACACATTATTTTACCACCTCCTTCAATATTATGGTTATTTTCTTTTTTTCGAAAGACAGATAACCAGAAATTAGTCTAAGAACCTAAAACGAAGACACTTGAAATATTGGTATAATCAAAACAAAAAAGAAATACTGCAAAAGTTACCGTTGTAGTCAAACTTGCCATATAAACCTTTCTCATATGAGTCCATCTCAACAAAAATTCCATTGTGTAAGCTGACTTAACCTTTTCGTTTCCTGTCCTATATTCATACATAATAAATGGAATAAGGAATATCCCTTACAATAAAAATCTCCAAGCAATACGTAAGTACTTGATATATATTACTAGTTACTTTTTCAGCTGGTATTGTCATAATCCATGGAGGCATCATGGCATTATTGAAAGATGCATAAAAAATAATACCCCAAGCCAAATACTAAGGAATTTTCTCATAAAGTTAATGATCATCTTCTTCGTCATCTGCCAACTTATTCAGTCCTACTATCTATGTTAATCGAGTGTTCAAAGTCAGTCTCTTGATTTACTTATTATTCTTCTATTTCTTATCATCAAATCCAAATGTTTCTTCAAATAAGAATCCACCCATTCCACTTCCAACAACAAAGCTCTTGACATTATCTTATTTCTATTATTAATCTTAAACTTCCTCATCACTCATTTCCTTCTGTTCATCTGGAATAAATTACTCATTTTCATCAGCTTCATGTTCCCTCTATTTACTTAATTCAATTATACATCTTTAGCTTTATCCAAAAGATTTTGGGCTAGGTCCATGTTTTCTTAAGAATGCCTTTCTTCCTTAATAGTTTATAAATGTTAAAGAGACATTAAATAATTAATTACATTTGAAAAACAATATTTGAATCAAATCAATCCCCTATATGATGAATGTTTAGATTATGTAAATCATATTTCCATTACTTTTTATATATACAGAATGAAAATAATAATCTCAAATAAATTATTCTAATATTTACTCAAATTTTTGAATGAATATTATATAATATCGTTATTTTGGCACTTTAGAGTATTATATAAAAAATAGATATGCTTTGAATAATGAATATATTGATTATTTATATCCACATAATACTTATGAGGATTATCATATCTAATTAGATTTTTGATTGTTTATTATGAAAATATTTAATTTTTTTCATTAACATAAATTCAGTTTGTTGTACCTATGATTTATCTTAAGATTATTAAAAAATAAATTAAAATATCATCAATATCTAGGATTCACTGAATATCCTATAAGCTTTAATTAGAGATCAATTTTGTCTACCTATCAAATATTATCAAAATTGATATCTCTTATCTCAATCTTTAAAATATTAAATCTATATTTTTTATATAACTCTATTTCTTTATAATTCTTTATTTTTCTAAGTCAATTAATATCATCAATTATTAATTTTCTACATTTAATTATATATTTTTATCAGTTTCTAATTTTTCATTGTTATTGAATAATTAATAATTCATATATCAATTAATTTGGACATAAACAAAAATTCATTTAATTTCTCATTGAATGAATAAGACATCTATTTTTCTGAACTTAAATCTTTTTTTATTAAATATCTAAATTTAAAATCATAAAATAAAATCAAATTTTGAATCGAATACGAACATTCCGTTATTAATTTGAATAATAACATGTAAATACTTTATCATTATTATAAGACTCTACTATAATTAAAATCTAATCAAGTATAATTAATTTTTTTCCAATTAAACAATAAAATATACAAAATTTGTATTGAATTTGATTTTTTCATATACTTAAATACCCTTAGACAATTGGAATGATTCTATAAAATGCTATGAAAATTTAATAAAAATTTAGAAATGAATTTTTTTCTATAAAAATACCAGTCTCAATTAAATTATTTGCAGACTCAAAGAAGCTTATTTTAGGACTCACTATCAATATTGGTTTATTCATTTTTATTTTAGAAAGAAAAATTATAGAAAAAAAGATTTTTAAATTTTGTGAAGGAAAAATCAATTCAGTGCTTCTAAATTGCTTAGAAATATATTAATGAATTATCAAATTTCAATATAAAGTTAAGAATCTAATTATATATTGATTGATATTTTATTTTTTAAGAGATAGGTTTAATGTAGTCCTTGAAAAATTTTGATAAAAATTTAAACTATTTGAGGCCTAATTTCTGGTAGAGAATGGGGATTATAATTGAAATGTCTATCAAAAATGTGTATGATGTGAGAATTAAAAAAATATTATTAATGATTAATAATTATTCACATGAAGATAGAATACATGTAAACTAATTCGTCGTATCATTCTTAATAGCCTAGTTATAATGAATTAAATTAATTAATAATTTATTTTTGAATTACCAAAATTTCATTCAGATGAATCCAGATCTAATGTGCAATTTATACTCCTAAGGCTAATATTACAATCCATTCTATTACTTACAACAATAATAGATGCTATAATATAGTAATATTTATCCATTCTATGTCATAAAGTGATGTTTTAATAGTTGACCCCTACCATATCGATGCCCTCATATAAGTATGAAACACAGTTCATTTTGAATAATGGAACGACACACCAATAGATTGAATCACCAAATATCACAAATACTGCCCAAAATACTCATTCAACTGAAGTTGACTATGGACTAGAAGAAAAGTGTGAATTGGTTGATGACGAGTCTCAATCAAGAGTAAATGGTATGTATTATTCTTAAGTATAGGACATTGGACTAAACAAGAACATTTATTATATCTAGAATTCGTTAAGAGTCATGAGTCTATTTTAAGGTCGAAGTATGATAAAAAGTCAAAAAAAATATTTAAATTAATGAGTCAGTTTATCCCAACAAGAACAGCTACTCAATGTCGATCTCATCATTAGAAATTTAATCCCTTGGCAAAAGGTAAAAAGAAAAATAGATAAATAAACAAACAAATCCCAACTATCATCCATCAATGAAATTGCCATCTTTGATTCTATTAATGTTATTTCAATTTTTTCAATAGAACAAATTTTCTCACTCTGTTGTATCCATTATTAAATAATTTATATAAGTTCAAATACATTAATCAAAAATAATTAGTGATTTACTTTTAATTTGATTTCATTTTATAGTGATTCAAATTTCTATGGATATTAATGTAGTTAAGGTCTCTTTATTATAATTTGTTCTATGTCATAATCTAAAATCAGATTTTTTATTTTCATCATTAATTCGAATTTAAGAATTTTCTGGTAATTCCCTTTCTACACTCTACTATATTATATCTTCATTAGACATAGAAAATCTTATTAGATATTCTAATTTACTAGATTATAAACTAATTTTAACTTTATTTAATGCTTTAAGTGCATATTTTTTCAAATTTATTTTTAATTTCTATAATATTCCTTTTTTTTGAATATTCTTTGAATAAAAGTATGAATATCTCTAAATCATATTTTATATCTATCACTTGTTTTTAATCAACATAGTATTATATCCATACTTATATTTAATGACAATTAATATATAATCTATGAATTAAATTAATTTTCTAGAAATTAATCTAAATAATCACTAATCGACTTTTTTATTCATTTGTAATATCTTAAAAATCGATTTGGAACGAAAAGTGTTATTCTCTAAATTTAGTATTTGAAAAAGTTTTTTTTATTAATTATTCTTTGTAGATTAGCCAAATGATTTTGATAATGAATATCATTAAAGATATCGAAGCATATTTTATTGATTAAATATTATGGATCTTTTTATATACATGAATCGAATAATTATATATTATTGGAATCAAGATTGAAATGTTAGGTTAGGTTTTTCTACATATTTTTTAATTTAGTCTTAAATACTAAAGTCTTTTCAAAATAGTTTAATTAAGTTTAATTGACATTATTATTTAATAAAAAATATAACTATATTCTATTATATATGAATGTAATTGCATTTTAATAAAAATTAAGACCTAGGTTTTAATGCATAATATAAAAAAATTAATTTTTAATATTTGAAAATAGAATTTTTATTTCTGAATTAGAAATCATTTTAATAAAAAAAAAAAGTTGTTTAGGTGAAAAATAATATTTGAATTCATTAGTAATTTAATTGTTAAATAATAATAATATAATTAACATATTTAAAAATGTAAGAAAAAATATGTGAATTATTATGGCTGCAAATACCAGGAGTTTGTCGATTAACATAGCAATGTGTCCATCACATGTCAGGAATGTTAGTTGAAGATACACCCTAGAATGCTGCTGATGTTTAAGAGTTATTAGGGGAGTATTTTAGAAACGGAGGAAAATTGACCACATAAGAAATTAATAAAATTTGCTAAAAAATATTTGATAATCTTGGAAAAGAATAACTTATAAAAAAAGAAAAGAAACATACATTAGCAGCTGAACAATTACCAGAGGAAATAATACTTTCTGAAATGGATTTTTATTTGGAAAAAGAGTCTGTAAGATTAATATATTAAAATTTTAGGAAACAATTAAATTTGAAGATTTATTTAAAGAATAAGTGGCAACAAATACAAATGAATAAATTTAGAAGAAGGATCGTAAAGAAAAATTAAGATAGAAGGAAGATGTTAAAGCTAAGGAAGCATATGAAAAACATATTAAAACAATAAAAGAATAAAAAACTCATATTCCTCCAGCAAGAGTTAGACATAGTAAAGCAGATTAGGATGGAAAGAAATTAGATATTGTAATTGATAAATTATCTATAATTGTGGGAGGAAGAGCATTATTGGAAGACACTAATTTATAATTGATATATGGTTAAAAGTATGGTCTAGTTGGTAGAAATGGTATTGGTAAAACATGGTAATTGATAATCTCATCCATATTATAGTTTAATGAATGCTCTTGCAAGATATGAATATGAAAATGCTGATAAATTCAGACACATATAAGTTTTGTTGGTTGAATAAGAAATTTCAGAAACAGATAAGAATCCTGTTGAATTAGTATTGGAAACAGATATGGAAAGATTAGAATTATTAGAATAAAAGGATAAATTAGAAAATTCAGAAGATCTAAATGCAGGATTAAAATTATAAGAAATATATGAAAGACTTGAATTAATTGAAGCACATTTAGCTGAAGCTAAAGCAATCAAAATATTATAAGGATTAGGATTTACTAATGATTTGATGTTTAGAAAAACTAAACATTTATCAGGAGGTTGGAGAATGAGAGTATCATTGGCAAGAGCTTTGTTTGTATAACCAGATGTATTATTATTGGATGAACCTACAAATCATCTTGATTTAGATGCAGTTATGTGGTTAGAAGATTATGTTATTAATTGTAAACATACAGTAATTGTTGTATCACATGCAAGAGAATTTTTGAATGTGGTTTGTAATTAAGTTATCCATTTCTATGATTAAAAATTAACACCTTATACAGGAAATTATGATTAATTTGAAAAAGGAAGAGCTGAAAAGAATGTTAATCAAAGAAAATAATTTGATTCTTAATAAAAGAAATTATCACATATGCAATCCTTCATTGATAAATTTAGATATAATGCTAAAAGAGCATCTTTAGTCTAATCACGTATTAAAGCTATTTAGAAAATGGATTTGATTGATGAAGTTTTAGAAGATCCAAGTTGTGTATTCATATTCCCAAATCCTGAAAAATTAAGACCACCTATGTTGAGAATTGAAGAAGGATATTTTGAATATCAATTAGATAAACCTATCCTTAAAGGACTTAATTTTGCAGTTGAAATGGAATCTCGTGTAGCTATTGTTGGTGCCAATGGTGTTGGTAAATCAACATTATTGAATTTATTAACTGAATAAAGAAGATTGACTGCAGGTAATTACTTTAGAAATCAAAGATTGAGAATTAGCATGTTTACTTAACATCACATTGAATAATTAGATCTTATGAAGAGTCCTTTAGAATAATTGATGACTACTTTCCCTGGAGCATCAGGAGAAACATATAGATCTCATTTATCATCATTTGGTTTAAATGGTAATTTACAATTAAGACCTCAATATTTATTATCAGGAGGATAAAAAAGTAGAATATCTTTTGCAATGGCTGTTTGGAATAATCCATAAATTTTAATTATGGATGAACCTACCAACCATCTTGATATCGATGCTGTCAATGCTTTAATCATTGCTTTGAATAATTTCACTGTATTTAATTCTATATTATAATTAGGGTGGTTTAGTGATAGTTTCACATGATTAATACTTTGTATCAACTGTCTGTGATTAGATTTGGTATATAAAGGAAGAGAGACTTAAGAAGTTCAATGGAGATTTTGATGATTATAAAAGAGCTTTATCAGAAGGAAAATTAGCTTGAATATCTTATTATCAATATAATACAATTGTGTACAATAAATTAATTAATTTATTAAAATGCAAACAGTGTTCAAGAATGCTTTAGCCAAATATAGAGTTGTTTTTCTAAGACATGGTGAATCTTAATGGAATAAAGAAAATAGATTTACAGGATGGCATGATGTTACACTCTCATAAAAAGGAGTTGAAGAAGCTAAAGCTGCTGGATAATTATTAAAGAAAGAAGGATTCTAATTCCATTAAGTTTACACATCAGTGTTGACAAGAGCTATTTAAACATATAATTATGCCGCTGAAGAAATGGGATGTCACTATTTACCAGTCACTAAAAGTTGGAGACTTAATGAGAGACATTATGGTGCTTTATAAGGCTTAAATAAGAGTGAGACAGCATAAAAACATGGTGAAGATTAAGTCAAAATATGGAGAAGATCATATGATATTCCACCTCCTCCTTTGGATCCAACAGATGCTAGAAATCCAGCCAATGATAGAAGATACGCTGATGTTCCTAAAGATGCTTTACCATTAACTGAATGTCTTAAGGATACAGTTGTTAGAGTTATTCCATTTTGGCATGATCATATTGCTAAAGATATTCTTGCAGGAAAGAATGTTTTAGTGGTTGCTCATGGCAATTCATTAAGAAGTATTGTAAAATACTTAGACAATGTTTCTGAAAAAGGTATATGAATATTTAATTAATTAGATATTCTTGAACTGAATATTCCAACAAGTGTTCCATTAGTTTATGAATTTGATAGCAATTTAAAATCTTTGGGATCTTATTATTTAGGAGATCAAGAAGAAATTAGAAAAAAAATGGAAGCCGTAGCAAAATAAGGTGCAAAGAAATGATAAAATAAATTAGTATCAATAAACAAAAATAAATATAATCTTCATTAATCATCATTTGAAAAATTAAAGCTTTTTGAATTAATCTTTGGAAATCTATTTTTTGTTGATTCTGGTCTACAACTTTAGCTATTTTCAAATAATTATTGTCTTAAATCTGAGTCACAAAACAGATTTGAAATTTGTTTGACTTTTGAAGATAACTAATGCATTTCAGCTTATGGTCGAATGTCCATTCCATGTTCTATTATAATAACAATTTTATACATTTCCCTAAAATATGAAGTGGTTTTATGCCTTAATGTAAATATAGCCTAGTGTCTCCAAAGGCCTCATCATTAATTTATATAATTGGTTAGAAATTAATTTTTAATTAATTTTGAGGATTTTAAATTGATTACTAAAGTTAATCACTATTTTGAACTTCTGATTTTAATTATTAGTGTTTTTATTATTAAATATATTATTAAAATACATTTTATGGTTGATCTATGTTATCAGAAGGTGTTTTTTGTTCATGTGAATTATTTCTTTTTAATTCTGATTACTATTATTACTTTTATTTTTAAGATTCCAATTTTTGTTCATATTTATATGTCTTACATATATGATTGAATAGTAATTAGACATGCCGAAATAGAATTTCGATTTATCCAATTTAATCTTTTAAACAAAATTATTTTTAAATTTTATGACTTATTAGAAGTGGTTTAAATTTTTCTTAAGGTTTTTCAATGGGTTTAATTTCTTGTATTGTTTAAGAATTCAAAGTATTAGAATTAATTCTTTCATATATTCCATTAATTGCAAAAGCAATATTTTTCATTTCATTATCGATTGCAACAATTTAATTTTAGGTTCTCTCATTTAATTGACAATAATTGAATTCTATTTATTCTAATTTTATTTTAGTATAATTTTCATTTTAAAAAATGAAATCTTATAGTTTTGAAAGTTCTTTGAATGCACTTTACTCTTATGCCAAAATTTGCATAATTTATTCATTATTATTATTCTTACCTTAAGTTGCATCTTCAAATTACTTTATCATTTATTCTCTTAATTCTTTAATATTTAGATTGCATAATTATGATTATTCTATTATACTAATTTAAATGATTAATTATTTACCTATGAACTTATTATTACACAACTTCTTTAAATAAAGTATTTTGATGTTATAATATATGTATTTTGTTTTATTATTATTTTTGAAAATCCATCTAAAAGTCTTTTTATATGTTAAGTTGATTTTGTATTTGTTCATATTTGGATTCATATTTTCTTATTTAAATTTAATAATTAGAGATCTAATGAAATTGATTTGTGATTCTTTCATCTATTAACTTTTAATTATTATCTAGTTTATTTTAAATAGTCTCTTCAGTTAATTTCAACACTTTATCAACTATAAATTACCCTATATTTTAGTTAGTTAATAGATTCTTTTAAATAATACTTGCAATATATCGATCATTAGATTTTGATTCCCATTTTTTATCTAATTCCTTTATAATTTCATCATATTAATTGAATCTTTACTCTAATTCTTTAATTCTATTTTATTCTGAAATTTCTTTTTATTTTTAAATACATTCAAACTCCATTATTTTACGATTAACTTATTCTTCATATTTCTTATAAAGATTTCCTACTGATTAATCTAAATGACACTTCAATTCACAAACATTCTAATTAATATTATTTTATACTTAAGTATTAAGATCGCAGATTTATCTACTAGTCTAATTATCTTATTATTATAGTAACAATTGCTCCTTTATTGATCTCATAAACAAATTAGTATTTGTAGCTAATAATTGAAAATCTTAATTAAGAGTACTCATTCTTAATAATAAATCAGTGTTGATAGTCTATGTCATATTTATGTTATTAATTATTATTTTATAATCACATTAATTCAAAAGAAATTTAATTAATATGAATATAAATAGACAATAGATGTTTAATATATAAACCATAAATAATGAATTTTAGAATATTTATATAATAATTTTAATAAATTGATGATAAAAGAAAAAGTGATTTTAAGAAGTGAAGTTTATCATGTGTATTCATCTGAATAATAGGAAAGAATGAAAGTATATTTTGATTTATCAGAAAGTAATGATAAAATTGATTAATAATATTAGAATATCAAAAATGTCTAGAACCATGTTAAAAATTAGTTGATGGTGAAATTTGCAAAAAGAATTGTGAAAAAGTATTTGATGATTACACTAAATTATTATAACATCGTTATGAAGGAGATAAAAAAGAATTAATTGATGCAAAAGTATTAAATTTCATTCTTAAAATTAGGTTTCAGGATTGCCTTCTTTTGATAGTTTCAAAAGAAAGGATAGAGGTTTCTTTTATAAAGTTTTTGGATTTAATTTTAGTGAATTTTGGGAACCTGATCAAAGACAAATTAAACAAATATGAATATGTAATAAATAAAGAATTTGTTTATATATATATATATATATATAAAAACACTTTTAATATCAAGAATCAATTTCAAACCAAGAATGTTACATTAATTCTTGGCATGTTGGTCTTTTATTTGGATCCATGTCAAGCATTAAAGTTATTATGTTCTATAATTCTTTTGATCTCTTTTTCCAATCAAATTTTCTAAAGGGTATGGGACCTTATGTATACTTGTATCTATAAATATAATAATAGATTAAACGACCCTTGAATTTGAGTAGGTTTATAACCACAACTCATTGTATACAATATTATTCCAAGAGACCATATATCTATTTTAGGAGTCACTATAGCATTATTTGTTATTTCTGGAGCTATGTAATTGTTTGTTCCACACTTTACTGGCATTAATCCTTGTCCTGTATTTAGATCATAAATATGCACCAATCCTAAATCTCCTAATTTTACCTAATTAAAAAAGTTGAATACATTTCTAAACACTTGATCCTCTAATTTTTCACAGAACAGATTCTCTAATTTAATGTCACAATGAATATATCCTAGCCAAGAATCGGTAGAATACCTTGCTTATGCAGGTAGTCTAGTCCTTCCAATACATCTGACATATAGGACTTCATTTTTGTCTCTGTTGATATTATCTTAAGTTCCTTTATATATTTATATGTATATTATTACAGTTTCTATTTTATCCCTAAAATAGTTAGCATTATTCATGTATTCTAAAATTAATGTATATTCTCCTTCATTTTAAAAACAATCAAATAATTCCACTATTTGATCATTTTTTATTTAAGAATGTACTTAACATTCCATCAAAGCTTATTTTCTTTATATATCATTGAATAATTAATCTTTAAAAATATGTTTAACTACTACTGTCTACTTATTATCTATTCTGATACTTGTTGCAATTAATTATCATAACCTAATTCAATTTAAGTTGGAGACATTTCTTCATTATAAATTTCTTCCAAATCTTTATATCTGACTACAAATTAATCCTTTGAAAATATTTTGGGTTAGTATTCTTTTATCATACTTACTTTCTCTTAAATATTATATATATATTAATTTCTGAATATTACTTAATATTCAAAATAGTACACACTATTATTAATGTTATAAATATTTCAAAAGACTCAATTAATTATTATTTGACTCTTCTGATTTCATTTTTCTTAAATCAATAAATCTTTCTTAATATAATCTAGAAATTCTTAATAATTTATTACACCAGTATTGATATATTTATTACTACAATAATATACCTATATCCTATAAATGTTTCATTATATCATGATCATAAAACTAAGCTTATAATATTATATTAAAGTTTGAAAATTGGAAATTTATACAGAATAATTAGATCAATTTTCATTTAAGATGATCAAAGGGTTATATAATAAAGAAATTATAAATCACAAAAATAGCATTTTTAGAATTTATTTCGTTGAAAAAGTTAGTGAAAATAAATAAAATAGTCAAAAGATTTAAAAGGTAATTTAAGTTGTTTATTTGTTCATTACTTTGGTTTTCTAAAGCTGCTATAAATCACTTTCTACTTTTTATCAAATGTGACTTTTTTAACTGATTTTTGAGATTCTCCATCATTTTAACAATTTCTTGGACTAGGAGGATGTTTAAGTATTGGTTTATATTTGACTATTTTATTTATTTCATAATACCTTCAAGCAGTGCACTATTTGAATCATCTCTTGAATCATTTTATTAATCTTTTTGATTTTCTTAGAGATTTACTTATATTCCTTCAAATTATTCTAGAGGTTCAATTCTATTATCATTAATATCCTATTTTGAAGTGCTCTAATCTTAAGTGGTCTATTTAGGAATTGAATATTATCTTTCCCTTTGAATATCCATAATCTCTTCAGGAAAATTCAATTTATTTATAGGTTATAGTTTATGAATTTTAGGAGGCTTAGATATATCAATTTTAGGTTTCTTCTACATAGTAACTTCATTTTATGAAATATTTTAAGCATTTGGACATATATGAGCACCCATCAATAAATGCTTAATCTAAATGATGATAATATTTATTTGATCGCATAAAATTATAAAATGATAGATTTCCAAAACTTAGAAACAAAAAAAACCTTTGAAACGTAAATTACTGAGAAATATATTTAATATAAAATTTTTGAAATTCTCAAATATGAATTACATACCACCATTTTTGATCTAATCAAATATATTATATATAAATTACAAAAATTAATAATAAAAAATAAATGAATTTTAAATAAGCATTAAGTTCATCACAATCTAATCACCATAATATTCACATTCAAAAAATAAATTAAAAAAAATTTGATATTAAATAATTCGAACTAATTAATATTAAACAAACTGATATTATAAATTAATTATGATTTCAATCTGACAATTTCAATTTACAGGCTAAATAACTAATAAATAGACCACTCAACCATATATGATGACTAACAAACAAAAATCCTAAATTATTAATAATATGATATTACTTTTAATTATATCTGAAAAATTACGCTACACTTAAATGATATTGAATGCAATAACAAAAATTAAAAATAATATTACACAAGCCAATGCCCAACTCCATGCTGCATAATTATTAATACAAATAATCGAGACTGATAATAATGGAAAATAAGTTGATATTAATTCATTCAATCCATTAAAAATTTTAGATGTCCTTGTCTAATTTTCAAAAATATATAATACATTTTATGTAAGATTAGGAGAGATTGTTGATAATTAAGGAATTTATTACAATTATTATGACTACTATATTTATTTCTTCTCTCCTTCTTCTACCATATTCATCTGTTGATTTTGTAAAACATTTCCAACAATTTATAACTCTAATTACAATTAATCATTATATAATATACCTGGGCCTTAAATTCCATCATGATCAATTCCTTTAGACTAATATCTTTTATTATCATGTAAATTTTATTAGCTATATGACTTTGCTCTAATTTCTTATTAATCTAAATGTATGTTAGTCTTTATGTAAAATTTAAGTAGAACAGCATTTACAAATAGTAAAAAGGGAAAGAAAAACCAGAAAAATTCAATAACTTGTGAGGATGTAATCTATTCAGACATTAGTAATTTGAAATTAATATTAGATTATTTTAGGGTAAATAAACACTAACTAAAATAATTCAACAAAGATAGAAAGAATTTTATTTATTTAACTAGATTGACATAAACATCAGATAATTTAAGAGTATTTTAAATTGCATTTCAACATAAAAGATTCAAAAATTAATGAAACTATTTAATGTTGTTGTAGTTATTAATTGAAGTAAAATTCAAAAAACAATAAATAAGAATAATATATATAAATCAAGAATTCGTATTTCTGAGCAAGAGTTCATTTATTTTTCATAATTAAGAGATGGTTTTTATACAAATTTGAATAGTTTTCTAATTATTAATAATTATTATAGAGGTAATTTGTACTATCATCAGAAAGACTTGTATCAGAATTAATTTCTACTATAACAGCACTTTATGAAATCTACATAGGATTTTATAAAATGTTAGAAACAGATGATTACTTTTTTTCAAAGCATTCCAATGTGGAAGGGATTTATAGAGATTGACTAATAATTTGTTATGTCTATAATTACCATTTTATTGAAAAAGGCTACAATTTTTCACTCTATTACATAATTTTAGCTTAAGCTATTATCTCTTCTTCTTTGCACCAATCAAACAAATTATCATACTCAAATCCATGTCTTTAACCTAATTTCCTAAACAAATTTATTAAATAATCATAATCAGGTTCAACTGAGAAACCAAGACTCTTAATATGACTTAATTTAAACATTTATTAATTACTCTAAAGCTTTTTAAAATTCGATTGGTAAATCTTAACAAATTTCAGTAGAACTTAATTTAATCTTTTTTTCACCAATCATTTTTTATCTCTCTTTATTATTTTAAGAAATCTAATGTTGCCATGGTAGAACTCTTTAATCTAAATTAACAAATTCTTTATACCCTTTTAAAAATAGAACTAATATATAAATTAATGTTTCCATATCATCTTTTCTACTCAATTCATGACCCTTATGAGCAGCAATAGGAGCATATCGAGTAGTTCCTACAAATGGTCTTCCCTCTCTAAATGGTCTAAATTTCATAATAATCTAATTTTACATATGCTTTTAAGAGTTATCTTTGTATATCTTACTTATACCAAAATCTACAATGTAAATTTATCTCTAATGATACATGATATTTTCAGGTTTCAAATCTCTGTGCAATATAGATTTCTAATGAACATTTCTTAAAATTTATATTAATTAATCTGCAATCATTAATACTGTTTTTAGACTGAATTTTCGATACTCTTTTAAATAGCATCCGAGATCCTTAGATAACAACTACATAACAACTATGTTTTATCCATTATGAATTCCATTCCAATAAATTTAAGGAATTCCTGTAATTTTTTACAATCGAGATAAAGCTGAGACTTCTCTTTCCAAGGTTTGAGGTTTATCCTTTTTCTCAATCTTTATAGCAACAGATGATTTATTTGGAATATTCTCACCTTCATAAACTATTCCATAACTACCCGCTGATAATTTCCTTATTAGTTGATATTGATTGTTAATGTAATTCATATTATTTTTCAAAATAATTTAATATTTTAAAGTTATCCATAATATATATTATTTTATCATAATTAAATTAGTGCATTATTGAGGTTGGAATTGAAATAAATTAAAAAATATTTTGAGTGTTGATTTTGATAGTGCATGTTGGCAATTACTCAAAGTAAATAGTACTCATAGAGCATATATTTACTGTACTATTTATAGACAAATACTTAAATTTAGCAATTTGGATGATTATAGAGTCTCGATAATTACAAATCAAATATACTTAATATAAATTAAAACTATAATTAATACATACAGCTTATAATATACCAAAATATATCTTCTAAAATTAATTTATTAAATATTGTTTTTAAATTTTCTCATATATTTGAAAGAAATAATGCCTATCTCGATGGTTTATATACATTATAGATTAATTGATAATAAATATATATTTAAAAGTTCAATAAATGGCAGCAGATGGCTCTTTAGAATGGAAATATATGCCAGTCACTGGGGTTTTAGTTGATCAAAAATCAAATAAAGTAATATGGGAGCTGAAATCAGAAGATTCTAAGTGGCCAAAAGATTTATTTACAGTTTCTATTTCCTAGTCGAAGGAGTTCATGTCTGATCCTGAGCTTGGATGGAATTGGCACAAATCATGGAACTTACCTGATATAAATTATACATTAAATGTATTGATTAATCAGGTATGAAGTTTAAAAACAATGATACTACTATGAGAGACTTTCGAGGAGGAATTTTGGAAGTGTAATTGTTTGTTATCAAGAGAGGACTAATTGCTAATTAATACATAAGTCTTGGATTAAGAGGAAATGCAAAATTGGCATTATTTGAACCTTCTATAACATTTAGTGGTTTGAAATTTGGAACTACATCCTATAATAATAAAGTAATTTAGAAAATTTAGTTTTAAGTACTCCAAGTTTAACTTTATATTTGTATTATCTTATTCAAGAAAAGAAGAAGTTCTTATATTAGACTCATAAATCTCTTCAGATGTGTTTGTTGATTCAAGAAATAGAACTGGTCATAACAATAGAGACATATCTTAAGAAATGTTTTTAGATCTTTTTCCACCGTAGCTTATTGATTAAATATTTTATAAAAGAGAAAATGCAAAATAGAACTCCAAATTTAATTAGATTGATAAATCACTTCAAGGTTTTATTAATTACTACACATCTCCTAACATTAGAAATAAGATTAAACATCCTCTATTTATGGTTATGAAATTTCCAAAATGTGTAAAATTATTCTTTAGTGCTAATTTTATAAAAAAATAAGAGAGTGTATTAATGCAAGTGTTGTCCCATTTAAGTTAAGTCAAACAACAATTGAGCCAGTCAAATGAGATGAAACTTTTAATAAAAGTTGAAAATTCTAATTAAAACACATTAAAGAAAGTAAATTTTATTAATATATTATAGGCTCTAGATATAATTAAATAGTTGGAGAATAATTATTATGAAATATACACTCAAAGAGCTAACATACCCTCAGACGCAGTAGAAATAACTGACATCTACTCTTTAACTAAAGAATACAAAAGGAAATACCAACATTTTATAGATCATGCAGAAGGCAAAAAGTAGCATGATAATACCAATACTTCTAAGGTCTAAAAAGCCAAATTGAAATAAACCTAGAAAAGCCTTGATTAAATAGTATACTAAGATGACCCTAATCACCATTTAATTCAAGTGAATGCTGACCGTATGCAACCAATTTTAGGGCAGATTCGTTAAATATCCAAAAATATATAATCAAATCACTAATAACAAAGTCAAAATGTCTTAGGAAACGAAGCACAACAAGTCAAAGACGAGAAGGAATAAGAAAATCATGCTTAAAATTTGCTAGAGAAAGATGTAGTTTAAAAAGATAAGTAAAATTAATATTTTTCTTTAGAAATATGAAACAAGGTCCTAATTTGAATCCCAAACTATTGAATAATTAATTTTAAACTCCTGAAGTAATATAATATTTATGTAGATCTTCAATCAATTTTCCAATCTTTAATATTGCAATGCCTACCAATAAGATTACAACTAATTTCTTTAGTGTTATCATAGCAATCAACAATATGGAAACTTTAATTTATTTTATCCCTATTATTATCATCAATATCATCCAAAGGAATGATTTATAATATAATTATATTCAGAAAAATTATTTATAAATTTCCAATTTTCCTTATTATCTCAAAAATTATTTATCATAGTTAATTGAAAGAATTTCCTATGATTGATTTAAGTTTTCGACAGGAACTAACTTTTTGAAAGGACCCTTATATTTTCTTTTCGTATGAGGTATTTAGTTATTTGATGTATTATTTTTATTTAATTACAACTCCTTCTAATCATTGATTATTTTATATAAACTTGATGTTTCTCTAGCTAACTAACTTAATCCTTCTACCTATATATAATAATAATATGATATCTACTTATAAATTTTAAATTGAATTTCCTTAAGCTATTAATTCATTCACCTTGTCCTATCTTTCTTCAAATCTTTAGACAAAACTCTTAGGTCTTTTATAAACACCTGAATTGTTCATTTATTTTATGATTTCCAATCCTTGAGCCTTTATTTTTTAGTTGGTTTCCAATACTTCTGAACTTGATCTTAATTATCTTTCCTTAAAGTCAAGAGAATATTACCCATAACTTATTTCCATGTCTTTCTGCATCAGTTTAAATTAAATCTAAAAGTTTTCTATCCTCATTTTTTTCTCTTTCTGCTTAGATTTTATTATAAATTGATTAGGAAACATGTCTTTTACATCTTTATGCTGACTTGATTACTCTTTATTACCAATTGATTTATTGTTATTCAAAAGATTTCATGATTCTATCATCTTTATCAGCAGCAGCTAAATCTGCTTGACTTAATTTTGATAAGGGAAGTTTAAATTAGTTTATTTTTTATTAGATCTGAACTTATTTAATTTCTTCTTCAACTTAGCCAAGTTCCATATCAAATTCAATAAATTAATCATCTTCTACTTGATTATTTTTTTGTTTTTATGAAACTTTTGATTTATATTCTTTGTAACTTATAGGTTTGATTTTTATATTCATTTATGAATCTTCATTTGGTTATGCATTGATTAATTTTTTATCCATGATTTCAGGTTTACCAACTATATAATATGGAACTATCTTTCCATTTCTATATAATCTTTATTCATCAACCTCTTATTAGGTCATAAAAATGTTTGCATTTTTGTTTAAAGTTATAGACTTTCTCAATAAGTAATGTTAAACAGAAGACATTAATTAAATAATATTTATATAAAGGTGTTTATAAATATATTAAGTTTTGATAATATTTCAAGCATTTAAGAAGTAGATTTAAAATTTGAGTTAAAAAGCATTGCAAAAAGTTAATTAAATATTGTTTGAGAACATTTTTTTTTGTTTGATTAAAATTTAGAACTTATTATAAGTTTTTATTAAAACATTAACCCTCATATGATACTTTCAATATTTCATTAGCCTTATTTTTCGAATAATTTTATCCCTTCAAAATTATGTTAAATCTAGAAATGATTGAAAATATTTAATTAAAAAAATATTAGTTAAATATTGAATATTAAAATAATTTTTATAAAGCTCTTTTAGTTTTTTATGAGCTTATTATGAATTCAATTTGGAACAAATAATAATTAATGGTCAATATATAATTAAGAATATATTCATAAAAATTAATTTTTTAAATGGATTGTGTGTTTAATTAATTAAATATTTGTTACTTATATAATTGAATGTTATGTAAATGATTATGGATATGATGGTATTCTGATTATCATATGTGAATAATTAAAATTATTAGTATAATATATTTTGAATGTATGATATTTATATTAGCGACAATATAAATAGAAAGTAAATAAATTTATTTGAAATATTATTTTAAATAACGGAAGATATGAGTTCTCTTTTAAGACATAATCAAGCACCAGGTATCTATAATAATAATTAAATAGCTGCTGATGTTGCTGTAGCAAGTATTCCAACTCCATAACCTTAAGATTATGATTGGGTCTTGGTTTCTGGATTTATCGTAATATTGACTTAGGTTGGATTTGCATTTATTGGAGCAGGATCAGTCAGATATAAGAATTCATAATCAGTAGTAATCAAAGTTTTCTTGGGATTATTTTTAACCGTATTGATTTGGTGGTTGGTAATTGATAAGTAAATAACATTAGTTTGGATATGGATTTTCTTTCGGAGATGATTTCTAAACTAAATTCATGGGTGGAACAAAATTAGCAGGAGCAAAATGGGAAGCAACAGCCTATGGAAATGATTATACAAACTTTGGTATTATTAATAATTAATTTGAAATTAGTTTTCAGAGCATCAGGTGCAGCAGTAGGAACAGCTATATTGGCAGGAGCAGCAGCAGAAAGAATGACATTTTTGGGTTGGTCAATCTTCACTATTTTATATTCTGGATTTATTTATGCAGGATTAACACATTGGACATTGGCAGCAGGATGGTATTTTAAATTAAAAAATATTTTAGGTTGAGTGCTCTTGGATTTAAAGATTTCTCAGGTGCAGGAGTTGTTTTCTATGCAGCTGGTGTAGCAGGATTAATTTTGACAATATTATTGAAACCCAGAAAAGCCAGATTCGATAATGGAGCCACACTTGATTTCAATAGACATTCTCCATTATATATTGGATTTGGATCATTATTGGTCTTGGCTGGATGGCTTTTCTATAATGGAGGAGTTGTTAGTTAAGGAGCTAAATCTCAATACATTTAAGGTTTAGTAGCAGTTAATACATTGATTGCTGGAGCTACTGGTGGATTCTTTAGTTTTGTTATTAGACATTTCTAATATGGTACTTCAAATTTAGCAGCTTTATCCAGAGGAGTGATTTGTGGATTAGTTGCAGTCAGTGCTGCTGCAGATGATATGAAACCATGGACAGCTTTTCTTTATGGTGCTATTGCTGCATTAATTTACAGTTTCTTAGCTAAAGTTATGCCTGCTGCTCATATTGATGACCCTGCTGAAGTTGTATCAGTTTATCTTGTAATTATTAATATTAATTAAAATAGGGTTCAGGATTTGTTGGAATTTTGTTATCAGCATTATTTGACACTAAAGCTGGAGCATTCTATGGATTTGGAACAAAATTATTAGGTCATTAATTATTGGGATTATTGATTATTTTCGCTTGGGTGACCTTCTTTACATTAATTATACTTCTTGCCTTAAAAGGATTCGGTATTTTGAGAATCGATGCTGAAACTGAAAATGTTGGTATTGATAAAGCTTTATGTATAATTAATAATAGATTTTAGGTTTGGGTGAAGCTATTGTATTCGCTAATCAAGTTGATGAAATGCCTCTTGTTTAATAAACTGAATTAGGAAATCTTAGATCAAGTTAATTAGGATCAGGATTAAGATCTGGATTCAAATGAATCAATTAGATAAATTATAAATTATAAATTAGAAAATTTATGTATAAATTTCATCCTTCATTCTTTAACACATTTAAGAATTACTTTGCAGCATATTCATAATCTTCCAAACAATTATAAATACTAGCACTAAATCTAGCCCATGATCTTCCATCAAATTCATAGAGAACAATAAATACATTATATTTCTCAAAACACTATAAAATATTAATATATTAAATTTTTACTATTTTCTAACAATCCATTATATAAGGATGATCTTTGTGTGGCACTAATACATTCACCATAGCAGAATGCATAGATTAGTCTTGAACTAATAATTCAGTTTACCAAATCTTAGCAACTAAATTACTACCTTCCCAAGCTAAATTCTCACAATATTCAATTATTTATTTTAGACCAAATGAGTTGATATAGTTTATTCCATCAATTACAGATAAGATAATACTTGCATCTCTAGTACCATAATATTCAAATTCTTTTTCAATGCCAGCTCCATAAAATACAGATATTGTGTTGTTATGTATTAAATTCAAATATTTCTCCTTCACATATAATAAATTAACACTACATGGACAGAATGCCCATTTGTTCAAATTTGTAAAAAAGAAATCAGGATCTAACTCTTTTAAATTGATTTCTCTGATTCCAGCTCCATGAGCTCCATCAATTATGCTTATTACATCATATTTCTTGCATAATTCAACAAACTCTTTAATTGGCAATTTTAATGACGGAAATGATGATATATTATCTAAAATTGCTACTGTTATTTTCTTTGTTTTCATATTTTCTAATCATATATTATCTACTCTTACCTTCAATATACTATAGAATGATTTCCTTTTTCAAGTCTTCAACCTTAAGATCTATCATACATGTATTCACATTAAAATGAGTATTCATATATTTTATCACATTCTTTACCATAGGATAGGCAATATTCAAATATAAAATTGTATCCTTATCTGTCAATCCCAAATCTAAAAGATATTGAAATAAAATACTTTTAATTATACTATTCATGGACTCTGCTGAATTATTTGAGAAGAAACATTGATTAAAGTTTGCATTCAAAAATTCTGCTGCAGTTTTTCTGACTATTGGAGATTACTTTGGAATTATGTATCGAGCAAAACTATCAGGATTCTCTAAAAACTTTCTATAATTATCAATTCTTGATTATAAGACACATTTTGGAATATAGCCAAAGCTACTATGATTAACACAAGTGTATCCAGATTCTATTACGAAATCATCTTTTAATTCTTTCCCAAAATTTTTCATTATGTAAATATCTTAATTTTTAAATAGAAATACTAAACAATTTATTAAGCTTAATACAATTTTTAATTAAGTATTTTTTTATTATCTAATCAATAATTAATTGATATTTTTATTTTTTAATAACTATATTAAATTATATATTGAAATTATAAGAATTTTTTAAATTAGAAAATAATGCTGTTGCATTTTTAAATTGATCTTGAATACTTTATTTTAAATCTATGTTAAAAGGGCTAATTAAAAAAATAATATAATTATTTGAAAATTAAAAATCTTAGAATTCAACAAAATTTGCAGATATTTTAAGTTAAATATTAAAATAATCAATTATAAATGCTTTTGTTAGTTAACTCAACCAAATATAGAAAATATACTTTTTCTTCCTTTTACAGGACTTTTTTCATCTATATTTGTTATTTGTCTAGTTGTAAAGCTTTATTAATGTTATTTATCTAATTTTTAATATTTTTATTGCATAATGCAGAATTGAGCATTTAATTATGTTAATTATAATTTAGATTTAAGTGCTTCTGATTCTGCTCTTTTAAGTTCATCTTTTAAGAAATTAATTTCTTCAGCTAAACTCAGTTTAGTAGTTAGATAATGTGTTTCCATAGTATTTAAACATAATTTTAATTTTTCTATTTCTAATTTATTTTCTTTTTCTTATTTAAAATCTAATTTCATTTTTCTTAGATTATGTATTTCTAATAATTAAGATTTTAACTCTTTTTATAAAATTTCAACTGTTTATTCTAGATTAGAAATTTCTAAATTTTAAATTCTTAAATATAAATAATTTTTACTTAATTGTATGTTTAGCATCAAGTAATGCATCTTTTATATTTTCATACTTGCCATTAGGTCCTACTCTTCTTCTAGAACTATTCTTAGTTTAAAAAGAGCAATAAGAATCTGATAAATGAGAAGTAGGAGTTTAAGAAATAGAATGATTAGGATCTTCTATATGTGTATTTTCATGATTTTAACTAATTTAGCTATCTTTGAGAAGATCACTTAATAAAGCATTTTAATTAGATGGTATTTCATGATCATTTAATTCAAGTTTTTATGGATGAGATAGAATAGCAATTTTAAGTTGTTATTCATAATGAATAGCCAATTTTTATAATTGATCATTTTATTCTTAAATAGTTTAATCTTATTCATTAACTTATTATTAAAGAGTTTCAATTAATTCCTTATATTCTTAAATAGCTTATGTATGTTTTCTATTTTGATTTTCCAAATAAACTAATTTTCTAATAAGTTCTTCTTTCTGTTTAGTCATATTTTATTTTTCTCTTTGTAATTGTGAAAATTACTTATATGCATCTTCACATTTCTTATCACTTTTAATAAGTTATTATAATGCATATCTTAATCGTTCACTAATATCTTAAAACTTTTTATCATAGATTATTTATTCTTAATGTTTTTCATCTCTTAAAATATTTAGTTTTTTTTCTTATTCATTTATTAATTTTTCATAATATTTGTTCTTTTCTTCTAAAATACCAATTTAATGCAATAAATCTTATTCAACCAATTTTTTTTAATTCATTTCTAATTCTAATGATTCAAATATGTTATTTGTGATACTCCTTTCTAGATTTGACAATTATTCTTCATGTAATTATTATTGATGTTCTAATTTATATTAATAATCTTATATTTTATTTTCCAATTCTTAAATATCATAAATTTGAATTTGAGAACTATTTTCAGTTTATGCATTATTATTTTTTTCATTTTATTTCAACAATTCAATTTCTTTGGCTTATTCAGATATAATAAATTCTTTTTCAACAATTAAAGCAATAGCTGTTTCCTCCATTTTTACTAGTTATTGTTTCAAATCAGAAATCTTATCAGATTCCAACTTGGCTTAGAGTTATTGAATTTCTTTAATAAGTCTAATCTAAAAAGGATTTTAGTATAAGATTTACCTCATTCTCCTAATAAAGAAGTATTTATTCTTCAGCTTTTGCCAATTATTCTTACATTTATAGGGCAAACTACTACAATTTAGTTTCATGAGCAGATTCAATTTGTTTATTTAATTCTATATCTAAATCTTCATTTCTTTTCTTTAATTATTCAAGAGAATTGATTAACTTTCATAGTCTTAAGAGTTACTTCTAGATGTTATTATTTTGACTGAAATTCTTAGAGTCTAATCTACTTTTTTAGACTCTCAATTTCAATTTATTGAGTTTGAACAGTTTGAATGAACTAAATATATGGAATTATTTACAAATTTTTCATCGTCCTCTTAATTCATTTATTAAATTATATTTGTTATATTAATATTTATACATACTATAGTTAAGATGATGGATTATAGTTGTGATAACTTTGAAGTAAATGAAAGTAGAATAACTTTGAATGTATATTTGAATTGTTATGATATTGTATAGAAAGATGAAGAAATAAAGAAATTAACTTTAGAAGAAGACTTACCAGAGATCAAAAGAGCATAAATAATATTAATGAAAGGATAGCAACGTTAAAAATTAGCTGTAATTTATTATCAATCTATTTTTTTGTTTGGTAGATATATAACAACCTACACAGATTACTATGTTTAGGTTTTGATCAATTGTATCAATATATTAGAGGTGATATTATGGAATAAAATGAAGAAGTACAAATAATAGCTGCAAGATCTTTATACAATTGTAAAATTAAGCCAAAAGAAATAATCCAATTGGCATTACATTTCATTTAACTATATTAATGGAAATTAGCATAGGCTTGGATGCCTGTATTTCAAAATTTAGTGTTACTGATTGATTATAAAGAATTTTAGTCTTATTTGGAGAAAATGATTCTCTAATTTAGTGAACCTAAATAGCCTGAAATAGGTAGATGGGTTGGAGCTAAAATGATAGTGTGTATTTCACCAGTGCTGAAGGATGAAATGAAAGGACCTATATTGGATAGAGCTCGTTTATTATGTTCAGATCCAGATCATGAAATTAGAGAACTAGTTGCTGATGAATTACTTACTTGTTTGATATGCAATTTATCAGGAGAATTAGTTGAGTAATATTTCATAGACAAAATTAATGAATTATTGTATGACACTCAAATAAAAGTTAAGAAAAATATGGTAAGAACTTTCCTTAGGTTTCAACATAGATTCCCAAGAAACAGTTATAATGTAATTATGTTATTTAATAGATTAGATCAAAGGAACCACTGTCTTTATTGATTGTTTATCTACTAACAACATAGAATTATTGAGTGTGGCTTTACAATACTGTGGAGAAACATTTGTATAAATCCAAGATTTAATTAATGATGAGTTTAAGAATAAGTTTACAATTTTATATTAGAAATTTGGTCAACATCAAAATGATGAGATAAGGAAATGGTATTTATATAATTTACCTGGAATACTATTGCATTTGAATGAAGGCCCTTATGCAAGTTAAATTTTAATGCCATATGCAGATATTTTAATATAGGATAAGAGTCATTAGAACAAATTGCTAGCTTGCAAAATATTGCATGAAATATCGAAATAGTTTGATGTAATTGAAGTACATAAATCTTAAAGTACAGTTATGTGTTACAAAAAATGTGGCATTTGTTTGAGTGTGTGATCTAGAGTGAAGATCTTGATTGCATATTAGTCATCAATTTACCTGAAATGTATAAGTTGTTGTAGGGCAACGAAGAGAATCAGGAGAAATTAGTAATTATATAAATTTAGTATTCCTCTAGAAAACTTAATTTAAAGACATTAATTAATAATTGCAAAAAGTCTATCAAAAATGCTTAAGCAATTATTAATATAATTAACTATTTTTAGAACATCTTCTCAAATTCCTACATTTAATAAACAAAAAGCATTTCGAACAATACATTCTCCCAGTCATCTACAAGGAACAATAAAACATTCATTCAGACCTCCTGTCAATGAAATGTTTAGCCAAATTCTATAGTGTTTGTCAAGACTACGAAATTCAAATGAAGATCAAAGATACAATGAATCTAATGTTTTTCAGAGGCAATAACAATAAGAGAGTCCGTTATATATTTTGGGTTTCAAATATGATACCATATATAAGTAAAAAACGTTTTCAAGAATTAAATGTAATTATTTATTTTTCATTTTCTATATAGCTCAACTAAATCATCTCTTATAGCTCTGATAAAGCTGCAAGTGTACAAATACAATTAATTAAATCTTTGCCTCAAATCTACCAATATTTAGAACCTATCGAATACAATCTAATCAAAAATGTTAAGGGATTAACTTAGCAATCTCTGTCCAAAGAAGCATTCCTCTAAATTCAGTAAAGATAATAACAAAATCTCAACTTTTAGGATGAGTAGAATTAGTTAATTCAATAAGAAGAAGCTGTCTTTACATAATTCACTTAACAATAGAAATAAGAGAAGGGAAATGATCTCATTTAAAGTAATGAATATGCAAATAAATATCTCAAAAAACCCATCCCCAAATTGGTATAATAATAATCGAAAAAGACTCCAAATGCATCTACTTCTGTGAGGTATTTTAATTTTCTTAATATTTTTTTTAATATAGATTAGCCAATCAATCATTTGGAGAACTCACTCCTCAATAATAATAATAACAACAATTTAAAAGAGTTCGTAGATATACTGATGCTACCAAATCAACTTCCAAACCTTCATCTAGACCTAGTGGATTTACACAAAAATGAGATTACGAATATTAACATATATTAATTAATAAATTAATTATGAGTCGATAAGTATATGTTGGGCGTTTGAGTTCCAGGATCCGTAGAGAGCACCTTCAATAAGAGTTTGAGAAATTCGGCAAAATCAAGGATATTGATTTACGAAATACTCATGCTTTTATTGAATTTGAAAATGGAGATGATGCCAGAGCAGCCATTTCAAAAATGGACAACAAACGATTGAATGAAGGCAGTGATCGTATCACAGTCAAATCAAGAGGTAGAAAAAAGAGATGGATGAAATTGAAAAGATGATCGACCGTAAGGTGCAAGAGGACCCACATCCAGAGACGTATGTTTCAATTGCGGCCGCAAAGGACATTGGGCAAACGAATGTAAAGAAGGTATACACTTATCCCAATTTCACCAGGGGACTTACGAGACACATGTTATCGTTGCTATAAAAAAGGTCACATACGTAAAGATTGTCCAAAATCAAGGACACCATCCGAGAAAAGAAGGTATACATGAATATTTATTTTTTAGTCGAAGAGATAAAGATAGAAAGAGAAGAAGATCTTCATCTTCCTCATCAAAGTCTTCGGAATCCTCTAAATCTAGGAGAAGATATAGATAATAGTAGAAACAATAGAAGAAACCTAATAGAAGATCACCTTCTTCAAGTGAAAGCAGATCCAAACCCTCATAATCATCACAAAGCTCTAGGTATTTAAAAATTATTAGTATAATTTAAGCAAATAACCATGATTTAATGAGTGTATTGTTATATTCATAAATCAATATATAATATTATAACATATATATGAATTAATAATTGCATCACAGAATAGGTAGAGAACATAAAGTGGATATTGCAGAATAAAGAATAAGAAATTTATTTAATATAGACATTCTCTAGAATGTTCAAATTAGGAGAACTTAATTTATTAATTAAATACATTCTAATCCTAAATCCCTAATTTAAGAAGGTTTTGTTGTTCATACTATACCTCTGAGAAACTGTGATATCATGAAAATATATAACTATCCAAAGAAAAAATAATAACATAATCAATAACTAACATGTCCTGATCAAATTCCTTAAATTACATAAGAGTAAATTTAAAGAATTATGACTACTGTAAAAAAAGATAGATCAATGAATATATCTATAGATAATCATTCCAATACAATAGCCAAAATGCCTGCATTCTACACTAAACATTAATGTATCATATTATAAAATTGAGCCAATAGTAAAACATAACAATAAATGTTAACAAACGAAAGTATTGCAATTAGAATTAGATCTTTAAGTAGAGTCAAAGATAATCTTTAAGATTCTTCGAATTTTCAAAAAAGATCAGCAACATCAAATAAGAAGAAAAGATTAAGCTAATATAAGCAACATTTGTAGTTACAAGTCAATAGTTTTACGTAAGACTCTTACTTTAATTGAATTATTCTTAATATATATATATATATAATAAATAAAATTTATTGGATGTCAACAATAATAATCAATGAGGATTATGATTCTGATTTAGAGATATTTGAACAAAGAAATCAACAAAGTATCAAGTTCATTCAACTTAGTTTAATAATTAAAAGAATAGCAGTTACAATTTAAAGAATAATTACTCTAACATATTTAGAATAAAGATTATGATTATAACTTAATATCTCCAATTCCATATCCGATGGATAAGAAGATCAAAGAAAAGAATTAAAATACAACTAATCTATTATAATTAAACAAAAGTCATGATTTAGTAAGTGAACGATCATAACCTTCATCAAATTATTAATTTCCATCCAAAAATAGCAAAACAAATTTAAAAGGAAATTATCTGTTCAAATAGAATTATTTACCTAAAACTCCAATAAAAAAAGTATCTAATGTGACAATCACAAAATCTTATTGCAATAAGAATCAAAGTAATTTGAATAATAAGAAATCTCCTTCTAACATTTCAACTGGCGAATAAAAATCATCAAGAACTCCAGAATAAATAAAACATTATGTAGGTGTGTTATCACCCTCTCCTTATAATTCATGGCTCAAAAAAGATTATGAGAACAAATCAAAATAATATAATTTGGCTTCTTTTACAAATAAACCTGTTGATAAACCTTGTCAAATTATGAAAACAGAAGAAAATACTAAAATTAACAAACCATAAGAAAAGAAAATTGTAGTTCAAACTGAGAAACCTAAAAAAGGATTTGAATAATGGTATGATTCATAAAAGAAATGGTAATATTGAGTGTAACTTTATTTTAGGTTGAAATAAACTGAGGAGAAAATCTTTAAATAAAAATTATAAATGGAATAAGAATTAGGTGAGTAAGAACAATTTAGTCATTCTCCTGAAATTCATGAAGGATCTAGATATATTGTGCAAAAGAAATATAATAATGCTAGTTTATTAGAAAGATAGAAATTCTATTAAGAAGAATTATAATATAAATAATTTTAAAAGAAATTGAGAGAGGAAGAAGATAAGAAAATTAATTAAATTAGAATAAGTCCCTTATCAAGAAAGATATTAAGAAGTGCATCTCCTAAATCTAATTGTTCTTTTACAATTTGCAATTCATCTAACTAAAATTATTCAACAATAATAAAAAAATGATATTTTTGTACCTCTATTGTAATTGGTTTATTTGATAATATTCTCATATAATATTTAATTATAATTTAATTTCAAATTATGAGTTCTCTATTTGTCAAATGTATGACATGTAATTAAAAACCTGCCACCATTAAGTGTTCAGAATGTCAACCTGGATATATATATCGTATATGTTATTCTTGTGATACACAAGTTCATAACAAAAGAGGTCCTATTGATTGTCAACATAAAACAGAAATCATACCATATCAAGGTATTCCTTAATATAAAATCAAATAGAAATGTATCTAAAATGTTAATCAGCTGCAGGTATTCGAGACAAATAAACATAAGTAAAATCTATAAAAATTTTAATTGTTAGAGCAAACCTGAATTAAAATAAAAGCCTAAATAATCATAATTACAATATCAATAGCCATAAGTATCTAATTCAATTTAATAATTTACAACTACTCAAAAAGCAGGGAGAACTGATTAGGATACTAAGAATTTATAATAAAATAAACCTTTTTCTATTTAAAACAAAGAAGTGTCTAAAATTGAATAATAATAATAGAATAAATCTGAATTACAATAATAACAAACAAAAATTAAAAGTAATTATGTTGGAAAATAAGAAAATTAAGAAATAAATTCTGTAATTTATTATTTAAGTTTATAGGATTAGACTAATGAATTGAATGAATAAATTAAAAAAGAAAAGGATTCCAATCAAAAATTGAAAAGTGAATTGTAATAAACAAAAGATTAACTTTAAAATATAAATAAAGAAGTGGAAAAAAGAATGTATTAATTGAATTATATATATAATTAGATAATAAAATCAAAAAGAATTAGAAAAAAAGATTAGTGAATTAAAGAAAGAATATGCTGAAGATAAAAGAAAAACAGAATAATTATCTGAAGATGTATATACTAAAAATATTTGCACAAGGTTAAAAATTTAAAAGAACAATTAAAATCAACTGATTAATAGGCAACTAAGAAATTAGATTAACAAAAGAAATAGTACGAACAATAGTTGAAGTAATTAGAATAGGTAGCATAAGAAAAATAAGATTAAATTGAAGAAATAACATAAGAATTTTAGAATTATAATTTTGAAGACATTTAAGCTAAAATGGAAGAAATGGACAATGACAATAATTAGAGAGATTAATTAATAGAGGAATTGTAAAATTAATTATAAGAATAAAATTAAGGAGGAGAAAAAAATGATGGTTAAGTAGCAGAAAGTGAAGAATTAAAAATTTAATTGGAATAAAAAGATTAAGAAATAGAAAAATTAGAAGAATTAATAGAAAATTTTAAATAGTTATATTAACATATGTTAGATGAAAAACAAGTTTTAGTTGATGAAAATGAAAAGCTTGTTAGTGAGAATAATTAATTTAGAGAATTATTTAGTGTAAATATGATAAATATTTAGTAAAATTTACATCTATTTGGAATTGATCCAAATGATTTAGAAGCTGGTGATGAAGATGAAACTGGAGCAGAAGCAGAAGCTGAAGCAGAAGATTATCGTTAACATGAAGATGATGAGGGTTGAGTGTAGAAATTTATAATGAATTTTTTATTGTTATTATTTTAATAGATATTATTTTTAATTATAATGAGGGCTAGAAAATATTTTGTATTAGTACAAGAAAATTTGTAAACTTAATTCTACAAAACAGAAAAATATACTTAGATTAATCTTGATAAAAATCCTAATCAAAAAAAATTTCAATTTTAAGATGAGAATTTAGCTAAAAAATTTATTTCTAATGTCTAAGCCTGTTAAAATAAAGAGGCTTTTGAAAAATTAGAAATGGAATATGAAATTTCTAAATAATTAGTTAAATATTAAGAAAAAATTAAATCTTGCAAGACATTTTCTGATAATGAAAATTTAGATGGTGTATCCATTAATCTTAGGAGACTCACATATATTTATGTATTATGGAATAAAAACTCTTATGAATTGCCACGAATGTATTTTACATAGATTACAGCTTAAAAGAATTCAACATCAGAGGATTAATTAGGAAAATTTTCAGAACCTGAAACAGCTCTTAGTTATATCAGGGAGATACTTGAAACTTTAGAAATTAAAAGAAAATAGATATCTGATACAAATGCATCTATTTCTTCAGAAAATAATGATAAAACACAAGATGAAATAGTTAAAGAAGAAAAAGAACTTAATTTCTCTAACCTAGGAAAACTTTAATAATTGGATTAGTAGTACTCATATTTTTTTCCCAAAAATTATCTAGATAAATATCAATCCGTCAATATTAATCCAGAAGAATCATACGCAATTTAATGCTCTTCTTTTTGCACATTACATTTTCATTCATCTGTGGGAATAAATCTAATAAATTATGTTTCTGGTAAAAATTTAAGAGCATAAGGTTTATATGTAGGACATTAAAAACCTTATGTCCTTGGATTACTTTCAGTCTTATATGGATTGAGATATAGTTTATTTTTGAATTTATCTTAAATTACATTGTAGGTATGGAAAAAATAAGATTTTGAATTTTTGAATAAAATGGTTTAACCTCCATATCCTTAATAATAATAAGCTATGGCAGCTATTGATGGTTATTCAACACTTTTGAAATAAGTAAAGTTTGAATTGACTGAGTATGATTAATGCAAATCATCATATGTATCAGCAGTAAAGGAATTTGAAAAATATGCTAATGTCAAACAAAGGAGCAAAAAAATTCGTAAAATAGATAAAGATGATTGAAGAGTTTTAATATATCTGTATATTTAAAATAAATGATTGAATAATTATCAAAAAGAAAAAAAAAGATTATTTTCTAAATTATCATCTTTTCTAAAGTATTATATAAACTTAATTGATGATTATTCAATATATAACATAAAGTTATATCATTTATGAATTCAATAATGATTAGATAGTTCTTTTGAATTGGACACTAATCATTTTAATTACATTCCGATAGATATTTAAATATATATAATCTTTATAAGTAAATTAATTTATATTATTTATCTTTTATAAATTGAATTTAATAAATTAATTCTACAGTTTAATTGTTAGCAAATACTTTAGTTTGGATAAAAAGAAAAGATATAATTTAACAATCTATATATTTAAATGTATATCACTTAAATAATTTAAAATTTGATATGAAATTAAGTAGTAAGCTAATAATATCTATTTAAAGGAAGAAATTTTAATTTTAATATTAAGTTTTAAAATTTAATATTAAAAAAGGAGGAATTCATTGAAAATATAATATTAATAATATCAAAAAAAGAAATATTCATCAGTTTTAAATTATTATTATTAAATATAAAAATTTCTTTGGATGGAAGAATAAGTAACACGTCCTGGCAAAAAACTTTGGGCTATTGCACGTAAAAAAGTAAAAGTAATAGCACGTATAAATGCTATGAAAAGAATAACTCTTTAAAATTATTATGGAGTTAGAGATGATAATGATTTTGTAGAGGCCACTTAAATTAATAAATGGGTTATTTATCCTGACTCAAAATTCAAAGGATGTTGGGATTTTATCATCATACTTCTTATGCTTTATACATGCACAATTTTACCATTTCGTTTAGCATTTTAAGATTCTACAAGTGATGTATGGAATACAATTGATGAAGTCTTTAATTATGTTTTTATGGCAGATATTGTTATTAATTTCTTTACTGCTTATTAAGATGCTGATAATGTTTTAGTTACAAACAATAAATATATAGTAATGAATTACTTGAAAAGTTGGTTTCTATTAGATGTAGCTTCAGTGTATTAAAATGATATTAAATTTAAGGATTCCTTTTGATTAAATATTCCAGCCAGATCCATAAACTGAGACTGCCACAACTCAAGGGTAGAAAGGTTCATACACTTAATTATTAAGATTGACAAGATTACCTCGTTTATATAGATTATTGAAGGTAGTAAAGTTATTCAGAATAGTTCGATTTTAATAAACAAATAGATCATCTATGTTTTCAAAATTAATAAAATCTTGTATAAAGTTGGATGCAAGTATAAAAAGAATGATAAAAATAATGGGAATGTCATTATTATTTTTGCATTTGAGTAGTTGTTTTTATTATTTAATAACAAAAATTGAGACTGATACAGTTACATGGGTGACTAATTTAGGTTTGGAAGAGGCAGATGAAGCAACTCTTTATATTAGATCATTTCATTGGGCATTATAAACATTAACTACAGTGGGTTTTGGAGATGTATCACCATAAACAGATTGGGAGAAATTGTATGCAATATTTTGGATGGGAGTAGGTAGTGCTTTCTTTTCATTTATGATATCAAATCTACAAGGAGCAGTAGGAGATTCAGAGAAATCAGCTAAGAATAAGATTATGAGATTGAATGTTATTTAGAATAAAATAAAGATTCCAGATTATTGTATTATATTTAATTTTAATAAATTTAAGTATTTGGATTGATAAAGAGACAACTTGAATCATAATAAATAGAAAATTCTAGATAATAAATAATATTACAAACTAAACCATTAATTAAATAGTTGCCTACATGTTTAAGATCATCTGTATAATTGTGTATTTATGCTCATGTTATTGAAAAAATTAAATTTTTATAAGATAAGGATATAGAATTAATTATGGATGTGATTCCTAAGATATCTCCATTAAATTGGGCTTAAGGTGATATACTATTTTCAACTGATGATTATGCAGAAGAGATCTATTTTGTTTCAATTGGAGAAATAACTACAAGAGCTGCAGATGGTTCTACAATATCTGTTTATAGAGAAGGTGATACTCTAGGATTATTGGAAGCAATTTATGATGTTAGAAGAATAGGTACTGCTATATGCAGTAAAAACACATAACTCTTTAGTTTGGATAGAACAACTTATTTATAAATGTTGTAGGATTATCCATAATTACTTTCTGAAGTTAAATAATAGGTTGACAAAAGAATTAAAGAAGTCAAGCCTTTTGTTGAAGATGCTACTATTTTGAATAGATCAATTTATGAAGTTATGTAAGATTATTAAAGAAAGATTAATAAAATTAAGAAAATAATAGAGTAATTATAAAAATCAGAGGATAGCAACGATATCATAGATACTGATAAAAATTAATTACAAATATTTCTATAAACCAATACACAATTAGGTGATATTATGAATTTACAAAGAGAATCCAATTCTAGAGAAACTGTAATGTTTGAAAATGCAAAAAGCATGAACAATTTAATTGATTAATTAGCTGATTTATGGTAAAAGTAATTGATCGAGAAAATTGATTAAATGCATACTGAAACTACTTATATGATTTAAGCTGTTTAAGATAGAGTAGAGTATTATTAGAAAGCCACAAAGAAGTTTTCAAATCTTAAAAATGATCTAACTAAACAAAAGGAAAATATATAGAGTATGACAAAAATATGATCAATTATACTATTTTTATTAAAATATAATATGGATAGTATTAATTAAATAGCTTTAAATCGTTTCGAAATGGCAGCTAATGATGGAAAAGTGAATTCTGAGTAAGTGATAAGCATTTTACAAAGTTTAAATTATACTCCTTCAGATATCTTTAAATTAGTATCTCATATTACAATTGATATTGGTATTTACAATCAATATTTGAGATATCCATAAATTCAAAGAATTATTATTTATATAAAAAGAAGAACAGATGTAAGAAAGATTAACAAACTCTTAAATTAAGGAAATTGAAAATGAATTTTAATAAGCTGTCAAATATGGAAATGTTGATAAGGTTTTGCAGTATTTGAGTAAATATTCTATTCTATATACTGATTAGATAAATATCAAAATCACATTGATCTAGCAAACAAAATTGAACCTTAAAATAGGTAGATTCCTACTTATGATGCAGTTTAAGCACCTGCTGAATATTAAGCATATTTAATACTTAAAACACTTTATGATTATGGATCTGATATACATTTCAGAGATGCAATGCAATAATCTATAATATTTTATATATGTAGAGATGGAAGATGTTAATTATTTGATTTCTTAATATCTAAAGGGTTGAGTGTTAATGAATAGGATATTAATGGTCAGACTCCTATTTTTTATGCAGCAAGAGAGAATAGAGTAGAAATTTTATAAAGATTAATTAAAAATGGGGCAAATGTTAATCATAGAGATAAAATCTTAGATTAAACATGTCTTTTTTATTCAGCCAAAGAAGGTCAATTATAAACTTGTTAAATTTTGATTGATGTAATTATTTTATTATAATTCAATTTAGGCAGGTTGTAAAATAAGTCATTAAGATGTAACCAAAAAAACTGCTATTGCTTATGCTAAAAAGTTTAATAGAAAAGAAGTTTATGATTTTTTGATGATAGAGGTTTAGAAATAAAAGGATGAAGTTAATTAAAAAAGAGATTATGGTCATTCAAAATTGGAATAAAAAATTAATAGAAAGAATAAGTTAGATATAACTAAATTCTAATATAAATTAATACATATGGATGATAAAGGAATATCAAAGGAAGTAACAAATGAGGATTTTGAAAGATTTTAATTAGAATTTCCAGAGATTGCAAAACTTATTATAAATCCTGATGATACAATAAATGAATTAATGATTTCATCTATCAATTAAGATTAGATGTGGAATTAAATTGCAATAAAAATATTATAGTAACTTTAGAAATTAAAGTAAAGTTGGTATTTTCTTGAACCAGTAGATGTCAATAGATACTAAATATTTGATTATTATGATATTGTTAAGAATCCAATGGATTTAGGGACTATAAAAGTAATTAATCAATTGTGAAATAGTCTAAATTACAAAATAATTCATATAAATGTTTTAAAGAATATCATATTGATATGCTTTTAGTATTTGAGAATTGTGCACTTTATAATAAAATCAATTCAGAAGTTGGACAAGCAGGTGTAAAAATGAAATTAGAATATTTAATATTGCTTGAATAATGTGGCATCAATAAATAAAATTAATGAATTTTTGTTTTTATTTATAAAATTATAATTAGATGGCATACTTCAGACTAAATATGTATATATATCTAAATGATTTGTATTAAATAATAATTTATAAATAAAATGATTATACCACTATAAATGGATCAATCATTAGTTGAGAACTCCAAAAGAAAACCATTTAGTCCTCTAGAAATAAATCCAAAATAATATTCAATGTCTAGTAAATTAAATTTACTTCAACTTGATATTATTACTCCTATTCAAATCAAAAGTAATCATTCAAATTCTAACATCTAATTTGGACTATAAAAACTACTTAAAACAAGTCCTTATGCATAATTGATTAAATAAAAATCACAATAATAAATTAGTAGCATTGATACTGGCTCTTAAAATGTATATAATGGAACTACTCAACATTCTTCTTAAACTAATGTAAAAGTCGATACTAAATTTATGATGACTAATAATTAAAACAATATCAAAAGGAGAATTCATAATTCCATGAAGATTTTTGCACCTAAAAAATCACTTGAGTATTCTCATTAAATGAATTCAACTTATAAAGATAAATAAACAATTAAAGCACTTTAAGATTTATTAATAAGATCAACCTTAACTTTACAAATGTATAAAGAATAGATTATTAAAAGTGAATAAGAGAATATCAAACTAAAAGAATAACTTTCAGGTTTGTAAGTTTAGAATTGACAATTTCATTATTCAATCAACTATTATCTATATTTAACATATATTATGTTATTAAATTTTATTTATATTTCAATAACTTAGCTATCTAATGTCAGAAAAGACTATGAAAGTAGATCCAACTATTTGTATACAATAAAATGTATTTAGTGATACAAAAAATCATAAGGGAAAATGCATATTTAACAGAAATAGATAATAAACTAGATTATGATGAATTACATAATCCATTAAATGTTGAAGAAACTTAATCTTAGTTAGTTGATTCAATCTTTGGAAGTTGCAATGTTAAATCTCAGAAAGGTATTATATATGAATCTATAATGATAGCAAGTAAAATGATTAGTTCATCTGGAAATGCTAGACCATAATCTAATCAACCATATGGCTCATTATTTAGAAGTGGAATTTCTAATTACACAGTTTCAGATGAAGATGAAATTTAAAACAATTCACAAGATATCAAAACTTCTTAATATGTGACTTCTTAGATAGAAAATGATGATGTTCATTATCTTAAACCTCCAGAATTAACACACTTAAATAATCAAATGTCTATTGAAGACTTGAATAAAAAATGTTAATAACTTGAATTAAATTTGGAAATTGAAAGAAAGAAAAATCAAGAACTAAATGGTAATAAATATTGTGTTATTTTATATTTACAGATATAATCCACAATTAAAATGAGAGAATATAAGAATTGACAGAAATAGAAAAAGCTGCTTATGAGTAAATGGATGGAAGACTCAAAGAAATTTCAGAATTGTAGGCTAAAAATATCTTTTTAGAAGGATAATTATAGTAGTTAAGGGAAAGTCAAGAAAAGGAACTAAGTAAAATATAATTTAATCTTATTTAGAATTAAGAATAAAAGGATTTATGGATTAGAATAATACTTCATAAATGAATGCTATGTTATGTATTCAAATTTAGTATCTATTTATTAGAAATAAAGGAAAAATAGATTTAATTATTATAAGGATAATTAAGTAGTCTTCGAGCTGCTACTTAATATAGATCTTAAGGGAGCTATCATAGTACTTAAAGTCATGATAATAATTAAGATAGTAAAATTATTAATCATATTATCAACAACACAAATAATAATTAGATTATTATAAAAAATGAAATATTTTAAAAAGGAATAGCTTCATTACTTTAAAAACCAAAAACATAAACACCAAAAAAATAATCATTTATTAATTAGGATTCTTAATCTACTCACAGATCAAAGAAAGGGGTGAGTAACAATAATTAAAATTCAAAAGATTCAATTACATAACCAACATCATGGTTAGATCATTTATAAAAAAAGAACGATGAAAAACTTAAAAAATTGTAGAATCAACCTTCAGAAAAAGAATTATAATAAACAATATTAAATAATTCAATAAATGATAATGTTCATAAATATGTACATGCTGATTGTATAATATTTATTAAATATTAATTAGTGAAAATTACTAAAGTAAATAGCCCTGCATTCTAGAGAAAAACATCTTATTAATTAACAACAGATAATGACAATTAAGATCAATAAGATTTTGTAAAGTAAAAAAGCTTATAGCAGAAATGATAATTAATATTTACTTATCACATCAAAATAATAATTCTCTATTTTTTTATTTTAATTATTATTAATTTACTGTTGTTTCATATTAATTATTTAATCCTATCATATTTTATACTTATTTTAATATTTAAAAATAGAGATGAAAAATATAGTAATTTGTTTAGATTATATAATAATTAGAGTTGGATAATCAAATGTTTCTCGAATTGAATACTTAAAAAAGATAAAATTTAATTAAAAAGGATTAATAAAAAAGTAAACAAACTAAATAGAAATACTAAAAATATATTAATAATAATTATGTTAAAACAACAACGAGAAGCAATAGAGAGAGCTAAATTAAACTCAACTTGTAATACAATCATTAGTACCTTATTTGTTGTTTTGGTCATACTTCTTATACTTTTTATATGTGATCTCTCAGGTTTGGTGTAATTGGATAAACCTTTATAATATGTTTCTGCAGCAAATGCAATTAAAGATTCAATTCCAGAGAGGAATTTTATATCAGCATCTTAAACAGGTACTCTTGAACCACTTTAAGGATAGCATATTGATAAGGTTAAAGTGATTAAACCTATAATTGATCATAGATAATATAGATATTTAGAATTGGAAAATCATTTGAAAGTGTTATTAATCCATGATCCTGAATCTGAAATGGCATCAGCTGCTATGGATGTTAAAGCAGGATCTTGGAATGAACCTGATGAGTATCCTGGATTAGCTCATTTTTGTGAACATATGTTATTCATTGGATCTCAGAAATATCCTTAGATTGATTTCTTTGATGATTTAATGGCTAAAGGTGGAGGTTCATCTAATGCATATACAGAAGCATAAAATACTAATTATTATTTTGAAATTACAGTGAATCATTTAGGTAAAGCTTTAGATGCATTTGCTCATTTCTTTATTGATCCTTTATTTAATGAGGATGCTGTAAATAAGGAGAGAAATGCAGTAAATTCAGAATATGAAATGGATGTAAGTAGTGAAGATTGGAAAGTTGTCAATCTTTTTGCACTTTTAGCTGATCCTAAACATCCAGCAAGTAGATTTAGTATAGGTAACAATGATGTTTTGGCTAAAGAAGGTGTAGTTGAAGCATTAAAGAAATTTTATTAAGACAATTATTCATCAAATATAATGAGTTTAGCTGTATCAAGTAGATTATCATTAAATTAAATGGAGAAATTGATTAAGGTATTTTAAAAGATAGAAAACAAAAATTTAATACCTTTATAATTTTCAGGATTTCCATATTAATTAGGATTATTTGGTAAATACAAAACAGAAAAGAAATTGATTTTGTTAAATTGGTAATTAAGTGGAAGAGAATAATATATACATTAAAAACCTTTAGAATTAATAGATTATTTATTGAATAATGGAAATTTGAAAGATTATTTAAAGGAGAAATAATTAGTGATTGAATTTGAATCTTCAATTTTTATTGAATAAAATCATTTTGTTAATTACATTATAGAATTAATATTATCTGAATAATAATTAGAAGATGGTAAAATTGCTCTTGAAATTACAAGAGTTATAAATAATTATATCCAATAATTAGAAGAATGGTTAAAGGATGATAAATATTTAGAAGAAATATTTAAAGAACAAAGTTAAATTTCCAAAATAAATTTTGAATATATGGAAGGATCTTAAGATATTTCTGATATTGCTTATAATCTTAATAAATATGAACCTGTAGAAGTATTATCATCTAGTTTCATTATGGATATATTGGATAAAGATATAATATATAAATATATTACTGAGTTGAAGAAAACAGATAATTTATTAATTTTAATTGGAGATGATGAATATTAATTTATAGATAATACTTTTAAACTTAATAATAATAAAGAATTCTTAAAAGATAAGAATTTAGATAAAAGGAGTGAGATTTATCGTTTAGAATATGCAACTTAGAAGATGGATAAAGATTCCATTAAAATCATTACTTAAAAAGATTCAAAATTATAAAAACTATTTAATAAACCTTAAAAGAACCTATTTATTCCAGATGATTTAAAATTAGTATCATTATGTGAATCAAATAAATTTAAACTTCCTATCTTGATTAATTCTGATTAATTGAAACCATTGGATAAGGATGCAAAATTAAATTTATTATTTAATGCAGGATAAGATTTACAAAAATATTCTAAAGATTAATGTAAAAAGTAAGAAAATATATATCAAAAGAACAATTATTATCCAATTCTATTAAATAAAGAGAATAATTAATGGTGGAAATTTTCTACATTATATAAATTACCTAATGTATATGGAGCTATATTCATATCATATACTAAACCATTAACAATAAGGTAATTTACATCTATGAGAATTTTTAACTTTATTTCAGAAGAAGAAGTAAATAAATAACTCAGATAACAATTAACAACTGGATATTCAGTAGAATTAGATATGAGTAAATAAATAGAAATTAAAGTTTATGGATTTAGTGAAAAAGTTAGAAGTTTTTTCAAGAAAATATGTGGATGTATCAATCCATTTAAGGATAAAACTAATAGTTTCATTTAATTTGAATAAACAAAATAGGAATCAATTGATTTCATTAGAGCTAAGTAATCACTTATTACATCGATAAAGGATATATTTTAAATGAAATTATTTGAATAATCATTTCAATTATATCTTCCATTAATTTTAAGAAAAGATTATTTTAATCCTGAATAAGTAATATAATAAATACCAAATATTACAGAAGAATAAATGATTTTAGATATCAAAGAAATACTTTAAAATTCTATTTAGAGTTCACTTTTGGTTGGTAATCTAGATCAAAAGAAAGCCTAAGATTTATCTTCTGAATTGAAAACTTGCATTTAAGATTAAAATACAAATATTCATATATCAGAAAGATTACCAATTTCTGTTTTGAATTTGAGTGGAAAAAATTGGATATTTGCTAAATTTGTGGAATCAGATAAAGGTAATTTGAATGGAGTTACATTGAATTATTATCAAATAGGTTAAAGAACTTTAGAAAATTATGCTTTGATGAAGATTCTTTAACCTCTTCTTAATTCTTAAGCATATAATCATCTTAGAACTAATCTATAATTAGGTTATGTTGTTCTTATGAAATTCAAATAAATTAGTTGCATTGATGGTGCATTATTTTTAGTTTAAGGTAATAAAGAATAACCATTTAAGGTTAATTAATTAATAGAAAAATTCTTATTATAATTTGATAAATATTTGAAAAAATTGAAGAATAAATAATTTGAACATTTAAGACATAGTTCAATTGTTGAATTAAGAGAGAAACCTTAAACATTGAGTGAAGAAGCTGATAGATTATGGGGTTATATTAGTTCAGGAGACTATACTTTTGAAGAGAGACAAGTTACAATAGAGAGGATGAAATTAATTACTAAAGATTAAATAGTATTATTTTTTTAAAATATATTCATAAAAAATAGATCGAAAATAAGTCTTTAATTATATGGGTATCTATATATATATAAATATAATAATTAGAGAAGGTATGGTTTCAAAAACATTAGGTTTAAAGAACAATAAAGAATTTGATACATATATAAAAACGAATATTCCTAATGATGCATTACTTTTTACTGAAAAAGAATTAACATACTATAATTGTTAAAATGATGTCAGTTCAGTTTGATTTCAATATATATAAATACAAATATTTAATATAATTTATTTTGCTAATACTTAGAGAATATCAAATAGTAACATTCTTTTTTTTTTTCATATAGAAATTATATTATATTAAATTAAATTAAATCAAGTTCAAATAACAAAATGATTACTTGTTTATTATCAATAATCTTTGGAACAATTTCTACAATGATAATAGGATTTTATTGGTATTCAATATTATTTCGCGACAGTTATTTAAAAGAAGCAAATATCAAATTAGAAAAAGATCATGAATAAAATAATTAGAGCAGTTAGCCTTTGATTTTAGAATTATTGGCAAGATTCCTTTAAGCATCCCTAATTACATACCTATATAGCATTCTAAAAATAAATGTAATATAAATAATTAAAGTAAGAATGAAAGAGATTTTGGATTGGCGCTATCATTAGCAGTGTTTTTTTGTGTCAGTTTTTAAGTTTAATATTATACATCAAAAGTTGTTTGGGAATAAAAAACATGGAATTATTTTTTTATGAAAGTGACTGAACAATTTATATCACTTACAACTCTTTCAACATTAACATACATATTTGTTCCATGAAGTATAATTCAAAAATTTTGCATATTAAATTCTTTATAATAATTATTATTATCTTAAAACAATTAACTATTTAAATAACAATTAAAAAGAAGAAATATACTTAAATACTCTATTATTTAATGCTCTAATAAAAATAAAACAAAAATTTATTTCATTTCTTCTTTCTTTCTACACCCAATGTTTAACCTCCTCTACCTGTTGTTTTTGTGTGTTATCCTCTTACTCTCAATCCCCAATGATGTCTCAAACCTCGATTACATCTTAATTTATAACTATTATAAATACTTAATTTTTTTCATTCTTTCTAAATCTTCTCTTAATTTTGTTTCAAGTTCATTTGTTGTCACTTGATAATTCTTACCATCTTTAAAATCACGTTGTCTATTTAAGAACCATCTAGGAATATTGTATGCTTCTGGTGACTTAATTACTTCTGTTATCTTATGAGCCTCATCATCAGTAAGTTCTCCTGCTCTTTTGTTTAAATCAAGTCTTAACACCTTAAATATTGATTTATATATACTTTGCAAATTTATATAGCAAATCGTCTACCTATTCCTTTAATGCTTCTAATTCCATAAGCAAGACGCTATTTACCTTCAACATTTGTATTTAAAATACGAATGATATGTCTAAATTGATCAGCTTTTTCTAAAACAAGAGTCATCTGTGTGTTGTTGTAAAAAAAGATTTTAATTATTTTAAAATTATTAACATAATAACTTATTTAAGTGTATATATAGAGATCATTCTTACTTATTAAATTTTTATGTAAATAATTGTTTTGGCATATAAAACAATATTATAGATAGTAATACATATAAATGATTATGAAAACATATACATAAATAAATTAATTAATTAAAATGGCTAATCAATCTCAACCTCCCATATAAGAAAAAACATTTCATGAATGGTCGAAGAACAATTTCTATAGAACTAGCTATATTAATCATTATACTCAAGTAAATAATTGTATTTAAGCTATGTAGTTTCCATAAGAACCTAAAAACACTGCAGTACCAGGATATGCAGGTTATGTACCATATGTACAATCAGAGAATTTATATGGTGAGAGATTTTCTGAAGTGGCTAGAAAATCATTTTCAGACTAGAAACTAGGAAAATTCAATAGATTATCGTCAACTGGATTTAATTTTGATCCAAAAGAATTAATTGATGTACATAAGGAAGCTTATTCTCATAAATATGGATGCTAAACCTTATTGAAAAATCATCCATGTACTCATATCAATAAAATGATTACATCCTATTAAGACGGTTTCAAAAAGCCTTAAGAACTTGTTGCTCCAACGTATCAAAGAATATTAATATAATAGATTTCGTAAGACAGAAAGATATCTAGAAACTTCATAAGCTTAAACTAAGACTTCTGGATTTTAGAAGAATCATATGTAATTTGATGGATCAGGTTGGATTCCTCATGAAAATATGAATGGTTTACAATATATTTATTAATTTAAGGTGATTAAGTGAGAACAGAATACAGAATTTAATATAATTAAGATAAACCATTCCACAGAAATCCAATACAATTCAAATTACGAAAAATGAAACAAACAGAAATGAATTATAAACATACCTGAATTTATATATATATATATATAAATTTTTATTCATAAAAAGTATTATTATTGTTTTAATTCATTTTCTATTACAATTAACAAATGAAAGTAGATCAATTATAAATTTTTATAGCATGAATCAATTAAACAATTAATATATATAGTTTGACAATTTATTTTTATAAGAATATATATGGAGTTATTATTATATAGATTAGAATTAATTGATCCCATTAAGTATTATACTCTATTTAAAAGATGTTTTTTCATTTTATAGATTATAAAAAGAAATACAATAAATATATGAATTTATCAATAATAATATTGATTATGAAATGTAAATTAAAATCTTAATTTACTTCTTTCTTGAATCAGAATAGTATTGAATTGTTGGCTTGTTTAATGTAGTAAATGTTTTAAAAATAATTATCATATCACTTAATGAACTATTTTAAATGAAATTATTAAATGTTATAATAATCAGAGAAAGACTTCACTATTGAACAAGTAGTTGGGACTGGCACATTTGGCATGGTGCACTTGGTATGTGTGGATAGAATAAAAGTTAGGCCACTGATAATAGAACGAAAGAGAAGGTTGCTATTAAGAAGGTGTACTAAGATCGCAGATACAAAAACAGAGAGCATTTGATCATTTAAGAATTGAATCATCCTTGTGTGGTTATGTTAAGACATTCATTCTTTACTCCTGGAGAAAATGTATAATGAACTTTGTATTGATTGTGTAGCCACAAGATGTATATCTTAATCTTGTAATGGAATACGTACCAGAGACACTTTCAAAGATGATACGTCAGATACGCAAGCAGAAGCAAACAATCCCATCCACATAACTAAAGCTTTACAGCTATCAAATGCTTCGTGCGCTGCTCTACCTGCAGGGTACTGAGACTTATCCCAACTAGCCATCGGAATATGCCATAGAGACATAAAACCCCAGAACATCCTGATCAACCTTGAAACCAATGTCCTTAAAATTTGTGATTTTGGCTCAGCTAAAAGACTTGTAGTAGGTGAACCTAACATTGCGTACATTTGTTCTCGCTACTACAGAGCGCCAGAATTAATTTTTGGAGCTACCGATTATACTACATAAATCGATATGTGGTCTATTGGTTGTGTCATTGTTGAAATGATTATATTGGAACCCATCTTTCCAGGAGAGAGTGCTCAAGACTAGTTATTGTAGATTATCAAAATTCTTGGAACACCAACTCCTGATATCATTAAATAAATGAATCCAGCCAAAGCTGAAGTCAAATTACCTATGATAAAAGGCAATCCATGGTCTAAAGTCTTAGCTAAACATAAACCAGATCAATTATTTTTGGATCTCATTTCATAAATGCTTACGTAAAATACATCCTTCTTAATATTTAGTTACTCTCCAAAAGCTAGAATTTAACCTATTGATGCATTGTTGCATCCATATTTTGATGACTTAAGAAAAGAAGAATTTGCGAAATCAAATATAAAATTCCCTAATCTATTTGACTTTAACAAGCAAGAATTAAGTATAAGACCAGAACTAAATTCTAAATTAATTCCATAATGGTATCAAAAGCTAAATACCTGATTAAATTCCAAAATAAATATATAAATGTAAATAATGCTCCTTTATATGAAACTCTTTTTAATTATTCTTTCAATTCACAATATATTCCATAGTTTTGTATAATACTTTAATTATAAATATATTAATAATCAAAATTCTATTCAAGTAAACAAATAAAAATTGGATGAATCTCAATAATTATGATCCTATTATTATTCTAATTATTAAACAAAAAAAATAATATCATTTTTAAGTTAAATCATATAATTATAATTAACATATATAAATACTCATAAACATAATGTTTGCTATACTGTAATTACAATATAAAATTTTAAATCTCACTAAATTAATTTTTGTATTATAATAAAAAGATATAATGTAATTCAATAAAATAATAAGGTTTATTTAAGTAGTAGAATGAATTTAAAATTACTTTAGAATATATAATTTAACAAAATTACAATATTAAATTTCTCTATAAATAATATAATTAGAACTTATTTTATAAGGTATTTTATCATAATTTTTCTAATTTTTAAGGATCTACAAGTGGATTATTTTTTCTAAGTAATTATTTAGCTTTTTCAGCATGATCAAATGTACATTAATGTTCCTCTGGTAACCGATGTTTATTGCAAAAATAAGCCTCACATTTACATTAAATACCAGCTATTCCCAATTTTCTTTTACATATTTTACATTTTGATGGGTCTTCCTGATAAAATTTAAAATACAACTTTTTACATTCAATTTTACTACTTCATCTTTTTCCTTTTTTTCTTAGACAATCTGTTACTATTGTTAGATTTCTGCACTACTTTCTTTAATAATAGATCTAATTGTAAAATAGTTATTAATTATAATTACTAGTAACATTTTGAACAATAAAATTATGTAGCTGCTGTTCCAAAGAAAGTCATACATATATTACATAATCTTGTTTCCTACTTATTCTCTTAATTAATAGATTATTCTTAAGTTGCTGCCCCTTGATTATTTTACATTTATATTAATGAATCTAATTAATACTAATCTCAAAATGAAAAAGTTTTTATTTATAATCAAAAAGTAAAAAAATTTAGAAAATCTTGAAAACATATTTAATCTGGATTATCCTCATTAAATAATTTACATATCCTTTCTAAATCACAGCTAACATTTATTTTAAAACTAAATATGTTATAAGAAATTAATTACTATTATAATAAATTAAGAAGATCACGATGATCTAAATAAATTGAATGGGCTATATCTTCAAATAAATTCAAAAAAGATTGCTTTTTCTATTTTATGAATTATCTTTTCAATTTAAGCAATTCCTCTTAATCTATTACTTATATTTTTTGTAATTTATTAATGAATAATGCAAATTCTTTACAATCTTCAGAGTATGGAGGTACAAATTATGTTTATGATGATACTTATGATTGTTATCTTGTTTATGCCATAGTTGACATCTAAGAAATCTATTACTTTTCAAATGTAAACTCATCTATAAATTCTGCCATACTTATGAATCCATCTTCATCTTTATCCATCCTTCTAAATATATAAATCAAATCCTCATTTGATGTTTAATAATTAAATTGTTATTATAAGTATTTTCTTAACTTTATAACATCTATGAAACCATCTGATGTTGTGTCAATCTCTTTATAAATTTTTAAAATTTCTGATTAACTTAACTCTTTCCTCTATTCAATTAACATAGTATCCATTATTTATTAAGTTTCAATTAATTGTTATATTAGAATATTACAATATTTAATATTCTTAGTTTCTCCAAGTTTATTTAGACTCTTTGGTCTAAAAGGGAAAATGAATTGTAAGAACTCTTGATAATCCTTGAAAATTTCTTTATCAAATTCTATATTATCATCAAAGTATTCAGCTATCATTTATCGGATTGTTTCTTTTCTTTATTCCTATTAGCAAATGGTGTAGAAATATTTAACAACTATTTTCATTATTAATTAATATATATATATTATAATTAATATTTTTTCATTATTCAAAATCCTCATCCTCATAATCTTTTTAACTCTTATTTTATGGTTCACTAATTTATTTTTCAGATTGTTATTAATCAAATTATTGATCATTATATTCTTCAAAATTCTCCTCCTATTCATTCTACTCTTTTTCATACTCAGCTTATTATTCATATTCCTATTCTAATCTATTTTATTCTTCTTCCAATCTCTATTTCTCTAATAGTTCTTCTTATAATCTTCTTTCTTCTTCTTCTTCCTTCAATTTTCTTTACCTTTCCTCTTCTTCCTTTTATTACTTTAATAATTCTAACTGTCTTTATTACTCTTATTACTTTTTGAGATTCTCTTATTCTTCTTACTTTTTCATTTCTTCTAATAATTTTTACCTTTTTGCCTCATTCTCTTATTTAATTCTTTCTTCTTCTTCTTACCTCTTTCTCTCTTCTTCTTCTTCCTTCCATTATTATTCTAATCTTCTTTATTCTTCCTCCTCCTTTTCTAATTCTAATTATCTTTACCTTTCCTACTCTTATTACAATTATAATTATTTTCTTTATTCATCTTCTTCTTTTTATTTTTTCAATTATTATTAAAGAAGTTCTTCTTATTTTTATTATTATTAGATATCTTTATTATTTTATATTTCATTATTTGATTATTTTTTTACTTATTCTTTTGGTAAATCACTTTCACTTTTAGTTTTTTATTATATTTATGAATCTAATACATAATATTTCTAAATGATTTACCAACATAAAATAATTCAAATAACTTTTTGTAATTGATATGAATTAATTCTTGAGTAAGTTCATAATTCTTCAATAACAAAAATTCATATTAAGTAGAATTAAATGTTTATTCAACAAATTTAAGAGCCTCTTCAAGATCTTCAATTGAACATAATTCTTATTTCTTTTTTGATCTCAAAATGAAATCTTCTAAAGAATTTCTATATTTTGATAATACAATTGCAATCTCAAAAAATAATTAATCCTCTTCATTTTTCTATAATTTAACATATCAAATTACTTCTAAAAGATTGTATTTACCAATTAAATTTTTTAGAATACTCTTGGCTCTTGCTATAAGACCTTCAGCTAATAAACTAAACTCAACAAATCTTTCATCATTATCCTCAATTAAGTATCTAGCAACCTTAAGACTTTCCACTTCATTTAACAAAAATGGCTCAGCCTATAACATTTCATTTAATTCTTCAATTCTAATAACAGAATGAACATCCCCATGAATAAACTAATGAATTCATATCATCATAATTACATTATCTATTTTTTCAAAAGGAACTTTCATAGCTTTTAATTTGAATTTGATTTATTTACATATCAAATTCACATCATCCTTAGTAACACAAGGCAATAATTTTTTTTTTTGATCTATAATTTCTGGTCCTTCAGGAAGAATTTCAAGTTTATTTTCTAAGAAACTATTATTTTAAACAGTTCTTCTATTATATTATTAAATACATATATACCTTCTTCCTGATTATTATGAAACTTCTTCTTTAAGTGAATTACATTATTCACGTAATTATTATCTATCTCTCTCTAATTAATCTATTATTTATTATTGTTCTCTCTCTAATTCTTTCATTCTCTTATCCAATTCTGCATATTGTGCATCTTTTGCCTTCAAACTACTTATCAATGTGTCGATTTAAACTTACTTTTAACTAGCAATATAGTTATGATTTAGTACTCAATATCCTATTTTAATTACTATTCATTTTCAGTAATTTTATTTTATTTCTTATATTCTGGATCTTTAAATTTTAAACTTTCTATTTAATTTTTCAAATATTGATTCAATTTATCCTTTTTAAGTTTTTCATTATAATACATGGTAGCTTTTGATTCATATTCTTTGCATTTGATTTTCAATTATTTTAATTCATCTTCTAATAATTTATAATCAGCTCTTAATCTAAGTAGATCATTATCAGAATCATTAAATTTCATTCCCATCAAAGCTTTCAATCTTTGTGCTTCTTATTGATAAGACAACAATTCAATTTCTAATTCTTTAATTTTCATTGCTTTAGTATTTTTCTATAGAAATTGTATTTATTAATCCTTTTTTATTGATTCTTCTTGTAATCTTCTTAATTATTTCTTTAAATCCATTATTAAATGCTATTTCATAGGTTTACTATCTTAATAAAATGATTCCATTGGGTTAATAACTTGCTCACTTATTGGAGTAGCTCTAACCATTCTTTGTAATTCTTCCTATAAGTCTTAATCAATTTTACATCCATCATTTTTATTTTTGTATGTAAAGCTTAGTTCTCTCTTTACAGATTGTTATTGATTTATTTTGCATTTATAACTTCTTCATACAAAGATTCCCTGTCATATAAAATTGCCTAAGGAATCATCTTCTATCTCTTCTATTGCAAACTGTTTCTCTATTGATCTTGAGTAATCGGTCTAATTTTCATTCCTGTCTACAATAAGTACCACTACACTTACACTTTTATCCTCAGTCTCCAAAGTACCCAAATTCATTTGTTATCGCTTTCTTTATTCAGTTTGAACCTGTCTCTTTGATGTAAATGATGTACCAGGTCTTTCCTCTACGTTCATATTTCTTTTTGATTTTTTTATTATTAAAATGTTTTTTATAAAACAAATCAATAATATTTCAAGTTATTGAGGATCTCCAAATACCCAAGCCTGAATATTGTCTTAAAATTAATCTTCTCAAAACTTTATGTGCATGATAGCACATTCACTTAATTGAAAAGAGAATTATAAAATGGTTTGATTGAACTCAAAAATTGCTAATTGGATTAGAAATATTCATAAAATTTTGTGGAAGCATTATCATTAATAATAATATAAAATCGAAATGATGTTTCAAGTAATTGCAACAATAAATACTAATAATATTAGAAATCTGATAATACTAATTATTATAAATAAAAAATTGATACAAAAAGCCTATTTTTGAATTTCAATCAATTTTTAGTATCTTATTCTCTCTATCATTTTATCATTTGTATTATAAAGAGTATTAAAAATTAAATCATATAATTGTATTCAAATTTTTATTCGAACTTTTTAAATCTCTGAATTTTATTTTATTCTACCATAATTTCAAATACACCCTTAAGATGTTATTTTACTACTTTTATATCATATATTGAACTTAACAGTTATTCTTGATCATAATATTCAAATTAGTCTCATTTTGGAGTAATACCCAAATTAAATCAGTTTTTAACTAAATTAATCAAAATCTACTTAAACTAAAATATAATTATACTGTTGAAAACAATAATCATTGAAAATTTCTTTTAACAATAGATAATTTATTTGAATTATCTTAATTAATAAATATATCATATAGCAAATATCAAAATATCATAGAATTTTCATCTCCTCTATAATAAATATATTTTCTAATTTTATAATTCTACTTACCATAAATAAATCATTTAATTTTTTTCATTTCAACCAATTCCTATAGATTATTTAATTATTAATACCTCTGCTACTGATAAATGAATTCCAACAGTTGAATCAAAACCAGACTTCTTCCAATTCTTATAGCAACTGTAAAACATTAAGTCACTTCAGCCTCTGATCCAATATAATGGAATTCAAATATTTAGTCAGTGTCTTTTCTGACTATTAATTTTTCTTAACAAAATGAAAGGGCTTTTTGCACTAATATTCCAAGTCACAGGCTTGAAATCATTTTCAAAGATTTTGAAATTCCACCTACTATATATTTTCAATTGCTTTTTCTTCTTCTGACAATCTGAAACAACTATACTCATCGGGTGTAATTACTGGTGTATAAACAAATGGAATAATCATCATTATAGCTACATCTTTATAATCCATAATATATTTGATTAATTTCCTTCATCTATAATTAAATTACACTCCTTAATATAACTGGGCATCTTGTTGAATCCTGCACATTCTAATGCCACATAGGACCCTCAAATAATCAAGGATATTCCAGGAGGACTTCTCATCCAGAATCAATTATCTGAAGTAATATAGCTCTAAGGATATAAGCCCTTATATAACCTTGGTCTCGATCCAACAGAAACAATAATATTTTCAGCAGTTACAGTGCTCTTTTGACCATTTTAATCCTACGAACTAAATTTGTTAATAATTTGTTTTTGTGCTTAGATTGTATTTGGATTAATGAGCCATACACAACTTCAGACAAACAAAAAATGCTACACAAAAATGAGCTAAGAAAGGAGGAAATACAGTTCTAAGATCTTGATTAGCCTTTGATAATTCAACCATGATTATCGAAGCAAAAAACTAGGAATAAGTATGAAATATTACTGGTATGGCATTTCCAATCATAATTCTCATCCAGACTGGTCTTTTGTACAAAAAAGGATTAATGTATTTTTTGGCTGATTCAAGAATGGTATCAGAATCTAACATATATGAATCTAAACAAATAAGTAGATAACTATTAATAACATATTATTCTACCCAACAACACACATGATTTTATATGTGATTCTTTTGGAAGGTTAATGTTTAACTGATTTCAATTTTTTGTTTGATTACTTGAAATTCAGATTATGGAATAAAAAGATTTTCTATCTAATTTCTACTATATTGTTTGGGTGAATAAAATAAATTGAATATATAATTAATGAAAAATATAATTGCAGCCACATTGACGTCATTACTAATTTGTGTTGGTTTCTACCAAGTAAATTTAGATTCTGATTCTGAATTCGAAAGATGGGCTTTGAAACATGGAAAACGCTATTTTGGTGATGAGAAAACATACAGATAATCCATTTATTTTTAAAATAAATAAATGATAGATGAACATAATAAAAGAACCGATGTTACTTATTTAATGGGAGAAAATCAATTCATGGCTATTACAAATGAAGAATTTGTTGGTCTTTATTTGAATCCATTATCACCCGAAAAATAAAATGAATAAGACTAAATCATAACTAAAACTAATCCTAAGTCACCTGAACCAAAAATAGAATAAAATTTAAAAGAAGAATATGATTGGAGAGGTTATGCCCCAGTTAAAGATACAGGAAACTGTGCTTCCTCTTGGGCAATGGCAGCAACAAATGCCATTGAAGCATAATATGCAATTGTAAAAGGAATAAAAGTAACACTATCAGCACAGAATGTCATAGATTGTGACGGTGATTGGGTGGGATGCGATGGAATTCCAACTGTATTTACATAGCCTTAGTAGGCATATGAACATGCAAGAACTCGAGGGATTTTAACTGAGTCTGAATATCCGTATGTCGGCAGGAGGGATTATTATTCGTGTTAGTAATCATAATTAGCACCATGGAAAATTTTGTCCTACATGTAGAATAATGATGATATAGATTATATGAGGGGTTTCTTATAAATTTTAAGGGTACAACCTTTATCAGTAAGAGTTGATGCTACTAACTGGTAATTCTATAGCTCCGGAGTATTCTCTCTTTGTAGTTCATTATATAAAAACTCAAATTATTTTGCATTAGCTATTGGATATGATTATTCTAACAAGAATTGGAGAGTTCAAGCATCTTTTGGAAAATCTTGGGGAGAATTTGGAACTATTAGATTAGCACCAGGAAATACTTGTGGTCTGATAAATGAAGGAGTTTTTGTGACACTGTTATGATTAATCATTAAAAAAATTAAAAAATATCATCTTTCTATATTTACATGCATAATTAAAATTGCAAATTAATTTTTTGTTATTTAAAACAAATTTCTATATTTTTCAAAAATACCTTGTTCATAAAATCAATTTCCAAAACTATATTGAGAAAAAAAAAGAAGTGTTGTTTAAATACAATATTATTTAATTTCAATTTTAAAGATAAAAATGATTTAATTTTTATAATGATAAAATTGATCATTATCATAATAGCATTCAAAAGATAAGTAATTAAAAATATATAGATTATTACATATATTTATTAAAGGAATTCTAAAAAAATGTAGAGGAATCAATTTAAATGAATAATACAATATCTAAGGACCTTACTTCAATTTTAGAAAATGAAATCTAAATTGAAAGGAACAAAATATGGGATTTTTCTTTTAAAACTTGAGGTAAATGGTATATATATTCTCATAAGAAACTTCTTGAAATTCCTCCGCAAAGACTTAGAAATATTTTGGAGATTGAAAAGTATAAATTGGAGGATTGGGCAAACAGTTAGGTAAATTAGAAAAATTTTTAATTTAAAGATAAAATTAAAAACGATCGCCTTCTGAATTTGGTAAAAAGTTGCTAAAAACTGAAAGTGAAATAAAACAATGTAACTTTTTATAAGCACCCTATGATTCAATAAAGAGATTTGAAGGATTAAAGTATTTTAAAAACTTTAGTTGTAATTGGAGAAACAGGTGTTGAGAAATCAACAATGATAAACTTTTTCAATAATTATTATATTGGAGTTTAACATGTAGATCCATTTAGATTTATAATTGTTGATGAAGAATAAATATAACAACTATATAAAAAGATTGGATGGTAATTCTGCTCTAAGAATAATTGATAACCCTGGATTTGGAGCCATTAGAGGATACGATTACTTTGATTTGTGTTGTAATGAAAGCTACTAAAACTAGATTAACTCTTCATCAAAGATACATTATTAATCGTATCTTATAATTATTTAGTAATGTTGTTATACAAAATCTTATTTTTTGTTTACTTTTTGGGATGGCTTTAAGGCAATAGCACTTGATTCAATTTAAGTTAAAGCAGATCATAAGCATCTTGCAAGTCCTTTTTGTCAATATTATAAATCAAATAAGAGGACAGTATTGAATAGAATTTAAAAATGAAGCTTTTTCATAAAATATAAATCAAATTTCAAAAATATATTGGGATATGGCTTATAAATCATTTAATATTTGAAAGTAAATCTAGAATATCATCATTAATATCAGACCTGAAAACGAAAAGTAAAGAATTTCTAATTTAACAAAAGATTAAGAAGATTCCAAAAAATTTATATTTACAAAAATAGTATTAGTCCCTAATCAATATAGTAATATTTGCAAAACAATTTGTCATTATCCTGCAATCTTGAAATTATTTTCAAGCATTTTTTTAAGTCTTAGAATCATATTATTCACTACTTAAACCAATTAGTTCCAATTATGAGAATCATTTTCATTAATACCACTCCATCCACCTTTACCCTAATCTTTTCTATAGTCACCCAATTAAGCAGCAACGTGAAATAATTTTTTAGGAATGCACCCAACATTTATAGTTGATTTAAATTATAATTATATTTACACAAGTTCCTCCTACACCTCATGATTGACTTTGAGGAGAAGGAACAACAAAGTCTGCCAAACCTACTTTTTCCCTTAGTTATACACCTGCTTTGCTGCTAGCTAAACCACCTGATCCTCCTCTAATTTCAAAAAGATCAAAGGGATATTGAAAAACAATTTTCATTGAAATTAAATATTAACTATTTCTACATACAAACATAATTTGTTAATTGATGAAAAGCAATTGATTTACGAGTATCAATAAAAAGTGAACTAAATATGCAAGCTTTATCTTCAGATAGGAAATGCATCTTAGACGAAACTGAGTGGTTTAGTAAAAAAAGAATATCTTTTATTTTTAGCTTTGAGATTTTCAATCCTGGATAGACACTTTAATATACTAATTGTGAAATTGTGGATCTGAGAACTCTCTACTAAGTCATTTCATATCCGATCTGCTGTTACCAATTAACCATTATAAATTTTCTCAACATTAATTAAAATCTTATATGAATCTTTGTTTATCAAATTCATATTACATTAAATATTTGTATCATCGATTCAATAGGATTTGAAATTACTTTATTATTGTTAAACCTTATTGAAGATACTTCAAGTGATTATCTCCTATCAAATATCAAAAAGGTAATTATTATATTGTTTATTCTAACTTAAGACCAAGATTAATATAAAATGATAATAATTCAGGATGAAGCCTTCTTAGTGATTATCTTTAAGAATAAAAATATAGACAGAATTTCTAATTGAGTTTTGATTATTCTTATACATAAATAATTCAATCGTAATTAAATTAAATTGTCGTCACTCTATAAATGGATATAATATTTTTGGAGTGCAATAATATTAATAAGAAATGAGTTAAAAGCTTAAAATTAGAAAGCCTGCTCCAGCCTTTACAGCCACAGCTTATGTTAATGGATCATTTAAGAAAGTGTCACTTTCAGATTTCAAAGGCAAATACTTAGTCTTATTCTTTTATCCATTGGACTTCACTTTTGTTTGTCCAACTGAGATCATTGCTTTTTCTGATAGAGTTGAAGTAATTCTTTTAATCTTAACTTTTAATAGGAATTCAGAAAGATTGGATGTGAAGTTGCTGCTGTTTCAGTTGATTCACATTTCTCACACATGAAGTATTGCCAAACCCCAAGAAATCAAGGAGGATTGGGTGATATGTAAATTCCATTGATTGCTGACTTAGGAAAAGTAATCATTATATATAATGAATTTTCTAGACTATTTCTGCTGATTATGGAGTTCTAATTGATGATCCTTAAGATGGAGATTTTGGAGTTGCATTCAGAGGCACATTCATAGTTGATAAGAATGGTGTTCTTAGACATTATTCAGTCAATGATTTACCAGTTGGAAGAAATGTCGATGAAACATTGAGGTAATAAATGACACATATATAATTTTCTAGATTAGTATAAGCATTCTAATTCACTGATGAACACGGTGAAGTTTGTCCAGCCTCATGGAAACCAGGAAAACCAACTATGGTTCCTGATCATGGAAGTTAAAAGCTCTAATAATATTGGACAGAAGAACATGCAAAGAAAGAATGAATGAGTCAATTATTATATAAAAATTTATAAAATTGTTTTTTTTAATTTATATTATTGAATTAAATAGTATTGTTTATATAAATTACATTGATAAAATTTAAGTGATATTTTTTATAATTATTTTAATTAATTTAATCAATAGTAATCTTATTATTCTAATTCCTAATTATTCTATTTTACTATATATAGTCTTTTATTTTTAGAATTATCATAATTTATTCTTCTATAAACATATTATGATATTAAGTTTAATTGAAAAAATTGAATTAAACTAAACTCATTATCCTAAGTTTTCAAATGGAATTAAGTTTTATATACAATGTTTAAATTAAATTAATAACTTAAAAAACACATCACAATTGTATAATTCAATAGTAATATATTATACAATAGATATGTTCCTTCATTTAAGTTCAATCAATTAATATACTTGACTAATCAAATATAAAAGCAATATAAATTTGAGCATACTAACTAAATTTTAAATCTAAAATGATATTATTAATACATAATAAATTATACTAAACAAAATAGAATGGTTAATGATTGTAACTGAATATATATTAATCTAATTATCTTTCAATTTTTCATGAATATTAAAATAGATTAAAATATTAAAATCTATTCGTTAATAAATGAAGAATATAAGTTAAACAGTCGATGTTAGAAACCATTCAAAAAAGGAAGATAAAGAAAATTTAATTTTCTATTCATCCATTAAAGATAAATTACCTAAGCCTAACCCTATTCTAATTTAATAACTTCATTTAAACAAAGTAAATTCAATATTACCATTAAAAAGAAAGTATTTATATTTTAGTTATATTATTTAGTTATTTAGAAGCAAATGAATAAGAAGCAACTTATAAAACAGTGATTTAATAATAGGAATAAGAATGTATAACGTAAAAGCCAATTACTCTTTAAGCTTTTTTAAAACCCCTCAAATTAATATACCAAAAATATTAACCATAACAGAACCAAAACTTATATGCAACTCTACTTCATTAACATGGGAATACTCTTGATACTTCTCATTATTATTAAAATTAAGATGAGAATATTAAATTTGATTCTCTATTTGAAAGTGGGAACTTATTCTAAGTATTCAAAGTATTTCTATAATATCTAACTAGAAAAGCGATCACGATTATATCTTACTCCTATAAAATGATATTAATACAAAAGGATATACATAATGGTTTTATTTTTCAATTTAAAATAAGAATTCAATTATGTGTAATATCAGACTCAGTATAATAAATATCAACAAAGATATGTGTTTTTATCGTTAAGGAATGAAAATCTTAATAAATGAATGTAATTAATGGAGAAAAGATTCATTAGGTTTGTCATTTAAAAAAAATCATATCTAAAGAAATGATTCCTCATTTTATTATTCTCTTTCATTTAATTATACATTTATTGAATAAGGAACTGTTTATTTTGCATCTAATTACCCTTATACTTATTCAAATCTATAAACCTTTATATCTAGTAAATACTTAGTTTACGATAGAATAATGAAAGTCAAAAATATAATAACAAGTTAAGCTGGAAATGATATTTAAATAGTTACAATAACAAATGATAATTAAGATTAAAAATGTGGATTATTATTTATAGGTAGATAACATCCTGGTGAAACACCTAGTTCATTTGTAATTGAAGGAATAATCAATGCATTGTTATCAAATGAGGCTGATGAATTGAGGAATAAGTTTGTTATAAAAATTATACCAATGTTAAATGTTGATGGTGTAATACATGGAAATTAAAGATGTGGTTTAGCAGGTTTTGATTTAAATAGAAAATGGGGATGTAATAGAGATGATACCTTAAATTAAGTTGAAAAATTAATAACTAATTTTAATTAAAACTATCCTATCTAATTGATTCTTGATATTCATGGTCATAGTAAGAAGTAAAGTAAATTTAATAAATTAGATTATCAGCCTTTTTTTATGGTCATAGTTGTAATGAATTTATTAATGAACTTTGCAATTCAGATAAAAGATTCAGTCTTGAAAATAGTAGATTTATGAAAAATACTAAATATTTGAATCATACAGCCAGAGTTTTTTTATAAAAATTATTGAATATGAAGTAGAATATATATACACTTGAAATTTCATACTTTGGATATAAGAATTAACATTAAATTGTGGATTTCACTCTAAATGATCTAAGATCTATGGGAAGAGAAATAGTCATCACATTATCTAAAAATAATAATCATAAAGAATAAATATAGACAGAAAGTATATTAATAAATGAATAGAATTCTGATATCAGTTTTTCAGATTCATCAATTTCAGAAGATGAAATTGGTGATGATGAAATTAAATAAATATAATAACCACTCAAAGAAAAAATTATTAATTTAGAAAGATAATATCCAAGATCAAATTCATTTAAATAAAGATAACTTAAATCATCTTAATCTAGAAATAGAGCAAAATCATAATCTATTTAAAATTAAATTAAATACTAATAATTTACTTATAATTTTATTGATAATTCATTTAATAATTTTAATACTAAAAATGATAATTGTGAACATTAAAATTTATTTATTCCACAATAAAAACCTAAATCATCTGAATATACAGTGTAACCTTTAGTTGTAATGCCTTAACATAGTTTAAAACATTAATTCTTATGGTAAAATAGATTAAGGTAATAAAATTAAAAAGAAATTAAATTATCAAATCCTAAAGAATAAAGAGACTTAAAAATATATCAAGAATTTAAAGATTATGTTAATAATAAATAATATTAAAACAAACCTTTACTACCTAAATATACATTCAATGATACAGATTTATTCAAAAAATGTCAAGCAAAAAAATAATATTTAATTATTAATTTATGATATAGAGACAATTTTAAAAATTAATATATAAATTATGTAAATTTCTTAAGAATTTGATTTTTTTGTCATTGGAGGTGGCTCAGGAGGATTGGCTGCTGCTAAATAAGCTGCATCATATGGAGCTAAAGTAGGTTTGGCTGATTTTGTAAAACCTTCTCCATAAGGAACCAAATGGGGTTTAGGTGGTACTTGTGTGAATGTGGGATGTATTCCAAAGAAATTAATGCATTTTGCAGCTATGGCAGGAGAACTTAGAAAAGATTAAATAGAAGCAGGGTAAGAAAATTAATATATATTTAGATGGATAGATACTGATATTTAAGGAAAACATGATTGGAATAGAATGACAGAGAATGTACAAAATCATATAAAAAAACTTAATTTTTCATATAAAAATTAGTTAAACAAAAAGGAAGTTAAATATTACAATAAATTAGCAGAATTAGAAAAATCCAATATTGTGAAAGTATATTATTATATATATAATATATAGTTAATTGACAAGGATGGAGGAATAGAATTTGTAAAATCAAAATACATACTAATTGCAGTAGGTGGAAGACCCAGTTATCCAGACAATATTCCTGAAATAGAAAAAAAAGTAATTACATCAGATGATTTGTTTTGGTTACCTAATAATCCAGGTAAAACTCTTATTGTAGGTGCTTCTTATGTAGCACTTGAATGTGGAGGCTTTTTGAATGGTTTAGGTTATGATACTACTATAATGGTTAGAAGTATACTTTTAAGAGGATTTGATTAAGAAATAGCAGGTAAGATTGAAGATTACATGGTGGAGAATGGAATTAAATTTATAAAGGAAGCTATTCCTATTAATATAGAATTAACTGAAAATAATAAAAGATTAGTAACTTGGACTTAAAAAGGAATTCAAAATAGTGATATATTTGATACTGTGATTATTGCCACTGGTAGAAAAAGTGATACTAATAAATTGAATCTAGAATAAATTGGTGTTAAAACTAATAAAAATGGAAAAATTATATGTACTATTGATGATAGAACATCTATTATGAATATCTATGCTATTGGTGATTGTGTTGATGGTAGACCAGAACTTACTCCTACAGCCATAAAATGTGGATAATTATTGGCTAATCGATTATTTGGTGGATAAAAGAAAATGATGTGTTATTAATTTGTTCCTACAACTATTTTTACTCCACTTGAATATGGTTGTATAGGTTATTCAGAAGAAGAGGCCATAAATAAATTTACATAAAATGAAATTATTATTTATCATTCCATTTTTAAACCTTTAGAATGGAATCTATTGGAATCTCATTATGCATAAGCTTGTATGATTAAATTAATTGTATTGGTATCTACAAGAAGAGTTATTGGTTTACATTATTTGGGACCTAATGCAGGTGAAATTGTTTAGGGTTATGCAATTGCTATGAAATTAGGAGCTACAAAAGAATAATTTGATTCAACTATTGGTATTCATCCTACTTGTTCAGAAGTATATTTATAATCTAATTAATAGGAAATTTTAACTCTTACAGCAATTAAAGGCATTGATAATCCATAAAAAGAAGGTTGCTGAGGTTGAGATCCCTAGCTTGAAAGAGAGCTAGGGTTAAATTTACAAATAACCTAAACTCTGTCAGAAGTGTTTTGATTTTCCTAATTTAGATAAATGGACTTTCATTTTAATTAATGAAAATGATTTTTTTGCTTTAAATTTAGAAGTAAAAAATGAAAAAAAAGTTCATTTAGACCAATTAATGAATTAAAACATTTCATTTTTATATAAATTAGTAAAATCATAATTTCTATTTAAGTTCCTGTATATAATTAGTTAGCAATCTTGAAAAATTTTATCTTTTTTCTATAAAAATATATAAAAATGATTACATTCTAAATTATTTTCTGCTTCTTTTAACTCTCTCATCTTTCTTATTTAATCTATCATAAAGTTTTATAAAATTTATTCCATTGGTTAATTACAACCTTATGAATTATTAATTAAATGTTGGAATTCAATTTTAAAATGATCAGAATTTATTAAATCTAATAGTTGCTCTTCAACTATTTATTCTTTAATCTCTGGTATTTTATTGCAAATAGATATAATTTTATTTGAATTCTGTAATACCTTATTAATCCTCTCATTCAAAGGTTTATGTAAATTTATATTGTCAGGGTCATTCAAAATCTAAGAAGCTATTCTTTTATGTCTTACTTCAACTGCAGGTTAATTTAATTTCTTAATTTTATCTACAGAAGGATTTATTGTTCTTCTAAATAAAAGTTTGTTTTTCAATATATGAGTAGTCTTATCATTGTTCTCTTAGTCATTACTCTTATTCTCATTATGTAAAGTAGGTAATTTTGTATTAACTTATGGAGTATATAGTCTTCTAGGAGTACTTGGTTTAATCTAGTGAATTTTCATTAAATTTTCTTTCTCTAACATTTCCAAGACCTCAATAACTTAAGCATTAGAGGAATGAGAATATTAGGTAGGGTATCTTTCTTTTAGAGGCTAGGTGAAATTGAATTGAGTCATTGTTTAAATATGCTAAGATTATAATTATTTTGCTATCTTCTCTATATCTTTATGGATTGATTAGGTACTGTTAGAATGACCGAATATAAGATTTTGAATTGGTTAAACAATAGGTTGCTTTTATTTTCTATAGTAGAATCTATGTTAAGAATGTATTGATGAAGTGGTTTTAGGAAAGCCACCTTCTTTTTACATCATCTCGTATTGAGTGAGCATTAATACAGGGTTCTTATTCTCTTTGTTTAGAGATTTATTAGCAGACAATTCCATTAACAGATAAATATATAAATAATTATCCGTTGACAAAATATAATCCTATATAAAGCATAAATATTCCGAATGTCAATTCTATAAATGGTTATTACATAAGCAATAAATATAGTATATATATATAATTTAAAGTACTGGTAATAATGGTATTACTGTATAAACTGTGAATATTTAGAGAGTATATATTATAAAGATTATAAATTATGAGTTATGGAATATAATTTATTAATGAATCCCAATTACCAGATGGTTTTAACATATGGAAAATAAAAACTTTATTTTTATAAGTATTATAAATTAATAAAATAATATATATGTTGACTTTCATTTATTTTTTATAATAATTGTTTTAAAATATTATCAGATTTCTAAGAAAAAGCATTCAAGTTTATAAATAAATAGAACTGTAAGAAAAGTCTATATATTATTGATAAATAAATTTCATTTAGTTTATGAGGAATTAAATAATAATAATAAATTAATTTATAAGATAAAGTAAAAGTAAATATTGTAGTGTTTAATAATAAGAGAAGAGTAATAATCTATTTATATTATATTATTTGAATTTATTTTATTAAAAGCTGCTGCTAATCAATTTAGTAATAAAATAATTAAAATAGATTATGTTTACTTATTATGAAATGTAGAATAATTAAATTTCAATTTATTTCAAATTCTTTCATAATTATATAAGTATACTATCATCATTAGTTCTAAACTTAGATCATTTTGAATTAAAAAAATCTTATAAGTAATTTTACATATTAATAAAATGAAATGTTATATATTTATGATCAATTATCTAATTTTGTAATTTGCATTGAATATTCGAAACTTAGAGATCTCTACATCTTAATATCACCTGGTTCGCTTTTTGTGTCACTGTTAGTTTCCAATGGTTGTAACTTTAACGAATTGATATTGGATTTCATCTCTATATACTCTCTTTCATCTTCATCTGTTAAATCTGAAGCAACAGAATCATCAGAAGTTGATGATGAATTCTAATCACTATTCCCTTCTAAAGGATTAATTTTATCCAGTACTTCACTCCCTTTCTTATCAACAAAATATAATGTTAATACAAAGATTAAATTAACACAACCAATTCCCATATAAAAGAATCCAACCTACCTATAATCACCATTAGTGTTATATATTTAAGAAGATACTAAAGGGAAGATGCAAGCTCCTATACTTTCAAATAGACCCATCAAACCAAATGCAGTACCCATGATTCTTTAATCAACAAGATATTAAACACAAGGAATCATAACACAAGAATAGAATGCATAACTAACTCCTAATAAGAACAAAGGAACTACAGCTGCAAATTATGGTGATCCATCTTCAGGAGTTGGTATGATTGCAAATAATAAATGGGAAATAATAAAGAGTAAAGATGTCAATATCATCCATCTTCTTCTATAACCTACCTTGTCAACTATATACCCAATAAATGGAGATATAAATACTACAATAATGAAATGAATTTACTTGGTGTCAAGTAGGTAATGATGATTGCTCTCCCAGCTGATATATAAGATAGATTAAATCTCTATTAACAAAATTAATTAGCATTATCCAAAAAAGGTATAAATATACAAAGACTAAAAGTGCAGATCATCAATAGGATCCAAACTGTTCCTGATAATTATTTAAGATCCTTTAAACTAATTTCTTCTTTTGATTCTTCTAATTTCTCCTCTTCTTCATCTTCATCTCCTTCTTCTTTCTCCATAATATTTTATTCCAATACATATTCAGAATCAGATTCTATAAAGGAGTATATCAAATTTATTACTCACATCTTTAATCATATTTTTCAGCATATTTATCTAGGTATACCAAAATCATGCCACAAATAAATGAGAATAAACAAAATCCTACACTGGCAAAAAGTGGTACTGATAATTTTTGACTAGATTGATAGATTAATGGAGTCAATAAACTATTAAGAGCACCTCCCAATTCTGGAACAGTCATTATTATTCCCATAGCCTATATTAACTTAGAATATATTACAGTTGCTAATTCTGAACCCTTAAACCATAAACTGACAAAAGTACTTTATGCAATAATTAGATTTTCACTAGCAACACCAAATATTGCTCTTCCTAACAACATTAAGGAATATTGATTGAATTAGCCACCCAACGCTATTATTAATTAACCAATAGTAACTATAAGAGTAAATGTAAAGATCCCAAATCTTACACCTAATCTATCAATTATCATTCCTACAATATTGATGATGAACTTTCATACCTCCCAAAATAGTGAGAAAGATGTTAGGTAAAGCAAATACACTATATAGTAAATTAAACTGAATTATGCTAATTCCTAATTATTATTAAATTTATGTTTGCAAGGCTTGAGGATTATCAAATGAATAATTATTTCCTAAAAGAATTAAAGCAGCTAAAGACACTGCCAAAAATCTCCATTTTGTTTAACGAAAACTCATATTTTCACAAAAAATATTTTTATTATTTAAATTTTTAATTTATTCTTACTAATTTTATGGAATGAATTATTCCAATATTAAATATAACAATAGATCAAATTATATTCATATACATATAATCATTAATATTGTAAAACCATTGGTGAAAAATCATCACCTATAGCAACTAATTTTGTTTTATTATCATTTATTTTCAATTATCTAACACAACCCTTATTCATTGCTCCAAATCCATATAAACATTAACCAGAATCATTATCATAAAATAATACATTGCCATCTCCACATCCTGCTATTGTCATATTATAAATAGTCTCTATAGAAAATACAGCATCTTTAGCCTTCATCATAGATACTGGTTTGAATCCAGCAACTATATCAATTATTTTACAAGTGGCATCAGCACTACCAGTAATTACTTATAAATTAATTAGGAATCTTACTAAAATTTTATAAATTCACTGCCAAACCATTAATTGATCCTTTATGAATCTAACTCTAATTTACTAATTTATTAGTTCTCATATCATGAATTGCCAATGTTCCATCATTAATACCTGCTGTTATTACAAGATTATTATTTCCTCCATCTGAATACAATAAACATTTAGATACTGCTCCTTTATGAGTATTTTTAGACATCACTGGTTCTCCTTCATTTATATCCCAAAATACTACAGTACCAGATTTATCACCACTAACACATAATGAATTTTTCCAATCAAAATCTAATACTGCACTTTTATGTGGTCCAAATAATTTTCTACTCTCTGACATTGAACTTAATTACCAAATTACCAATGTTTAATCATATGAACTTGATATACAAACTGACTATTCATCTACCAACAATTTAGTAATTGATCCTTAATGTCCAAGTAGATCATTACATCTTACTCCTTTTGCATCCCATAAACAAATCTTACTATCCATCCCTGCTGATACTATTTAACCATTTTACAAATGCTATACTGAACTAACCCATTCTGTATGTCCATATCTTTTTGCATATAATTCTTTCTCATATTTCATTGAAGATAAATTGTAACATCTCAAACCATGATCAGCTGATCCAGTAACTAAATGATCTTTCATTATGTCCATACAGAATATCCCTCTACCATCTATCGAATTATTTATTTAATACGTCCAGGTTCTAATGGTACACTATTAATTGGACCCTTCCTCCATTAAGATAACAATTAATGTGATAACATTTCTAATTATATATTAATATTAATTCATAAATTTTAAGGAATCATAAAAGCACAAACATCTCTTTGTTCTTCACTACAAAAATTGAAATGACTGCATGCCTCAAATGTTGCAACTACATCCACCTTTATACCATACTTTTTAAACTTCTCAAAATATGATTCTGGTAAATCTTGTTTCTCTCTTCCTGTTCCAATCAATACATAACCTATTTATATACATTATTTTTACTTGGTCTTGGTTTTATCACTTCTAAAATATCAAAACTATGTGCTCTTATATCAGCTGCAGTTTATACATCCCATAAAAATATTTATTAAGGAAATATTAATATACTTCCTGGATACCATACATCATTTACTGAAAAATACCCATTACCTAATCCAAATACTTGTTATAAAAAGGGTTTGTTATGCAAATTTGGATCAATAAAATCGAATATATATTCTGTTTTCCTTTTATTTTATTTTGTATCATAAAATTCTCTAGGCTTATTTATTGATGGATCCTTAAATGGCAATTCAGTCTTTCTATCCATTATTCTTTATTTTATCTATTCCATATTTACAGTAACATTTTTCTTATCAATGTTTTAATTTTAACAAAATAAAAATTTTGGAAGCCTTCTTAATAATAACATAAATAAATATAAATATAATCTGAATTCATCCAAAATTTAGTTTCAATATAGAAAATAATAATTACATAAAACTTACTTTAAAAAACTATTTCTAAAGTATTTCCTTTATATTTTCAATACTTTTACATTTTATTTGTAAGATTATACGTCTTTAAATTATTAAAAATAATTCCTTATTATCTATTTATATTTATTAATCATTATATATTCTCTTGATAATTTATAAAAGGTTAAAATAGAAATCTAATAACTATCTTAATTTCAATTATTAAATTTATAAACAAAAATTAGATCATTAAGTAGATTACTAATAATGATGGTTAAGATTTTAACAAACTTAATCTCTTCATTCCATTTTCGGTATTCTTGATGGTTTTTAATGGATTTTCTAATGGACAAAATAATAAAAAAAATTCATTTTGTAGAAGTTGTTGCATTTTTATTGATTGAATTACTGCTAAGATTAATAATAGTATAATCATAAGACAAAATAATCCACTTAATTTGTAGTAAAATAACCCAAAAGATAATATACTGATGACAAGAGCGAAAATTGTAATATAAAAATTTCAAATTTCTTATTTAAAATATTGATATTGTTTTTATCTTATTGTTTCAAAATTTGAGATAAGTAGCAACTTGATTAGATAGATTTTCTCTACAAAAAATCTTCAACTTACATTAATTTAAGATTTTTATAATCTTCAATCAAAGTTATTAATTTACTTTTTTCAATATTAAACCTTTCCAACTTTAACCTTCTAATTCCATTCAGATATTTCAAAAATGACAAATAAACTGGTTAAATTTTCATTTAATTTTTTGATAATCCAAGATGAATCTTATTTATTTATAAAAGTTAATTTTTGACTTGCTATCATAATTTAAATCATCAATATTAGAACAAATTTAAAATAATTACTGCTAAAATTTAAAGATCTTCTAACAATTCTGATTTATTAAATATTATGTAGTCTATAAAATAATTGAACACTTTTCGATAAATTTGAATGTATTTCTTATTCGAAAAAACTACATTTTTTCAGATAACGATAACTAATTATAACTTCAAATCTGAATTTCTGAATTTTAAATAATCTCAGAATTAACAATTCATTATAAATAGTCAATAGTTTGTGATGAAATTGATGTATATCATCAATCTACATAAGTATATTGGAATTAAAACTTCAATATATAGATATGTTACTAAAACTATTAAATTTTACAATTTTATATGAACACTTTAAAATAACATTAAAAATTTGATTTAATTTATTATAAAACCCATTATTATTAAATAATTGTTAAATAAATAAATAAATATATTTTCAAACCTTTTTCAAAATAAAAATAATTGATTAATATGCTTCTGTTTTGAACCTATTGATTCTCTATTTGTTATAAATATGTTAAATGATTAATAGATAATTTTGATATTTTAAAATTTTATCCCAAGATAAATATGATTTAAATTAATATTAATGTGTTCACATCATTGAGTATTTCTTATTTTATTTTAAATCTCCTCTTCTAACTATCATTTTTATTACACTTAAGTTTATTAATAATTAGTGACACAAATTATGAGTCATTCAACCAGTAATTAAATATATATAAAATAAAAAATTATTATGTAATTTAGAACTAAATTACTTGGTGTTATTTTTGTATATTTCTGTTAATAATGATGAGTAATCAAGGAATATATTGATTAAAGTAGCTTATAATCAAAACAATAATGAAAAATATTGTTGAATTCTTTTAGTTAATAAAATTTCATCTGATCAATATTAATAAAAAATATATAATACTTAATCATGAAATCATCAGTTTGTGTTGTATTTAAATGAAGTTTTTTAATTCAGAAATATTGGTAAAGGTTGGAAATTTTTTATAATCAGAATTTGATTCAGAAATAATTTTTTCTTTAATTTTAAGTGACTAAAATATTGATTTTGAAGTCATGATGAGTCCTTTCTTCATACATATCTATTAGTTCTCCTGGTGATTCTATTTTTTTAATTAATTTTATTTATATAGTAAAATCTCCCCAGAATTGTAGTCAACTAAAACTGATGTTTTGATTATATAAACTTTAGGTTTTCTCCTTTGCTTTGATTACTAAGGAGTCACAGTACCTAATTTTTTATATAAGTTTATAATATATTTAGCTGATGAGTAATTGATTGAGTGAAGTTTCGAGGCCTTGTATATTATTAACTAGTTTACTTGATGAATAGATAAGTGATCAGTCATGACACTTTCAATGAGTGATTATTTTAATGAGAGACTTATCTTCTTAACCTTTTTTGTCTTCATCTTAATTCTTAAATCTTTAAATTTTTATTCAAACATTGTTCTTTATAAAATATTTTATTAATTAATATCCTTGTATATTAAGTATTTAGAATCTAGAAATTATCAAAATGAAATTAGATTTATATAATAGTCATATTAGAATGACTCTTTATTATATTATAATATATGCAGATAATATTATTAAAGAAAAGAAATTTTTAATTTAAATGAAAGTTTTCAGATAAAATATCTTTGTATAATGCTATTTCCTAAGCTTGAAATTTGATCGATAACTTCAGAAAACTATAATAATAGAGCATATGGGTAATTTCTGATATTTATGAGATGAAGATCTTTAATAATTGGCCTTGAGATTTAATTACGAAAGTATTTAATTAATAAAACATATATGATATATATAATTTTTTCATTATTACTTCATCAGAATATGTTATCTAAGTAAAAATTTCTTGAGCATTTCTTCATCTCTACATTCTTTATAATGAAATTTATGCCAAGAAATTTTCCCCAGTTTCTCATAAATCAATTCAGAAGTTTATAATAAGTTCTGGTTTTTATACTCTTCTTGTAAAGAAGAAAAGTCACAATAACTTATTTTTTGATTATTTTTAGCCAACATAATACTGCCATCAGATACATCTATTACTATATTAACATTTTAAATTATGGATTTTTGTTTGCTCTAAGGATGTTAATGTTCGTCCAAACAATTTCCTTTATTTTTAAAATTCTTCATAATATACTTTGCTGTGGAATACTTTATCTAAAGTTTTTAGGCAGCCTTTAATATATCATATACTTTACTTATCGAGTTGATACATTCTCTGAAATTACCAAATTGATCAAAGATTATTTTCTATGGGTCTCTATTCTCTTATGGTTTCTGAATTTTGAAATGGATTTGTTCACAGGAGTGTTTATTTTCGACATAATATAATTTAATTAAAACAATTGAGAGGAATTACATAAAAAGAACTTTACAATACAAGGAAAATTTCAATTTAATATGTTCATTCATCTGATTCATTTGATAAAATAAAAGCACATTAATAATTAATAAATGTTAGTTATTAAACTAGCAAAAATTAATCATCTCATCTAGCCTATCTTTTTAAAGCCAAAAAAACAAAAGTTAAAAATCAACCAATTTCTAATTGCTTTAATTCTTTAGTGAATGAGTAACCATTTTCATTATGGTGTAATTATTATCTATAAGGTTACAGAAATAAGTTTATTATATATATATTTTAGATTCTAATCAGTATTATCATCGAATCAAATTGAATCAGTATGCAATTCAACTTTTTAATTTTTATAATATGACACGTTAAATTGTTAAATTCACTTAATCATACATAACAATCATGGCAATACTAATTGTATATATTATAAACATGAAATATGAATAACATTAATACTTTTATGTAGAGCCAAATATTAATGTCCAAATTTTTTAAATCCATAGACTTCAATTAAAATGAATTAAAACAATACATTATTATCTCTTTTATTATTTGTTTTAATCCATTAATTGATGACTACTTTTGAAGAACCCATAATCTAAATTATTGTAGATGAAATAGCAGAAGAATAAGGTGATCATAAAATTAGAAAAGAAATTGATGATAAAAAAAAGAACAAATAATTATTGAAGACTGAAAAGAAAAAAGGATTTAGATCAAATTTTGATGGAAAATAATAATTTGGAGATAAAACTATATGTAGATTATGCTAAAAAACAACATTAGAATAACTATATAATATATGTAATAGATGTCATTTTAGATATCATTAAGAGTGCAATAATTAATAATCATATGGATCTTATAATTAGGAAACCTAAAAATGGATATGCAAAAAATGTATTAATAGAATAGAGATATTAAACTTAAAAAACAAAGATAAAAAAAAGAAGAAAAGAAAAATAGAAATATAAATATAAAGCACAGAATAAAGTGATTATGAAAATAATGGATCTTTATCAGAATTTTTACTTAGATTTCCAACTTATAAAAATCAAGGATAAATTTTGTTTCCAATTATTGATGAATATTTAATTGCCTATTAAGAACTATTTCAAGTTGAAGTGAAAAAGAAACCAGCAATTAAGGAAGATTAGGATATTCCTAATTAATACTTTTAATAAGTCTTGATTATATGGGACTCATATAATAATTATGAAAAAATTGTTAGTGATATTTTAAATATTGAAGAAGGCAATTCAGATAATGTATTTATTTAACTTATAAACATAGCAATCTCAAATTGGCACTTTCATTCATTTTAAAGATCACCATTAATTATATTCATAGAAATCAAGAAAACAAATATATTAGATGTTAAATACTGAACCACTTAAATTAGTTGAATTCTTTAGTTGGTTCTACACTAAATAATTGATAGAAGATGTTGACTTTGAGTAAATTTAAAAATCATAAGAAGTAATAAAATATTTATGAATTAGAATGCATTTTGGTATTTAATGGGATTTCTATGGTATAATAATAGAAAATAATATTATGAAATTTATAAAGAATCTTTGCAATATATAGGACATTATTTATATCAACAAGGTATTTTATGTTTGAATGATGATAATCTAAAATTGCTAGATCAAAATAATAAAGATTATTTTCTTAACTTAATTCTTATTTTAATTGAAGGATTGCCAGATTTAAAAAAAACACAAAACCTAATTTAATATAGAATTGAAAATCTTCTTTCAAATAATAAGATAAAAGAATAATTAGCAACTTAAGTAAAGGATTTAAGAGGATAAACTGTTGAAATATAACTTAACTTAGATTAATTTGAAAAAGAAGTTTAAGCACTGAAAGTACAAAAAATATAATATTATTACTTAATAGTAAAAGTTATCTTAAGGAGATTTGAGTAAAACTGATTTTGTGAATATTCAATAATAGATAGAAAATATAAATGTTAAAATGAATGAAAAAGAATAAATTAAATCTTAGATAACAAAGAAATTAATATCAGTTCAAGAAAGATATATTTAACTTGAAGAAGTAAATATTTAATTTTATTTTAGGAGTTACACTTAGTATAAATTCCAAATTTATTAATTAATCCATCCATGTTTTTAGGATTTGATTTGAAATATTCATTGTATTATTTCTTTCTTAATGAAAGGGATAAAGTATTTGTCTAATAAAGAAATTCTTGGATTGATTCAACTATGAAATGGGGGTATTATTAAAATTAATTTAGTTTTTATAATTTTGATGATGTTGAGATTCTTTTAAAAAGTCTAAATTTAAAGGGAATAAAAGAATACTAATTAAAATTTAATCTAGAAGAAATAAAGAAGTAAAAATTGATTATTTTTGAACCAAATCCTTCAAATTAAAATAAGGAATCTGAGAAAAAAGAAGACAATCATAAATAAAATGGGAAATAATAATATTCAAACTAATAAACAGAAATTCAGGTAATCTAACTTTGTAAAATGTTAACTGAAATCGACACTATTTTGACTAATTACTTAAATGAAAAAAATTGCAGATGGTGTAGTGTTAGTATACGTAATGTATTTAGAAAAAGTTATGATGATAATAAAGATTCAATTGATTGTTTAAAGAAAGCAGTGGAATTTTTTATAGAGAACACTTAAACTTAGGAAAGATTAGATAAATTATAAGAGGGAGATACTTTAGAAGATAATTTATATATTGATTTTGATGAAGATTCAGCATTTTTAATTACAAGAAAAAAAAAAATTGTAGAAGATGAAGATGTTGAGAATGAAAATTTTAAATAATTAGAAGCTCTTGATGCAAGTAAATTAAAAATAAGAAGAATGCCAATGAAATTATTTGGATGTTATTTTGAAAATCTTAGATAGTGCTTATTAGATTAAGTAAAGGATAAATATTGTGATTTATTATAACTCAAAACTTGTCTTGTTGTATTAAAAGAAGTAATTAAAATGTACATTCAAAGAAAGCAAGAAGAATTCTAAAGATAAGAAAAAAAAAAAAATACACTTTAATAACAATCATTATAACCTTCTTTAATTATTGAAGAAATCTATAGAGATTAAGTAAACAAAGCTTAAATTTAAGATGGAGAAAATATTTGGGAAGAACAATGCAAAGTTTGTGGATAAGGAGGAAAAGTTCTTTTATGCGATACTTGTCCTAGAGTCTTTCATCCACGATGTTTAAAACTAAAGGAAATACCTAAAGGCAAATGGAGTTGCATGATTTGCCTGAGCTATTTTTCTAGATAAGTCAAAACAAGATAAACTTTTAAAAAGATGCTAATTAAATGAGAATATTAAATAAGAGATATATAATCTATATTAACATTTCAGTATTTAATCATAAATATTTATTCTTCGTTCAATCTAATAAGAATTATTCCATTTTTATTCTAAGTTTCTCATTATCAACTAATGATTTAATTGAATATTTGCTGGGTTTAACATAAACTTCTATTTTAGGTAATTCCCATTTTGATTTTTTTTTTTACTCTTCTTCTTTGATTCTTTTCTCTAAAATTACTCTATATTCTTCAACTGTCATTAATTTTAAAGGTTATGGATACTCCAATTTAGGAAGTTCATATTTAAATTTTTATCTAGTCTTCTCTAATTCTGGCAGTTTTTCAAAAGAGTTTTATAAACTGAAATTATGCCTTTTCTTTTTATTTTATATTTCTTATGGTTATAATTATTTAAGAGATTGATGTCCAACTTATCTAAAAATACTATATTGTTTTTCTCTATACAAAGCAGATGGTCTATATTTCCAAATACTTTAATCATTGTTCATTAGCAAATAATGTTGTTATAAAAAATATTAATTAATGATTTAGAATTACACTTTATTATTTTTTAGAAGATTCTATCAATCTATAATTATATTGTAAATTTGTAAATGATATAAAGTATAATATATAGATGAAATAAAATAAATAAAACGACATAAAATTTAGTATGATAATTCTAATTTGTCTAATCATTTCTTTCCAGCTTTTTTTTAATTTGCTTATGCTTTTTTAGGATCTTAAGCTTATTGTTTCTCTAAATTCTCAAAAAATTTATCAGGATCCTAATAGTTTGGATTAGAAGGTTTTAAAGTACTTTCTATCCATGTATCTAAGTCCTAAAATTATACATTAGTATTTACTTCAATATCCTATTTCTTTTCAGCATCCTAATCCATTTTTACTTTATCACTCCAAAGTGTTCCCTTCTTAATCTTAGATTATATTAATTATATTTTTTTTTCCATTTCTTTTTCATGCAATTAATTAATATTGACTTTTCTTTAAATATTACTAGATCCTGTAATTAAACCTCCCTCCTTAAAAAAATCAGATGCATATTCAGGGTTTTTGTATATTTTATCTCCTAAAGATGCTACTGGCAATCTAAATTTTTATACTTTAGTTACCCATTTCTCATTTAATAGAGATATTCTAATCTTTACTTTTTTCCCATCATTTCTTCAATCTCATGCCTCTTTTCACAATGAATTGGTGGGAATGTTTTTATTCCATATGGAACATCCTCAAGATGTCCTGACTATCCTTCTTTCAGATGAAGTCTTTATGCTCTAGGTTTCTTTTCTTATGGATGATGTTCAATAAATTATTTTCCTAATATGATAACTGCTATCATATACCAGGAGGAAATTCTTATGATTTACCATCACCAGGTCTCGGTATATTAGTTTTGAGATGAGGTACCCATGTATATAAATCTCCAAATTTTGGATCAAAATGTACTCTTCCTAATGGCTACTAAATTTCTCCTCCTGCAAAATCGGTGATACAATCTTAAGGTTTTATATGAATTTTCTAATTATTTTAGTTAAGAATTACTTCCGAATAGTTAAATTTACAAGATTTCAAACCATGCCATGCTTGTTATGATTACATTTCTTCTACAATTATTTTCAGTTTATATAAAATAAATTAATAAACTTATGTCTTTAATTTAATTATTATAATAAAAGCTTTTTTATCCTAAAAAATAACTACTTATTCTTCTATAAATAAGAATAATTGTTTTAAATTATTTTTATTTAAAGAGTAAATATACATTCTGAAATAAACATGAGTTAACATTAACATTTTATTATAAAATCATGTTGATAACAATATTCAATTTATAAGAATCTCTTAAGATAAATAAGTTGACATCAAAAATATTCATTTCTTATTTTATCTTGAACTATTCTTTACTTTTAGAAATATACTATTAAAATTAAAAATTTTGTAACTTTAACTTTAGATAGAATTCTATTCATAAATTCAAATGGAATCATTCATAATTAAGTATATTTAGACTAATAAGTTGGAATCTAAATGATATTTCATTCATTTTAGTTATTCAGAAATGTGAATCCAAAAGTATCTTGATAGAATTTAAAAACTGAGTAATTTTGGGTCAATATATAATAAAAATCATCATTAGTAGGAGTATATTTAAAAATTTCAATGTTAATGAAATAATTATCCCCAATAACTTTAAGTTAATTAATTTTCTCTTCAGTTTAAATAGAATAATTATAAATTAAAGTCAATCAATTTTTTGCTTATTGTCACATTTTCTACTCTTAATTAGTAAATTTCTTATCTCCATCACAACTTTTAATAAAGGTATACTCTTAAATCTATTTAAATAAATTCATACATATTAATTTATTTCTTTTTATATTTTTAGATAAATATCATTTATTAAATCTTAAATTTTTTATTTCATTACTATTTTTTTTCTGTTAAGTATATTAATTAAATCTGAAAATAACCTTTTTTTCAAACTAGTAATTCTTCATTTTTAGATTTTTCTTCAGGTTCAACTTCCAATATATAACATCTTTTTCTTTTTAAAAATCTTTATTAACTAATAATGAGAATAATTTGATTTTCTATAAAGCTCTGTTATTTTATTAAGCATATAAAAAGAGTAATATAATTTTAACCAATCATTTTAAATCACCTTTTATAATTTAGCAAAAATATTAATTCTTACTAATTATATTGCTAAGTAAGCAAATTAATCCTTATTTAAAAACTTTTTTATTTTTTAATTAAATTTGAAATTATTTAATTGTTAAACAAAATTAGAAAATGTAGAAGAGCACTTTTAATTATGAATTAATTCCTGAATATAGTCAATCACTTCAAAATTATTGTTATGCTATAGCAATCAATCACAACAACACTTATCTGTTAACATCTGATGAATAAAGAATCAAACTATTTTAATTTTCAAAAAATGGACTCAAACTATTGCAAATATTAAATAAGCATTAATCGTTAGTTTATACTCTTAATTTTATGAAGGGAAGATAGTAATTTGTGTCTGGTTCACTTGATTCTTCCATCGTAATTTGGTCAGAAATTAGTATATCCAATCCTAAATATCTCATAAAACTTAATTAGCACTAAGATTCAGTTAGATGTCTTCATTATAGCTCACATTTTAAAAATTTAATTGTTAGTGGATCAGATGATCATACTATAAAATTTTGGTATCATTTTAGTTCTTGTTCATCTTGGTCTTGTTAATAGACAATTAATGAACATGATGATGCGGTTTATGGATTATCGATGAATGAAGAAGGAACTACACTTATTTCTTGTAGTTCAGACAAGCACGTATTGGTTATGAATAGAGAGAATTCTAATCTTAAATATTGGAATGTCATACAAAAAATTAATGTAAAAAAATGGGGTCTACGGATTTGTTTTATCACAAGTAAAATGTTTATCTTTCTACCTAATAATAATGGAGAACAGTGGAAGGGTGGAAAGGCTCTCCACATATACACATTAAACAAAGATAATAGTAAATTCAGAAAAAGAGAAGAATATATAATTAAAGGAGGAGGACAATTTTGTGATGCTGAATTTCCAGCACTTTTTGTTCAATCGAAATAAATACTTCTTCTAAAAAATGGATGCACGGTAAATATATTAAAATTTAATATTGTCAATTCCCCTTAAGAAAGAGAATCTTACTAATGTAAATTAGAATAGTTTATTTATTTTGATTGTAAAGATAATTTTGAATGTGGAGCTGTATTTGGGGCAATAAGTGAGAATGGAGAGTATTTAATAACATGGGATTGGAAAAAAGGGGAGATTAATATAAGAAAATATAAGGATATCCTTGAAATAACTGAAATATGATGTATATATTGCATTATCATAAACTGATTCATTCTTTTCATAAATTGATTTTTATTCTAGCCTTCCATTTTATTTTAATTGAAACTAAATTTAATTTTGAATTTCATTTATATATCAACTTTGTAATTAAATTTAATAATAATGTGAAGTAAAATGTTAGATCTAAAAAATCAAAAATTATTTTATTTATTAATAAGGAGAGATTAATGAAATTTTATTAAAATGGTGTAAAATTACTGGAATTGAAATTTTATCTTCACAAAAAAAATAATTTGAGTTCTAAAATTTTAATATTCAATTATCTATAAATTAAACACAAAATATTTAATCATTTTTTTATATTTGAATCTCCTATATAATACAAAAAGGAGGTTAATTATTGTCAAATTTCTTGAATTTTCAAAGCTACTATACTTGTGAGACAACACAAACTATTTTATTAATTTTTATTATTAACTCGTAATTGCCAATAAACTATTTTATAAAGTTGATTCTGAAAATAACTTAATTTGTTCTTTGATTGCATTCAGAGTAAAAATAGACTCATCTTATTGGTTTAAATTCCTCTTTAAAAATTTCTCTCAGCAAGCCTAACTATAAAATATAGATTTGTTAATTATGATTTTATAATTACAAAATCTTGCTCAATGTAAATTAATTTATTCTATTTCTATTGTAATTTAGGTCTAAATGAAGTATAAAACTCTTTCATTTCGATCATCTTGAAATATGATTAAGATGATGGGCAGAACATTGAAAATTTAATCCAAAAAGAATCCATTGTCCCTTGCACACCATCTAAGATTTGAATAATTGATATTTAGAGCTATTTTTTATCTATAATATTGAACTTGTTTTTCTTCATCCATTTCTTTTTATTACCTATATTTGAAAAATTGAATCTATTATAGCTTAGGACAAATTTCACAATAATAAAATGCCTTCAAATTGAAAATCCCCAAAAAAACCTATACTTGTAATTTCTATTAATGCAAGAAGTGCTTTGAATAATAGTGTGTATAAATTACCTACTCAAAATAAGGCATGTTGAAACAATTATTATTTAAATTCTTTACTCATTTAACTTTGTATTGAATAGAATAACTTTTCCTTCTGTGGGGAATGTCATATTAAATGAAAATTCTAAAGTAGAGAAGTATTTACATTTTTTTCAATTCCATAAACTTAAACTTAGACTTTAGTTTTCCTGATGTCATATTTGTTTTCTTTCAAATTCTTTTGAAAGTCTGATATTATAATCGTTTCAAGTTGAAGTTTACATGAATAATTGTATTAGTTTAAAGAGAATATATAATCATTTATATAGATTTAAATGTAATAGATGATTAAATAATTTGTAACAATATAATCAAAATTAACCTAAAAAAGATATAATTTTAAATTATCGCTTATCAACCTTATTTTACTCTTTAATCTAAATTGGCAAGAGATATTGATTAAATACATAGCAGCATATTTTAACAGTAATTAATAATATTTAAATGATAATAATATAATTTAAAACCTATCACCAATATAAAGTTAAGAAACACAGCTTGATAAATAACGAGATATAGAGTTACCAAATTATATGTATTCCAAATATTTCAAAAAAAAAGAACTTTGAAATAATTCCCTTGTTTTAACAATAAATATCATGTTATTATATCGCTATTATTACTTAAACCATTTAAAAACTGAAATTAAAGTATGGAACTTATAACTTTACTACACAGAATATTGACCATACCCATTATGTTAGTAAGAAATTATATTTTTGAAAATCAACATCTTTTTGAATATTTTTACAAATCTTATTTGTACATTCTGATTTCTGGTAATCAATTGGCTTATGATTTAATCAAGAATTATAAAAATACTGTAATGTCCTCAACCTTTATTAACATTAAATAAAATCAAAAGCTTAGAAATTAATTTAATGTAAAATTTTAATAATTTATTTTTATGATAAATTTTGGGAAGGTTTTGTTAAGAAAATCTTAAATAAGTCTAGATGACATTAGAAAATTTATGAGTTTACCAATTGATTCAACAGATGAAGATATACCAATTTATTCTTATGATGAAAATGTAAAGGTAATAAATAATAATAGAAAAGATTATGTCAACTTATGATTTGGAATAATCAATTAAACATATACCTTTAAAAGATTAAGTAATCCATTCTATAGCGCATATTGAATATAATGCCATGAAATCATATATAGATACACTTGTTAGATTTATCAATCAAGTTCCAGCATAATTCCAAAAAGAATTTAAGGAAGAATTAGGATAAATTGCATATGAAGAATTTTGCCATTTTGAATTAATTACTCAATTATGCAAATATGGATCCTAGCCAGTACATAATAATCTGTAAAAAAGAATGATTTTAACTATGGATTCTCTTTTAGGAAGAATAGCAGTTTTGAGCATTGTCAATGAAGGCAGAGGAATGGATACAGGATTGAATTTGATCTAAAAATTAGATGGTGATAATAAATATGAAAAAGTAATTAAAAAGATAGTCTAAGAAGAAAGTAACCATGTTAGAATTGGACTTAAATGGTTTGAGCTATTATGCAAAGATTAAAATCCTTAGGAAAATTTTATTACATTAATGAATAATTACTAGATTCCCAAAAATTGGAAAATTAATGTATAAAAAAGGAAGTAAGTAGGTTTTAGTGATGAATGGATTAAATGTTTACAGAACTGGAGTTGATATATATTTATATTTTTCACTAATTTATATAAAATCCAATTAAATAACTTCTTGAATAGAAACTCCTTACTTTATGAAGAAAGGAAAAAAAATTTGTATTTTATATGAAGGATCCATTTAGGTGAAATATTTCTTTAGAATTTACTTCAATAAAAATTGATAACTCCTTAAGAAACTAATTTTGGTTTTAATATATTATAAAATATACTATTGAATAGTTATAATTTTTTTGACAATGAGAAAGCACATTTATTATACATGTAAACGAGAAATATCTATTAACTACTAAAAAAGTTCTTTTATTTTACAAGTAAGTAACTCTTTTCATTATTAGTTGCCATTGCTAATAAGCCAAACAATATTAATTTTAAGAAATAGATGAATTAAGAAATTTCATAATTTATTGAAAAAGTTTTCCTCATAAATTGCTTAGAACATCCAAACAATTACAATATGGTTGAATATATTATAGGAGAATAATTAATAACACTTTAATAAGATTAGATTAAGAATATCCAAACTGATGTGAATGAATTGATTAAATATGATTACTATTAGATTACAAATAGCCATTAAAATTAATCGCTCTTACATTCTAATCACTCTTAGTCAGATAAAGAATCATATCATTTTTAATATATTGATTACAAAATTGAGGAAAATTTGAATGAGCTTAAATAAGAATCAGCCATTTTAGATATTAATCCTTTTTAAAAAAATGAACTTGAATTTCAATCTGAATGCGGATTAGAATAATTTAATACTTTTGTTGAAACTAATTTCTTAACTGATTACAAATTTATAATGAAAAAGCATTTGGATTCCAAAAATAATAGTTCTTCAATTAGAACTTCTTTTCAATATTAATGATTAGTGAATTTTATATTCAAAAACAATAATACTTTATTTAAATGGAAGATATTTAAAATAATAAATTATTAAGTTTAATGATGTTATTTCTTTTTAATTTTTTCCTCATAGATTATAATTCTCCAAAATTATTTGAGAGAATATCAAAAGCCTATTATAGTGAATTTAGGATTAATTATTTGGAAGTTTTTAGTATTAATGCTTAATAGAATTCTAATAATTATTTAAGTATTATTTATATTTACTATTATTGTAACAATAAAATATTTTAGAATAAATATTAGATAATTATGACTTCCTTAATTTTGAATTAATAGCAGTTTTTGTACTATAATTTTTATTATATAATATAAATTAATATTTGGTTAAATGCTCAAATTTATAGATAATGAAGAGTTTCATTTTTCACTTTTTAGTTTAAAACTGTTTAACATAAATTGAAATTTTCTTTGGTTCATCATCCCAAAAAGTCAAAAAAGTTCCATTTTCACTCATCGTTCCAAATACAAATAATCATCCATTTTAATAGATTATTGTAAATAGAATTCAACCTTATCTCCATAATAATTAAATTTTAATAAATTTAGGGATCTATATTTATTGAGAAGGATAATTATATCATTATATTCTAAATTACAATCAAGATTTAAGAGTCCTTATTTAATTCTATGATTAAGATTTATTAATCATGGTTTTATTACCAGCATAAATGATTGACAATGAGTAAACCCAATTTTTATGTTCTTAAATTGCTTATTAAAAAATATTATAGTATAATCATTATTCGAGAACCAAAATTTGATAGTTTTGTCTTCACTGCCAGATAAAATCAAATCATCAACTTGTATGAGGAGAAAAAAAATTATTGGATTTGCTTGTGCATATAATTTATGAAGGGAAAACAATTTTAGTTGTAAATAGTTATTTTCCTTTACAGATTATTAAAATAGCGATCAATTATTTATTTTGGAATCCCTAGACCCAATGAGTACGGAACAGTTTTAAAAGAGTTCAAAGTAATTTCCTTAATTTATTAAGAATCATGATTAAATTGATATTGTTTTAATATGACATTGATATAAAATAAAGAAATGGAATCATAATTACTCAAAAAAAAAAATAGAACAGAATCTTTCAAAATCAGTAATAAATTTTAATTTTTCAAAATTTAACTTTCAATTCTTAGTAAAATGAATTTATTTTTATAATTAAGTTTAAAGCAAATTTGGATAATAATATTAACCTAAATAGGTAACCAAAATTATCTTCATATTTTTCATTAAGGGATTTAAAATAATATTTTTTGTTGTGCTTTTAAAATTCAAGTGGTATTAATCATGTTTATTCTTAAATAAATGTATAATACCCCTAAAGAGACTGAAATTTTGTCTTTGATAAATGAATAACAAAAAAATTTTGCTTATACTCTTGTTAAATAAGAATGCTAAATCATCTGTATATCCTAATACTTAAATTTTATTTCAACTTCCCAGGAAATTATTAAATATAAGGGGAATATTGGTTATCCTTGTGGGACTAGGAGTTTTTGAATTATATTATAACTTAATATAATGTGGAAATATGTAAAATTTATTGTTATGAATTGCTTATAAGAATTTAACTTCTTCTTAACATAGGATTTGAATGTCATTTATTAATATAATTCTTAATTGCCAAAAGAGTTATGTGCAATTGAGAAATCGATTTAGATTATCACTAATTAATCTTTATTAGCCAAATTTTTTATAATATCTTTCATCAATAATAAATTGATTTATGTCCTTTATCCTTTAATAAAAGAGATTTATTCTTTTGTACTTCAAATCTTCATATATTATATTAATTGTAGTAGAATTTCAATTTTGCAAAATTAAAGTCAAAATGATTCCTTATAAAATATTTTTGGAAGAATAGATTAGAGAGAAATTTATCTTACCTATCCTCATCTGTCATTCATATAATTGTCTCAAGTCTCCAAAAATTATATCATGATCACCTTTACAGTGGTTTATTATTTGTTAAGATAACCAATCATACGTTAGAGCATTATTATTTGCCATTTTTTTTCTGTAATTCTATACTATTTAGAAGTTTGATAGTAAAAATTTTATGAGGTTAATATTGTCTTAAAATCAAATATTTAATATAAAAATTTAAGAATCCAATCTCTCATAATTATTTCTCCATATTCATTTTCTGTATTTTAATAGCATGAAAAATGATACTTAATCTTATTTCTTAAGTTTAAGCTTGTGAATTATTCAGATGAGAAAATTTGTAATACATTTTGATTTCTAATGCTGAAAAATCAAACAAATATTATCATCAAATTGATAGGTCTGCAATTTTTCTCTTTAAGTTGTGTTAGCATTATTGTACTATTCATTAATTAGTATCTCATATCTTCAATATATGTGATTTTTAGATTGCTTTAGGAATTAAATTATTATAATTAAATAAATTGTTCATAAATATCACAAGCACTTGGTGATGTATTGATACTATTGTGGGGAAAATTTCATTAATTATCTTAAATATTTTAAAATTGAATATTGAATAATTTACTTTTTTAAATATTTTGAATACTAATATTTTGGACATTCATAACCAAAATTTTACAATTCTTCTTGAATGCTAAATAATTTGAGATTTGAATTTTCTTGAAGTGGAAATATGATTACCAAATATTATGAAAATTTTAAACAGAAATTTAATTCATTAACTGACAATTTCACAAGTGTATCATAATTTGAACTTTCTAGAATTAATTTTATAGACTTAAGTTTTCTACAGGTATAGTTTAGCTTACAGGAGTAATTTGGTCAAGAGCAAACGAATAGGATTTAGTGCGTATTACACATTAATCATTCATATTTTATTCAGAATAAGTTCGAAATCAAAAATCCCGAAGGATGGCATTATTAGTATGTTTGAATATTTCCCAAATCTATTTTGAAGTTCTTATTATTTAAAAACTTGCCCAATCTCAAAATTTGATTTTATATTCTTATTACCTTATTTTTCATCAATTTGGATATATGCTCTGCTCTGATAGCTGAACTATGGTCTGTTGTTTATATAATTACCCTTTAAAAGTATTCCTTCGTAATCTAAATCTAAAGAGCTAATTGCCGAATTGGCTTCTGCTATTAAGATTTGCATGGTTTTTTTAGTTTAAATTTCATTTTTGAGTGAAAAGTGGATTTTCAAGATTAATTTCTAATCTTTTAATATGTCTCTAATATTTGAAATAGTATTACATCAACCTATAATAGGACATGCTAATTGATTTTCTAATTGAAAAATTTTCAAAAACTTATTTATCATTATATAAAAAATTTAATTATTAATGCACATTCTAACATATAAAAATTAAATCAAATTAGAGTTTCTGTAAAACATTGACGAAAGTTACTTATGCTAGAATATTGCAATATCTGATCATTTTTGTGAAAAACAATTGTTAAACTATGGGGCCTTAATAACATACAGACTGAGATTAATAAGAAATTATGGTAAATTGGTATGAAGAATAAACATTAAAGACAATTAAGTACAAAAAATAATAAGGAACAACTAAAAAGTATTTCCATATTATAAAATAAACCAAATTTCTCAATGGATAAAAAATAAAAAAAAGAAATTTAACTTTAAGGCTAATCAATACACCAATAATTGCTATGAATGGATTGGATATTTAGAAATTAAATAAATTCGCAAAACCAATTAACTTTCATTGACTTGAAATTAGTATTTGAAAACTGCAATTAATTGTAAAGTTAGGAATGACAGGCAAATTTTCGATTAATTTACTAGGTTCAGATTGAAAAAAGTGAGTTTCAAATTATAATAGATAGATACTATTGTTTCATTATTGAACTATTTAATGAGTAATTTAATAAACTTCCATTAAGCTTGAATCAAATGGATTTTGAATCCTATTTTACATAATTAAGAGATGGCATTGTCAACTAATTTGAATTATTAAATGAAAAAAATTTCAATTACTTTAAATACTCTCAAAATTCTAAATCAATTTACTTGAATTGTTTTATCTTTTTTCCAACTTATTAATTGCAAGGAATGTATGAAAAAATCAATTGAAAGGAATAAATTTAACCACAAATGTTAGGATGTTTGTCTAAACTGTAATTTAAGAAAATGATAGTGTAATTAGACAAAAAGAAAGGTCATTTTGCCTATGAAAATTTAGATGAATAGATTTTTGTTTTCTGGAAGAACCCATAAATTTTCATGTTATTTAAACAAAAAATAAAAATAACATTAATTCAAATATTATAATTAATCAAATTTATTAGAGATAAATAATTTCAGCCTCCATTAAATTCTTAAAATTAGTTTTCACAAATAGAAAAGTTGTCATAACAATCATTCCAAAAGTCAAAACTATTCCCTAATCTGTCTTTCTAAACACCGATATACATATCTTTAAACAATAAATATATACATAATTGATTTCTCTAAAAAAAGCGATATTTACATTTAAATCATGTGATACTAAATGTAAATTATAAAATAGTTATGAAAAATTAAACACCTAAAAGATGCAAAAACGTTTAATGATTAATCTCTCTTTATATCTGCAGGGATATATTAAAAGTAAATGATTCAAATTGTTTCACGTTATCAACTGCTTTTACATACTAAAAAATTGATTAGGCTTTGTCTACAACTAAAAAGTAAGAATAGCGTTGGGGATATGAGGTTGTTACTGATTTAACTAAAATTGCAACAGTATCAACAGTCTAAAAAAGTGTTTTTTATTCAGATACCATTTCAGCTTGTTCAGATTTTAATTCAGCTTAAAGTTTAGTAGAATGCAAGGTTTATAAAATAGGATACTTATATTGTAGAGGAAAATGTCATACTGCTGTTACTACAGGTAATTTTCTTACAAAAATCCCAAGTACATTTAAAACATATTCATAAAAATCTCTTTATCGCAAAAGTATAATATAAACTACTGATTATTGAAACTTAGAGAGTGATAAAACTAAATATTTATAAACCAATAATGCAAATTCTGGTGTTATACCTGCATTAAAACCTACATATTGTTTAGCCCAACCAACCAAAGATAGTAATAAATTCTGTATAAATACAGCTACAACATTCATTATAGTTTTTAATGGTGCAATATGTGCAGATATCCCTTCACTTACTAGTTAAAGAGATTTTGATAATTACATTACTGGATGTATCTAAAATAATACTAAATGTTGTGCATCAGAAACAGGTGTATTTGCAACTAATGACTTTATCAATAAAGTACATACAGATTTAGGGTTGTCAGCAGCTTTAAAGGTAGAATTTTATTAATCATTTTATTTACCTGATAAAATAATGTATTGTAAAGCAGGAGGAGCTCCAACTTAATGTAAGGATGTTGGTGTTTGTGATTCATATGTATTTCCAACCACTTATGATTCTGATAAATAAAAATATGGTTTAAGCAAAATTTACGCAATTAGAAAAGATGTGCTTTCATAGCTGCTAATATTGCATGTATAGACTTTTATTGCTAAAGTAAATAACATTCTACCTCTCTAGTAGATTGCGATTTAGGAGCACCAGGAAAGCCATATATTTACTTGTTAGGAAATGCTTAAATCAGGAGTAAAATTTACATCTGAAGGTTTATTTTGATGAATTCAATGCTGCTATCTTTATAGTGGAACTACAAACTAAGTATTTTTGTACAACATTGAATGATACTAGCGAAAATAAGTACACATTCCTTGGAGGAAATAATTATTTTAAATTGGGCAATTAAATTAACAGATAAATACAAAAGTACTAATGCTGCTGCTTCAAAATGTAGGAAATAACCAAATTGTGTTAGATTCAATGCGATAGATGCAGACCAATAACAACTGCTACTACAACTTCAGCATTTAAAAAAAAAACAGGTTATGAAAAAGTTACAATAATAACTGATTCTGAATTTGATTCTTATTTAAGTCGATGTGTCACTTGTAGTAAAGGAAGTACTCCAAATATAAATCCATGCACATCATACAGAGGAATTAAATAATTAAGTAAATTATTTAAAAAATTATTGGACTGGATACTAATAAGAATACCACTTCTGAATAAAGTTCTGAGGATGCTGGAAATACTGAAACTAGTAAATGCAAAGTAAGAAGTTGTACTGAAACACTTCAGCTATAACCGATACTGAATGTGCCACTTATCAGAAATGTTATATAAATAAGAGTATTGGATCTATTGGCGCAACATAGGTCATGCTTTGCATTCAAGGGAGGTTAAGCAGCTTGCTCAAAATTTAAGGGATCTTTACTACATCAAATTGTGTTAAGAAGAAGTGTAGTAATATATCAAGTGAACACAAAAAAGAATGTAATGATGGTAAGCCACAATTTATAACAATTAATGATCCTTTCTGTGTCTTTGGTGGAATTTCATGTATTTATTATGGAAAACTTTGTAATGCTTTCAATGAAACTTAATAGACAGGGCACTATTTTTGTCTAAAATGGCCCACACAAAACTAGAAAAGTTGGAACTGCCAAAGGAACATGTGTTAATAGATAATTTACAGAAACACTCAATACTCTTACATTTGATACCGATTATCAGAAGCATCATAAAGATTGTTATACCTCTGGTTATGGATACAAAAGTATTAAATAATTTAACTATTTGAAATAATAGGCTCTATGCAAAATAAGAGATGAATGAAAATGGGCAAGTTAATATACATACTAAGAATTACTCTTGATGTACAAAATCCAAAGTAAATGGTAAGTTCTAAGCTTGGTAAGAATCTAATTCAACATTTAAAATTAAGTATGTGAAGATCAATCTGCAACAGTAAATTCACATGCTTAACAACAAAACCTTGCTGAAAATTGTACTATTTCTTCTGCTAGATGCATAACTATTTCAATATGTTCATCAAACAAGACTTAATAGTTTGTGGCTGACTTAACACATCAAAATGGAGTAGTTAGATGTTTTTGGATGCAACAATAAATAAATGCAAAGATAAAGTTTGCAGTGATAAAAAAATGGCTTAACTGATGGTGAATATCATACTTTCTTTCAGGATGTAAAAAAAATGGATTGGTTAATTGGCTTGAGCCTAAAGTATTGAATTTGCCAAAAGATAATTCTCTCTAATGTCCAGCGCTGAAACATGTCTTTAGATTTATAGATAATGTTATGAGTATGAAGAATGTAAAGCTGCAATGAAAAAGACACATCATCCTGAATGCTAAATATTTTCACAATTATGCACAACTAATGGAGCTGTATGCATCCCTATTACATCATATGCAAGCATATAATTAAAGACCGTTTGAACTGTCGGAACTGATCGAACTTGTGGATGTTTTACCTTACTTGCCTTGCCTAATGCAACGCATAATAAGAAAGGGTTTTTGAAAGCAGCTCAATACATGTTACAACTTATTGAAAAAACTGAAAAATAAGTCTCAGAGCTAGAAATTTCTTTACTAAAAAAGGATACCATAATTCAATACTTTAACAGTTTGTTGAATAACTTAAATATTTATTATGTACACCAGATCTAGGAACTGCAAAAATACTTTAATGAATAACTTTTAAGTTTTAAGACAATTCTAATGTTACAATATGAAATAGAGTTTGTTTCTTTACCTAAAAAATTAAAAGAAATTAAATAACAATATTTGTAAAAGCTATCATTTTAATGTATACACAACTAAAGATTGAACATTTTAAAGTTTAAATTGCAATTAATTGCTTTCAAATAATTCTTTTAAAATATAATAACAATACCATCAGAAGAATTTTTAAAGTTGCAAGTTTTTATCAATCTGGATGGGTTTCTAATTGATGTAGTTAAAAATTATTCAAACAGAATAATTTGCTGTGACAGCTCATTTTAAGAATAAACTATTGCAGAATTAAATAATTTATAAATTACTAAACAAGACTATTAAAATAATTTAACAACATAAAAAGGAATTTTAGATTATCTTTTATGTAAAATATTTCTGGAAGAATAAATGATTGACTTGGAAAGAATAGATTTAGAATTAATTGAAAAGGAATTTGGAGAATTATTAATAGAAGAAACCGATCCTTTAACTCTTACTGAAAGAATAATGAAAATTATAAAAGATTTTCCAATAGAGTTTTCATTAAACATTATCAATAATGAAAATCTTAATCAAAATTAATTGAATATTGAGAGAGAAAAGTATGAGGCGTTATTGTAATAATTAGGAAAAATTAAATAATAAGAAAATTGTGAAGTGGTAGAATAACTTTAATTACTAATCTGTTAAATCGAAAAAGTTGTTAAATTATTGAAAGGTTCCGTAAATCAAAACCTAGAAATTTTTCAAAAGCCTATCACTAAAATAGTCAGTGATTTAAAAGAGATATTTGATAAATTTAAAACAAAATATGATGATAAGAATGATAGACATGATAAGAATACTAGAGAACTCAATTCGTTTCAAAATACAATCGGGGCAAATTTATCTCTCATTGTTAATATTCTCTTACTGTTATTAATAAAAAAAAGATTAGAGAAGTAAAAGTTGGCAAAATTCCTTGAAGATATCAAAAATTTTACTAAAAGCCGTGATGTTACACAAGAACATTACTAAGAAATGTATACAAACTTTACAAATTTTTTTGAAAAACTTATAAAACTCATTAAATAATAGCACTTGACAACTTCTAATTTGGAATAATAGGAAAAAGAATCAATTAATGAATACTTTTCAAGAATTTAAATCAATACATTGTAGAGTGAAAAATAATCAGACAACAATAATAATTAATCAACCAATATCGCTGATTTTCTCTATAAATTAATGGCGCAAACAAAAGAAAAGTTAAAAATGTCTAAGTGGAAATTCTAGGAAATTAATTTTAATCAGGATTAACTTGTTAAATTAACTAAAAAAATCTACTTACAAGAAAACGATGAGGAATATGAAGCGAAATCATATCAATAGGATTAATTCTCTATTGATTAATAAAAATATGATGAATGGAAAATTAAATAGGTTTTAGTATTAACTATAATTTAGATTTCGCAGAATAGCTTCACAGAAACAATTACTCGATTTTGTTAAAAAACTCTAATTTAATTATGGGTTTTAGAAAAAGATTAAAGAGTTAGAAATTTATTGAAAAATTAACGCTTAATAAGTTTATAGCTGTAAATTTTGTCAAAAGATTGGTAGACTTAACATGATAGAATTGCAGGAAAGATGTAAAAATGCTGAAGAGAATTGATGAATTGTAAGATTAAATTACTCAGGAGGCAAATCTTAACAAAAGAGAGCTATAATTGAAAGAAATGGATGAAACAACTCAGTAATTGGATGAATACATTTAAAATATCAGCGAAATGGGTTAATAACTCAGGTTAGTGATTGATTTTGTAAATCATATCAGAAATGGTTTGTTAAGAGTTGAGGGAAAAATAAATCAAATAAAAGAGTAGCTCAACAATATGGGAAATGATCTTAAATTTTTGAGAGGAAAATCGGTTATATAATTGCTTGAAATCAGAAAATGGAAAGTGTTGAAGGAAGCAGCAGAAAAAAATGTTAAGTCCATCTATGTACCATTAAAAACTTAAGAGAAAGGTAAAAATGAGATCAGTAATTTGATGAATTTAGATTAATTTGATGATAAAGATGGAGAAGTGAATTAGTTTTTATATGAAGGGAAAATAGTATTGCTAATTCATGGATTAGCTGGATCGGGTAAAAGTACAACAGCCAAAAAAATTGAAGAGTTTATTTGAAAATTATATGATAGTAATAAAAAAATTGGGAATTATGTACTAATACCTGTTTATATTTCATTACCCTCTTTAAAAAACCCTGTTTTTTAAGCAGTAGAGGAATCACTTTAATAAGATGATTATGGATTTGATGATCTCTAATTGAAAGAATGTAAAGAAATGTTGTAAAAAAAAGAATTCCGATTTATATTTATAATGGACAGTTATGATGAAATGAAGCTAGAGAATATTTAGAAAAATTTATACTTTAATAATAAGCTCAAATAAAATTGGTCAGACCCTCTTGTTATTTTTACCACTAGAAGTGACATTTTTACGAGCAGCAATTATGCCGACTGGTTTGCGCCTGATGATAAATAGAATTTTAAGAAATCTAGCTTCTTCAGTTTGAATAGAGTTAAAAATAAGAATATCATAAGAAATTTACGATTTAAAGTATTAAAATGTTAATTTTTGATATCCATGAATGGTAAGTATAAACTTAAAACCAAAAGGCTCTGGATTTTAAAAGGTTTGAACAGAGTTGTGAAAAAGTATAGTCATCATTTTTGAAATTCGATGAAGCAAGATGGAAAACTGAGACTCTTTTGAATGAAAAATAAATAATCAGTATTATTTAATTTTTGAAGGATGATGAGTTAATTGCTTTAAAAAGCAATGAAGCTTGTAGAAGCTTGAGCATAAATTTACAAAAATTATAGAGTTTTAAAAAGTATGAAGATATGATGAAGTCGGTAAATCTAAATAAATTAGTGGAAACTCCATATATGATGGAAATTATAGTGTAAGTGTTGCCCAACATGATTCTTAAAGCAACTGAGATTATTAACATTAAATAAACCTTCTTGAAGTATTTTTCAAAGATGTTGAAAGAATTCTTCATAAGTAAATACAGAATTCAAATGTATAAATCACAACAGAAAAGGCATTTGTTGGGGTAAATAAAATGAAGTTAATAAAGAATCTGAAGCAGAAATTTAAGTTGATTATGATGAATCCTTGGAAGTTACCCATAAAGATTTATAAAATTTGGAAACTATTGATTACGATTAAATTGCTTTTGAAGCTTGGAATAATTTGGAAGAAAATTCGATCACTTAATAATTGTAAAATTCTTAAGAATTAGAAGGAGTGCATAAATAACTTTAAACAATATTTGAAACTAAACTGTTGCTACCAAATTAGATATTAAAGAAAGGAGTAATTTAATAAGAAGTAATAATCTAAGTTGTTTATGATGCATTAAAAGAATACAATCTTGCAATTTATGACTTTTATTGTGAGTTTATCAATCATCACCACTTGAAATAAATTGAAAAACAGAGAAACTTAGGAAAATCTATAGATACTGATCGTTTTCTGCATGATCTATTAAAATACTCAATTAGATTTGCAAAAACAATGAGTAAGAATGAATTGACATAAGTTTAATATAAGTAGCAAGGATTTTTATATTAAAATGAAAGAAAAGAAGATCAATCGCTAAATGAATTTTTTAATTATGATGATTAAAACGGAGCTTATAAAAAAGATATTAGAATCAAAAAGTTTTGATACATAAATATTGAATATTATAATAGAAATATTGTCAAAAAAAGAGAATCAAAATTAGGATTGCTTAGAGTTTCTAAAAGATCTTAAAGAAAACTAGGCCTAAAATTATAATTAAATTGAAAATATATAGCTTTTTGAAAAATAGAAATAAGTTGATACTTTTAAAAAGACTATATATTAAATTACTTGCTTGATCTAAACCATAAAAGAACATGATATTAATTTAATTAATTATTCCATCGAAATCTACACTGAAACAAGATAATATCTCATTTAAAAAATATATCAAGAGGTTAGGATAATAGTAAAATAGATAATAAATTTATAATAAGTGGGTCTAATGCAATTATTTATTGGTTGAAATGTAGGTGGATCTAACAAACTAAAATCTTGAAAATATAAGAATAGAAAATACTAATATATTTGGAGGCAATTTTTCTAAATGTAATTTATCAAAGTCTTAATTTAAGAATGTGAATATCAATAGAATTAATTTAAATGGAGCTGTATTATTTGGATGTAATTGGTAATAATTAAAAATAAACGATTTGTATTAATTAGATGGTCATACTAGTTATGTCTAATCAGTCTGTTTCTCTCCTGATGGAAATACATTAGCTTCTGGTAGTAGTGATAAGTCTATCCGTCTATGGGATGTCAAAACAGGATAATAAAAAGCCGAATTAGATGGTCATAGTAATGATGTCAACTCAGTCTGTTTCTCTCCTGATGGAAATACATTAGCTTCTGGTAGTTATGATAACTCTATCCGTCTATGGGATATCAAAAAAAAATATTGTTCAGATTATAGATTTAAAGAAATTTAGGTTATAAATACAAGATATCCTTTTTTTAACACCCCTTTGCAGTAAAAGAATATTATTTAAAATTTAGATACATCTAATATTATGGTTTACCCAGACTTCAATTTTTCAAGGTTTAAGAGGGTTTTTTTATAAAACCGTTTCCTTTTAGGAGAATTATTGGAGTAAATTCTAATTAATTATATACCATAACACTTGATTAATTTAAAAACTAACCTATATTAACCCTTAATTTAACTCTATTTTAAAATACTTCTTGTGTCCAATATTTGTTAATAAAGTTCTATTTTATAGTTTTTTTCTTTTTTAACAATCTTGAAGCATTACTAAAATGGAAATTAATTTAGCACATTTTAAAAT